CTAGTTGTATCTGGCCGACTCTTAAGGAGGCCGTATTTATATGAAACAATTCACACAAGTTGCGCCTAATCTGATTTATCTAGAGTTTGAGACTGAGCAGGTATTTATATGGATACAGATATCATCACTGGTTGCATCTAGTTTAAACCTGGAGAGGTATAATCATCAGATGCCTTGGACTTTTATTATCAGCAGTAATATTCGGATGTAAACGATCCTGCTGGACCATCATGTTATAGATAGATAAGTGTAAAGGGTATCATTTGTCTTTTATTCTTGATCATATGGGATCCTGCGTCTGGAGGCGATATTACATTAATATAGAGCCTAAACGTACGGGGTGGTCCTTGTGTTGGCTTGGCTCTAAAACAGCAGTTAACGGACAGTGTAGTTGAATCGCTAAATGCATATGGTTATGCGCGATCGTGGTTAGAAGTTTCTTGGAAAATAACCACGTTTTATTCTAATTAAACACTGGATGAAGTGATCTATAATACTCCGTACCTTACAGCTGTATCAACTTGTCTTTACTCAGGCATTAATATTTCTGCATTTACTTATGCAATTATCAGTCTCGCACTTTCACCAGCCCAAACTCTGTCCCTGCCAATAGCCTCCTCTTGTACTTGAAGCATCACTATTGTGGTCGTGCCCGCTTCAGATACAAACGCGACGCGTGCAGGTCATAATATTTACTATACAAATATTTATTCGGCATCTACCTCAACCCGTTTTGCCTCCGATCCCAACACGCTATGACCACACACACAGCCACGGAAGTACGTATCCCAGATATTTGCTAGTAAAGTTTGCTTTACTGACACCACAGAACGAGTTCAGCATCGAGGATGTGCTCTCGCAGCCGGCAAAAAAGCGGTCGCACCAAGCGATGACGCAAGCGGACGAAGGGACATTGCCATCAACGGCGGGGGTGATTGAGAAGATTGTGCTCAAAAATTTCATGTGCCATGACCACCTTGAGGTGGCCCTTGGGCCGCAGTTGAATTTCATTATTGGGAATAACGGGAGCGGTAAGTCGGCGATTTTGACGGGGCTCTCAGTGGGGCTCGGCTCGAAGGCGTCCAACACCAACAGAGGGAAGTCCTTGCAGAATTTAATCAAGCGTGGGCGCACAACCTCGCGTGTTACCATCACGCTTGCTAACGTGGGCCACGAGGCGTACATGCCGGAGCTTTACGGGAACAAGGTGACGGTAGAGCGGGTTTTGAAGAAGGAAGGCGTCGCTGGGTACTTTCTCAAGGCGGAAAACGGCAAAACTGTATCAACTAAAAAGGCTGACCTTGACAACATGCTCCACAAGTACGGCATAGCCATCGATAATCCCATGGCGTTTTTATCGCAGGATAACGCGCGTGGCTTTATCACCTCATCGTCGGACGCGCAAAAGTACAAGTTCTACGAGATTGGCTCACGTATTTTTCAGAACAAGATGGATTTGGTCGAGACTGGCAGCAACAACCGTGAGATGTTCTCCAAGGTGGCGACACTTGCCGCGGCGGTCGAAGATGCCGAAAAGAAGCGGTCGAAGGCCAGAAAGACGTACGAGCAGTTCAAGGAGGGTAAAAACTTGAAGAAAGAGCGGCTTCTCGTAGAGGCAAAGATGCGCTGGGCCGAGGTGGCCAAGTTCCGCGAAAAACGCGCGGAGATTCTCCAGAAGGACACAGATTTGGACGAAGACATCACCCACATTGACCAGCAGACGGCGCAGCTTGACCAGCAGCTTGCTGAGTTCGACACCAACAAGGAAGCCGCCGCCCAGGCCGCCCAGACCGCCGAAGAAGCGGAGGTACTGTTCCGCAGTCAGTGCGAGGGAGTCAGGGAGCAGACCGCCGAAGCGAAGACGGAGCTCATCAAGATCCAGGACACTATCAAAGATGCGGAGAGTAACACGAAAGCGCTCGCACAGGAGATCGCAAAGCAGGAGCGCTTGCTTAAAGTAGAACAGAAACGGATCGATGCCATCAACGGAGGCTCGCTAGAGGAAATGCAGCGGCGGTTAGATGCGGCCGAGTCCGAGCTTCGTGAGGTTACGGATGCGGGTCGCGCTGCGCAGGAGCAGTTGAATGAGATTGACGAAACGCAATCCGCGGCTGTGCGTGCGAAGGGCGATGCAAAGAAGAAGGCTGAGGAGGAAATCGGCCGTCTCAAGGAAACCAAGAGACATATGCTCTCGACACAGACGGATCCGCTCAACGCGTTTGGGCCAAAAATTCACCAGGTGATGCGCGCGATCCGCGACACGCGCTTTCGGAACAAGCCCATCGGGCCGCTTGGTCTCCACGTGAGCGTAAAGGACGAGTACAAGGACTTCTCAGACATCTTTAGTACGGTGCTCACTAAGACGCTCGAGTCCTTCTTAGTGACGAACTCGGATGACGAGAAGACGTTGAATGCGATCTTGCGCCGGCACAACATGCGGAGCGGGGTCATTGTGAGACGCGACGACCGGTTTGACTACCTGAGCGGGATGGCGCGCAGCCACAGGACCTTTGTGGATGCGCTCGATTTTGATAATGAGTATGTGAAGCTCACAATGATCGATCTCAATAACATCGAGAAGTTTGTCATCTCCAAAGACCGCGATCGTGCCAAGGAAATTCTCCAAGGCCCCGACCGTAACGTCATGTCTGTGTTTTCCTTGTTCAATCACCATTCGGGACAAAGATCTTCTATCAACGACACCGGCGCGTTTAGAATCGATCCGGTGCACTACCTGAGTGAGTTCAAGATGAACCGCAGCGCCGGGCTCTCACTATCGGCGGTGAAGAGGCTCGAACTGGAGATTACTGCGGCGGTAGAGGCCGCTAAGACCGCGAACGACGATTACGAGCGCCTCACGAACCAGATCCGCCACGAGAAGGAGATTCTCGCCAGTAAGGACCGCGACAGTCGCAAGCGGCAGAAGCCGTTGAAGGAGCGGATCTACGAGTTGAAGAACAAGTTGAGCGAAAACGCTGATATGGCCGCGATTGAGAGTTTGACAGAGAGTATCCAGGACTTGCAGAACCAAACCACCATCCAGCGCACAGACTTGGCCGACTTGCAGGGCGAACTTGCCAAAGCCCAGGCCAGCTACCAAGCCCTTGGCGAGTCCTTGAAGCAATCCCAAAGCCAGTTGTTGCGGCTCCGGGCGGAGTCCGACAGTAAGCGACTGGATTTGGCGGAGTTTGACCAGATGAAGGCGCTGATTCTCGGCCAGCGCGCGCACTACGAAAAGTCCAAGCAGAAGCGTGTCGACAAGAAAGCGCAGTACCAGGAGTTTGTCGTGCGATTGGCAGAAGAGATTGTGACACTCGAGGCGGTGGCGCGCGAGACGATGCCTGCGGAACAGTGTCCGTTGATGACCGGTGACACGGAGCAGACCTTGGGCGCACGGTTGAACCAGATTATCCAGGTAATCGAGAGCCTTGAGAACAGGCTTGGGGGTTCGTTTGAGGCCGCCCAGCAGCGTTTGACCGAGTGTGAGGCACGGTATGAGAACTTGAAGACGTCTTTTGACGATTTCCACTCGATCCACAAGCGCGTGGACGATGACGTGATGTTTAGAACGCTTGACTTGAAGGAAACTATTGAGAATTGGACAAACACCATCAACCAGTCGTTCAAGTTGTCGCTCCACCAGAGAGGGTTCGACGGGGAGCTTGTGTTTGACCACAAGAAGCAGTTGTTGCAAATGCACGTGTCGAAGGACGGGTCGTCAAACTTCAGAGCGGTCGATTCACTCTCCGGTGGGGAAAAGTCCTTCACCCAGATTGCTCTTTTGTTGGCCATCTGGCAGCCGATGAGGGCCAAGATCCGGGGGTTGGATGAATTTGACGTGTTTATGGACTCTGTCAATAGAAAAATGGCGATGAAGATGATGTTGCTGACGTTGCGGAAGCAGCAAAAGTCCCAGACTATCTTTATCACCCCACAAGACATTGCCGACGTGGAGGGGATTAACGGTCCTGATGTGCATATCCATCGGATTGCCGACCCAAAGAGGGTGAACAACTCGGAGAATCATTAAGCGAGATAATTGATAGTAGAATAATGGGAAATGATTTAAGGGAACCCTATGAACGAGGTAAATGGCTTGGTGGTAAGTTTAGGACTATTCGCCAATAAGCCAATGTTCAACCATGTATTGGGCTTTCATGTCTCTAATTAAAAATTCAATAAGGCTGATATATGTTGGGGCTAAAGGTTTTATTCTTTAAAGCTCGTAAGAAAAAAAAATACCCCTCTTTTCATCCTCTCATTTAAAATAAACCATATACACCGCGCTGAAACAGGACACCATTGGGAGTTTAGGCGTCGGTTGAGTCGTGCAAAAGCACGTTATAGCTCGATCTACAGCTTTCACAAAAATAAACTAACAACAACATAACTAATTACAATATAACTAACCGCAAATTCTTTGGAAAACTGTCGCATCATCATGTATAAATGCTAACATAAATCTATAAGCTTTTAGCTCGAATATAAACAGGGTGGAACCCGCACCAGGTCGTACACGGCTAATTCCCACGTGCTCCCATCTCCACAAAACGCGACGTATCAAAAACGTCACATTTTGCAATCGCCAGAGTCCCACCCCCACCAAGCCCAATGGATTCTGTGATCTCAAACCTAACCAGCATTCTACCGCAGCTGTCACCCAGTACGGCTGGAGTAGACACCACGCCGGAAGAAGCGATTGTGAAGGCGTCGGATCGCTTGATCCACTCCAACGACGTGGCCACGCGTCGCTCGGCCGTCCAGGAATTGAAGAACTACTCGCGCCAGTACCGCGACTTGATCGTCGACAACTCGCTCCGTGGGTTGGTTAATGACTTGCACAAGGACCGTGAGCATCCAGAAATCGTTCGGTATATCCTTGAGACGTTGCTCATCTTGTTCATCCGTGGGGAAGGCGTGGTAGATCTCACGCGCGACTGGATCGTTGGCCAAGGCGCGCAGAACTTGCGCCAGATGCGAGGTGGGAAGTATCCCTCGCCATTGCTCATTGGTTCGGGGATTGACCACATTTCGTACTGGATCGCCGATGAGTTAACCACCAGCACCACCTCCTTCGACCTCTTGGTCGACCTTTTGCTGACTTCAGTGTACCCTGCGACCGTTTATATCTTGCAGCTTCTCCAGGCACTCGCGGTCACACGTTTAGAGCGCACCCAGGAATGTATTCTGGCGAGCCCCGCGGCCGTCGACACGCTCGTGGCACAGCTCCGGAGCACGCTGAACGACCAAATCCGCAACGAAACGGTACTCTTGTTGCTCAAGATCACCCAGAACAATGAGACGTTCAGCAAGTCACTTGTTTTCCATGCGGACTTTGATGTCTTCTTTCTGATCATCGCGGAGGAGGGCGGAATCCGTGGCTCGGTCATCGTCAGTGATGTGCTCCAGCTCCTCAGCAACGTGCTCATCTACAATGCCATCAACCAGCAGTTATTTCTCTCCAACACTATGATTATTAACCGCTTAGCGAGTCTCCTTGTGGAGCCCTTGCTCGACTCCGCCTTTGTTTGGACCGACCAACGCCTCACTAACACCCAAAACTCGCTCCTCATCGTGCGGATGTTTGTGTTGGACGAGGCCACCAAGACCACGCACCAGAACCAACAGAAGCTCTCCGCTTCCGGTATCCTCCAGGCCGTGCTCCAGGTAGCGTTCCATCCTGCCACCCCGAACAAGATCCGCGCCTTTGCGCTTGCCACCATTGCAGAGCTCGTCCAGTACAACCCAGACTTACAACGCCAGTTGCAGACGTTTGACATTCCTTTCACTGATTTGGCAAACTCCGGCTTAAAGTCGGGCGAGGTGCTCAGTGTGCTCGACTGCTGCTTGCAGTGGATGTTGCACGCCAACTCCATCCACGTCTTCAGCATCCGCATGGCCTGTTTGCGGCTTTTGAAAGCGTTTGTGCGGGAGAACCCGAAGTTTTGTCAGGGTTACACCCAGTGGTGTTTGACGGCGTACGAAGGAAGTGGCGGACTCGAGGAGGGGAAAGAAGAGCCCGGTGAGGACACTGAAGAGCCCTCGTTCACGGCTAACACTCCCAACATCCTTCTCATCTTGACAGAATTCTCCACCACGGCACACCTCAACCCGTACCAGTACTGGTTCGCCGCGGTGCTTCTCCTGCACTTGTTCCAGGAGTCCCCTGAGTGCCGGGAGGTGGTCCAATCAACCGTCATTGGTGCGGACGACGAAGATTCCGAGGAATCCTCCTTTATCCAAACCATTTCTGGGCTTCTCGTTCCATTCCTCAAGCTCCAGGAGCCACGTGTGTCCTTGGGGTACTTGCAGTTGCTTTCACTCTGGTTGTACGAAAACTCCGGCGCCGTCAACGACTTCTTGGAGGAGGGCTCAACCGTCCACGCCCTAATTGCCTACTTGTCTGATTTAAGCAACGATAGCGACTCCCAGGTGAAAGGGATGATTACCATTTTGTTGGGGACCGTATACGAATTCTCCACCAGTACGTCCCCTATGACTCGTGCCAGTCTCCACAACCTCTTTACCAAGACCATTGGGATCGATAATTACGGCTTCAAGGTTAGGCAATTCAGACAGCTTCTCCAGGAATTTGATCCCGAGAGCACGTCCGCCATCTCGGACAAAACCGGTTTGCCCGACGTCTTCTACGACGAGATCTTTGTCTCGGCGTTCAACGCCAACTTTCCGCGGCTCGTCAAGGCTATGACCCGCGACCCTAGCCACGAACCGGTTGAAAAATTGACATTTGAGGTGGTGGACGAGTTGCTGCTGAAGAACCGACTGTTGGCCTCCGCCCTCCAAAAGTTGGCCGAGACGTCGAGTACCACAGTGACAGCATTGAGAGGTGAGTTAGACGAAGTGTCCGCTAACTTTGCAGACGTGACCGATATGCTCGAGCAAAGCAGAGAAGAAATGTCCAAGTTGGAAGACACGCACTCTGAGGTGGTGGATAAGTACGGGGCATTGGACTCCGAGGTAAAACAACTCTCCTCGCTCAAACAGAGTTTGGATGCCAAGGTGACAAAGTACGAGGCTGAACTACAGAGCCTTCGACAGATGGGCCACAAGGGCGACCGGGAGTTGAGCGAATACAAGCTGAAATTGGAGTCAGTCGAGGCGGAACGCGATAAGCATGCCGACGGTGTCAACAAGATGAGCAAGGAGTTGATGAAGTTACTGAAGGTGCGCGACGAGAAGGATAAGGAGCTCAAAAAGTTGAATTTTGACCTCAAGAAGTTGGTTAAGGAGATTGAGACCTGTCAGCTGAAGATGGAGTCCCAGAAGAAGACATACGAAAAGCAGGTCCAAGAGTTGGACGGCTCTGTCGAATCGTTGAAGCTGAGAATTGCCGAAACTACGGCGGCCCACCAGCAACTCCAGACCGTAGTTGCAGAAATGGAGACTGAGAAGAATAACACGGAGGCCGTTAACCGGCAGGTGATTGAGAAGTTGCGGACCGCCGCTCAGAGACTCGACACGATGGAAGCGGAAAAGGTGGCTCTCGGCTCTAAATTGGAAGAACTTGCCAAGACACACACAGTGGAAATCAGCCATCTCAAAGACCAGGTCTCCAAGCTATCCGCCACCAATTCGACCCTCAAGCATGAGTTGGCAGGCGCCGAGACCCAGTGCTCCGAGCTTGCGTCGTCCAAGGCTGAGGTCGATAAGGACCACGCACGCCTTTCCGCGGAATTGGTGGAAGCCAGGACGTCAGGTGACACTCAGGCAACCAAATTGAAAGAATTTCTCGACTCTGCCGTTGCGGCAAACAAGCTTTTGGAGGAGGAAAAGACTGGCCTTGAAGGCCAGATTGCGTCTTTGTCAACTGAAGTTGCTAAGCTTACTGAAGACATGGAGGTGTCGTCCAAGGCAGTCAAATACGAGCTTGAAGAGCTTAAGAAAGAAAACGAGCGCTTGAAGGCTGAACTTGATGCTTCTTCAGAGCTCGTGGCTGCGAAGGGGGAAGAGTTGAACCAGAACGAGCAGAGACTTTCTCAATTGCAAGAGTCATATGCGTCGTTGGAGGAGACCCACACAACTGCCATTTCCACCATGCAACTGGAATCCGAGGCCCTGATCAAGTCTTTGAATCTGAAGATGCTAGAGTTGGAGGCTGCCAGTTCGGCGATGGCGGACCAGCTCACCGAATTCCAAACCTTGAATGCAACCCTTGGTACCTCAATTGACGATCTCACCAGCAAGCATGACAGTTTGGCTACCAAGCACGCGGCGCTTGAATCGGACCATTCCGAGTTGCAGCAACTCCGGGACCAGCAAACGAGCAAGTTTGAGGGCATTGTGAAGGCTCACAAGGAAGAGATATCCCTGTTGCACGATTCCCATGCTGAAAAGGTCAAGGGTATGCAGTCGTCTATTGATGACACCAAGAAAGCATCTGACAAGGCGGTACTGGCGAAGGCTGCGGAGCTTGCTTCCTCCCAGGAGCAGGTTTCCGCGCTTGAGACTGTCCTCGAGAAAACCAAGACTGGATTAGATACCGCTGAGGCCGACAGATCGGCGCTCGCCAAGTCCCTTGAAGATCTCAAGGCATCAACTCAGCTTTCAGAAGAGCAGCTCAACGCAAACATTGGGGAGCTTGTCTCCAAACAAGCCGCTCTCCAACAGACCAAGGACGAACTAGAGGCAAAGTTGCTTGTAGCTGGCAAAACCCTAGATGATGTTACTGAGAAGCACTCTTCTTGCGTCGCCAAGATTGCCCTATTGGAAGCTGAAATATCCGAAGGTGTAAAGTCAAAGGAGGTACTTGTTGCTTCCAAGGCTGGCGCTGACGAGAGTGTCGCTGTTCTTACGTCGCAGGTGGAGGGGTTGAAGTCCGCAAACACAGAGCTTTCTACAGAGAAGAATGCTCTCCTTGCCGATTTGAAGGGATCCGAAAAGAGCTTGGCCTCTTTGAAGTCAAAACACGAGAGCACTTCGGGTTTGCTCAATGAGCGGGTGAAAAAGTTGGAGCTAGAGATCGAGCTGCTCCACGAGCAGTTGGAGAAGAAGTCGAAGGCAATCGAGAAGGAGAGAATGATGCTTACAGAAAACTCAACTTCTGTCATCCAAGAGTACAGCTTAAAGATCAGCGAGTTGGAAGAGTCGCTCAAGTCTGTCAAAAAATCCTCTGGTGCCAAGGTGGAAAGCTTGGAGAGCGAAGTTGAATCAGTTAAACTAGAGTTGTCCGAGGCTAAGGACGAATTGGTGGCGAAGGACGAAACGATTCTCGTGCTTGAGACGGACAAGAGTAGCCTCGGAGAAGAGGTTAAAGCTCTTACCTCCAAGATTAAAGCTCTGACAAAGGCAGCTCAATCGTTCGAGAAGGACATGGTCCAGAAAGGCCAGGTCATTGAGGCGTTGAAAAAGACCCTGGAAACAGAGTCGGGGGTGCTCAAGGAGAAAATCAAGGTTCTTGAAGCCGAAATTGAAAAGCAAAAGACGTCGTCAGACGGGTTGGAAGTTGAGATCAAGACGCTCAGTAGCAAGGTCTCGGAAGGAGATAGAACCATCGGGGATTTGAAGAAGCAGGTGTCAGATGTGGAATCTGTGATTAAGGAAAAATCTGCGAGTATCGTGACCTTGGAAAAAGAGGTGTTGGCCTTGGAAGGTGATAAGGCGGGGTTGCTCGAGTCTCACGCGAAGGAGGTGGCTGAGGCCGCAGGGAAGTCCGACACGATTTCCGAAGAACTAAAGGCTGAAATTGAGCTGTTGAATAAGGAGGTGCACATCTTAAAGCTGGATGCTGAGGCTATGGAGTTGAAACGCACCGACCACGAGACCCAGATGAAGTTGTTACAGACTGAAAAGACCTCTCAGGAAGAAACTGTTGCATCAATGCTTGAGGAGATCAAGTCTCTAAAGGCACAGGTCGATACCGAAAAGAAGACATCGCATGAGCTCCAGACGGAACTCTCAGAACTAAGGAAGAGTGGGTCTGATGAAAACGCCACGTTTGCCGAAGAGATTAAAAAGGTTAAAGAGTTGAACAACGGATTGTCAGAGAAGGTAAAGGCGTTGGAGCCTTTGGAAGTCCAGCTCAAGGATGAGGTGGCCAAATCCGCTGGTTTGGCTCTGGAGGTGACGGCACTTGCCAAAAGCGTCGATGAGTTAACCGCTGTCAAGGAGGCCACGGAAGCTGCAGCGGCCAAGGTTCTGAGCACCCATAGCGAAGAGCTGAAGGCCAGTACTGCATCGATCGAGAAGCTAACCAAAGAGAATACCGATCTTGGTGCGCTTGTAGCGACCAAGGAAACTGCGATTGAGGCGTTACAGCGAAGGTTAGACCAGCTTGAATCCGACTTGGCTAAACTGAAGGAAGATACCGATGACCTCATGTTGTTAATGTCGGACATGGATGAAAAGTACAAGGCCAAGATTAAGCTGCTCGGCGGCGAGGTTTCTGAGAGCGAAGACGAAGACGAGGATTAGTTGTATAGCATTTAGACGATTATATATTTAACTTTTTAACATTACAGCTTAAGAGGAGTGATTTTGGAATTCGCTTTAGATGTTCAGGCTGTTTCAGGACTAGCTATAAAGTTTAAATGGTTGGCTTTAGTACTTCTGCAAGTCAGTGGAGAATAAATCCTAAGTATATTTATTACCTAAAGATGAGAACTACCTGATCTACTTGTGGATATGTTAGCGCTACGTTCAATGGTATGTTTGAGTCCATGTCACGTGCAGTTTTGTAAGGTGGCGGAAACGCGCACTATTTAAACGCGTTTACGCGTTATTTACTCGAATCTCTCTCACCTATCATTTCTGGTTTGTATTTTCGGACGCTGTTTGTATCGTTTTGGACTTCTCTCGGGTTACTAGAATTTACTGATCTGACATTACAGTTCGTTAATTTCCTGAGCTATGACAGATCAAGCTGTGGTATGGCACGGTGACGACGTAGCGTCAGATGACGAAATCGCCTCTTCTTCCTTTAAATTATTCCCCGAGTCCACCAGCATGGACTTTGGAGACGTTTCTTTGTGGCCAAACCGTCCAGCCAGTAAGTGGGCAGGTAGCAAACTAGGGGCTTTGCAGTTCAAGCTCGAGAAACTAATGCAGAGGGCTCGGTGCAACAAGTACTCCCGCGATAACGATCCCAAAGACTTTCCGAAGCGGATCAAGGGGTTCCAGGTAATTCGCCTAGCAAACAGTGTGTTCGGTGTGCACGGCTGGTCGTCAAAAATCACGTCCCTGAAAACCCTCGTGTGCGATATGGACGGAAGCGTTGTCAACTTGGTGGTTGAAGTGACGTTGGCGGTGACGCTCAAGGACGGAACCTTCAACGAAGGCATAGGCACCGGATCCATGACAAACTACCCCGCTGAAAAGATTGATACTAAGGGAGCGGTTTTCCAGATGTGTCGCAAGGAAGCCGTGACCAACGCGCTAAAGACGTGTATCTTGTCGTTTGGCGAAGACCTTATGGAAAGAGACAGTGCCCGCGACTTGAAGTTTTTTGACAATCAAATTAGATAGGCGAGAAAGTGGAGGAAAGGTTACCAGGAATTCTGTCAATTTACCTGAGTTTCCCCGATTGATGCTATAAATTATTGAAGCATGGTCCTCAAGCCTTGAGACAGCGGGGTGTTATGAGATTCAGCTTCCCGCATACTCACTCTGAATCCACGTTCCACTCCCGTTGGAACCAAAGGAGGCACAGTGAGGGAGCACCTTGTATATGTGTTGATGCCTGACTTCGCATGGCATGTCCGTCGGTGTTTCCGAGATTTGTCACTATGAATTAGAGAACATCAAACCTGTGTGAGATCGTCAAACCTGTGAGGCATGAAAGGAGAAATAACTTTATTTTACCGATAAATCGTTAGCTATTCGGGACTAATCCCATAATTTATTGCTGTTTGTAACAATCTCAAGTAGTTTGAAATATCGGATCGTTACAAACGTTCAACGTGTACACTTGTTGTCTAGACCATTATAAAAATCTTGAATCGTTGTAAACCGGTAACTCACAAGTTCTAACCCAGACAGGTATTGAGAAGGGTCTGCAGCACCTCTGCCTACTTACGCGATCGTGTGATTATCCTCCAGTACAAGTCAGACATTTTGCCATTGATCATTCCAAGATTCAGCTAATTGCAGCCCCTTATAATTAATTCATTTTACCATTATTTTCCAATTGATTTTGCGGGTTTATAAGTCTGTTGTCGCGTAACACTTTATCTAATCCCCACTCACATTCCTCTGCCCCATCTCCGGAAGTTTTTCCTTGGCACTCTGGACAGGAGAATACGAGGCCCAGATTTTCATGTCAAATGGACCCGAAACGCCATCTGGACGCCATCTCTTGCACCATAAGCGTCTCTCCAAGCTGATTAATCTCCTTCCTCTAATTCATTTCTATTCAATTTCATGACTACACAGCATCCGACCCCCGAGACGCCCAGCGAGACACAGCAGCTCGAAATGATGCAGCGGTTCTACCGCAAGACGATGGATTACGTACACAAAAACACACTCGTGTTCCGGTTGTGGCACACGGTATTACACCTCCACTGTCACAATACGCGCACACCGTCGCGAAACAGCCCGGTCGTGGCACTCCTCGTGCTGGAGTTCAGCATCCGAAAGCGCTTCATGGTGAAGTACTACGCACGCTTCAACCGCTTGCGGCGCGCCACGCACGCGCGCCACGCGCTCCAGACAGTGCTTGCATTTGTCGCACCGGTTATCCTGGGTCGTACAGGTCGTATTGTCACGATGGACCTCGAGGAACCCCACTGGAAGGCGTATCTCCATTGCTTGTTAGGCCGCCACTGCGTTGAGATGGAGCTGGTTTACGCTGAGGTACTCCAGAGCAAAGACGACCGGTTTATAGCGGACGTTCAGTGGTCGCATGAACTCATGGGGCGTGCTGTCAAAAATGCCGGCGAGATGGACGGCTTGGACACGCTTTTAGCCGAAGGAACGACCCTATACAATGAAATGATGGCCGCCAGTCCCCCAAGTCACTTCTCGCTAGAAACATACATGACGAACCTTTCCTTCGCGGCCGAACGCTTTCCCGAGCACCAAGTACCTTTCCACATGTACTTGGTTCGGGAATGGGCGCCGGAATGGGTCGACCTCCTGCTCGACGATATGGCGTTGGTTATGCATATTCTTGCCTCCAAGGCCGACATTTCCGGTAGGGATAAGAGCGAGCCCCAGCATATGGCGCCGTCCAACACCCCCAGCCCCAAGACCACCGTCCTTACGAACGCTAAATTGAAGAAACAAGCAAAAAAGCAGGCAAAGGCCGCGAAGCAGCAGACAAAGTTGAACAAGACCGACATTCGCAGCGCCGCACGCTTCATCATGTGTCTCAAGGACTACGCCGAGCACGCAATCTCCCTAGCCCGTTTGGCCCTCTACTTGCTTAACTACGCGATCCAGGTCGTCAAGGAGCGCACCATCGAGAGCCAGCCCGTGCTCTGGTGTAGAACTGTGAATGAGCTCGACACGGGGCTCCGCATGGTGGATACTCTTACTGCCAATGTGGATGATTTGCTGTCTTACACAAACACAGAGTTGCCAGACTTTTTCATGAACGGCGAGCGCATGCATCTCAGTTGGATTGTGCTCTTGCAAGGCCTCTACAAGGCGTGTCTGGTGTTGAAGACTTTAGCGTACACGATTCGGGAAATGGGCGTGATTGACTGCGAGCCAACAGAGCATTTCAGGAACTGTTTGTCGATCATGTTGATCACCGCCGCTAACATCCCGTATGATGAGACATTTACGTTTAAGGATTGTGCGTGTGACGATCGTGTGTTTGTGATGGTGTCTGCCAGTCTCAAGTTTTTTGCACGGGAATACGAGTTGTTGCATAGCTTGTAAAGATTTGCAAACATGACACAATATGGGGCGTAAAACGCATAGTCAGCAGAGATAGTGGAGCCAGAAACAATATTCTCACTTCTCCGAGCCTAGTAAGGCTCTCACTCTAAATTTCAGCCTGATAAGACTTGGTTGGGATCATAGGTATGTATATATCTGTGCCTCCCAGGCATATACAAGGGTACTATCTCGGTTTTGCAAGTGTGAATCCCAGAGCCTCTAATCCGTTTCCAGAGCATATTTCCGATACCACAAATTTTTACAGCCCTTGCAAGCGTATGGCTTTGCACTGTAACGACTCGTTAAAACTTGTCCATGTGGATATACCTATAACTGCCTTAACGTAATCACATACCTTTTCATCAGATTAGGCTCGGGTTTTTTTATTCTTATAATTTTACCTGGAAAATTCATCCGCCTGTCTTTTGAGATACCTAGCTCTGCTCAGTGGACAATGCCAAGAAACTCTAGAATCTTTCTTCAGCTCCAAAATATTGTTCCCAGGATTATTTATGGAAGAAGCTATCCCGTGTGACATACTGCCATATTCTACCACTGCTCACTCACACCCGTCATGCCAGATGTTACCCAGACGCTACGCCCATACTAAAATTTCGTGCCTTCTCCTATCTATACGCACAACCATAGTGAAGGCTTGGAACGAGAAAACTCCATTGTTATGCACACGACCATAATACAGTCCTTGTTTTCGCTCGCGACAAATTTTTCCCGCGTATATTACAAACCATATCAGTGCCCCAATCTACACCCTATACCACCAAATACCCTACCCCACAAAACATGCCTAACTTTGACGACGTGACCCAACCGCCGCATTTCCGCCCGCAATATGAGTACCCGCTCATCGAGCGGTGCACGGTGTTGCTTAAAGATGGCGAGACAACCGCCACCATCTACCCTATCCACTCGCCCGAGGACCTCCCGCCCGGACTCCTCGCGTTTCTCTGCGATGAATTCAACATGGAGATCGAACGCGGCGACACGTCCCCGTTCTTTGACACGTTGCACATCGAAACTTTCCAAAACTACTGGTTCGGCTCGTTCGCGGCGGTCATGGTGCTAGGCGACGCTCCCAACCTCGCGCTCGAGAGTAACCGTCAGTGGGAGAAGGAGTGTCTCGGGACATTCCACGTCAAACCAAACTATCCCGGTCGGTGTTCACACATCTGCACTGCCGGCTTCCTCGTGAACGCGGGCATCCGTGGCAAGGGTATCGGGACCACGCTAGCGGAGTGCTATCTCGCGTGGGCGCCCAAGTTGGGCTACACGTACTCCGTGTTCAACCTCGTGTTTGAGACAAATGCAGCCGCGCGTGCGATCTGGGAGGCGCTCAACTTCAAACGTATCGGGCGCATCAAGGCCGCGGGCATCCTCAAGGGCAGCGACACGCCCGTAGATGCGATCATGTACGGGCGTGACATCGCGCCCACTACAGACGCGAACGTGGGCCTGTTCCGCTTCGACAAGATCAAGTACTACTTAGAGACCGGGCGCTATCCGTCGCTCTCGGACCGCCAGGAGAAATCTCGTCTCCGCTCGTCTGCGTCGCACTACCACATTGAGGACGGCAAGTTAATGCTCAAGGACCGCGAGGTGGTCAGCGACCCCGACCGCCAGTTAACCATCTGCAGCGAAACCCACATGGTCAACCACGGAGGAATCAACAAGACCACCTCCGCTATCGCTGAGCGCTTCCACTGGACGCGCATCAAGGACACCGTCGCGCAGGCAATCCGTCAATGTCCTGAATGTCGCGATCCAACCAAGTCCTCACTCCCAAAACCACGCCCAATGATGAAGCCAAAGCTTGAGCCACACGGTGATGTTGCGCGCACCGTTGCAGCCGTCGCAAACCAGTTGCTCCTGCACGGCGCGGCGCTCAAGCCGGCCAGCGAGGCCCACGATGTGGACGCCATGATCCACCAGATGCCTGCGCGCCACGAGGGCTTGTTGCCGACCGATCTTGCTGGCTTGGACCCGGACGATCCATCTGGCATCATCGCCGCAGTGGAGGCGGCGTCGCGCTCGCAGCACCAGGCGCCACCGTATGGTCAGCAGTACGGGCTGTACCAGCAGGACTACTCACCACAGTACAACCAGTACGCGGAGGAGCACGAGGGCTATCCGGAGAGGGAGGGTGAGATTCCGGTAGACCCACAGGTCAGTGCATTTGACGCGCAAGAACCGAACGGTGCGGAGATTGAGATTGCGCGAGCGTTGATTCAGGCGAACGAGGATGCAAATGAGATGTTTTAACCGGTTTGGAAATGACAGAAGGGGTGCCAGGGTGAAGTGAAGTCTTACGGAATGGTCTATAGGTTTGGTGGGAGCCTGCTATGAATGATTTATAGTTATGGAAGGATCTACAGACGGAATATCCTATTGTCGGTCGATTTTGACGTTTTTATCAGTTTGGACGATATTTTCTGAGTAATTTGTGTTATTCAAGGGAAAATTTTCGGAAATTTCCCTCTGAAGCAATACTCCACGTCTACCGAGATAGAATTCAGTCCTAAGTGACTTCCCGATAAATACTCTCGCCTGGGGTTTCAAAGGAATTGCTCGACACAGTTCTGCTGTGGCCATTTGTGCAGATTCGGCTCTTTCCATGGAATCACGAAGAAACTAGGTCCGAAACTCCGTTAATCTGGAGTAGACAATATAATACATGATTATTGAAATACTGATGGATAATGAAATTTATTAGATATAAACATATACACTCTATACACACGGCAAAACCAAACACACGCAACGCACGCAACGTGGATGCCACCATATAATATTAAACGTCTACTGGAACTAGTATCTAACAGGATTATGTCTATACAAAAGAGACAACAAAAAAGGGTCAAGAGAAAAAGCAACAACCAAAAAAACATGCAAGCAGCAAAGCGGCGACATTTTCCCCAAAACATCGAAACTCAAGCAAGCGAGCTGACAGACTGTAACCTAAAGAGTCACTAAGCAAAATTGCGGCAAGCCAGCCTCTTATTTCTGGAAATCAACCCCAATAACCATCGCCAAAAGCGCCATTCTCACATACAAACCATATCTCATCTGTCTGAAGTATGCGGCTCTCTGGTCAAAGTCCACCTCCTCGCGGATCTCAGAAACGCGCGGCAATGGGTGCATCACACACATGTGCTGTTTGGCATCAGCAAGCACCTTGTTGTCAACCACGTATGAATCCTTGAGTCTCTCGTAGTCCTCGACACTGGCAAATCTCTCCTGTTGGACTCTGGTGCAGTACAAGACGTCCGACTTGGCAAGAATGTCCTTGGTCAACTCCTCAGACTCACACACCAACATCCCCGCGGCCTCGAGCTCGTCTTTAATCTCCTTTGGCAAGGAAAGCTCCTTAGGAGAAACAAGTTGGATGCGCACAGAGTACTGGCGGAGCAAGTGACACAACGAGTGCACCGGACGGCCGTACTTGAGATCACCCATGAAGGTCACAGTGATCCCGTTCACAGTCCCGAGCTCCTCTCTGATGGTGAAGAGGTCGAGAAGGGCCTGGGTAGGGTGCTCTCTGGAGCCGTTGCCGCCGTTGACAATTGGCACTGGTGAGTACTTCGCGGCAATGTCCGCGGACTCCTCGTCTGGGTGACGGATAATCACCGCATCCGAGTAGCATGCGAGGGTTCTCACGGTGTCTTGCAAGGACTCACCCTTCTTGACGGAAGAAGAAGAAACCGGCACGGCGACAACACGGCCGCCCAATCTTTGCATGGCAGCGTCAAAAGAGGTTGAGGTTCTGGTAGATGGCTCGTAGAACAAAGTGGAGATCAATCTCCCCTTGAGAACATCCAAGACACCTTCACGTTCAACAGCGAGACGCATTTCCTGGGCGACGGAGAAGAGCGCGTGGAGATCCGAGCGCTTGATGTCTTTGACAGAAAGGATGGACTTTCTAAGGAACGGATTGTTGTTTCTGATGAGAGTCGAGATGGCGGACGGAGCGTTGTCCACCGGTGGGAGGGAGGAAACCAACTGGGTGCCCAAGGTGTCTTCTTCAATGACAGAGGATGGTCTGGCCTCAGAGAAAGACACGCGCGAAACACGTCTGGCGGCAGCGGCCTCTTCGGCAACTGGCATGGACATCGCCACTGGAGCGGCCGCGGAAGCAATCTTCTGCGCTCTCAACTTGGAGGAGAAGTTGCGGCCAAAGGCATAAGCAGCAGAGACCTGGCCGTCCAAGCAGACAGTCTTGGAGTCGAAAATGACACGTTCAACGGTACCGGTCAAGACACCACCAAGCGGCGAAACAGTCTTGGAAACACGCTCCAAATCAATCTCAACGGTAGCCTTCTGGACTGGGAGGTCAAAGATTTTGACCGGATTGGTGTGCAAGCGGAGAACAATGTCATCGAGGGTCAAACGACCGTCAGCGACGGCAGAGAGCAACAATGGAAGGGTCTCAGCAATCCCCAAACCAGCCGTGACTGGCTTCTGAAGGGCCTTGGCAAGTAAGGAAGGCACAGCCCCGACAGAGAAACAGTCGATCTGGGCGAGGTTTTCCCACAAGGCAAGCTGCTCGTCCTTCGATGGGAGGAAGGAGCACGGGAAGTCATCCTGAGAGAGGAAGAGCGAGTAGACAGCAACATCACAGGTCACTGGCATGTCCTTTTCCTTGGCCATGGCGATAAGCGCGAGGTCGTCACGCGAAGAGACGCCGGTCACGTGGATCGCGCGCGCGTGGAGTGACGCAAGAAGGAGAACAGATGCAAGGTCGGTAGACTTGGCATCAGTGGTGACAACCTTCGACTGTGGCCAGGTTGCAAAGTGGGAGGAAACGGCGGCCACGGTGGTGGAACGGTCGGTGAATGGGAGGTACAACGCGCCGATATCCTCGGACACCGCGGCGACGGCAGCCGCGTTGGCCGCGGTGGCAGTCGCGGCAAACGCGTAGTCAGTGAAAGCGCCATCAGCTGCGAGACTGGAAGCCGCAGAGAGAGCACTGGAGTCGGTAAGCCCTGTAGCGGTCTGCAAAACGTTGCTGAAGGTGAACCCCGCGGCGAGCGACACACGTGCAACGGCAGCAAAGTCACGCGCGCCCGCGGCACCGGCCAACGACGGAACGTACGCCGCAATGTTGACCAAACCTGGAATCGTGGCGGTATCATGCGACAACTGAGCATCGAGGGAAGTCACCTCAAGCGGAATCTTGCGGTAGAGCGCCTCGATCAAAACCTTGGCGCACTTCACGTTGGTGACCAACGGAACGGCGTAGTCAACAGCCATACGACGGGTCTGGTAGCCCTTGGACACGTACGACGCTGGACGGCGGAATCGGTTGGCGGATGGCAAGTTGATGTAGAGGTCGATAAGGTTGTTGGCGAGGTGCTGAGAGAGGGAGTACTCAGACTTCTGGCCGTCTTCGCCGTCCATCACCTCGAGGTACTGAACCGGAACGTTGAACCCGGAGATGAAGTCGGCGGTACCGGCGGTAGCAAACAACTTGTAGCCCATCTCGTGGAGACGCTGGATCGATGGAACAAGCTCCAACTTCTCCTTGTATGAACCGATGGAGAGGAGAATGTTCTTCTTTGGAAGCTGGAAACCAGTGGCAATCAAAGACTTGAGGTACGCCTCGTACTTGTTGCGACCAAAAGTTGCGACTTCACCCGTGGAGGCCATTTCGACACCAAGCACCGGATCGGCACCCGCCAAACGGGAAAAGGAGAACTGCGGAACCTTGACGGCGCAGTAGTGCTCTGGCAACTTGGCACCAGGGTACGGGGTGAACGGAAGGTCCATGATGGCACGGGTGGCCATTTCAATCATATCCGTGCCAACAACCTTGGAGATGAATGGGAACGAACGCGAGGCACGGACGTTACATTCAATCACCTTGATGTCGTTGTTCTTGGCGATAAACTGGATGTTGTACGGTCCGGTAATGTTCAAGGCCTTACCAATCTTGGCGGTGGCCACGACAATGCGGCGAACGGTCTCTGGGTCGAGGTCCTGTGGCGGAACAATCAACGTGGCGTCACCGGAGTGGACCCCAGCGTTCTCAACGTGTTCGGACACAACGTGCATAATCATCTTACCGTCCTTGGCAACGGCATCCATCTCAATCTCCTTGGCCTCCTCGATGTACTTGGTGATGACAACCGGGTAGTCAGGAGAGACATCGACGGCCTGGGAGAGGTACGAACGGAGATCGTCGCGGGAGTAGACGGTGTTCATGGCGGCACCGGAAAGCACGTACGATGGACGAACCAAAACTGGGTACGAAACCATTTCGGCAAACGTCTCGGCTTCCTCAAAGGAGGTGAGTTCCTTCCAGGCCGGCTGATCAACGCCGATTTGGTCCAACATCCGCGAGAACTTGTAACGGTTTTCGGCCGAGTCGATCATCTCTGGGGAAGTCCCCATGATTTTGACGTTCTGGCGGTGAAGGTTCAACGCGATGTTGTTCGAGGTCTGGCCACCCATGGAGATCACAACACCGGCGGACTGCTCAAGCTCGTAGATATCGAGGACTCTCTCCAAGTTGATGGTTTCAAAGTACAAACGGTCGGCCTCGTCGTAATCGGTGGAGACGGTTTCCGGGTTGTAGTTAATCATAATCGTCTTGACGTTGTTCTCGCGGAGCGTACGGACCGCGCGAACGGCACACCAATCGAACTCAACGGAGGAACCGATACGGTAGACACCAGAGCCAAGCACCACAATCCCGTGGTCGTCGAACTTCACATCGTTGGAGTCGGCGTTGTAGGTGATGTAGAGGTAGTTGGTGAAGGCCGGGAACTCGGCGGCAACGGTATCAATCTGCTTGACAAATGGAATGATACCGGCATCCTTACGCAAGCGTCTGATGGCAACCTCGTTCGAGTTGAGGAACTTGGCAATCTGGCGATCCTCGAATCCGAGCTGTTTCGCGTTACGCAATACCTGGGCTGGCAAGTTTTCCTTGGAAACGTAGGACGCAATCTTCTCCCCGAAGCGGATCAATCCCTCAAGCTTGTTCAAGAACCACTTGTCAATGTTGGTCATCTTCCAGATCTTGTCGACCGAGTAGCCGTCGCTCATAGCGTTGGCAATCGCGAACAAACGCTGGTCTGACGGAGTCTGCAACTCAGAGTCGATATCGATCGACATGAGAGCATCGGTCTGGTTGAAACCGAGGTTCTGGTAGTCGGTCGAGCGGATCGCCTTCTGAATCGCCTCCTCAAACGTGCGCCCAATCGACATGACCTCACCAACCGATTTCATCGAAGAGGAAAGGAGAGACGACACTCTGGTGAACTTCTTGAGATCCCAGCGTGGAATCTTGACCACCACGTAATCCAAGGATGGCTCGAAACAGGCACAGGTGACCTTAGTGACCGAGTTCTTGATCTCATTGAGCGGAATGTTCAACCCAAGCTTGGCAGCGGTATAGGCAAGCGGGTAGCCGGTCGCCTTGGAAGCCAAAGCAGAGGAACGGGAAAGTCTGGCGTTGACCTCAATGATACAGTACTCCTGAGAGAATGGATTGAGGGCGTACTGGATGTTACATTCACCAACGACCCCCAAGTGACGGATGACATTTACGGCGGTGGTACGCAACATGTTGTAATCAGCATCATCAAGGGTCTGGGATGGAGCAACGACAATGGAGTCACCAGTGTGGATCCCAAGAGGATCGAAGTTCTCCATGTTACAGACGGTGATACAGTTGTCGAACGCGTCACGAACAACCTCGTATTCAACCTCCTTCCAACCCTTCATCGACTTCTCCACCAAGACCTGGGACGAGATCGCAAACGCCTTCTGGCAGAGCTCTACGAGCTCACCTTCGTTATCCGCGAACCCGGAACCAAGCCCACCGAGCGCAAACGCCGCACGGATAATCACCGGGTAGCCAATATCCTCACCAGCGGCGATAGCCTCGTCCATGGTCGTACAAGCGTGCGACTTGGCACACTTCTCGCCAATCTCCTCCATCGCCATCGCGAACAAGTCTCTGTCCTCGGTGGTGATGACGGTCTCGATCTGGGTACCGAGCACCTTGACACCGAGCGCCTCAAACTCGTCCTTGAGCTCAATACCGACGGAGAGCGCGGTCTGACCACCGAAAGTCACGTAGATACCGTCCGGCTTCTCGTGCTGGATAACCTTGCGGACAAACTCGGCATTGACTGGGAGGAAATACACCTTGTCGGCGAGCCCCTTGGAGGTCTGGATGGTGGCGATGTTCGGGTTGATCAAGATGGTGTAGATACCCTCTTCCTTGAGCGCCTTGATGGCCTGGGAACCGGAATAATCGAACTCACCGGCCTGGCCAATGGACAAACCACCAGACCCGAGAACAAGAACTTTCTTAGGAACGATACGTGGGTGCGCGGCGCGGTTCTCCGCGAGCTGGCCGCCTGGGAACTCGACCGCCTTGTGCGCGTGCGTCGCATCGAACTCGGTGACCGCCTGGATAAACGTGTCAAAGAGGAATTCGGTGTCGCGCGGACCTGGGGTAGACTCAGGGTGGAACTGCACAGAGAAGAAAGGCTTTTGGGTGTTGTAAATACCCTCGTTGGAGCCGTCGTTAGCGTTGACGAACAACGGCTTCCAGTCGTCAGCGAGGGTTGCGACATCGACTGCGTACCCATGGTTCTGCGAGGTGATGTAGCAGCGCCCAGAGATGAGCGAAGTACACGGAATGTTGTGCCCACGGTTACCGAACTTGAGCTTGACGGTGGCCGCGCCGGTCGCGCGCGCGAGCAACTGGTGCCCGAGACAGATCCCGAAAATTGGGGTCTTGGCTGCCACAACAGCCGCCTTAAGGATCTCCACGGTGGTGTCCATCACGGCTGGATCACCTGGACCGTTGGACAAGAACAAACCATCGTACTCCTCGCTGGAATAGTCGTAGTTCCATGGAACAACAAGCAATTCAACGCCACGACGGACAAAGCAGCGGATCTGGTTGAACTTAATACCGACATCAACGGCAATAATTCTAACCGTCTTGCCGGCCTTGGTCTTAAGGGCGGTCGCTGGGTAAGGCTTGTACAAGACTGGCTCCTTTACGGAGACCTTAGCGACAAGGTTGGCCACGTTCGGGTCGACCCACTCAGGGACGTCAAAGAACGGCTGCCAGTCGCGCGCACCAAGCGCGCGCATGTCGGTGGTTTCGCGCGTTTGAAGCGCAATCCGCCCGAGAGTGGAACCCTCCTCGCGCAAACGCTTGGTGAGCGCGCGCGTGTCGATCCCGTACATAGCTGGGATACCCTGCTCCTTCAACCAATCACCAAGCGACGAGGTGGCAAGGTAGTGCGAGTACTCTTCGGTGTAGTGGGCGACCACAAGACCCGCGATGTGGACCTTGCTGGACTCGAAGTAGCGCGGCAACTGGGTGACGAGCTCGTCTAACGCGGCACGGTCTGGCACACCGTAGTTACCCACGAGTGGGTAGGTGATGACGAGGATCTGGCCCTCGTAGGAAGGATCGGTGAGCGACTCTGGGTAACCAACCATACCGGTCTGGAAAACCAACTCACCGGCAGCGGTGACTGGCGCACCGAAGGAGTAACCCTGCAACGCGGAGCCGTCCTTGAGTTCCAACGTCATAAGGCGGTCGCCAGTGGACTCCATTGGTGGAGTGATTGGGGCGGAAAAGGACATAGCAGTGAGAGGGGAAATGCAAATAGGGTGAGCTAGCGGGGACTAGGATGTTAATATCAATCTAAGGGTAAAAAGGTGTGATGAGATGCCTAACGAGAAGTGAACGTGCGAATTATTCAATGCGACTGTTACCGATGGTTGCAAGAACCATTGGGTACGAAGCGTAACCAACTGTCAATACGAACATAACTCAGGTCGCAGTTATCAGTACGCATAACCACTCGATCCCGCTTCAGTACATTCATATTCGACTACAGAGCTACAGATTAGAGATTAGGTGCCGATAGTGCTTTTTACTATCGCCTCCTCCTCTCCTCTCTTCAGAGCTCTGCCAGGACTGACATACCTTAACTCGGGTCTTGAAAAGTGGGGAATTTTTCAAGGGGTGTTTTTTGGGTGTTGAGCTTTTATCTGAAGAGAAGAGAGAGGAGGAAAAAGAGAGAGAGAGAGAAGCATGGGTAGTGAAGTACGAGTGGGAAGCCCTTTTCCCTTATATAGTCTGCCAGCAAAAGTCATTGAAAATTTTTTGCTCCGTGCAGGAAGGAGGGTAACTCGGTACTAAGCATGATACATGCAATGAGCAACAGACTAAAGGTGCAAGGTCTGGCTCCGATTACAATCCGGCGCTGGGTTGTAGTATCTGAGATTTTGCTGGGATGGCCAAAGGTTTGATGCTTCTTGGTCTTAGTATGGACACGATGTTACAATAGTACTGGCACAAGTAGCTATAGTGCGGTATGCTTTGTTCACGCTTCTGCGCTACACTCGATTATTTTTCTACAAACCCCTATGTAAGTCAATATTCACTTGTATAAGTTCCCTTTATAATATTTTTTTTTTCCCTTCGGTTCACCCTGTCTATGGTTATTCTCTGACCCTGTTCGCTTAGTCTATCTCGATCTATGCAGCTGAAATTTTTCATGCATAATAGATCTTGGTCGAATCTGAGCTCTGGCAGCACTGCGGCGGAAATGTGCCGCTGATTGGCGTTGGCTAGGCCTAGTTTAGAAACCAATTCCGGAGTTTGAAGGACGTTTAGGTTTTTTGAGAAGCTGAACGATCGGCAGCGTGAGAGTCACCTGCCTTGTCGAGCAACAATACTAGCACTTTACATCGGTTCTGATAATTTAATCTAGGTTCATCAAAGACCCATGCGGTAAAAGGCCCCACGTCTCCGTTAAGATCATAGAATACTTATCCGATCCTTGATGATGGGAAAGTAATCGTAATTGGCGCTGGTAAATCGCCGTGACACGCAATTAATTGCCCTCTATTCACGGAAGCTCGAGTCAATGCCGTCACCAGGGATGCATGAAATTTTTTTTCACCGAAAACGAAATTCCAATGCAGATATGGCTAGATGCAGATGCAAGCCGCATGAATGAGACCGTATCTCACAAAGACCTTGAAAATGCTCCGAGGCCTCCCGGCAGCTAATGGTGCCGGGAAATTAATCCGTAACAGGGCAAAACGGTATATGTACTAGTTTCGGTGCTGAAATGGAAGATCTTGTGATACAATAGAGTTAACTCCGAAGGATTTAAGTGAGTGAGGGCAATCCGCCATGCCGTGCTAGAGTCTATATACGATATTCACGGTGGTTTTGTAGTGATCATTAATCTCATTTGGACCAAAATGAGAATCTGGTATGTTTTTTTTTGTAACGGCCCTAGCACGAATATAAGGCAATCCCCCTTAATTTGTTCGCGGGCTTTGTTTTAGCTATTAAATATTAATAAATATATGTATATGTACACACCGTGATTTTTGATACTAGTTAAACTAAAAAATGTTTGAGCCTAGTGTGTTGTCGCCTAGATACTATACATTTTAAAGGAAAAATTACCGTCTTTGCTTTCTGCTATATCTAAAAATATAAATTAATATTTTCTAGTAAATATTTCATCATGCTAATTGTTGGATGTATAAATACATTTATTTTCTTTTTTCATGTTTAATTGTGTATTCTTATATTTCACAACACTAATAACAAGTCTTCCTACTACACGGAGAGATAAAACCAAATAGTCATCTTCAGATAATTACAAAACGACAATCGTCAGATTATTGCAAGTCTAAGACAGTAAACCACAACTCTTATCAGACACTATCCAACCACTCCACGTGTGACCAATTACCTGCAGGATCACTAGTTTCTACCAACCACAAAAATCGCCCGAAAAAACAGATAGCGGGAAAAACAAAAACGCGACTTCAGCGGGGCTGCAAGAGGGGGAGTGCGAACTGCGAGGCAACGCCGACTCTAACCTTTTTTAACGTCCGTAGCTGCGTGGATTTTAAAATTGCCCTTGTTCCCGCACACACACTAGCTTTTGCTCTAAAGCCACGCTATCTATTAGACACTACATTTTACTGTATTGCCGTCACCTGGCTGAACTGAATTCCGTTTGTCATCATTAGACACTATTAAACACCACGCATTAGACTTGCGCTGTCCATCGCGTTTGAACTCTTACACGGTTACTATCACACCAGCAAAATTGCCACCAATCTGAAATACTACACTTGATCCATTAAGGCTGAATTCCACCGAAAGCCATTATATCAAGTCTGAGCGTCATTTTAGCATCTCCCAGTATACACATCTGAGCACTCTCACACGGTATCCAGACCTACACCCTTCATTGCTTGAATTCCCATTCATACCCCCCTCCCAGGCTACCTTTAAGCTCCACAGTTGTATACATTTCCACACCTACAGTCATTATCTCGTGGTTGCCCAAAGCCAGAGTTCCGCCGACTTTCCATTCTGAACTCTCTGCTAACACCAACCCGCTTGTGATGTCCATCCCGAGCTCTTTTGCGCTCAGCAACATTCTCAACGACGCCGAGGAGGCTCCCGACAGCGACGGGACCGTCGAAGACGAATCGCCACAGGAACTCAAACCGCTCCAGAACATCCAGCCGAAGGAGGAACCTACGGATGACGAGTTTGATGATGACAAATCCAAGAGCGCGCCAAAAGCCGCAGACATGTCGCGCCTCCCGTTGATCCAACGATCGCGCCGCGACTACAAGAAGATCTACTCCAAGCTCTTCCAGACGTTCAAGCTGGCGATGCTGGAATCTGAGATCCTCTACCACCAGGACGTCCAACAGCGCCGCTACGTGCAATTTCTCACGCAGCGAAACAACAGCATGTTAGATCTTCTCGACACAGCGCTTGATGGCGTGCCGCGCCTCCAGGGTTCGGTGGAGCAGCTCAACTTTTGGTCTCATAACCACAATGACTTTTCTCACGGCTTTTCCCACGGTGACACAGACGACACGAGCATTCTCCTGGAGCACGAAAGGGTACGGCTAGAGGCCATCTCTGCGCGCAGCCCAGCGTTAAAGCGAAAACTCGCGCCGCTCTTTGAATTGTCCAGCACCCTTCCAATAATCCATCCCGCGCCTGTGCGCTCCTTTGCCGACTTATCTGCAGCGGACATGGAGTACACACTCCAAGAGGCGGTGCCGTTGACGTTGACTACCGCTGAGATGAATGAAGCGAACCCCATGAACTCCATCCAGTGGATGAAACGCAATCACAACGACGTGCTCCAGATGTTGTCTTCCGTTGGTGTTGCAAACAATAGTGGTGGGATTAATGGAACACACCACCATGCCGACAAGGAAGCGGTCCGCAAAGAGGTCAAAAAGGCCAAGGTGGAGACAAAACTGAAGGCCCCCGGACGCCGTAAGAAGGCTGAGCCCCGGCTGCGTCGTGGGACAAATGATATGAAGGAGGATGGCACGAGCAAGCCCAAAAAGAAGGACATGAAGAAGAAGATTGTGTTGAGTTTGAAGCCCAAATCGGAGTCGACAGAGGACGATGTGGATTCGACAATTTCTCCGGAGAGTGAGGCCGAGAAGCCTGAGGCTCAGCAGTCAAAGGTCAAAGAAAAGTCCAAGGAAGCTGAAGAGAGAGCTGAGACGGAAGAGAGGGCCGAGGTCCAAGAAGAGTCCCAAGAGAAGAATGAAAAAATTGAGGTAAAAATTGGTGAAGTTGGTAAAATCGGCCAAAAAGTTGAGGTCAAAGTGGAAGAACAGGATGCTGTTATGGTAGATGCCTAGAACCGAGAAAACTACGCAACTGACAATTTGGGTAGATGTATTTTTTCCAAGTTTTTAAAGGTATATGATTTAGGTTTTAGGAAATAGGTAAGCAGTGACCCAAGCGAAATGTACGGAAGAGTAAAGAGTTGGTGCAATAGTTTCGCTCTAAGTCGTTGGGGGTAATGAGGAGGAATAATTTTATATCCCTATGAACGTTTTGTAAGAACAAAATCGAGCGGATGCACGCCCAAGAAGAAACCAATGAAATATGACGGAGCGCAATACGTACGCGAGCTAAAGACCAGTAAAGAAATGTATAAACGCTGCCAATGAAAGAGCAACAATAAAATATCAAGAATTCTTCTATTATACAATCACCTGATATCAACACAAGAGGTGCGGGGGTTAGACAAAGATAGCAAGGTCCATACTACAGCTCATTATCTGCACTTTTGGAATTTACGTAACAGAATCCGGACTGGGTATCTGAGGGAAAAACCAATGGTAAGGAAAATACTCATTAATCCATCTTTTACTTAGTAGCTACGTTATAACCTATACAAATAAGCTATCATCTACCCTTTGGTGATCGCTGCCTCCATCCGTGCGCTAATACACAGGAACTTTAGACTGCATCACACGATCTAAGATCAATACACATCCCTTCTCTAGACAAACCATATCACAAGCGGTACAGGTCTTTTCATAAAGTTACCAAGCATCTTAAGGCTAGAACGCTTCACCATTCGCCGCCAATCCATTACACGCTGCAATCAACCCCGAGCATTGCTACATTCTTCAATTTTCCAGACTTGTAGCTACCAGATAACAATCTGACACAGACCCCCCCACTATTCGTTATTGCTGTCACAGGCCGTGTAACCTCAGTTACGGACAATATACACTACCAGCAATATCCAGAGAGGTTGAAGCTAGAAGGATCAGCAAATTTGAACCTAGCAAAGCAGCTACCCGCCCAACCACTCACTGTTCGTCTTTAGCCGATTACCAGGCTAATCGCCCAGGCCTTGCCGATACTATTGGTGAACACTCCAACCAGCTTCGCCATTGCTGTGCAATAGCTACGCTTCTAATAGTTACGCTTCTCATAACTCGCAATGTCTTCATTACTCGACCTACAGAATGATCTCCAGGCGCAGAAAAGCCTCCGCGACAGTGTCGAGACCATTATCCACGCGGCTGATAACAACAAGTACCAGGACATCCGTAAACTGAAGAAATTGCGGCATGAGGCTCAGAGTAAAGCCACCGAGCTTAACCGATCGATTGTTGCGATCGAGCGCCGCATTGAGGCCCTCAAGCGTGTAGAGCCCAGCCCCAGCACCGACAGTCTCTCGGAAGAGCCCGCCGCGCGCAGCAGCTTTGACACCCGCGCGCCGTCACCGTTTGTACACCTCAGTCTACCCGCTGTAGTGGTCGATACGGATCCCGGGGAGAGCACATGGGCGCTCAACGAGCTTCTTCAGGCGCTCGGTGCGAAGGAGCGTGAGGCAGAGTTTTACGTGTCGCGCGGTAATGCGCTCATCGCGCTTCTCCGGCAACACCCTGCGTGGACGAATGACCTCGAACTCCTCGCGTGGGGCCATCGCATCCAGAACTTGCTCGTGCACGGCGCGAAGGAGGTACTGGCGACGGCATACCGTCTCGCGCGGTACGTCATTTCAGATGTCGCATCGCTCCGCACCCTCACCGCACTCCGGATTCAGCACTTTGTCGTTGCATCGCTCGCGCGCGATCCTGTGCGCTTCCTGTTAGAGCGCGAGCACGCGCTCAAGTTCGTACGGCGGTTCATAGAGGTGGAGCACGGTGCGGCCGAGATCCACACAGGTGTGCTACGCGCGCTCATTGCAGTGGCAGAACAGAATGAGGACCGACTCCGCACGCTCTGCCTCGAGACATTGTGCGAGCTTGCAGTGGTCGTGCCCGAGCGGCTCTTCTTTTTGGGCGGTATGCGCGTACTCATGCACGTGGTGAGCGACGGTCCGTATGAGATCTCTGGACTTGTGGGTGTCGCGATTGTGCACATGTTGGACCGGCCATGTGGGCGCGCGTGTCTTCGCGGTGGCGCGGACGTAGGCGCGTTTCTTGCACCGTTTACGGACGTGCAGATCAAAGGTCACGTAAACACGGAGCGACTTCAGCACGGTGCAAATGTGCTCACGACAGTCTTGAAGGCATGGCCAGGGCTTGTGGCGTTCTTACAGCGCGACTTCCAGCCGGTGCGTGACCTCCTCAACTGCCTTGTGTTTGCGATTCCCGTGTTGCGCGACGTGGTCATGGACGTGGTGTTTGACGTGCTCCACATCCGGCAGTTGCCATGGACGCGTGCAAAGGCGGGTGTCGTCGCAAGTGCGCCGCGCACGCGTGTTGTCAGCCACTACGTCGCGCTCCTCCTTGCGGTATTGTTGCGTTGCGACGTGTTGCGTCTCCTTTCGACTGTGATGGACGGCGGTGATGAGTTGAACGCGCGTAAGGCCGCGTACTTGTACGCGGAGGTGCATTTTCTTGCTGCAACCCTTCTCCCAGAAACCTCGCATGTGCCCCAGTCCCCCAAGACCGAGTTTCAGGTGTCCACCTTTGAGTTTCCAAAGCCCGGAGTCTCCAAAGTCCACATTCAGGATGGGCCATTCCAGGAGGATGATAGGGTCTTGATAGTCGATAAAAGTGTTAATTTCACCTCCCCCTCTAATATTTCAACCAATGGTGATCACGTCAACGGTGCCTTCGTCTCTGATTTCCTCACTAGCGATGCCTTGTCTTGCCCTGATCCCAGTTATACGGCTTTCGGTGGAGCCGCCTCCGATGACACCTCCGTTGACCACACCTTCAGTGGTCCCAGCTTTGGTAGCTCCTTTTCCATCGAAAAAATGACTCGCCGTCTTCAAAAGCCCCGCCGCGATATCGCCGCCATCAACGTGCACACCCAGCTCGCAAAGTCCAAAAGTAAACAGGACGTGGATGATGCTGCGTTCCGCCAAATGATTCTCGACACCCGCGTCCTCTCCACAAAGAGTTTTGCGCGCTGGAACTGGGACGTGCTCACGGAGCTTGCCCAAGGCCCGCTCCGCAACCCACGGCGCTACGACGAGGTACTCAAGACGACCAAGCTCTTCAAGCGCATTTCGTCCTTCTTCCGGCCGTTCAAATACCGTTTCTCAACCACCAAGCGTGCCCCCGGAAATGAGCGCTACACAGCCTTCGGCTGCGAGTTTTTCAAGATGCTCTTGAGCTTTCCCGAAGGTGCGCGTACGTTGGCCGAGAGCAAGCTCCTCCGTCAGATCGCTGAGTGTCTCGCTCAGGTAGATGCGTACAGCGGTATCACCGCCGCGGAACCGCTTTTCTCAAAACAGCGGCTTCTCGTGACGCTGAGCCCTGGCTACTTCCGCATGCTTGGCGTGCTTTCAGCGGACCCCGCGGGACTCGCAATGCTTGAGAGTTGGAAGTTTTTCAGCATGTTTTACCACATCGTGGAGCGTTCCGGTCGCGAGGACCTCGCGCTCTTGATCTTGTCCGCGGTGGACTACTCGCAGCTGTCGCATTTGCGCACAATTCTCGGCAAGGCGATGGCCACGTGCGGTGTCGCAGTGCGCCTCCACGCGACACGCCTCGCTGCGTCGTTACTCTACGCGCCGCAAACGCAAACGTGGGCCGCGCGCGCATTGGTTGCGCAGTTGTACGACACGGACGTCGAGGTGTGCGAAGTTGCCGTTGCAGCTATTCACGCGTACGGCGCTGTGTCACGGGATAATTTGGACCATATCCTTCGTCTCCGCCCGTCCTTGGACCACCTTTCGCGCGCGACGCGCGCGCGCCAGCTTTTGTACCTTGCAACGCCGCGAGGATTTCGCTACTTGACGGAATCGGAGTTTGTGCAAGATGAGTTGGACCGGTGGGAAGCTACGGAGAATGTTGTATATGCGAAGCAGATGGAGAGGTCGATTCTTACGCAGTATTGCTTTCCAGCTGCGATCCCGAACACGACTGCTGCTCCAGGTTTCGCTCAAGACGCCCCCAACTTTTTTGGCGAACTAGTCAAGACCGATGAAGGCTGTAACCTCCTTCTCGAACAGAACATTCTTGAACGTCACGTCTCTGTTATTCGTGCGAGCGTGCCCCAGGACTTTTCCCAACTTTCCCCCGCTGACATCCAGCTTCTCAAGGCGTCGCTCTGGGTGCTTGCCAACATCGGTTCTACCTCCCTGGGTGTGCTTTTACTCGAGGACCACGGAGTTATACCCGATATTATTGACATCTGCCGTCACAGCGACGTGTGGTCGTTGAAGGGTGTCGCTTTCTATGCGTTAGGCTTTGTCGCACGCACTGAGGAGGGCGCGGAGGTGTTGGATGAGCTCGACTGGTGCGTGAAGGCGGATTCCATGCAGAGCCCCGTGGGAGTTTCGCTTCCGCGGAACATAACTGACTACTTCTTCGTGGATTCTGCGAACGCGCTCACGATCTCCACCATAGATCCCGAGGCCCTGGAGGATGAGAGTGACAGTGACAGATTGGTGGCAGCGGTGATCCAACGGTTCAAAGAGCTCGGTTCAACCTATAGCTGGTCGGAGAGGTCGACGTTACGGGATATAAACAAGATCAAGGAGAAATACGGGGAGGTGTTTGAGGCGCCAGAGCTCCTTGTGCGTACGTTGGATATGTTGGCCGCGGGGCATTATAGAATGAACACGCGGAGGACTATTTTGGAGTACTTTGGGGGGAAGGTGTGGGAGCTGATGGTGAAGCGAGAGAGGCGGCGTAGGCTCTCAGGCAATCGTCAGGCTGACTGAGGGTTTGTTTGTTGAAACTGTTCCAATCTGAGGAAGAAAGGATAGGGTGAGAACTAACCACCTGTCGAATTCTTGCTCTAGACCAATGACCGTATTATTTGGTAGGTATAGTCAAACTTATTGGAGCGCCTGCCGTACTGCCTTTTATCGAGTATGCTGACCACTTGAGAAATTAGGTACAGCAACTACAGTAGTCTCTTAGACTAAAAGGTGGAAATCAGACTATTTACAGTTTGGATGTAAACCAACAGTCAACTTTATATTTAATAGTTAAGACGACAACCGATTTAGTCTTATAGTATACTGCCTGATTAAATCAGGCTAATGATACACTCAACGCAATAAGACGTATACGCATATTTTTTTTCCCACGCTTCGATAGTAGATTTGGTAAACCTAATGTGAACCATTCGAGTGCCGAAGGGTATGCATGTACCAACCATGGTTGGTTCCATTCCGGGTGAAGAATGAGGATATTAAAAAACCTCCCCAGATGGTTCAACTAATCTTTCCACAAACCAAGATCATCAATACATTATCAAACCTGAGTATGCGGTTTGCTACTCGGACCCTTCCAAGCATGCTTCTACGGGCCTTGCATCTTGACCTCTCAGCATTGATTATATACAGGTAAAATACACAGAAGCAATCTTCTAGTTCTCTTCGGAATCGACAAACTTTCCGCTGAGCAAGTTGTTCATGGTGTCCTGGATGGCTCTGGTTTCCTCGTCGACCGGCTGCATCGCAATCTCCTGCTCTTTCTCGGCACCACCTAACAATTTCTTCATTCTCCAGCTGAACTCCTGGAAGCTAGAGACGTCCCAGCACCAACAGCCGCCCATGACGGCCATGGTGTAGGCGGAACACGCCAACAAGGTGGAATGGGTGATGGCCAGAAGCGCATCCTTGTGGAAGGAGAAAGGTGGTGGTAAGTGGTTCGGCTGCAAGAACGTCGGCACGTACTTTCTAGACAAGACCCCACGGTAGGCCACACGCGCGCACACAAACGTCACCACGGTGGCGCCCACAAACCGCAACATCTGTTGTCTTCTTCTCTCTTTGTATTCGGCGGAGGTGTTGATGGCCAAACCAAAGTTAGACGGTAAGAATGAGGCTCCTTGAGCTGAAGCACTAGGCATGATAACGGAGGTGTATAGGTATGGATGTAATAGGCAAATGGTAGAGATACAGATATTAATGTCTTGATTTGCGGTTGGGAATTTTCAAGCGTGCGCAAACCGGAGAGCGCAGCCGCTACTAGCAGAGCAGCTTGGATTCTCATCCTAAGGGCCCTATTTCTATTCCTCACTTGAGGTTTTGCTGCTTGACTTGGGCAGATGCGATAAAAAAAAAAAGAGGGGGAAGGACTTGCAGATAGGCCGATCTATGTAGTGTATTTTGTGGAACTGACCCATAAGGGATTATAAGTAGAATACGCATAGACATAGCTCTTGGAATAACCCATCTTTTGTATAGAGAATGATGGTTTACCTTATAAGGGAATTTTCCGTATTTTACTGTTATTGACTCCGGATGCAGCGCTTCACTTCCTATATTTACCCAAAGTAACCTAATCTATTTTACAGGAGTCATCCAGTAATTCCCATAGACGATTATATACATAAAAATAGCATAATTTCCTTCAGCAGACAAACACTGGATACTACAAGCAGATACCACATGTATTACTCTACAGCCATCGGAGTATGTGCCGTGTATCTTTCCAGAAACGATGAAACACAGAAACCTGGGAGCGCGGGGTATTTACTCATTTAACTACCTAAGCTCTAAACAGATGGAGATCTTGGGGTATATTAAGTTCCCGTGAAACTGGCCTAGGTACCACGTAAGTATGCGGCGTGGCTCACTCGCCAGATGACTAAACGGTGAGTTATTTTGGCCCAACTCTCTAATCTCATTATATAAGCAGTTTCCGGCAAAACTTTGATGACGCTATCATTGGTTATACGCATAAAATTTCACCGTTAATTAATTAACTCACCGTGTCACTCACTATATTGGCCCACCTCACCTTAAACTCCCGCAATACGTTTTCAGTACCCCAGTTACTCTGCTTGGCGGGTACTAGGCCCAATCCGGGAAGGTAGCGATGTCTGGCGGCTCACCCGTACTGCTTAGCCGCGGCCGTGCGTCTGCTTGGCACGCATGAAACCAGCGATAAAATCTGCACCTAAAGCCCTATATAAAGTTGGAACTCTTCATCATACTCTTAACCGATTAGTTAAAATGACTCAGCCTTTAGTAGCCTTTTCCCTTGGCATCCAGGTGTGAGGTTCAAGTATACAGCTACTGTGTAGTGCGCAATTTATGAATGACGTGTACTGCCCGATTGCTGCCGCATTAGGTTAACGAAAGCGACTGAGTATGCATACATACGAAAAGCCAGGAAAAATCCTAGAAAATATTACGGTCAAGAGGTACATGTACCCAGGAGAAAGTAGACTTCTACGGCACTAGAATTTCACCACCAAAGCATTGCAAGCTCCCCCACCTGCTGTCTCTCTGATCCGGAAGAGACACCTGTACAAGATACCACTGGAAATCACCAAAAAAAAGCCACAGCCGCAAGTCATCACGCCCAACAAGTACATAAGTGACAAGAGTTTGCAAACAGTGGTATTGGTAGCATACAAGAAGCCAGTCATCAAGTTAGCATTGTTCAGTAGGCATCAGTTAATCATTGCTACAGCCACTGATATCCCACCGAGAAGGATCAGAGACAGAGTTGCACTCAACAAGTTTAGTGTTATTCCACCGAGACTCGGCTGAAATTTCCCGGGGTAAAGCCCAGCGCTGTTCCACCAAGTATCTCGTTCGATTTGGAATTGTCCAACTGGCATCCATTCAAAATTGATACCAGTAATCACCTTGCCGATAACACAATCATTCCACTCAGTCGCTACTGGCAGGACCTCCAACTTATACTCCCATTTCAAAATTCTATCTCAGACATGTTTGACAGTCAAGCGCGCAAAGCATTCATGCGACAGATGCGCGATAAGATCGCGCGGGTAGAGGCGCGAGTGGGCCCGATGGTGAAGAAACTCATTCCCAACTTCATCGCCGCCCATTACGTCTACATCCTCACAATCTCCATCCTTGGGTCCATCCTTATATATCCCCAAAAAAACATTGCTTACATCGACGCACTCTTCTTCGCCGCGTGCGCTGCGACACAAGCGGGCATGAACACTGTCGATGTCAACACCATGACGCTCTTCCAACAGCTTAGCATCTACTTCATCACGTTGGTCACGACGCCCATTTTCATCCATAGCGGGGTGCTTTTTGTGCGTCTCTACTGGTTTGAGAGACACTTTGATAACATCAAGCACAGCTCCAAGCTCAATTTCAAGATGCGGCGCACCGCAACGCTCGCAGCTCGGACAATGTCCAATGAGATCCATGAGAATACCATGGCTAATACTGGCATTGGAACGTACTATGGAGACAATGACGAAGAGCAAGACCAATTCGATGTAAAAGCAAAGGCAGGGATGACAGGTGACGCGAGTAATCGTAATTGCGACGCACAGCACGATCAGGAAGCAAAGCATTCCCCCGATCTGCTCTCGCTCCAAGGGAGCACGCCGTATTCGCACACTGCGAGCCAAGATGGAGTTATACACATGAGCGAACCATCCGATTCGGAGGACGAGCGGCTTCCGCCGGACCAGCGCCTGGTGGTGATCACCTCCGACGACGACTTTGCGCGCATGCAGGCTCGTGGCGACTCGGGCGCGCACATTGACTCGGGCGCGCCAACGACTGATATCCGGTTCGCACAGCTTCCACACCCTCGCCGCGAGCGTATCGAGCCCTCAGACATGTTCATGTCGATCCTGATGATGCACCAGAGCAAGAAAGCCGGTGACGAGGAGTCCGGCCCGGCGTTGAAGATTCGCGGCCCCGCGGAACGCGAACGGCCATCGAACTCGCGCAAAGGATCGATTATCCAATTTGCAATGTCCAAGCGGATGAAGGGCGAGTCGCGTAGGTGGTTCCGCAAGTCGCAGAGCTATATGACAGACGATACAACGAGGAATGGACTGAAGTCACGGCGGGGACTGAGTGCGTCGCGTGCGTACGAATCAAGTGAGTTTGATGAGCGTGCGGATGATTATTCGATTAACAGTGAGCTTGACGCGTCGCGGCAGATGACAAGAGACAGCGAGGCATCGCGAATGTCGAGTGAAAGCGATACGGACGGCCAGTCGCGCCGGACCCGCAATGACTTGTCTCGCGCCATCTCCCACTCCGTGCCCCCGTCGAGCGACGCGACCGGCGGAACCAAGTTCCTCAAACGTGCCACCACCTCCGACATCCCCACCAAAAACGACCGCCGCCCGCTCGTCAATTCTCCCACATTCGACCGGTTGATCCGCACCCAGAAGCGTAAACTCGCCAAGAAAAAGTACCTTCGGCGGTACGCGAGTGCAGTGACTGACTCGAGCAGCGGCCCAGACGAGTCTGACACGGATATATCTGTGGACGTGTACGGCCTCAAACGCCATCCCAGCATGTCGGCGAACTATCTTTCCTGGCAGCCCACCATTGGGCGCAATTCCACCTTTGTAGCGCTCACGGATGCCCAGAAAGAGGAACTAGGCGGCGTAGAGTACCGGGCGATCAAACTTTTGTGCAAGCTTCTCGTCATCTACTACGTGGGATTCCACCTTGTCGCCGGAATTATGCTTCTCATCTGGGCGCTGTGTCATACAAACATCCAGGTGCTTATCCGCGCTCAAGGTGTTAACCCCCGCTGGTGGGCATTCTTTACCAGCGCATCATCCTTCAACGACTTGGGGATCACCCTCACGTACGACAGCATGATGTCGTTCCTGAAGGACGTGTATGTGTTGCTTGTCTCGGGCTTTTTCATCGTCATTGGCAACACGGGCTTCCCGATCTTGCTCCGCTTCCTCATCTGGATACAATTCAAATTTTCATCGCAGCTTTCGTTGTACAGGGAGTCGCTTGGCTTTTTGCTCGACCATCCGCGGCGCTGCTTCACGATGTTGTTCAGTTCTGCGCCCACGTGGTGGCTCCTCTTCATCTTGGTTACGCTCAATACCGTCGATGTGGTGTTGTTTGTGGTGCTTGATATCCACGCAGAGCTGTTGAAGGGGATTTCTCCGGGGTTTCGTGTGTTGGACGGCCTTTACCAGGCGTTTGCAACCAGAACGGCTGGGTTTTCCGTGCTAGACGTCTCGGCGTTGCATCCGTCGGTGCAGATCTCCTACATGTTGATGATGTATATTTCTGTGTTGCCGATGGCGATCTCTATCAGACGGACGAATGTGTACGAGGAGCAGTCCTTGGGGGTGTACAAGGGGGCAGATGAGGGGTATGAGGATGCAAAGACCCCGAAGTCGTTCGTGTCTGCCCATTTGCGGCGGCAGTTGTCGTTTGATTTGTGGTTTATTTTCTTGGGATTGTTTATTATTTGCATCGCGGAAGGCGGGAGGTTGCAAAGCGGTGACAGTCTGTTTTCGGTGTTTGCGGTGCTTTTTGAGATTGTCTCGGCGTACGGAACGGTGGGGCTCTCGCTTGGATACCCGGGCTCGAACACATCTTTCTGTGGCCAGTTTACTGTACTCTCAAAGCTTGTGATCATTGCCATGATGATCAGAGGGAGACACAGAGGCTTGCCATATGCGTTAGACAGAGCCATCATGTTGCCAAGTGACAAGATGAACCAGCGAGATGAGATCCAGGCCCATCATACGCGGCGCAATCCTCCCGCTGCGCCGGCTGGGCGCCGGCCATCGTTCATGCGGTTCAACTCTGGGAGCTCCAATCGTTTGCCATTCTCATTTAGCTTGAACCCAGGCCCGACTCCGGTGAAATTGTCGCACAGGAAACATAATAGGCAATTCAGCGGAAACGGGGGACTCAATGGCTCACCCCATAGAGAGAGTGTTGATCCCAGAGAACCGTTGATGTATTCGGATGTAAACGTCAACTTCGATGTTCCGCTCCAGGACCTCAGAGTGACCAGGGTGACAACAGCGGCAGAGATTCCATCTCGGACAGAGCTGAAAAGGAACAAGTCTGTCTAGCATGCATAGAGAGACGGCGGGAGAGATGGACAGACCGGTGAAATGCAATGGATGTTACTGTGCGATCTAGGGCTCAGACTGCATCACATATAGCGATATCACAGACTAAATTTGGTCGAACCACGGCTTAGATCGAACCTTGTAGAGCTATGAGTGTATCTGACCTCAGTGTAGATAGATACAGAAGCGGGGGTTTAGATTTCTATGTCCCGTTTTGTTCAACCCGCGGAAGGTTATGCTAGATATACTACAATTTTGATGAATTCGAGGCATATCATTCTATTGAGCCTCGAATTACCCATCGGTCTCCGTATCCATTTTAGCCGTATGTGACAGATGGGTGATGCGTCTCTATTGATGCCCCCTTTTATCATCGAAGGAATGGCCTGGCACGTCACCAACTCTTAGGTATCTAAGCTAAGTCCAGATACTGTAATGCCTGAGGAGGAAAGCTGTAGGCTTTAGCGGGCTTCATATAAACCAGTCATGCGAGGTACATGCGCTCGTGCAGTTATCTGGAAAGTGCGACATTATTTCCCGGAGTGCGCATCTAAACCTGGTCAGTCAGATGGGACTCAAGCACCAAGAGACGGCGGCTACAACATACAAAAAAAAGTGGCACCAAGTCGGAATCGATAGTCTCCAGCAAAGTCGGCTCATTGATAGAATGATCTTCAAAAATAACCAATCGCATAGCCTCGAAGTAATTTATCTGAGACAGTATCATGCGTACGGCTGCATTCCAAAGAAGGATCTACGGTCTCCTAAATGAAACCTCGGGCGGCATGGCCTATAACAGACATGTGCTCGTAGCTTTCTCCCAAATGCGGCTGGGCGGCCTAAGATCTGCAAAGCACAGCCCGAAAATTAATCCCTCAGTGCAAGCTTTTTTTTCGCACTGAGATGAAGCCTGTGCAGAAAAGCAGTATCAGAGGTGGGCCAACGCACCTGCATGCGGCCATTCCCCTCAGAAACCACGCTCATTTCTTGCCCGCCGCGAAAAATCGTGGCCCACATGAAGGACTACGTCCATGCAAGATTTCGAACAGAGAAAAACGCAGATTATGGCAAGGTATGTTTTAGATTCGATTCCCTTCACCCACGATCCCTCCTCATGAAAAGACTTTGTATTTTGCTTTCAGCCATGATGTCATAGCATGGTTTTTCTAGCGATGCACCTCGTGGGTTTCAGAGTCTCTGCAGCTCTCTGGATCGCGAACGCTGAGGGATTAAAACTCTCTCTTGCACTTACCCAAAGCATGCCCAATTTATCGATCTTGCACCCCACTATAGACTGAGGAAGGAAGAGGGCCTATTTCGGCTCAAGTTTTTATTTTTTTCTCCATTGTTTCGTGTCTTGCTATGGGCTTGAGTATAAATGCCACTCCCCTCCCTGTAATTCTAAGTAACTTTATTAGCCCTAACTGTCACTCATACCTACAAATAGCCAAATCACACATCTCTAATGAGTAGCATCCACTCAAACGCGTCGCAAACCGAGCCGGAGGAGGCGGTTGGCCTTCCTTTACCGGAAACGCCCAGCAAGAAGCAGGGCTGGCGTGAGATCTTTCTTCTCAGTTTTGCCTCGTTGGGGGCAATTTACGGGGACTTGGGGACGTCGCCGTTGTATGTTTTAAACACAATGTTTGCCAATAAGCCGAGCCCCAGTCGCAACGAAGTTTATGGTGCCGTGTCGTGTGTTTTCTATGTGTTCACCATCATCGTCATCATCAAATACGTCTTTATTGTGCTAGTGATTGGGCCCAACAACGGTGAGGGTGGTCAGGTGGCTATCTACGCCAAGATTGCTCGAAGCTTGAACGTTGGTCCAAAGGGGGTGATCATTCCGGGATCGGAAAAGGAGCAGGATACCTTAGCGCTTGCGAGAACTGACACTTCCAACACGTTCTATTCAACGAAATCTGTGATGAGCTTGAAAAGGGACTCGCCGTTAATGGTTGGTTTTGTCTCCAAGCTTATCTTGTGCTGCTGCTTCCTTGGCTGCGCTTTGGTCATTTCTGACGGTCTTTTGACCCCTACCACCTCTGTATTGAGTGCCATTGCCGGTATTCAGGTGGCCCAACCATCGTTCAGCAACGTCTTGGCCGTTTCTGAAGTCATTCTTGTGTTTCTCTTTGTTATCCAGCAGTTTGGCTCGGCCAAGATTTCCTTCACTTTTGCCCCAATTATCTTTATCTGGCTCGTGGGCTTGCTCATCTGCGGTATCTACAACATTGCGCACCACCACCCTGGAATTTTCCGTGCGTTGTCACCATACTACGCGGTAGAGTTTTTGAAGACCGGTGGCATTGACGTGTTGGGGGCTGCGATGCTTGCTATCACCGGTACCGAGGCCATGTTTGCGGATATCGGCCACTTTGGCCGTCTTCCAGTGCAGCTCACCTTGGGAGGGTTTGTTTACCCCTGCTTGATCATCTGTTATCTCGGCCAGGGGGCTTACTTAGTGAAATTTCCGGACGCCATCAGCAACCCTTTCTTCCTCTCTATCCCAGGTGGTACCGGCGGCGGGGTTTACTGGGTCATGTTTGTGTTGGCCACCTTGGGGACTATCATCGCATCGCAGGCCTTGATCTTGGGTGTCTTTAGTATTGTGGCCCAATTGATCAACTTGGACTGTTTCCCCAAGTTCAAGATTGTTCATGTGTCCAAGAACTACTCGGGGAAGGTATACATCCCGATGGTTAACTGGATATTGATGGTTGGTGTTTTATGCACCACTGCAGGGTTCAAGAACAGTAACAACGTGACAGCTGCGTACGGGTTGGGTATCACCTTGGACTTTGTCGTCACAAGTATCTTACTCGTTGTCTGCATGGTGTACGTCTACGAATGGAACATCTTCATTCCAATATTCTACGCTGCCTGCTTCCTTCCTTTGGAGATCATCTTGGTGATTGCCAACGTAAAGAAGATTGTCCACGGTGCGTGGTTCCCCGTCTTGATTGCCGGTTTGGGCTTCTGCTTCTTGCTTTTCTGGAGATGGGGCAGATCAAAGAAGGTGGATCAGGACTTCAGGAGCAGAGTCAGAATCAACGACTTGTTCCCGAACTTGCACGATGAGAGAGAACACAGCCCTGCGTACTACTTGAGAGAAGGGGAGGAGACGTATGATTTGACAAAGAAAGCGGAAGACACGGAAACGCAGGCGACCGCTGAGGAAAACGTGGATCTCTCGTCTCTTTCTATGGATGCCGCTGTGTCTGTGCAACGCCAGCCCTCCAACGTCGGGGTGTCCCTCACGTATGACTTGCCCGTCCCACCTAGACGCGCCACAAAGGCCGCGGTGTTTGTTGATCCATTAACAGCGAAAACCATGTTGGGCCGTGTGAGCTTGAGCAGGTACGAAGGTGTGGGTATTTTGTATACCGATGCCTCCTTCACTCTGAGATCCCCAAACACCGTGCCACAAATTTACAAGCACTTGGTGTCGTCTTTCCCGTCAATTCCCGAAGTGTTCATTTTCTGCGGTACCTGCATCACATCCTCGCCAACTTACGACCCACTCGAGAGAATCGATGTGGTGCCAATGAAGATCTTGGGCCATTATAGATGCATCTTGAAGTTTGGCTTTATGGAGGAGATTGCCCTCGATAATGAGTTGGTGGCGGGGATTCTTGCACGCATCCCTGAGGTGCACCGGATGACCGAGAAGAATTCCAGCGATGGAATCTTGTCGCCTACCGGTGGCTTGTCGGTTCCGACGTTGCACATTTTTGAACACGAAATTATCAGATCCAGAAGATACATCCACAATCCTACCAAAAACCCATTCCTTAGGGTCGGAAGGGCTATCCGTCGCAGTTCCATTAACTACTTCTTCAGTCCGTTGAACGGAGCGTTCCAGTCCAAGGGCAGAATGTTGAAGGTGGATGACGAGGCCGACGATTCGCAGGACAGAATTTACATCGGTAACGTGGTGAGGATCTGAGTGGGAGTCCGTTTTTTTCAGTTTCATTCGTTTGGCGGTTTATTAATAACCCAAGGGTTTAAGCGGAATTTAATAGAATTTTTTGGTTAATCCCTGTAAAGCAACTAAAGATGCCGCTTAATTATGCTGACGTCGTTGTGTGATATAACGGCACTCTATTTTAAACCGATATGACATTGTCAAAACTTTGATGAAGCCGGTTCTAGCCCTCAGTGCATAAAAGGCTCGGTGCTTCTAGATTTACTACGTAAAGTGTTAGCCAACCAATAGTATCTTCCACCAGATATACAACTTTTGAACCGTCAGGATGCGTGGTTAAGGGTGAGATATGGTCTAGAGCAATAAAGCTAGACCCAAACGTTTTATTACTCACCTTGACCCACCGAAGTATCAAACAAGGTCTCTAGTTGGATTCCCGCAAACCATGCGGGAAAACGATGACAAAGAGAGGCGGACCGCCGCACGCTATACCGCTTTAGGACATCCTACAGCCCTTGTTGTGGAACAGCGTACAGCACCTGTTAATCGCCTAGTTCTGGAGTCTAAGCGTTTCGCTTTACTTGGTACTCGACAGGAGCTAACTAGCCTAGTTTGAAACCATACCGAGAAAACCTTTGGCCTAAGTTTGTGTCGAATTTTGAAGCTAACTTGTTTCGTCGGTTGTTCTGTTAGGTATATGGTGCGCTTCTCCCTCTGCTGATTGCTCTAAACCATATCTCACCCTTATGCTCTGACTGCCTGATAACTACCCATATGACAGATCCAGAGATCTTTCCAGAGTGCCAAATAACCTTCCAAGACCCTTTCTCTCCTTTCACGTCGGCAGACCAGTCCTTAGAAAACGAGCCGATTGCACTTTGGGAGCTTGAATGCCGCGAGTATAGCCCCCAGCCATCGGTAAACGACGCCCAGGAGGCTGTTGCGGTAGATGAGAGTGAACCCACTTTGGATCAAGGCACCTTTCTAATGCGAATTGCGGCATACGAAGGAGACATTGTCGAGTGCAAGAGGACCACCGCCAGAGACCTTCTTGCTAACGAACGAACAGTGCTTGCCTGGGTTCGATCTAGCTTGATGTACGCATCCTTAAGCGTGATTATCTTCTTAGCATATGAAGAAAATCTCCAGAAAAAAAAGAAACTCATAGAAAGCGACATTAACATATTATTAGCAGACGGCACCATGGATGAATTGATCCAACGTGGTGCGTTTATCAAACGGACAATTTACATAATCAGCTCCATTGCATTCAGCCTAGCAATCATCTGCATTATCTGCGGTGGTTCGAGATACTTTATGGTCAAGAGATACTTGCTAAGGTGGAATTTGTTTCCGGCGAGCAGGGCCTCGGTGGTTGTGGTTTATATCATATGCCTGGTGTTGCTAGGTGTGACGATTGGTGAATTTATTGCCTTGTATGTGAGACTAAAGCATTAGAAGGGCGAGCGTGTTGGTGCCAATGCTTCAATCTTGGACACAGCGTACTTGGAAGTTTCTAGCTAGGTATAAAGGATACTATAAAGTGAGGGTTTATCTATACTGAAATCGTTAGCCAAGGAACTAAAATAAAACACTCTAGTGCGGGTGAATACTTTCAAATAATAGGCTTTTCATTGGACAAGGGGGCAATGTAATCGACCGAGAAAATACCCACTACAGTGCATTCATCAATCACTAACAGATACGGTATTCTATACAATTATGTTACTTGTACTTCGTGTATATGACGCACTATGGTATATAAACAAATATAAAAGCGAGAGGCCCAGGTATACAAAAAAAAAACTTCAGACAATTAGAGTGACAAAGGATCGAACGAAGGAATAACACAATTAGAGATCCACTTTTGATAGTACTTAGGAAAAGAGATCTCCAAATAAGGGTTTAACCTCGTTCAAAAGGGCCACCGGGGCATCATAATCAACAGAGAATACACTGACAGATGAAGAACAACCATTAACGACGGTGTTCTCACCTGGCAAAGTAACATCACCGTTAACAGCATTGGCCAAACCAATAAATTTTGTTGGGACTGTCTGGAACAAGCCGGTGGTCTGGTTCAAGACTAACTTGAAACCATACGCGTCAGAGCCCGTCAATCTAGAGAGGACCCAGTTTGGATCGTCACAGTTTTGGGCTTGGTCTCCAACTGGTGGAAAGTTAACATTGATACCAACAGAAACGGGCAACACTCTGCTGTTATCGCCTTGGGTAGTGAACAAGTTATCAACAAATTCAACAACCTTGGCAGCATAGATGTTGGAAGGATTCTTCGGGTCGTCGTTCAAGAAGTCACCGTAGAAGCTATTGTTGGAATTGGAGCCCGAGAAGGCAACCGCTGGAATGCCACGGTACACAGCATTATAAGTAGCACCCATCGTCCCCGAAAGAGTGAAAAGGGCCGGGGACAAGTTAGTTCCTTCGTTTGGACCAGAAACAACCAAATCAATGGTGGTGTTTTCAAAGTAGGTTGGCAAGACGTAGTCCAAACCAAAGGCCACAGAAGAGGCTGGGGTACCGTTAAAGTACCAGATGTGGTTATCATCGAGCTCGTGCCCCCAGGATGGAGACCCGGCCTTGACATATCCAAATTCACCGTTGGTTTGCAAGGTTGTGGTGTAAGGGATATCGAACTTACCACCCCAACCAGATCTCTGGGAGACAGGGGCAACCATAAGAACGTCATGACCAGCATCCTTCAAAGCGTAGTAGGTAGCTCTGATATTGGTGGCAATGAAAGAATCATCGTTGGTCAAGAGGATGTTTTTGGACAAAACTGGGATTACAAGAGTGGCTAAGGCGGCCAAGAAGGTGAATTGCATCGTTGATAACGTGTGTGGAGGCTGGATGGTGAGAAGAGTTGGACTTGAGGTGTATTTGAGAGGGAAACTTGTCCCTATTTATACTGCATTGCAGTCGAGCCAATTGCACGAGATATTTGGCTCCGGGTATTTTTTTTTTAATTATTATTGGTTTATCCTAGCCCCACATGTTTGAGTTTTCCAGAGAAATAATTCAATTTACCCTCCTTACCGGTAGGGGCTTAGAGCTGCATGCATAATTACATGTGCCCTGCAGGACTTGTACACGGAAATAGGGAGGGAACTAGTATTCTTGGACCCGATGCTACGCTGACGAGAATGTTTAGTAGCAATAGCTGGTCTAGGCTAATATATATACAATATATCTTTAGCACTGTCAATACCTATGTGGTTGAATAAACGTTAAGTTATGCCGACTGGGTCTGCCCCAAAAGCACGGCACAACTCAGTTTACGCTAGATGGAACCCTCACCGATTACGGTTGATTCATCTTTGTTGGCCCCGGCTTGTTCCCCTTTTCGACGTACTGCCCTGGACAAATTAAGCCATACAGTATCTTGCTTCGGAAGTGCTTGCATGCTGCAACCGGCATTTACATCTGTAACTTGTACGGCACGTGGGGTCAGGGTATTATTGGGAAATGCAGGTTTAACGCTGGGGCTGCAGAATGATATGCCCGCTTGGGGTAACCAGAAATATGCGCAAAGCTCACCTTTGAGCAAACCATTGCACGATGTCAAATCGATATAGTGCCCCAGAAGAGGCAGTAGGACAGAGGGACGATAACGTTACGCCGATCCGTGCCTCATAAAAGAGCCCGCTGTAGGCAATGCCTAGCACCTGAGAAAGTTAAATGATTGAGTCAGACTATTAGTCTAACCCCAGTCATACCTCTTACGTACCGCTACATAAGCGGTTACAAGTGTGTATCCCGTTTAATCATGCTGCTCTATGTATCACAGGTCCGGCAACCGCGGAACGGGAGCATTGCTATGCATGGGAGTATTGATACGGATGGAAGCATTGCTATGAATAGAAGCATTGAGACCAAGGTCTTCATTTTCGCCAATGGTTCACCCATAAACAATTGACTATATACGGGAACCAAGCTTACAGTAGAGTCTAGAGGTTACCTTTCTCGTTACCAGGAGAGCACCCAAAAGAGAGTATCCACACGGAGAAACGATGAAAGTTGGCCCTATCTTCCCTGGAAGTATTGCTATGCGACATAACTCCTAGATAACATTTAGTGGGTATATGAAATTTCGAGTTTAGGACTCCGATGAAACTTGTAGAAGCAGACGCAAATTCCTATGCTTGTAAAGTTGCCGATCGAGCTAAACTAAGGGAATCATGCATGAAGTTTAAACCCTCACACGTGCCTCTAATTAATCAACTTTAGATCACGACAACCAGCCAAAACCTAGAAGGCTATAGGGGACTCACGTAAACAAACTACCAGGGAAACCCTTTCCCTTTTTAGCAATTACATTATAACTACGACAACGTTCAATTACCTCATCCACCGAGACAGGGGCTGCAGAGCCCAGGGCGGAGCCCGTTAAGACCCTCTCCCGTTGTTTGCTGTATACCCATGCACGTTTTGAATACTTTATTACATACATACATCTATTTTGCGTCTCTAGACGATAACTAATTCGGCTTCGCGCGGGTTACGGCGGGGTTGTGATAAAATCTGGGTAAAACGTACACCCCGAAGATTCCAAGGTAGCCCCACAAGAGCCCCACAAGCTTCTCGAGCCACGAGTGAAAATACACAGCAGTCATCAAAAGCATCCACCACCAGAGCCCACAGAGAGCCCACACAGCCACCACAGGATTCTCGGCCATAAACGTGCCAATCACCGAAACGTACTTCTGCACGTCCCATTTGCCGTCCTTGGGGGTCTCGTCAGAGGAGAAAAGGGCATTCTTAAACTTTCTGGAGTTACGGGCCAATTGATCAAAATTGGTGAGGTGGAGAGTTTCGAAGAGCAAGAACAAGGACGAATGCACCAAGAGGAACACATGCCCCGATGGGTCGTGGCCGCCTGTCATTTTGCCGCCCATGCGACGGCACACGACGCTCCCGAGAGCAGACTCAAAGATTTCCTCCTCGACCGCCTTCACCCCCGCGTCAATGGCTCTCTCCATGACCTGGAAGTCAAAGCTGTGGTTAGGGTTGGCGCCGGTGAAGTCGGAGAGCTTCTTCTGAGTAATGTTCACACACTTGCCGCCGGTGTGGAGGAAGATTTTGTCCATGATGGGGTACCCAAAGAACCACTGCGTGAAGAAGATCCACCACACGGTGACCAAGGTGTATCTGACGGCGAACTTCACCAACTCAGAGGAGCGTTGCTGCGGCGATAAATTACTCCGGATGGAGGATAGGTTAGGCGCGGCACTAGTACGGTAGTTAAAGGTCTGGAAGATACCAATGAGGAGGGTCGTCCAGGCCCAGCCGTTCTTGGCAAATACCACATTGAAGATGTTGCGCTTGTTGTTGAAGTAGTTTTGGATTTCCTCCTGCGGGGCCACGACGTTGATAAGTTTTCCCAACACCAAGGTCATGACAAATACCACAAAGATTAGCAACTCAAACTCGGTTAAACGAGTGATACGACTAGCATGGGTGACCCATCCCAATAGCGTAGTGATGTGCTTGTTGTAGACGGACTCGTTGGATTTGGGTGGCGATATTGGTGCCATGACGTAGAATGAATCCAGAAGAGTGGCTAAAAGCTGGAGATTGAAAAGGAAGCTGCGAGGCCTTACAACCAAAAAGATGTGACCCGTTGGAGAAAAAGTATTGATCGGATCAGCAACCTATAAAGTCTGTAGCATCCTAAGGCCCTTATGAACAGCAACTGCGTATAGGCGCACAGATACGCAAAGGTTCGGTACACACACACTCTCTCTGACCCGCCAATTTTTTCCACCACACACCAAGAAGCCCTAGATATCTAAGATAACCAATAATTACTCATACTCTTAGCCGTTAACCCAATCTCTGCCATGGCTGACCCATTACCCACACGATGGGAAATCGAGTTGGAAGTATGTACTCACCTTTTGCTGCGCTTCAAGTGCTAACATGATAGTTCGTGCAAGCGCTCGCCAACATCCAATATCTCAACTTTCTTGCGCAAAACAAGTACTTGTCTGACCCACAGTTTTTGAGTTATCTCAAATACCTCGAGTACTGGCGTCATCCTGATTACGCCAAGTTTTTGGTCTATCCCAACTGTCTTCATATCCTCACGCTACTACAGAACGAGGAGTTCAGGACACAGATTCTCCGCGCGGACGTCGCTGGGGCGATCATGAATGACATGGTGAATAGGTGGCAGGAACCATCCAGCGTTTTTTCGGCCCTCACTCCGGTGGACGATCTAAGCGGAAAGACTGAAAAGGGAGATGAGGAGGCGGAGGCACCGTCGAATGGTACCGTTCTTCCCACGGTGAGTGTTAACTCGCCTGTTTAGCTGGTGAAAGGCAACCAGTAAAGGAAAGGGACGGACCTAAAAGCGTGGGATTATACTGATAGAGAAAACGGCATTGCCGCCATGGAGCTACCCCTGATCTATGCATTTTAAACCCTAGAGACCAAAATAACGTGTATTGGCAAGCAGGGAGATGTATAGTCTGTCAGAGTCATTATCTAGTTTATAGCATGGTGCATATCCCCAGAAAGTTAGTCGCACTGTAAGCACTCTTTATGTTAGTATCAATCACCAAACGCTCATTTACAATCTTAAAATAGGTCACCTGTTCGGCATTAGCTATATTACTTAGGCATCTCCTCTTTTATTTCCTAGAGGTTGGCCAAGCCCGGTCCTTACTGATCCTCCCACCATTTCCACTTCCCTCCTCTCGAGCCTGACTGCTGCTGGCTCCACCGCGGCCATATACCCTTCGCCTGAGAAGCTCCTGTTTATCATTAAACCGCTGCTGGCGGACCTTTTCCAGGTTTTGTTTGGCATTGACCTCTTGTTCGCGCTTACGCTTCTCGGCGTCAATTTTGTTCATCACATCGTTCAATTTCCCCACCCTATCCTGCCATTTGGTTTCGCTCGACAGACTACCCTGCCAGGTGGTGTCATTGATTAACTCCTGGTTGAAATTCGCCTGGTTGAGGATTTTAATCCAGAGCTCAAGCAAAGAGTTAGTCTGGTTTGTGGCCTGGAGAAGGGTTGTTAGGTTGGATTTGGTACTGCCGATGGACTCTAGCACAGAGCTCATGGTGGAGTTTACCGCGGTGAGCTGCTCAAGCTCCCGTTCAAGCGCTAGCTGTTTCGAAGACGAGGATATCTCGGCGCCTGGCGCTTGTGACTTGGTCTTGCCGGGGGACTGGTTACCAGGTTCGTCCGAGTGTGCATTGATTATGGTTGTTTGAATTGCGTCAAACGCCTCGAATATGTTATTTGTGGACATTATTAATGGGAGTCAAGAGAGTAGTGAGTGGGGGTTCGTGGATGTTGTGTTGTGGATGTTTGTAAGACGCGTAGAAAAACCATACCAAACATTCCAGTATGCAGGCTATAATATCTACTGCATATCGGTTCGACCTGTAAAAAAAGTCTATAACGCTGTGTTGAGCCAGAAACAGTCTATTAACAATTTATTCTAAATGAAATCAAGCAGCAATATTAGTATCGCTTTATACTATGACCTTCGACAAATCCAATAGTAAAACCTTAGTAATGCATCTACCACTCTATTAAACTACGGTACAACAGCGATAGATAATGTACAATGGAAAATAAATATACCCCCCGGCCAATCGTAGAACGGAGAAAGCACTTGCTTTTCGCTTCTACTTCAAGATCTTTGCAATCAAATCGGCAGTATCAACAGAGTCGCCTTCCTTAACAGACAACTCACCAACCTTACCGGCAACAGGAGCGCTGATAACCATCTCCATCTTCATGGCACTCAACACAGCCAATGGGTCACCCTTCTTGACTTCAGTGCCTTCCTTGACTCTAACCTCAACCACTACACCACCCATTGGGGCACCAACCTCGTTAGGGCTGTGGGCATCGGCCTTCTTTCTGGAAACAGTCTCAACGGAAGCCAATCTGTCCTCCACGGTGACCTTTCTCATTTCACCGTTCAACTCAAAGTAAACCTCTCTGGTACCCGTCTGCACAGACAAATCACCAATGGCCTGGACCTTGACGATTAAAGTCTTACCCTGAGCGATGTTGACGTGAATCTCCTCTTCCAAAGGCGGGGTGGACAAGAGGTAACGGGTTGGCAACACGGAAAGGTCGCCAAACTTGGCTTGCATTGCTCTGAAGGCTTCGTATACCTTTGGGTACATGACGTAAGAGGCGACGTCATTCTCAGTGATATTGTCGTATCTGGCTTCCAAGTCCTTTCTGATCTGGGCCAAGTCAAGTGGCTCCAAGGTCAAACCAGGACGACCGGTGAGCTTTCGGCGCTTACCAGCCAACACATTGGTACGCAAAGGCTCTGGGAAACCGCCATAAGGAGTACCCATCAAGCCCTCGAAAAAGTCCAAGACAGAATCTGGGAAGTCCAACTCGTTAGCGAGCTTGTTAACATCCTCAGAGTTTAACTTGTTGGAAACCATAAACTGAGCAAGATCGCCCACAACCTTGGAGGTTGGAGTAACCTTGACAATGTCACCAAGCAACTTGTTAGCAGCTTCGTAGGCCTTCTTGGTTTCCAACCACTGGGAGCCCAAGCCAACCTGCTGGGCCTGGAAGAGAAGGTTGGTCAACTGGCCCCCTGGAATTTCGTGCTGGTAGACTTCTGGGTCTGGACCCTTCAAGTCAGCCTCGAAACAAGAGTATAAAAGTCTCATCTGACCCCAGTAGGCGTCCAAGTCTCTGGCCATGGCCGCATCAACACCGGTAGCGATATCGCCATCCAAAGTGGCCACAAGGGCGGAGATCGACGGCTGGGAGGTCATACCAGACATGGAGTTGGTGGCAACGTCAACCACATCGGCGCCGGCGAGCGCGCAAGCAGCCATAGACGCAACCCCGGTACCGGCAGAGTCGTGGGTGTGGACGTGGATAGGAAGGTCTGGGTACTGGGCTCTGATGGCACCAATCAACTGTCTAGCGGCGGTTGGCTTCAAGGTACCCGCCATGTCCTTGATCCCCAAGATGTGGGTACCCATCTGGACAATCTTGGAAGCCATGTCGAGGTAGTAAGCCAAGTTGTACTTCTTACCTGGTTGGAGCATGTCACCGGAATAGCAGATGGTGGCCTCAACCACACCGCCGGCCTTCTTAACGGCATCTACACCGACTTGCAACTGTTCCAAATCGTTCAAAGCATCAAAGACACGGAAAACGTCGACACCAGTGTCTTTGGCCTGCTTGACGAAGTGGTCGATGGCATTATCTGGAAGGGAGGAGTAGGCGACACCGTTGGCCCCACGGAGCAACATGGCAAACGGGATGTTTGGCACCGCTTGGCGGAGCTTTCTGAGTCTGTCCCAAGGGCATTCGTACAAAAATCTCATGGAGACGTCGAAAGTGGCACCACCCCAGCATTCAAGGGCGAACAACCCAGAAAGAGCGTGGGCGGTGGTTGGAGCAATGGCCAAAAGATCGGTAGTGCGCACTCTGGTGGCAAGCAATGACTGGTGGGCATCTCTCCAGGTGGTGTCCATCAAAAGCGTACCGTTGAAGTTTCTAACCTGTTTGGCAAAGCCGTCTGGGCCCTTTGCCAACAAGACGTCTCTCCAACCAGCCGGCGGCTTTCCGGAGACATCAATGGCAGAACCAGAGGAGGAGTAGATGGTTGGGACAGTGGCCTCGTCGGTGAGCTTTGGGAAGCCGACTTGGCCCTTGATGGAGGACCCGTTGACGACCAAGTCTGCCAAGTATGACAACAACTTGGAGGCACGGTTCTGAGAGGAAACCATCTGGAACAACGAGGGGGTATCATCAATAAACGTAGTCCAGTAGGAGCCATCGATAAATACATCGTGAGTCAAAAGTGCGAGCAAGAACGGCATGTTAGTCTTAACACCTCTGATTCTGAACTCCACAAGCGCTCTCAACATCTTACGGCGAGCGATCTCATATGTGGACCCGAGACAAGAACACTTGACCAACATAGAGTCATAGTGGGGAGAGATGACGGCACCGGCGAAACCATTGCCACCGTCCAACCTAACACCGTTACCACCAGCAGAACGATAGACCTCGATCTTCCCACAGTCAGGAGCAAACTGGTTAGATGGGTCTTCGGTGGTGATGCGACACTGGATCGCACAGCCTCTGGCAGTGATCTTGTCTTGAGTCAAGCCCAACTGCTCGAGCGAAGCACCAGCGGCAATCTGGATCTGGGCGGCGACGATATCAATGCCGGTGATTTCTTCGGTGATGGTGTGCTCAACCTGAATACGCGGGTTGATCTCAATGAAATAATGGCGGTTTAGGTCGTCAACAAGGAACTCAGCGGTACCGGCGTTGACGTAGTTGGCGGTCTGGGCCAACCTCACGGCGTCGGCCAAAATGGCATCTCTGACGGCCATTGGAAGCGTCTGGGCTGGAGCAACCTCTACGACCTTCTGGTGACGTCTCTGGACGGAGCAGTCTCTTTCGAACAAGTGGACGACGTTGCCGTAGGAATCAGCCAAGAGCTGGACCTCGATGTGTTTTGGCTTGTTAAGGAAACGCTCGATGAAACAGGTACCGTTACCGAAAGACGCGAGGGCCTCAGACGTAGCACGCTCAAAGGCATCCGCCAACTCCTCCTTGGCCCTGACAACTCTCATACCACGGCCACCACCGCCAAACGCGGCCTTGATGATGACTGGGAAGCTGTACTTGTTGACAAAGTCTTCGGCCTCGTCAACGGTAGCAATAGGACCATCGGTACCCGGCACAACTGGGACATTGCAGGACTGGGCAAGGTTACGGGCAGAAACCTTGTCACCAACAGCATCGATAACGGTGGCTGGTGGTCCGACCCAGGTGATACCGGCGTCGGCAATCTTCTTGGCAAACTCAGCGTTCTCAGAGAGGAAACCGTAGCCTGGGTGGATCATGTTGACCTGGTGCTGCTTGGCGATGGAAATGATTTCGTCAATCTGGAGATATGCCTGGACAGGAGAGAACTGCCCCTTGGCACCAATGGCGTAGGACTCATCCGCCTTGAGCCGGTGCATGGAGAGCCGGTCTTCGTGCGAGTAGATGGCGACGGTTTGCATGGAGAGTTCGTGAGCCGTGCGGAAAATACGGATTGGGATCTCACCACGGTTGGCCACCAAGATCTTGTTGGACGCTCCCAAAAGGGACGTCTTCTGTCTCATGTCAGAGATGGTCGAGGACATTGTGTGTGATGCGGAAAGAGAATTAGCTTATCTCTATCAGTCGCAGATGATAGTGGAGGAATAAAGAACAGAAAGCAATAGGCGGAAGTCAGTCAAAGGGAGGGGACAGCTTATATATCTGGCGATGGGCGCCTAATCGTGTGACAAGGGCGGCAGAATTTTGCTGGGAGATAAAACCATGCACTATGTGCATGCATTGTGACATGTGGGTATAATTGCCCGGCGTAGAAGCCCCTCCCCTGCCCCCCTCTTGGAGCGCGCTTATCTAAGGAGCTGTCGCAGTTCCGTGTCGGATATCGATGGAGCTACCGTCTCAGGAGGTTGCGCGCAGGATAAAACGGTGATCTGAGCAACATCAGGAGATGAGTCTAGCGCATGGTTATGGAGCGAGGGGGTGCGGTACATAAGGGCCGAGAGATACTTTTCGGAGTTTCTTGCCCTTTGCGAATACTCGGGGAAAATTCTCTCGGGGTGCAGGCTGTACTGAACTCCGAGAAGTCATGTACGTGAAAGGCAAATGCATGTGATTGGTGGGACACTAGGCCTGATTACGGTAAGGGGGTCTGGTGGTGCCATGACGTGGGTATGACTCGTCGGAGTTTCGAATCCAGGAATTGGTGTATTGAGGCAAGAACCACAATCAGAGAACGTGAGGTTAGACTTTGGTATATATTTCAGAAACGAATGTTTTTAAAGTCACGGCTCCGGCGAACTTTCACCGTGTCTCTTGCCAAGGGTTCTTCCCTCGCCCAGAGCCTTACTCCAACGATTATAGATTCGGGCTGTAAACATGCATCTGTGGGTGCGGCGGGTCTGGAGATGAGTTAGCCGTTGCGTCTTGGTATTATCCTGCGCAATTGTCTAGTCTTATCCGAAGCTCCGGCCAGGCCAATAACTTTTCCATCTACTTCTCGAAGTTTAATGCGCACTATTTCCAGAGAAGATGCGCTCCGAGTGTCGATCCTATACTCTGCTAGTTTATATGTATAATACTTCGCAGGCCAGTGTTTTGAGAAGCGTATGGTGGGGTGATGTCTCAATTCGGGGTGGGATTCTGCTGTCTTTCCGATCAGCCAAACTTGAATGCATTAACTCGCGGTACCCCTATGGGTTACTAGATCTGGAAAGACATGTGACTTCAGATTTCTCCAAAATATTAGGTGGCTATGCTTTACAATTGGCGTTTCATTGAAAGTTTCCTATAGGACTTCCTGTAGCGCAAAAATACACCCCGGGGAAGAGGACTATGTAACTCTCGGCTATTGGGATTTCATGAGCACAGATCTTCTATTCCGAGAGTTCTGTCATGTACATAATCAATATCACGATATGGTCTCCGAAGCGAAGAGAACCGACATTTATTTAATCTGATAATGGTCTCTATCGTAACAGCCGTCGAGGAAACTAGGTCTTGCAACTGATATGCAAACCAAGAGGGTTGCTAGGGTGTGAGACAATTGGCTTAACATTGGTTCACAAACCGTGGAGATTTTAGCACTATTCTATCTCTCAAAGGTAATGAACAAAACTTTGCAAAATTGGGTGCACCCGAGCAAAACTCGGGAATGTCATCCAGAGTTGCCAAAATACAGTCTATGCTCGGAGTGTGTATTAAGCGAAATCCCGATCTCTTTGACAATTGATTGAAAACGGTCCGACGCCTTTCTGAAATTCTGAGTGACAGTGAGATGTTCTATCGGCAGCTCTATGGGGTGCGTTCCATTCCAGTATCTTACGCAAAAGTTTAGACTAAAGCTTCAAGGCTGTAAAGTTCCGGCAATAGGGATCTTTTTAGACCACATTATCCAGCAAGGGTTTTTTTCCCAGCGCACGGCGTATTTTTATTTTGAGCCCCTTATAACCGGAACTCCCACTCTCTAGCTTCGATATATGTAGGTACGCTTCTGGAGAAGGTTTTGGGCGGTCTTTGTTATCATTAAATCCTGGGTATATATGAGTACGACTACCGACGGTTAAGAACCAGGGTAGAATCCCGGGGTAAGCTCAAAACCAAACTTCTGTCAATAGTTACCGACATATACCCGAAATCTGTCGGCTGATGGGATGTAGAAAAAAAAAGAATGCTAGATGTTCCAAGTTGCCTAGTTCAACCACGAGAGCCTCTCTGTTAATGATTTGCGAGCGGGGACTTTCTGCTGACTCTGGCCATTGACATGGAGCTGGTAAAATTTACCCCTCCTCCGCAATTGCGTGCCCGCGGCCTGTATGTTTTCTATAACATAGTGAACTGAGATTTGCCGGGTTCGGGGTTACAAGTCCGCTACGGCATTAGATCCAGGGTCCCTGTAATATTAAACTTAGGATACTCCTGAGTGTCTCTACCAATTTTGCGTCAGACTGCCAGACAAGGATGTGCATTGGTAGGCTATTTGGCTTTCCCCAGAACTCAACTTCCCGAACCGGCAGCCTTTTTCCGTCACTTGCAATAAAGGTCCGTTAAGCGGGTATTGGGTAATACTAAATATCATTAGTTCATACACTAAGTAGATAGTTATGTTCCAGAATATCATTCGTGTAATTTCAACATCGATTGGGAGCCTTTTCATGGGGAAGTTTGGAGCCTCCTCCAGATAAGTTTCTTCCACCGATAGCTATGTCATCGGCAATCGAGTGGATTCCGCCTCTATGGCCAAGTGGTAAGGCGCCTCACTTGTAATGAGGTGATCGCCAGTTCGATTCTGGCTGGAGGCAGGTTCCGTTTTTTTCCTCGCCATAACTGCTTTATTATGTAATGTTAAATAAGCAGAAACAAGTCCGATACAGTTCATTATTTTATGATAAAGAATTGCTAGGTATTTTCCAATGCTGCAGTTGTACCTTAAAGGAAGCTATATACATAAATTTGAGGGTTGCAATGAGTGGGGTGGCGATATTAAGATTCAAGCCATATTTATCTAACTTTTGGAGGGTTTTGTTAGCGCTTTTATTTTTAGTATAGTCCCTAATTATCTATATTACTCGTTTGGATCGAATGTGAGAATCCATACGTAACCTGTCCAGAGATTGTTTCTATTTCCAATGCAAAAAATTCGTCATCTTAACATTTACGAGTTATATGTACGGTGTTACTTAATTTGATCCCCAGAGACTTTATCCTAAAGGAAAATAGTGGTCAATATACGTATTTAACCCCCCAGACCCACGTCAGATGGTATCCCGGAGGAGGTTTTCATGTTGTAGGTATAATGGGCATCAATATTGTTTATTGTTCAGTCATTGCAGATACAGGAATCGCTTAGACAGTTAAAAATCTCATTAGCTATATAAATTAGAAGTAAAACTTTAGTGGAGAAGAGACGGCAAAATATGATTATTGATACTTGCACTCTGCAATTGACGAATCGACACATCCTAGCTCCAACTGTACAGGGTACGGAAAGCCTAGCTTACACCTTCAGGTCTGTAGAGCTCTCGACACCATTTATTATCAAATTATTACGGTAGATTGAAGTTAATTGAGAACTTCTAGTGATTTTTTACACATAGCAAAACTCGTGCATGATCTCTCGTGCCTTTAGACACATAGGAAACAAAAGGTCGTGCCGTAATCGTACAGCGTTTTACATAATACACATACCAGAGAAAATTACATGCCAATACCCACTAATATAACCGGCTGGCCGAAATCACATAATAACGCTGAGCAGTTTCACCTCTAATATCAAGTCACGATGTATAGATCCACCCCACCCCCTACTTCGTCCAGCATTGTCTACGTTGGCCAACTTCCTTACGAGTGGAGCGAAGAGGCCGTCCATAGTAAGTTTGTAGCGCGTCATACTCCCTTCCGAATTGAGTACTAACAAACTCCTAAGGTGCTGTATGTGGGACCGGTGATGTTGTTGAGGTCAGAATGGGTATGGATAACCCCCATAAAAACAAAGGCTTCTGCTTTGTCGAGTATGCCAGTATGTATATAGCTACCGCTTGGTTTCCTGAGCCGATCCTAACATCTGAATTTATAGATCCAGCTGAAGCACACAAGGCAATCTCGTTACTTAACGCGATGAGAATCGAGGGGAAGAAAAATTTACGCACCGAATTGTCCAAGGAAGGCACCAGAGAACGCATGAGCGGCCAGAGCCAGAAACCGATTTTAAAGTTGAACCGAAACGCCTTGCCACATAACCTTATCTTGCCACAAGAAATGCTTAATGATGGGATACCATTACCAAATCGTAGTGCAAATGGCTACGCAGCTCCGAACATGGGCGCGCCTTACAACCAGAACGCCCAGATGTACAACACAAATACCTTCGGTAGCGGGCCCAATTTCAACGGAAACAGGTTTAACAGCTCGGGCCCAAACAATTACACGAGCAACCAAATGTCAGCGATGCCATTCTCCAACCCGGCCATGGCCCCGACAGCCGCTAATCAATTCTCTGCCCCTCCGCCGATCCCAGCCAGCTTAACCAACGCTTTCCAGGTTTTACCGCAACAAGGTGGTCATACCTTTGACAAGGAGGATAAGGTGAGTGAAAATTTGTCTACGATTCCCCCAGCGATGTTGGTGCAACTCATTGCGCAGTTGAAGAGCTTGCTTATAGGTCCGAATGCTGCCTCTGCAGCCCAAATTTTCACCGCTTACCCGCACTTAGCAGTATCAGCGGCCCAAGCCCTTCTCTCCATGGGCCTCATTGACCTCGACGTTATTTCGGAGGCTGCCCTGACATCATCCGTGGAAGCGGCTGCTACCGGTCGCTCCCCAGTCCTGGCTGTGTCTGTTCCAGGACAGACGGATATCCCGGCTCTAAGTCAGGACCCAGTCACCGTCCAGGCCCCGGCCCCAGCCCCACAAGTTGCAGTCAACTCAAAGTGGCCAAACTTGCCATCATCTGTCGCCGACAAGTTGACGGCATTGGACCCATCCCAGGCGGAATTGATTGCGCAGGTGTTATCGTTCACGCCCCAGCAGATTGAGGCCATGGCCCCTGATCAGAAGGCCATGGTTCAGAATATCCATTCACAATATTATTAGAGTATATATCAGTGTTTTAACCTTGGGCTGGTAAGAGGCCATTAGAGAGCTGGCAGGAAAGCCCTGAGAGCTGGCGGATAAGCCATGAGACTACCTAAACGAATAGCAGACGACTTTGTACATTATGGCCACATAGATAGATATGGGGATATTCCTGAAAGTCTACTCCGTCTGATTGTATGTGAATATAGCTAGGGAGACAAATATAAACATATATATCCTGGGGTCTGCCATTAAGTTTCAGGGAATGCAGCCCCTCGTGCCTAAGTCTGTGTTCCTCTCCACCATGTTTCCTCCTACTTTGTTTTGCCCAAACGTTCAATAACTATTCCTAAACAGATTTAGACGCCCAAATTACGTAGCATCTAGGCCTGGAACAGCTCTGTCGTACCCCACCCTTAATGTGACAATGCTGCAGGGAATCTTGAATTTACACGTGACTAGTTTCTTGGCCCCACTACCGTGCAGTTCGATCAGGTTGCGATGAAAAACTCTAACCGCTCGAGATCTTGCACGCTAAAAATAACCCCAATGTAAGATTTCCGATCTCAGCCTTCAAATCTCAACTTCCCATTGCACCACGATCCAGAGGGCTTAAAACGAAGGTTCAAAGCAAACCCCCTCCTTCTAAGCTTCCTTGTATATACCCGGAGAGTTTTCCCGCCCAGCATCTAATTGGCCCTGGCCACCAAATCTCTGACCATCCACAACAATGTCATTTCTCGACGATTTTCAAAGATCCAGATCCATCAAGCTCGCCCTCTTTATTCTCCTTTGCACCATCATCACCATTTTCCGTCTAGCCTTTAGCGGCGATAACTCCGAGCCAGCAACCTCCGATGGCTACTCAAACGAAGAACTCAACTCCATCTTGCAGGGTAAAACTTCAGGGTTTGCCATCACCAAGGTGCCTTTGATAAATCACGCCTTGGAGCACCCGTACTTGGATGCTCAATCCCTTTCGGGGATGGCCTGGTCGATCTCCAGTAGTGCCATGATCAAAAACTACGAGTACATCCGCTTAATCAGCGACAGACCCGACAACTCTGCGCGGATGTTTTCCAAGATGCCAATCGAAGCTGAGTCTTTCGAGTTGGAGGTGGAGTTCAACCTTCACGGCAGAGCGAATAACGGTCTTATGGGTGATGGCTGGGCCTTGTGGTTAACCAACAAAGCCTTGGGCCCAGGCGAAGTCTTTGGTGTTGAAAACCACTGGGTGGGGTTGGGAGTCGTGTTTGACACTTACCGCAACGGCAAGTCGGGCCACTTTCCACAGGCCGGGGCTATTGTCGGGGACGGGAACCAATATTTTGACAATTCTATTGATGGTGCCAACATTATGATGGCTTCCTGCATGGCTAGAGGCATCTACAATACCAATTCAGGTAAATCCAGAGCCAGACTTGTGGTATTAAAGGATGGATATGTGAGTTTAGACTTGGACAACAAGGCCAACGGGAATTGGAAGAACTGCTTCACGCTACAGGACGTGAATTTGCCCAAGAGCATGTACATTGGGATTTCCGGTGCTACTGGCGCGTTGTCTCATGCGTTTGATCTCATCGCATTACACGCCTATTCGTTGAGTGGCTCGGACGGGCAGCCTATCCAGAATATAGCTCAGTTGGAGCAAATTATGCGTCCAGTCGAGGCCGAGGAGATTCAGGGGAAACAAAATTTGTATTCCCAACCGGGTAAAGGAGGAAGAAATCAAAAAGATAAAGACTCTACAAATACCAGACGGACATTGAAGCGTCTCCAGATGAGTGAGCGCAGAATCAAGGAACAGGTGGCTGAGAGAAAGAAACAGGCCAGGTTGGAGGGTAAGTTGGGGTTCTTTGGCCGTCTCTTCTGGCTTTTAAAGTACACCGTGTATATTTCATTACTGGGGTTGGTGGTGCATGTTGGCAGAGTGTACTATAGGGTGTACAAGGAGCAGCGCCGCAGGCACAACAGGGGGGGCTTGATCAACTAGGTAAAGCATGTGTTTTAATGTACGTTTTTACTAATGAGCCATTTACAATGGCACAGATAGAAGCTTTCATGTATGAGTAATCTTTTCCGGGTTTTGCTTCCAAGAGTAGACTTCAAAGTGGATTGGTCCTACGGAGTTAGGGAGCATGAACAAGGTGTATTGTCACTGGACTCTCCTGAGACTCGTGGTTTGCTCTTGCCTTAGGTAAGCAGAATATGCTCCTACGATGGACATTTTCTTCGAGTGTTATTGTGGGCACTTTTGCAGGTGGTTCATCAATATTTGAGTTCTATAACCTTCTAGTTAGCTTGGATTAATTTCGCTGGGCTTAATATCTATTAATATCCATTAATATCCATTTAACACTCATTTAACATTCATTTATTTTGGATAATCGCGGTTATTTCGGCAGACAACTTTGAAGCCATAACCGAGGAATATCATTTCGAGGTTTGTATTAGGGTGTATAAAAGTGATTTATTATCTATTTCTAGGACCAACGACAAACTTCAAAGGCTACGGATACGTACACCATACTTTCTAGCTCATGAACTGGCAATAACATCAGTGATGGCTTTAAAAAGTTACACGAGGAAGCTACTACTGGCGTTTTCTCTTAAAAGATAGTCAATCTTAGACCCAGTTGTCACGCTAAGGAATCGGCTTCCAGTATGGCGGATAACCTCCAGTTGTAAGTCTGGTTTGGTGGTAGCGTGACTATAGCACCGTGATTCTAATCTCAACCATCCTGGTTCATGATGAAGCATCTCTCGATGAGCCCCATTTTCTTTTCAGGCGCACTTTGATATCCAACCTTCTCCCATCTACACGTGCACTAGACCCCGTTCCTCAGCTGCATGCAGAAGCTTGAAACAATCGCCAGACTCCTGTGCTAGGCCGTCGATCTTCAAATCAGGGGGCTTCATCGAAGTTTTTCGGATGTGTCACGCGCAGCACCAAACTACGCTAAGATCATACCCATCCAAAGTTTTTATCTCGTATCACCATAGTGGATTAAAAAAAAACTCCCGATCCATCTTAATTGGTTCTCTGATGTCTCAAAGCTCCGCATTATGTCATTGGACACATTTAGGCCATTCAAGCTTCTGCCATACTACCCAATACAAAATGTCGATCATTCCCCCACACGCCACCGTACTGTGACGGATAACTTACCGCCGGATGTAGGATCACCCGCGTGCCGTAGATTCACTTGTCGCCAGCTCTGTAATTCCCAATTAAGGAACCTGAAGATAGTGTGTAATTGTATCATTAAATAATTTGTACGACTTATTTCGGTCTTGCGTAAAACAAAGAATGGAATAGGCCGCTCGATTTTCCCCCGCGACTGCCGGCGGCCGAGTCACTCCATTCCCAACAGAGCTGCTTTCCGTGACAGTAACGGGGGTACGGCAACTACGTCAGGCATGTGGTGAACACACGCCGACGCCGATGGTTTTCGACACACAAGCACCATGGCCCGTGTCATCTCCAATTTACGTAAATACACCAAAGTAACTCTTGACATTTCCCCACTCCCTGGATCAGCTACGTCTTTTGAGGTTGCCGTTATATCTATCTACATTCACTGAGCCACCCTAACTCTCGACACCATGCCTGACAGCGAGAAGAACAAGATGAGGAGCTTCTTCAGCGGGTTGAAGAGCAGATCCAGCTCACACGTGAGCTTGCTGAACTTATCACTCCACGATGACAACTCCCACCAGCCACATCATTCTTCGCCGTTACATGGCTCGTCCAGCGAAAGTACTGGATCGCATCGAAAGGGTCTCTTCAGCTCCTCCTCCCGTAACTCGTCCCTGGATAGCGTCAAGAAGCTGCCAGCGCCAAAGAGAGGCGGCGACCTGCTGCAGTCAATCGCCAGCTCTGTAAACCGCGACCACAGCGGTGAGAAATCACACAAGGGCTTGGGGTTGACCAGGTTTCTCAAAACCATGCACGATAACCGAAAGTCACGCCACCACGCGAAAGAAAGGCCCAAACTCTCGAGCTCCCACTCACCTGAGGGGATCAAGACCAGCTCGCTTTTGTACAAAAAGTACGGGGGCACCCAGGGGAAGTTGCTTGGTACCGGTGCTGGCGGGTCCGTGACGTTGTTGCAGAACGGGCAGACGGGCAATATGTACGCCATCAAGCAGTTTAAGACCAAGTCGACGACCGAGTCCATGGACAACTATCTTGGCAAGTTCAAGAAGGAGTACAAGATCTCGCTGAGATTGACGAACCACCAGAACATCATCAAGACGTTGGACTTGCTCACGGAAAGCTCGCCACCGAAGCACAACAACCCGATCGGGTCCCCCACGCAGCAGATCTACACCTCCACCGTCTACTTGGTCATGGAGTACTGTCCGTACGACTTTTTCAACCTTGTGATGTCGGGGTTATTGACCATTCCTGAAATCAACTGCTACATGAAGCAATTGATCAACGGGGTAAACTACATGCACGATCAGGGTATCGCGCATCGCGACTTGAAGCTCGACAACTGTGTGGTGGACAAAAACGGTATCTTGAAGCTCATTGACTTTGGCTCTGCCACTGTGTTCCGTGACCCCGCCTTCCCCGAGATCGTGCTCCCGGCAGAGGGCATTGTGGGCTCCGATCCTTATTTGGCCCCGGAGGTATTCTACAGAGGCCACTCGCACTTGGATATCACGAGTGGATCCCACAGTAAGAGTGCCAGTAAGGTTACTAGCCACAATAGTGCTTTTCAGTCTCCGCTGGAATCGCTTCCGGGAACTCCAAGATCTGGCACCCCAGTCTTTTCGTCCCACGGTATCGCGACCAATGGGTACGATCCGCGATTGGTGGATATTTGGTCCCTTGGGATCATCTATTGTTGCATGGTGCTCCGTCGGTTCCCGTGGAAGATTCCGAAGGTGAGTGATCCATCATACAAGTCCTTCCAGACGCTTCCAGAGTCGACAGGGGGACTTCCGCCGATGAAAGGGGCCACATTCGTGATTGAAAGCACCCCGGTCTCACCTACGGTCTCTGCTTCCCCTAAACAAACAGCGGTTGAAGGGGCGACTCCAACTTCCGAGGCGCCATTGCCAGTCCCGGTGATTTCGCCAGTTCCGTCTCACCCCCCAACACCTACCCCAACCACTTCGTCGCCCACCGGCCCTACCAAGCTTCTCCGTCTTCTTCCGCGTGAATCTCGTCACTTGATCTCACGTATGCTTGAAATTGATCCCAAGAAGCGGATTTTGGTGGATGAAATTGTGGGCAAAGATCTGTTTTATCTTTCGATTCATGAATGTCGTGACGTGTACACTCAGAATCCAGAAGACCTGACCTTGGTGGATCCCGAAGATCACTGGAGATTTGTCAAGGCTGATGACCACGACCACCATTTGATTACCAACGAAGAGTTTGACAAGATCCAGGAAGAAAAGCGAAAGGCCAAGGCTCTCAAGATTTAATGTTTGATAGACGTTTCTTAGAACTGAGGTGTGCAAAAGTTTGCTGAGGCTTGTATCCGTTATATTTTTATTAGATACCGGCAAGGTGAATACCAAACTGTGCCCCTCCTCCCCCACGATTGTGTTTCTTGACATATGACCGATAGAGTCTTCCTGTTAATATTTATTTCCACGTCTTTTTGTATTGTTGTGACGCATTTTTATTATTATTTCAATCCTATATTAAGTTGAATAGCACGCGTAAGTGCATGTTGGAATTGTCTAACTGTTTTGATATACTATGGTGACTAAAGGATTTAAATCGTGCGGCTATCTAGCTAACTTCAACATATATTGCCACTTGTACATCCCGTCTTGCTCTACACGATTACTTTAGTCCTCCTCTGCTTAATAAAGAGCTAACGGCACAGCACTAAACCTTGTAATGGCCGGCTATCGGTCCTGTAAGCAAGGCTTCTCAGGCAAGGAATGCAGTCAAGCACCACTAAAACAAGTTGGATATTGTTACCCTCAAGACCTCAATTAGAATGGTTTTGATAAAAATACACCTTGGTAGAGTGGGGTATAGGCGTAGCATGAGGGCTGGTGATATTTCCCATTCGGTAGTGAGACAGAATACGCGGCCCACCTGCATATGATCGTGGGGGTACGCGGAGATAAGGGTCAAGGGGAAATATTCGCTCTCGAACAATTCTCCCCTTTCTATGGAAGTACAAAAGAAATATAACTAGGTTTTGACAGCAATACATACGTGTGACAATAGGGCAATGGAACTAATTAGGCTTTAAGCGACAGCAGCACTATTTTTGACCACGTATGCATACACTGTTAAACGCTCCCACAGTTTTTCCCAGCCTTCTGAAACCGTTTATAGTGCCTCCGTATTTATCTACGTATTCACCAACGATAATAAAGTCCAGTGTTGGTAGGTTTAAAGGATACCGGCGTGGCCCAGATAATCGAGGTAGGCGACATCGCCTACAACTGCCCACATATTCCGGTTTCCGTTTAGGGGCAGACTTAAAAAAAAAACATAGCACTGAGAATGGGCATGTCCCAGGTGCGTATGAGAGGCAGGCTAGAGATCAAGGGTAGCATCTAGTACGCCCCTCGTGTTAGAGACCTCGAAGTATGTCAAGCCAAAGCTGTAGGATCTCAAAAGTGTACATGGAAAACAACGTTTCATGTGTGTACCCTGGCAGTCATATAACGTGAACTCTGGCTAGCTTCATTGTCTCATCGGACTAATTCATATCAAAGTCACCGTTTTATTACACCTGCGAGATAAATGAGTATAGCAAAGAGGGAGTTGGTAGATGGTAATCTCGAAAGCTAACACGTCGTTTGGTCGACGCCTTGTTCGCTGGGTTCGTATATTTAGCTGTGGCACACGCTTCTTACCACCGTCTGTGTCCCAATATAATAACTTTTGTTATAAGCCACATAACACCTTGATTATCCACATGTATCATTTCGACTCTAAACCTTAACCCACTTCCCAACAAACGAAACGTCTGGTATACTGCCAGTAGTGCTACACCTGAAGTATCCTGGAGTTAAGGGAACGCGGCTTCATCGGCTGCATGTGACCCCTAACTGGGAAGCGCAATCACATGCCTCGGCATCACCATAGTAAAGTCCGGCACATGGAATTGGGGGGAGGCAATGCGGGGACATGGGGAAAAACTGGGTATATAAGTATTTTGACACCTGCTACTTTTCTCTTTCTCCTGCTAGACCCTAATACCCATATACCATGTCTTTATCTGTCGCCGGTTTTAACTCCTCCCCTCTCTTTGACCAAATCAGAGACGCCTTGAACTCCAACAAGGCCGCCAAGGATGCGATCCTCAAGAAGACCAAGGCTGTTTTCGTCTTCACCGTCACAAACAAGGAAGGCCAGAAGCAGTCCTGGTTGGTTGACTTGAAGGATACCGGTGATGCCAAGAAGGTTGAAGAAACCGACGCCGAGGTCAAATCTGCCGACATTGTCATCAACGTCAGTGACTTGAACTTGAAAAAATTGGCCCTTGGTAAGGCCAACGCACAGAAGTTGTTCATGTCCGGGAAATTGAAGGTTAAGGGTAACGTCATGAAGGCGGTTGCCATTGAAGAGGTCTTGAAGGTTGCCAAGCCAAAATTGTAAGCGACCTTAAGGTCTGCGCTGGCGTATCAAACGACTTATTCCGTATATTTAACATAATCACTATTTAATGCGCTGTAGGGGAGTGAACAAGACGAGCTCAAGAAACAGCTGGTTAAGAATAAAGTGCAATGTTAGAACGATGAACGTTAGAATAACGAGTCATAGCTGAGAATGTCGAATACGATGAAAAGTGTCAGTGTGGGGTAGTTTATATTGATGTCTAAACACCAGATTACAAGTTGGAAATAAAGCTTGCATAATAATTATCGGCCTTCCGGAACGTATCTCCCTTCACCGGATAATATGTAGAGTCTTCTCAACACTGATCACAATACTGTGTGATATCCATACTAGTATCTTATATCCATTAAATACATCGCTACTTTATACAAAATATACATGCTCCAGCTGAGTATAGACTCGATTTACCCGGACAGAGATCAACGGAGTTTGCGAGGTGCCGGCCTATCATTGGAAGAGGCTGGTTGGTCAGGTGCGGGACAAGCATTATCAGATACTTGTGTGATTGTCTTAATCTAACAAGATCCAGGAGACATATAAGAGAAATCAACATCTAACTCGGCCTGTACGGATGGTAGACGCGAGGACTACGTGTCGTAGACCCGGTCGAACGTGTGGGGCCACCTGAAGATCTGTCAGTAGAACTTTCTCTGGTGGTGCTGGACAGTTCTGCAGTATCTGGCTCGGCCGACGTGTCAGTTAGCGGGGCGTGAAGGCGGGTACCGGGGACTGTACTGGGGGCATTGCTTGAAACACCGGGCGTACGAGTGGGCGTAGGGCCAAAGTCGTACCTCACGGTGAATTGGTTTGGTCCTGAGCTGGTGAATATCACGGGCAGACGCGCTTCACCCCTTGGGAGGTTCACAGCATTAGCCGCTGTGGTGGTAAATGCTCCGGTAGCTGTCGTTCCCGGGGCCTCCGCTCCATTAGCTGTAGGTGCTCTGGCAGCCCTCGCAACAGCCCTGGCGTGAGCTTGGAGCGGATTCTCCCGCGCAAGCTGTGGAGTGCCCATTCCCGGGGAGTAGTCTGCAAAATCGATCTGCACATCATGGAAACCGCTAGGCAAATGGGAACCCCACCATTGACGCGACGTCTGCGCGCGGTACACCGGGAATGGCACCGCCGGATCGTCTAGCAAGTTTTCTGGACCTGCAAAGTTCGGCAGGGCGTTCGATTCTGGGAACTGAAAGCTCCTGTGCTCCAGCGCTGTGCTGGCTGTGACCTCCCCGCGACACAAGGGACACGAGGCGTGTTCCTTGAGCCATTCGATGATACACGACCGGCCAAAAATATGGCCACAGTCGGGGACTCTTACCGCATCGTGTTTGGCGTGTTCATCGCCGTTCTGCTGCCTCTGTAGACGGTCTTTCTTCGACTCCCTACCGATGACAGCGCAATACTTCGCGGTGGCCTCTGTAGGGTAGAGGAGCTCGGGGTCGCCAGGGGAAAGAAAGTAGCTGGTTTCTGGCACTTTGAAGTTGTAGAGGTCGGAGAAATCGATGGCAGCGGGCTCAGCCTCTTTCTGGAACTCGTCGTAGCAAATCGTGCATTGTCTTTCTTTTACAGGGAGTTCGTCGGGGTTGACGTACTCCAAGTTTTCGAGCACCTCCTCGCTAGCAGGTTTGGTTTGTTGGCCAGGGGGGACAAACCATTGCATAGAGACTCCACCGGGGATATTCATTACAGATTTTTGCTAGCGTGGACTAGATAAAGAGTATGCGTGTGAATGAAGCTTTTGAATGCCACAATCAAATGTAACGCAACAAGACACCGGTTGCATAGATTTTTATATCACGTGTCACGTTTCGACTAAGATCTGCACCAGGCTTTCGTACTGACAAAAAATGGGGCGCTGGCTTAAATCCAAAGTGGAAACATGAGTACGTTTAATACGGATATTAACAAGTGCAGAACAATAACCATAGGTCCATTGCCTCAAAGGGCTGGTAGTACACATCACAAACCTACATTAGATCTCAAATGTGCTTCTAACCGTTGATGACCAGCTGCGAAAATGATTGGCATCAAGTTTTAATAAAATAACGCAGCGATCGTACATCAATAGTAGTCTAAAAGGTAGGAAAATGCATGAATTTATACTATGTCGTGGGCACCCCAATGTATGTTACCAAAGTGGAGTCGGAGATGTGGGTCGTAACGTCGTGAACGCATAAGAGAGGCCGCGCCTACTGAGTAGCACATTGCACGCTCAGATCGGCTTCGTCGCCATCAATCTCAAGATATACGTCGTCCTCAAAGTCATCAAGCCCATTGGCATCCCGCTTGTCTCTTCTCTGTCTTTTGTTTCTTCCATTTGTAGGGCATCCCATGTTTGTGTTCTGCATCGGGGTGTTTGCCGTGAAGCTGGGGTCGTATGTCATGTCGCTAAAGAAGCACTCTTCGACTTCCTGGGTGTCCTCGTCGTCCTGGCTCTCCTCCAAGGCAGTAGCGTTGCCTGGGTGGGAGTGTTTAACTGAGGGGGTGGATGGGAGAAGCGACGCCAACTGTGTGAACGTTTCTGAGGTGAAATCCTCGGCCTTTGGGAAGCGAATGGAAAACTTCACATAGATCGAGCCATGGCCAATTGGACGCGGGGCGTGTGGGGTATTCATCATCATGTTGGGCGCACCCGTAGTTTGTTGACCTTGATGGGACAAGTCAGGAATGGGCATCCCATACCCCGAAAGCATCTTCAATTTACCTGGGGTAATGATCTCACCCTGGAGAATCGACACCCGCAATAATCGGCCCCCTTCAAGCGACGGAATATCAATCACCCCGCCGCATAAGGCAGTTTTCAAATCCACCTGGGCCACATGGATCAAGTCATGGCCTTTTCTTTTGAACACCAGATGGTGCTGTTCGTCCACAATGACCACGACATTACCAGGTATCACGTTGGGGTACTGGTCGCCCTCACCGTCCAACACTATGCAGTCACCGTGCTTCGAGCCTGGAGGCACGTAGACGGTCAAAATCAGGCGCTCCTGAACTACAGTCTGCCCGTGGCAGGTGGCACACTTGTCTTGGGGCTTGGTGAACTTCCCAGAGCCATGGCACTTGCTGCAAGCGACTTCGTGGGTCTCGAAGAAGGGGCCGTTTTGGCGCTGGAACATCACCTTGCCTTGCCCGTTGCAACCAAAACACTGGTGGATGTAGGAAGGGTCTCTGACCCCCAACCCCTGGCAGGAACCGCAGATTACAGTTTTCATTAATGCAAGTTTGGCGGTGCGACCCTTGTAAAGGTCTTCGAGCGTACACTTAAGGGGATGTTTGATATCCTTTCCTCGGCGCATCTGGGACTCCATTGAGCTAAACATCGCGTCAAGCGATTGGTTCATGGCATTCTGCATCGAGTTACCAAAGAAGTGCGAGAAGATATTTTGCGCCGCGTTGAAACTAAAGTCTGGTTGTGGGTTGTCGTTTGTGGTGGGAGAGTCCCCGCTGATTCCATCGGGTCCATAGTCGTCGTACAACCTTCGTTTCTCGGGGTCTGAGAGCACCTCGTAGGCGTATGCAAGCTCTTTAAAGACGTCCTGTGCGCCTGGGTCTTTATTCTTGTCTGGATGGTATTTTAGGGCGTTGATTCGGTATGCCTTTTTGATCTGCGCGTTATTCGCATCTGGTTCGATCCCCAATAGATCGTATAGTTGTGTCTCGAATGCCATGAGGTGTGTGTCCTTAATTTGGTGGATATGGCTTTGGTGGTACCTCTGGCGTGTGGATCTCGGCGAGTATGATAACGTTAAATAGGTATTTCGCCGTCCGGTCCGTGGTGGGATAGTATCTGCTAGGTAGTTACGTCAGGTCTTGCCTTTGTGATAGGAAAAAAAAACAATGTCCTTCCAGGTATTTGCTGACACTAGACCTAGTCTCCCCAGCATTGGCTACGATAGTGCCCTCTCGATAGTCCTGCACACACTGCTAAACTTATTTTACGCGCCTGAGATATTCTTTTTTGTTCTAGGAATTTCCAGGAATAACCGATCTGCAGGTGTGCATAAATATCCCGCTTAGGAAATAACCACAATTACCGTATATGTGCAGAAACGGCAGTATCAAGCTCACACATCACAAACTACAGAATAAAACGAATAAAACAAATACAATATAGTACAATAGTATACAACATTTACAGTGTGCAGAAACAATCTAGATCAGCAATGAAAGATATCCCTATACGTGTTGTCCGGGGGAGCACTAGACAAACTTCTGCCACCATTTGACCAGCTTGACGCCTCTGGCAAGAGGCATAACGAGCCAGATGATAATCATGGAACCAAACAAAGAAATCACCATTGGCATCACAACGTAAGAACCGCGGTACTCACCAATCAACCCGGTGAAGAATGGGAACAACGCACCACCACTGCTCCCGAACGCGGTCATGATGACCATAGAGAGTGAGAAGAGGTGAGGGTCTATCAAGTCTGCCGCACGCGAAATCATCAACGGATAGATAGGACCGGTGACAAGACCGGCTAGGGAGATAAACACGGCCTCGACAATCACGTGGTTGACCACCCAGGTTAAAACGACAAGCACAACCCCAAGGATTGACGTGTACAAGACACCGCGTCTGGCGCCAAAAAAGAGGGCGAGTGGATGGGTCAAAAACAATCTACCCAAGGTCAAGCCGCCCCAGAACCCACTTGCAACATAGCCGGTCGAGGTACTGTTGGAATGACGGTACTCCAACAAGAAGGTGACAATCCAGCCACCGATGGAAACCTCACCACCTTGATAGCACAAAACAAAGAAGGAAAAAAGCCACACAATCTTGGTGCGGATAGCTTCGCTCATGGTGCCAATCTTTGGCGAGACAGTCTCGATAAGATCTTGTTCACCCATATTTTCCACCGCCTTGGTTTCCAGCTCTTCCTTCGTTTGGCCGGATCCGTCGGTGATAAAAGACAGGCTACACACAATCGCCTCCTGTTGTCTGTCGTAGTCCGCAAGCTTTTCGTTGTAGGCACTGAGGTCCGCGTCGATATCCGAGAAGATGAACCAGATAGCAACAACGTTGCAACAACTAAGGCCAACAACAATGAGGTAGAAGTAGTTCCACTTGATCCCACGATCGATCATGGCAGTGGCAATCAAGGGTGCGACCGTCGCACCCACACCATATGAACCGGAAGAGTATCCGAGGTACTTGGAAGAATTGTGCATTCTGCCCAAAAACACGTTGGTCAAACTCAATCCAATAGCTAAGCCCAACCCCCCGAAGAAGAAGCCTAACACGATCACTTCGAAAGGACCACCCGATGCGACGAGGGCATAGCAGATGGTCATGCAGAAAACAGCACATGTAAGCTGGATATGTTTGCTCGCAAACCTGTCGAGCTTACCAGCAAAGAAGGCGATAGTTAAATAACCAATGGCGTTGAACATCCAAATCAAGGAAACGATAGAATAGGAAATGTTATAGTGGGCTTCAATAGTCGGTAACAACGCCCCTGGAGCACCATCGGATAAGCCACCACAGAAAGACCAATAACAGAGCATTATCACACGATACAAATTCTTTGGTGCATCGCTAAGAAGCATTCCGTCTGGTTTCTCTAACAAGCCAGGAGTGGCGTTCGGCCCTTCAATCTTCATCCCATTACTGGCTACTTGAAGCACGGCATTCTCTGACGCCAGGGCAGCGTCGATAGGCCCATTGAGATTGACGGGATCGCTCATATCTAAGTCAAGGCGCTTTGAATATGCAGAGTCCGAGGAAAGAGAAAGAGTTTCAAGCAACCACCGTAGTAAACCTGGAAGTGCACTTGGTAAATATTTATACTGCAGACCCTATTGAAACAGCGGAAGCCGCTAGCTGAAATATACTTTACCCTTGACGCATGTGGTGAAAAAGCAAATGGAAAAAAAGTTATGCACGCTATTCGAATGGGAATGGTGGGTGAAAGGACGCTGCACTGAGAGAGATCAGACTAGTATTAAATCGTTCGCAGGATTCATTACACTGGCTCATTGCCATCATGTTGGTAAACCTCTTAGCCCGTATCTCTGGGTCTTAGCGTGCCCAAGGAGTTTGACCCCAGTCTGCTTGGCCACTGATTCATATTAGTTACCCGAGCTTCATGCAAGCTGCAAGCACCAGGAAAAATTGCAAAAACTCCCGCCGCGGGAAGGTGCATAACTTGATACATGAAAGGGATCTCCTGGCTATATGCAGGAATGTAGGCGGAATTGTCCTGGTAATTAATCTATTTTGAAGCCGTTCGGTGTGACTAACAGCGGAAATTAATGCTTCAATCGCTCAGGGGGGGCCATCAGGCTCGATTTCTCAATATAGGATACAGCATGTTGATCTAACGCTCAGGCTGAATAGCTGGAGCTGTGCATTGACACCTTTGTGTCTGTATTTTCCCGGAAACCGAGATTAGAAACGTTTCAGATTTAGAGGAACAGTTGGTCTAGCCAATCTGTGGTTGCTGGAATATAAACTCCGGGGTAACTTGTCTCGAATTCAGGAGTTTCACACCTGTTTGCAGGTCCAAATAATGTTGTTACGGGACAGGTAAGCCGTATCAGTCATTGCGTTTAAACTTGAATCCAACCCTAAAAATTTGTAATTTTATTAGATGTGCCATGGCGGAACCTGAAATATGAAACGACTGAGCTCAGGTCACTCTTTCAGGAGGTGTGGAGAGCAAAAGGATAATGGACGAAACGTTTGCAAGAAACCATGCGCCTAACGGTTGACGTTCCGTGGCTCGGTCCGTCTCCTACCATACTCTAATTTCACTAATGGGCTAATCATTCACAATCCAGCAGTATAATCAGAGTTGGATACATCTCTTCTAATGTATTCGAATAAACCATACCTATAATTTCTTGCCCTCTTTCAAAAGCTGAGTGAAAAGAAGTTCACTTTCGTCATTTTCATCATCACTCCCACGGCAAAAGTCATACTCTCCAAACCATGAAGCGGGTTGACTGTCGGGAATTACGCCTACCTGCAGGAGTCCTAGGTCGGTGGTGTCTTTCTCCTCTAAACACTCTGGAGTTTTCTCTCTGGCCTGACCCTGAATAGCCAGTATCTCGAAAGGCATCGCATTAATAGCCGTGGTTTCCTCGCCATTAATGTATAGATCATCTTCAACGTTGACAGCTACTGGTGAGCTTCCTGAGAGTTCTCTGCATGTTTTCTCACGCTCTGCCGCCGTTACGGCCATATCGTGACAAGCATCAATATAGGCACTCTCGGCATAGGCGTCGGTGTTGGAAATGTTTTGGCCCGGTGCACCCACATTGTCCTGGCTATGTACACTACCCATACAAACTTCCCCAGCATTAGTGGCAAGTTTCACTGGCAGGTCATTCTCTGGAATTCTGGAAAGGGTAGTCTTGGCCGCTGAAGCAGTTTTTGCCCCTTCCTTTTCCGTTCCTTTTTCTTCCATTAGCCGCTTTGTTTCCTCGATTTCATCTTCCAGGTCAATCGAGGAAATGTCCAGAAGAGGGGAACTAGATTTAGAACCAGCTACATCTGTGGATATGTCTGGGTCGGCGGCCATGACCCCCACCAAGTATGACGGCTTATCTACCACGTTAGCCGTGTGTAATGTAGCCTGTAGGGGATAAATAGGTAGGGCTTCCCTATTTGACTCTTGGATTGCATAATCGCTGTGTACGCCAAACTTTTGTCGTTTCAGAATCTCATCTATTTCAGATCTCGTTCCTGTGGGTCTCCTCCCTTGTGAGCGTTTCTGACCTGAAAATGATGTATGGTTGACGTTTTCCGTCTGTTTGACGTTTGTGTACGTAACCTCCACCAATTCTTGGCCCAGAATTGGAGTATTCACCATTTCAGTTGGTGTCGAGGGAGAGAAATTTGGATAGCTTTCTTCATTTGGGTGCGAAATTTCTAGTTCCTCGGCAGTGGATGGTAGTAAGGCCGTAGTTTGCAGGCTTGATATCTCAGGAAGCACCTCCGGATCACCAAAGATCACTTCCAGTTGCGTCAGGGTCTGAAGCAACTCCTCAAAGGCATCACCCCCATTCAAGGCCGTTATAATCTCTTCCAGGGGGGTATACTCATTCGGCGTTTTGATAGCACTGCCTATTTCTGTCAAAAATGTATCCCTGGTCTTATCTCGTCTGATGAGAAGGCCAATGCTGGAGAGCTTCTTCGCAACTGCGGGCCCAGACTTGGAGTTTGGTCTAGGTAGAGAGTTCCCATAGGACTGGAGAAGCAGCGATGAATTTCCTCCAAGAAAACTAGGTGTAAGCTCCTTGGGTGATCGGGATTGTGAGTTTTGGCTCGGCACAGAGTCCTTTCCGTAGAGATCAACCTGTAAGACGGCCTCTCTTTTCGTGTCCACTATAGACCAATCACTGTACACCACAAACCGGTTCGTAAGGTACTGGAACCACCATGGACTGGAGACCAGCGGCTTGAGAAACTGCCGTGTCACATACTGAAACCCAGACCTCTGGCTACCCTGCAGCGTGGCAGTTTCGCCATCCGGGGAATCCCCCCTTCCTGACGGCTCGCCTATAATTGTGAGTTTTTCGCTAACCGCTATAAGGTTCCCAGTTAGTAGGCAGGTCAGGTTCTTATCAAAGCATAGCTTGGAGATGATATTCAACAATTCGAGCACAGTAGTCTGGTTAAACTTGTTAACCGGATTCTCTACTTTTGTGAGAAAGAGATTTGGATTCTTGATTGTCTCCCCACCTTGGGCGATTCTGGCTTCGTTGTGCTTGGCTAGCTCCAACTTTGCCATCTCCACGTCCTTAAGCATGTCTTGGTAGAGGAGAAACTGGGCATTTTTTGTGGCTTCCACCAAGTCGTGGAATGCATCGATGACAATGAGGTCGAAGGTGTCAGTCAGGGATGTAAGCTTCTGTAGCAACATAACAAGCTTGGAAAGCTTATTGGCTCGGACTGTGGACACGGAAGCAAACTCTTGAGTGTGTTTAATCCCGCATTCCTTGTTGGTTTCGATCACTAAGACCCTCTTCCCAACGGCGACAAACTCTCGAATAATGTTGCGTGTCACGATGGGCCAACCGTTTCCTGGTACTCCAAGAATTTCGTATATCGACTGCGTTTTCAAGCCCCCGCGTAACGGAAGGGTGAATGAGGGAATGAAAGAAAGAGGGTACACCAGGTTCTGGATGAGCGAACTCAATGACTGAGTCTCTATCATGGCATGTGATGACAGCGTTGTGCGCGTGGACTTCTCAAAAATATAAATGTACTACTTGTTTAGATCTCACTCTTTCCTAATTAAGATTCCTCTAGATTTACTCTGAAATGCATAACGCCTTCAGTGTGTGTGCATACGCGTCACGTTTATTTTCTTACCCGCGTCTGGCGCTCGTGAAAAATCGCGTTAGCTTCCGGCTGTTACCTGTATGTACCCTCCAGGCTTTGAGTATGCAGTCCTCTCTATTTTTGTCTTGGGCATACTAATCTTGACAAGCATTTTTGCTTTAACCCCCATGGCGTATAGTTGTAAATAGTTATAGTCCAAACTAATGCTACACTTAGAAGACTTTTCATTCATTCCGCAGCTACGCAGGTTTAATATTTTCCATAATCTAGGCGTACATAGGAAACGCCGCCATTACCTCATAGCCGGATGGTTATAGCCCTACAACGTAGAAAAAAAATATGTAGTTCACCGTGCTAACAAAGCGTAAACGAGAGGCTATGAGGTATTGGTCTTATTCTATCAAACTAGTCAAAGCTAGAGGTGGCACCTTGAACAACCCTCCAGGACGATATCGGCAAACTCTGCAACCCGCCAACCTGTTTTTTCAACCACACCCAGATGAGGAGCCCCAAGACAATACACACGGTATTAGTGTAGTAGTAACCGTCTCTGGTGGTCTCACAGAGACCCCCGAGAGCCTTACACAGCTCCTTCCCCGCATCTGCTACACAGCTGAAGCCATATTCCAACGGACTGGCCCCCTCCGGCGCCTGGCAGGTGCTGACAGTAAACGTGTCAATCATGGAGAGTACAATGATTCTCGGCCACTGGCCACCAAAGTTGGATAACGTATTCAAGGTGGTCATATACGTGCCTCCAATCAATGGATCGGCGATGTTAGTGTGGAACGCGCAGATAGAAACGAACTGGATCGTCAGCATGAAGGACCCAAGCAAATGCTGCATTATAACGGCTACAAAGTACCCCTTGGTGACCTCACCGTTCGCGGGGAAGTTGTACACAAGAAATTGGGCCAACGCCGCGGACAGCAAGCGGCCGAGGTAGCCATAGAGCCACGGAGTGAGCGGGGACTTCCCGTTGGACCAGCGCGCAGCATAGTAACCAAAGATGATCTCGAACGGAAAGTCAATAAGCACGGTGATCGCAAGGTCCTCCTTCAGAAACCCGCGCTCTAGGAGCTTCAAGTTAGTCGCGGCCTCGTTGGTCTGGAAGCCAATCTTGCACACGAGGTGAATCAAGATCAATAGTTGCACGTTGCGCAACTTCAAGACCTGGAACATGGAGCGATAGACGTTGGCGATGGCACGAAGCCCCGTGCTGCGTTTTCCTGACTTTTGATACTTGGCCAAATGGCGAGGATACTCCGGAACCACCATCACGATACACGTGATGAGAAGGTACATCACGCCCCAGAACTTCAAGTATCCGTTGAGCGAGACGAGACCAGCGTCTATGGGCACCTTGCGCAAGTACTTGTTAGCAAACTCTGGAGAGTTAAAGGCCAAAAACACCGTGAAGGAGGAAAAGTAGCCCGTGTTGATCCCGATCGTCTGTGCGGTTGATGCAAAGGATAACGCGGAGGGGGAGAGGATAGTGAGCGCCCAGCCGTCAACTGCAATGTCCTGTGTGGCACACAAGAACACGAGACAGAAAAACGCACTGGTAATCGCGGTAAGGTTTTCCTCCGGCCGCTCGAGCAACGTTTCGATGCGCAGTCCCAAGAAAATGAGCGTAAGCCCACTGAAGAGCTGCACGGGAATGATCCAACTGCGTCTGCGGCCAAGCTTCGGATAGAAGATCGCGTCAATTATTGGCGACCACAAGAGCTTAAGCGAGTAAGGGTACGCTGCGAGCGAAAAAATCCCCACCTGGGCGTACGAAAGGTGCGATTTAAGGATAAACGGCACCGAGCCGAATGCGAGTCCGACAGGCACCCCCTGGAGCATATAGAGGAGTACCAAGAGAAAAAACGCGGGTCTATCCACTGCCGGAAGGTTGTCGTCTTTTCGCGGGCGAAGCGTGCTTGTCTGGCCGAAATTGAGATCGCCCATGTCGGCAGTCTCGTTGTGTAGCGGGAGCATCTCGAAGTCTTTGGGGGTAGCGGGGCTACTGGCTGAGCGTTTGTACACCGAAGCTTCATCCATTGTGAGTGTAAACGAGGGTAGTGGAAGAAGAAAGATGAGAATTAGAGGTTACACGTAGCTTATTTCCAAGGTTAAAAAGATAGGTTTTATGGTGCTGCCCGCCGTGCATGCCAGGTGGCAGTTATCAAGCGCTGAAGGTCGTGCGTGGATAGACTAGTGGCAGGGACACGGCTAGAGGCGTCTGGATGGGAATTACCGGGCCTTGGGTTTATTTTGTGCCAGAAAACCCGGATGGATTGGCTAGCCATTGGCCCACTGGTGTACTTGATCTTTTATAAAGTTCTTGTTTGACTAGAAGCTCTGAATTGGAGTTTACCTCTGAAATTTTCCTTTAACTTTGTCCGTGTACAAGAGGTAGTATAGGTATGCGTATGGACAATCAATAACTGCCGTAACCATGAATGCACTAAGGGAAACCCTACGTGATGCGCCACTTGGTGTCGCCGATTTCGCACCAGCCGTAAAGTATCGATTAGGTTCCCCACTTGAGCTTATACAATAATCGGAAGCATCGTGTCGCCCTTCCCGAGTTCCAGATATCAGCATTCTGGATAAGGACAAAACCCCTTTTCTAATCCACCCGACAACTATTTTCGCGGTTCACTAAAAGGGTACTAACCAAATCACCAGTGTATCGTAACTTAGAATTTGATGCACATACTTTAGGGTCATGTTAGGTCTCAGCAGAAGTGATGTAACAACCCCCTCCCCGCCTCCGGTATGCGCACACCCTCCGACCCCGGATATCAGCAGCCCTACGTGAAAACCTGCACCACATGACACCGACCGGAAGATTAAACGCCATACAGTTTTTCTTGGTCTTCTTGCAACCACGTCACAAAGGTTAGATCAAAGCTGTACTGTTTCGTTCAGAGTCGAGATCAGCAACTACTGGCTATCTGCAAGCATTTGCACCTTTTCCGCGCATACCACATCCCTTGATACCTTTTTATGACTTCCACTGACAAAAAAAAGCAGAAGCGCACGATCGGACACTACCCGTGCAACATCCCTGGATGTACGAAGGCGTTCTCGCGGGCGGACCACTTACAGCGGCACAAGCTCAACCACAACCCGAAAACTGTCTACAAATGCGACTGGGCGGGGTGCGGGCGCGAGTTTGTACGCAAGGACTTGAAGACGCGGCACATGACACGGCATACACTCCGGCGCGAGAAGGACGAGGATACGCGGCCGGACGATAGCGCGCGTGACAGCGACTACTCCACGCAGGGGCGTGTGTTGCTTGTACCGAACACGCCCTCCTTTCCTTCACTTAAGATCCCGCACTCCATCGACCACGCGGACGACGGGTCCAAGGAGCCCAATCAGGATATTATGCACTGGCTCTTCAGCGCGGGCGTTGTCTCGACGCCGGATTCATTTGACAACACGCCGGCCGCGAGCAGCTACTTCCAGGACACCAACCCGTACAGCTTCTTTGGCGAGTTCGACGTCGCGCACTCGCCCATGGCGATCCTTGATGACCTCTTCGATATGAACGTGGTGTTTGTGCATCAGCAAAACCAGACGTATGTGGACGCAGAAATGCTCCGCGAGCTCACGGCGCTTGTTCCAGGATTGGCGGCTATTCCAGGCTTCACGCTTCCCAACGTTGAACAGTTTCTCCAGAACTATTGGAGCTGCTTCCACGTGCAGTATCCGATTCTTCACCGGCCGTCTCTCGACACAAAGGTGTGTCCGCGTGTGCTCCTCCTTGCGCTCGTGATGGTCGGTGCGAGCTTCATCTCGTGCAACGCGCGCTACAACATTCCTGAGGCAAAAGTGGTGGCACAGGCAATCGCGGAGCCGCTCCGCTGGATGATCTTTGCGTCGCGTGACTTCCATCCGCCAGCACAGGCGTGGGTCATCCAGAGCTTATTGCTCCTTGAGGTGTACGAGAAGCTGTGCGCAACGCGCACCCTCCACGAGCGCGGGCACCTCCACCATGCGACGACGATTCAGCTCTTGAAACGATCGCCGATCAGTCTCCGAAACATCGCTAGTACCAACTTCGGGGATACCCTGAGTGAGCAGGAACTGCGTAAGACGGAGATGTGGAAGGCGTGGATCGACGCGGAGTCGATGAAGCGCTGCGCGTTCATGGCGTTCTATATAGACAACACGCACGCAACACTCTTCGACCACCAGGTCACGCTCTTCGCACACCAGATGCACCTCTCGCTCCCATGCGATGAGGCACTCTGGGAGTCGACGGACTTCCAGAGCTTTGACAAGGAGAAGAAACTCTTGACGGCGCAGGCGCCGCACTTCCTCGTGGCACTCCGCAAGTTGCTCAACCGCAAGTGCGTAGTCACCGGTGCGTTTGGCAAGAAGATCCTCCTCGCGGGGCTCCAATCGGTCGCGTACCAGATGGTTCAGCGTGATCTCCAGGTGTCGTTCTTCGGCTGGGACGACCTCAAGGATACGTGGCGCGAGACCATCACGTTGGCATTTGATGTCTGGGTCACGGATATGTGCGGGTCATGCCTGTTCACGCTCCCAGCCACAGTGGTGCCGGGCGACCAGGGCATCGCATACTACAGCCCTGCGAGCACCTTCTGCAAGACGCTCGACTACCACATCTCACAGATCTACATCCGGATTGACAGCTATGAATACACAATCTACGCCGGGGTGCCGTGGCGGATGTGTATTGAGGCGGAGAGCGATAGCCACGAGCACCGTGCGGTTGAGAAGAAGATGAAGGACTGGGCTGCACTGGCGAACGCGCGCGTGGCGGTCATGCACGCATACTTCATCCTCTGGGAAACGTTCTTGAGCCCACATGACGATCCTGCGACAGAGACCACCGCCTTGACGTACTCCCCGGACGAGGACCCCTTCCTTGGCGCGTACGCGATCGCCAACGCGATGCTCGTGGTGTGGGGCTACAACTTTGCGTTGAAGGGGCCGGAGAACAAGACACTCGCGCACTGGTGGGCCGAGCACCACGTCGCGCCAGAGATTGTTGCATACGAGGAGGATGGCCACGCGTATCTCCGCCGCATCCGCGCAGCGTTGTATGCCCAGACGGACATCATGGTGCACACACGCGAATCCACGCTCACGGGCTATCAGTTTTATCATGCGGTGGTCAAGTGCTCCGCGGGCTTGTTGTTGATCGGCGATAAGCACCACGTGGCCGGGTTGTGCCGATTGGTCAGTGAGAGCTTGGCACGGGGAACGTGGGAGTTGATCTGCGAGCATTCCAAGGTGATCAAGCACTGCGGAACCAGGAGTTTGGGGTCGAAGAGGGTCAAGTGCAGTGATATGTATGCGACGGGCGAGGGGTTGCACAATGAGTTTCAGGCTAATGCAATTCGGTCGTAGCGAGCCTGTGAGCAAAGCGACAAAATGAGCATCACACGGGGGGACTGAGATAGCAGAGTATTACTAAAATAGCAGCATCACTAAAACAGCAACATCACTGTACAAGCATAGGTCGGAAAGTGATCGGAGAATCGAGGGGGTGTTTAGAGAGAGTCTGAAGATGAGTGGAGGGGTAAATACAAGCGGGCAGAGGACATTGTGAGATGGGCTCAACCAGACCCCTCCTAGCGAATTAAGTCTTACATAAAGAGCGGTCGATACAAGAGTTGAGTGCAACTCCATGTGAATGTACTTTGATGCTACTCAAGCTTGACACGTTTCACGATCCCTTATAGACCTAAGGGTGTGAGAGCTGCTCTAGATAGCGGTGGTGCTTATATATGCGTTGCCTTCTTATGGTTTTGCTGGAAATGTATCCAACCAAAATCCTGTTGTATCAACGATAGAGTAGACGTAGGTGATGCAATCCTGTATTCCCGAAAATGCGCTACTTTCGGGGTGATCAGGTCAAAGGGGAACATAATCTGTCCCTGATCTTAAACGGTTTGAAACAACGCCGAATATGGATAATCTTGTACGAAAGCCCTCAGCTGCGTTTTTAATATTATTGTTGTGGTTACAACACCGGTAAGCGATCATACGGGATATCTCCATGCACGATAAGCAATAAGTTTTGATCTCTAGTCTATGGCTGCCAGTTAATCTCCATAGTCCAAGAGATAAGCCTTATGTAAAAATTATATGTTTCTGTCCGTATCAAGTAAATTTAACCATCGAGTTGTGGTGGTGGCCCCATTGTGCCGTTAGGGTGTCACTCAGAGACTCGGACATATTCTTCCGATGAGCCGCATACGTATGTACTTACTTGTCACGTGGCAAAGGTCGTGCTCCCCTCATGGAGCAAGCCCCTCCGGGTAAGCAGGCGGCCCAAAGTACTCCGTTTCCCTCACGCACGTCAGTCTCTTGAGGGGAAGATCGCGACCTTCCCGCTTCTCGCTCAGATCTATGTGCACGCCCAACCTGCCCGCTCTTCTTATTAGTGACGTTTCTGTCTCTTTCTCAGTTCCTCTATCTTTCCCCATTAATCAACTACACAACAATGGTTCAGAACTTATCCGTCGTCGCTAAGACCGCCCAGCAGGCCATGAGAATGGGTGTCAGAGCCTCTTCCACCACCACTGGTGTGCAGCAAATTACCGCCAGAGACGCCTTAAACTCTGCCATTGCTGAGGAAATGGACCGTGACGAGAGTGTCTTCTTGATGGGTGAGGAAGTTGCCCAGTACAACGGTGCCTACAAGGTTTCCCGTGGTTTGTTGGACAGATTCGGCGAGAAGAGAATTATCGACACCCCTATCACCGAGATGGGTTTCACCGGTTTGACCGTCGGTGCCGCTTTGGCCGGTTTGAAGCCAATCTGTGAGTTCATGACCTTCAACTTCGCCATGCAGTCTATCGATCACATCATCAACTCTGCCGCCAAGACCTACTACATGTCCGGTGGTAAGCAGCCATGTAACATCACCTTCAGAGGTCCTAACGGTGCCGCTGCCGGTGTTGCCGCCCAGCACTCCCAGTGTTACGCCGCCTGGTACGGTTCCATCCCTGGTTTGAAGGTGCTTTCCCCTTACTCTGCTGAGGATTACAGAGGTTTGTTCAAGGCTGCCGTCAGAGATCCTAACCCGGTTGTCTTCTTGGAAAACGAGCTCGCATACGGTGAGACCTTTGACATCTCCGAGGAGGCCTTGTCCACCGACTTTGTGCTCCCAATCGGTAAGGCCAAGGTTGAAAGAGAGGGTACCGACATCACCATTGTTGGTCACTCCTTGAGCGTCAAGTACTGTCTCGAGGCCGCAGAGACCTTGCAGAAAGAATACGGTGTCTCTGCCGAAATCATCAACTTGAGATCGATTAAGCCATTGGACGTCCCAACCATCGTCCAGTCCGTCAAGAAGACCAACCACTTGGTCACTGTTGAGGGTGGTTTCCCAGCCTTTGGTGTCGGTTCCGAAATTGTCGCCCAGATCATGGAATCCGAAGCTTTTGATTACCTTGATGCCCCCGTCGAGCGTGTCACCGGTTGTGAAGTTCCAACCCCATACGCCAAGGAATTGGAAGACTTTGCTTTCCCAGATGGCAACATCGTCTTGAGAGCCGCCAGAAAGGTCTTGTCCTTGTAATTGCCCCCTCCCTCTGTATAATCTTGAAAATCGATCTATAGATTTTTCTCAAAATAATTAATCACACCTTTCTGAAAAATTTATTTTCTCCGATGATACAAGTGTAAATGCATTAGTCGGCCGTGACTCGAGTGAATGTGGCATGTCACTCACTCTTAAAGTAAAAACTCTTCACCACAAGGCGTGGATTGGTATTTTATGGCTTACCTGATTGGAAAAGTAGATAAATTAAAATGCAAATGAAACGAGAAACCCTTATTTATAACGATAAGACCCAAAAAAAGAAAAATATATAAGCTTAAGAAGCGAACCTGAGGTTGGAAATGAGGTTGAAAACGAGATTGAAAATGGAACGGGTCAAGAAGACACTAAAATACATGTAAGGCATAGCACCTTAGACCAAAAGAACGGCGTTGACACAGCCATCTCTGTCTGGCTCGTTGGTGATCTGGGCGTACTTACCCCAAACAACCTTACCACCGGCGGTAACCAACCCCAATTCGGAAACGTTAACCTCGATGATAGTACCCTTGGTCAAGACTCCCAACTGGGTGTACATCGGAGACTGCGGGTTCTTCTTGACACTCAAGATTGGGAGGAAGACAGTCACCTTCAACTCTGGGTGGGTGACATTGGCCTTCTTCTGTCTCAAGGCGGCTGGTCTGATGATTCTTTCCATCTTCACTGGTCTTCTGGTGAAACCCTCACCGACAAAAGTGTGCTTGGTAATCATTCTCTTCCAGGACTTGGACTTCTTGGTACCGGTCTTGATGACCTTGAACATCTCCTCTTCGGAAATACCTCTGACCTTTGGCAATGGAACCGAAAACTTATCAGCCTTCTCCAATCTCTTCTGCTTGATGGAGGTAGAAATGGCCTTCGCGGTATTGATGTCCTTACGGTCTAACAAGTAGGTCGGCAAGGCCTCACCGTCCTCGTCATTTGGCTTGGCTGGGCCCCTAACCTTGGATTCTTCGTGGGCTCTAATCTTCTTCTTCATGGCAACCTTCTCCGCGTAACGCTTCTTGGCAAATTGCTTACCTCTCCAACCCTTCAAGGTCTGGGCATCCTTGGAGATTCTGTGGCCCTCACGCGCTTCCTTCTTTCTCTTTCTTTCTTCATGGTCTAGTCTTTTACCATGCTGCTTAATGTGCTGTTCAATATATTCGTTTTGAGGCTATAGAAAGTTAGTATTTGGCCAGTCGGTCAAACAGAATCAGATGTGTAATCTTGACGTACCATTTTGAAATATTGGTTATCAGGTTAACTATGAGAGGCTACCAAGTGAAACCTTTTATGCCTTGTACAATAAAATTTTTCTTAGAGGCCAATCTTTCTTTTTCCTGCTCATCTGGTCCGCGCACGACTTTAGAAACCGGGTAACTCACCTAGAGAAGTTCCCCCAAAAAGCGTAATTGACCGGTAAGCCTTTCATTAGACGTATATAGTTGTTTTTCTCCCGATTTTTTATGCTACTTGCCGTTCATCATGTCATTGCTGCTTTACTTGCTTAAAAGGACGCTCACTCTCTTAGGTTTGGGGTTGTCTCCACTTCGGACCTGCAGCCTACCGCTTTCGGATGCGGCTCATACGAAAAAAAATTATCAAACCTACAGGGATGAAAAATTCCAGTCTACGTTGAAGAGCTCGGATTGTCTGCGGTAACTATTTGTTTGGATAGTTGCATACTTGAATCCGCCTTAAACCTTGCTCGCTACTCCACAAATCATATCCAAAATCACATAACATGTCTTCCTTAGACGCTTTCTTGCAAACCATCATTGAATCTCTTGAGTCCACCACAGCCTCGGTTGAAAGAATCGAAAGTGGCCTTTCTGAAGAGTTGCCCTCAATTATCCAGGAATTACTTAGCAAAAACGGAATTGACGCTGATGACAAGCTCGAGGGTGTTTCCTTGTTATCGTTAAAGAACAGCTCTATGCTCTCCTACTTGAACAGCTTGGCCATGATCATTTTGTCCCATTTGGAAAGACTCAAGACCAACGATACCGAGGAGCTCGAGAAGTCCAGAGCCAAGTCCGTTGAAAACACCATTGTCCAGAGAGTTACGTTGGAAAGGGGCGTCAAGAGCTTGGAAAAGAGATTGGTATACCAGTTGGATAAGATGGTCAGAGCTTACACAAGAATGGAGAAGGAAGAGACCGATGCCAAGACTCACGCCGAAAAGACTGGAGATGACGACTCCGATGAGAGCGACAGTGAAGATGATGCTTTGCAGTTTAAGCCGGATGCTCTTGCATTGACTGCCTCGATGAAGCCAGAACCCAAGAACTCCAGAAACAGAAGAAACCGGAATGCGAGCGAAGAAGGTGACGACAAGGAATCCACCGAGAAGTATAAGCCACCAAAAATCGCGGCCGTTGTTCCACCCTCTTCCGTCACAGATATCGACAAGGCGTCCTCCTCTTCCAAGCGAAACAAGAAGTTGCAGTCGATGGAGGAATATCTTTTGGAAACTGGCGATGCTCCATTGGCCGAAGCTTCTATCGGCTCTACAATCGTCCAGAACGGTAGAGGTGGTGTAAAGACCGCCAGAGATAAGGCCAAGGAACAGGAGATCCAAACCTACGAAGAAACCAATTTTACCAGATTGCCATCCACCATGACCAAGAAGACATCCAAGCAAAAGTTGAAGGACCTCAAGCATACTTTTGGTGGCGAAGACTGGAGTATTTTCAACAGCAACAGAGAGGTTGGCGAGGAAACCTCCAGAAAGAAAAAGCCAACCAACGCCTGGGACAGGGCCAAGAGAAGAAGAACTGATTAAATCGGCTTGGTCAATGACTGAGCTTTGGAGTTTATACTATCTAGAAGCCGCCTGTATAATATGAATTACTTGTACATTACTGATCGGTCGATGCTAAGATCTGCTCACGTGACTACGGCGGATGATGAGGAACGCAGGACAAAAAGGCGGGGTGTTTAAGAGGGGGCTCATCGCAAACACCCTTTCTAAAAGGAATATACGCGAATGGAAACTGGATTTATTTTTCACGTTGGGAAAAAATGTAAATATCCGGCATCTAACTAAACCACTCTGCCCGCCTTAGGGACCGTCGTAATCCCTCTTCTGTAATTACCCATTGTAGCCAAGCTGTGATGGACATGGTCCATCATCAAGCTCACAAGGGCAGGTGAGTTGATAGATTACCCCTTATAGCGCATGCCAATGGTGCTTTATACGCGAGGTATGTATGTGCTTCCTTTAGACTCAGATTTAACCGTAAAAGTTTCCTGAATGGATTAGTGCATGTGCCCTTCCCTGGTCTATAAATACCCTACACCGCCGCACAAAGACGTAATACATCATGCGCAATACACTGCTAGCTTATTATTGGCCGTGCCCACGACTCGAAGACCAATATGTCGCCACAAAGATTCCGGGGAGTGTATTTGTACTCCCAGTTAGCACATAGTCCGGCAAAGATTCTGTGTCGACCCCTCCTCCCCAAATTCTCGATAAGCGATCGCATATGTCAAATCTATTGGAAGTGAGTCCCCCATGTGTTTGGCAAACGGTAACTACTACAGTACTAATGCTGGATTTGGAACATAAACACCAATCCTGAAAGATGAGTCCCGCATTGCACACGCATCATAACTTCCTGGGATATTCTGCAGATCGGTTTCTCTAGAATTTCTGTACTGTAGAGAAAATCCCATTTGAGTTCAAGAAACATATTTAATTGTTTTCACGTTTAAAGATGGTTTCCTGTTCATTGTAAGCCTTATCGATGAGATTGCCAGTATCCCTTGTTTATCCAGATACAAAAAAATAAGGTGCTGTAGCTTGAATGAATACCTGAATTCGCACAATAGTATTGTGATATGGTTGTGTGAGCTTGGCTTGTGTCGTTGGTTGGTGTGAGCCTTCTGGCTCATACGTTTATAGTAAGCCTCTGACCATTAAGAATAGTTAAGTGTGCATTTCCGGTCAATAATTTTTCTAGCCATTACGTCTAAAGCGCATATCTATACCAATATTACTTTCGGGTAAGAATAGTACATCTTATAAGACTTCGATAGCTTATATTGATTGACGTGGAATAGACCAGCATTGCTTGGATAAGGGATGAGTGGTGAGCTTTCCAACTTTACAGGTTTGAGAACCCCAGCAACTGGGAGAACGGTAGATATTTATAAATTTCAATTGCAGGTATGTGGATCGACACATACAAAAGTATACACGCAGATTATAAAAGCAGCTAAAGGTGGAAAAAAAATATGTATGAAAGAAACGATGACCGCTTGGTTTAGTCGTCGAAGAACTGAATATTAAGGAACGGCTGAATGAGTGTGAGATAAGGGTATAAACGAATGACGGTGTGCGAAATGAAGGAGTACGTGTGTCGAGGAAGGAGACTGCCCTCAGATGGGATGTTAAAAAGAAATGAAAATGTGATGTTGGCGTAATGAGTGGTAAATCGAGGGTATGGGTCCTTGCTAAGGCTAGCAGATTGGAACTATAAAGTTTGGATAGTGAAGATTTTTGTTTGTTTCTCGTTTTCTTTTTTTTTTTTTTGGATATGGAATCGAAATATATAGGTATAGTGGACAAATTCATATGGAAAATACAGTGTAGTATACATGGTTAGTTTCAAATAGTACTTAAAATCCTTGATTCTGGAAATTACTCATTTTGTGGTAACCCCCAGTGGAATTTTGGAAAGAATTACCATCATGAGCATGAGAATGGGTCTTTTGGTTGTAGATATGGGAATATGGGGGGTATGATGGACGTTGGCTAATCACTGGCAACCCAGTTGGTCTATCCTTGCACCATCCTTGCTTGACAATACCTCCCTGGAACCCACCTCCATTGAAAGGAACCTGGTAGTGAACCGGCTGGTGTTGGTCCGCATCCAGATGCACAAGACGGCCAGTTCTGGTGTTAGTAAGGTCGCCTCCGTGTACCTGGTGGGGAGGTTGGGTTTGGTGGAACAGGTCCACGCCATTACTATACATCGAGTATTGATGGAATGGCTGCGGTGACTGTAAGTAGAACAGCTGTTGTCCATGCTGAGGCGGCATGGTTCTGGGAGTGTTCATCAAGTTTTGGTTCTCGTTAGTGTGAGAGATAAATGGTTGAAACCCCTTACTGTTTAAAGAATTCATGGGGGATTGCTGGTTGGCAAACGGCGGCGGACGTTGGTAACTGTGGTAAGGTTCAGATGGCAATGGGGTCGCATTGCCGTACCCTCGTTGGGCAAAATACTCCTTGGTATAAGCCGGATTGGAACCATTGTCGTTCTTGAACTGAAATTCACCATTGTTGTTCATGTTCAACAATGACGTGTTCAAAATTGTGTTGATCTTCGATTGGATTCTCTTGCCAAAAGGTGTCAAAATCTTGCAATTCACAAAAAACTGCTGGATAATCGCAGATTGGTACTCGATTGGAACCACATCTATCAAGGTTTGGACCACGTAGTTACCAAAGGGATCATTGACAAACTTGTTCAAGTTCCCATTGTTCAAGATCTGGTAAGCCAAGTGGTTCTTCAATTGCTTAAAGTTTTGGATCGCCGGAAAGTCCAGGGGCGGCACCGAGCTTTGCAATTGCCGGAACAAGCATATCATATCATCAGCCACATTGTTGTCGCCGTACTCGTTGTTCTTGCATATCTTCAACAATTTCTCAATCACGTTGGAGGAGAACTTTTGGGTGCACAAGTCATCCATGGAGTGTTTGATGCGATGATAAATTCCCACGGTCGCCTCAAATTTGTTCAACGATAACAAATACTGAATGACGTAGTTCCCAAATTGGTCCTTGATCAAATTGCTGGAGTGGTTGATGATTTCGCTCGCCAACGGAATCAACTGCGCCTCATTGTCGATGTGGTTCAAACACTTTTGCAAGACACAGCAGCCGTGCTTGTGGGTCGCCACCACAACAATATTTCCGGCGATAGCTTCGTAGATAAACTGGCAGTTGGTGGTGGTGAGCTTGTTCAAGCACTTTTGAATCACGTGATTCCCGTTCAAATCCTTAATCAAGTCAATGACGTAGCTGGACAACCCGGCAATGATAAGCGAGTACTGGTATTCGGTGTCCAAGAATTCAATAAGTCTCTGTAGGGCCCGGGTACCGTGTTGATTGATACTGATCTGAAACAAGTTGAGGGACAAGTTTTCGACCATCGTGTTCAACTTTGCCTCGTCACAGAGACTAATCAACTTCTGGATGAGATAGTTCCCAAACGGATCAATGATCAACTCGTAAATTTTAGAGTGGATCTCGCCGAAAATAACCTCAAAGTTGACAGCCAGGTTCTCGTCGATCTTCTTCTGCAAGAAGCGACAGCCGTATTGGTCTTTGGACAAGTTCACGATCTCGCCCGTCAAGCTTTCGAACGGAATGGAGTTCAATTTATTGATAGAATCCTTATCGTACTTCTTCCCGCCCAAAATGGATGGCAATGCGAGCTGTGGGGAAGGGGAAGCGTTAGACGTGGACGATTTTTTTGAAATCGGTGGCACGGACCCGACTGTGGAAGGAGAGGCGGATGGTTTGAAAACATCAAGGTTGAACACGGTACTGCCTGGAGTCTCAATTCCCGCGGCAGAATTAACTGTCAAGGGTGCGGTAGGAGTATTCATATAACTGGCTGGCAACTGCCCCACAGTGTCAAGGTACGGACTTTCGATGAGGAGCGAGTGAGGATGCTTCAAGCTAATGTTATTAAACTTGGCCTCAAAACTGTTGAAGTTGATTGGCGAGTTTAAACTGGCAGAGGACTGTTGGATTTGTAACAAGGAGGTGGAACTTTGGCGCTTGTGGTTGTACCCTGTACCAATCTGGTTCAAAAACGAGGCGTCCAGGTCGAGCTTTCCAGTATCATCGTGGGCACCTGCTGGGGTGTGCGAATTGTTCCAGATGGAGGATGAGTTATAGTCGGGTGGAGTGGATGGCTCGGGGGCCGAATTGAAAGATGTGACGGAATTAACAGATAATGTCTGGTGGTGCTTGCTTCCAGGTTTCTGCAACGGTAGAGTCATGGTCGGGGGTGTGGTGATGGATCAGTTACTAAGTCTTTGCCAAAGGTGTAAATAGTCAGAAAGCGAAAGATAGGTCTTAAAAAGAGGCAAAAATGGGAACGGGTAATTATCTTTTATAATTGTAGAGAGAAAGAGAACCCGTGGAACCGCTTCCAATCCTTGAATCCTACGTGCCTTCGTCTTTGTGGTTTGGGCGTCTAAAGTCTGTATGCGGTACTACAGGTCTCCTGTAGACTGTATGCCCTCTACTATTGTCAAACCCCTCTGCGTTTCGGGACACGCACCTTTAATAGGTTGAAAAGGGTGAAGCGGAAGGAAAAAGAAAAAGGTATCCGTGGGGACGTGCACACAATTTACTGAGCCTGTTTCTTTTTCTCGTCATTATGGTTTGGTGCAAAATAATAGAGCTGGTGGCCTAGATCCCTGCTGTAGAAGGGGCTCAATCGGAATCTAATGGTAGATAGTAACCCCCTCTATAGCCACAGCTCGTGGCACTATGGTATCCTAAAGAGTGCTCTAAAATCTCTACAAAGGCTCGGATCTGAGCTACAAAGCGGAGAGGCCTGTTGGCGGAGTCCCGGCTGCACTAAGGAGGACCGGTATATAAGTGAGTTCTTTGATCGGGGGGAGTTCCTGTGGTTACAGGCACGTAGTCCTGATTCGGAACACTTTGCCCACGGATGTCAACTGATACCACAAGACAAATCCTTCCGACTGGGTTGGTCCCTCTAATTGGTCGAGCCTTTTTGCGATTTACTGCACCATGCACACATACCCGTTACTGAAGATGTGACAGTCCCTGTAAATCTATACACTTAAATATCTTAGTTTATTCAAATATTTACATTCCATGTCTTGGGTTTTAAAATCCTCCTTATCTCAAAGCTTTTGTATAAAGGGTGCCGGCTCGCCTGCCACTCATAACGTCGAGGCGCCCAGTGGCGAAATAGTGTGCTAGATGTACTGTATATTGCCTTCCAGTCATAAATCTAGGCTCCTGTGACCTGTCCTCTCAAAGTGACAGTAATGCTTGTTCGGGATTTCTTTTGTTTCGCGAACAGCCTCCGATCAGAGGCCCGATAATCAAGCTCCAATAGATGAACCGCAAATCTGTCCCAGTGATTGAGAAGACTGGTGGTTTAAGAGCACACCTATCTATATTTCTCAGTAACCCCATGTAAAGAGAAAAAAAATGTGTGTTGGTAAGTTATGATGCATGCTCTTTAGATAAGGGCTCGTGTAGGAGGTGCGGTGAACGATTCTCAATCTAGTAACAACGCCGCCCGAAATGACATCCCTTTGCTCCGTGCACCCCTACAATCCAGATATACGGCACGTCTCGTAGCAGATGAGGGCCTGGCAAAGGGATGAACTTGCCGCATGCTACGAGTGGCAGCTGCAGATTTAGTGAAATTGCAGGATAAAACCCCTTGTAACATGATTCTGCACGAACAGGGGGGCAAGTGGTATAGGTTCTACGTGGTTACAGTAACATCCTTGTCTACACGAATCGTGAGGTATCACTGTCATCTTAGCTGGTCCTCAACACTAGCTAAGAAGAGAGTGTTCTCCCAAGTGGCCATTATACGATTCTTAGTAAGGGATTCGAATCGATGTCCATAACATTCTGCGGCTGAAGGTGCAGGCTGCACCCGTACCTGTGGCACGGATATACGGGATGTACCAAACTCAAGTGAAACATAGCGGATTAAAGTGAATCGCTATCTTGCTTGTAGTCCGAGACTAAGAGTGTTTGAGGCTGTGTATACACAATGTATACTTGTAATTCAATGAGGGTTCTCTGGTTCGTCATAAAATCTTCGATGCTTGCTTGGATGGTACTTTCACCTGCTTAAAGCGATTTGTTGGATCTGCCGCATGACACTTGCCTCATAGTGGAGTTATGGTTTTAACTCTCGTTCAAGGAATTCCATTACACTGCAAAATTCTCATCCGGTACCATTGGTTGCGCTATAAAAAGAATATTATTTCAATAGATAACAAAGGTTGCATAATCTTTAGGTATAGGATATCGTTTCGGTGTCACGTGTATGTGATTGAACATGCATACCTGGCTAAAAACTAGCGTTATCATAGGGCCCCGGTTTTTTTTTTTTTTTTTTTTTTTTTTTTTTCATAAGCACAGCCATCGATGAAAATTCTTAGTATACCCTTGGATATCGGATTGTACCGGTGTACCATTCGTGTGAAGATTTCTCCAAAGAAAGCTCTCACGCCTGTACTACGCACGTGTAAATCTCCCACACAAGGGATACAAACCTCGAATATCTCCTTCCTTATTTGGAAGCACATGCAGCTACATAATATGCGGCTCACTCAACATATGCCATAATCCAGCCTTATGTATCCGAAATTCAAGTTTCTGGTGTAGCAAATATATAATGAAAATATTGCTATATATTCCAGCTAAATTACTCATAATTATATAAACATGAGTATGTGAGTTAATATACGCTCATAGTTACATATAATGTTGTGTATTTTTTGTACTTGAGCGTATATACACGTATTTTTTTTTACCATTTATTCTATTTTACGGAATGTGTAGTAAACGTGTAGCTGTCACATGGTAGAGATTAATACTCTATATATGAAGGTCGATCCCTCTCTCCTTTATCCTATATACGTTATATAGACAACCAGTATTACTGTTACTATAAGTAGATATTTCGCCCTCCAGGTAGAGATATACCACAGAATGCATGGGTTTAATATTCTTTCAAATCGATCATCTAATAAACTTTAAATATCCATTTTTGGATGTAAAAGAAGATTTTTCTAAAATGCTTCTCATAGATGGGTTTTATTCAAATTTCTTGATATATATTTCCATATTTATGTACCACAGATCTATAAGCAGATGAAATGCTCGAAATTCCTCGCACCATGGCTATTCTGTCTTGAAATTAATGTACAAAGACAGCTTTGCGAGACCATACCAACTCAAATATAGGACTACATGGCTACATTTGAAGGCTTACCGTTGCTAATTAATAAATGCATGCTAATCTTTCCAAACTGCTGTGATCGTAAATCACCGTAGCCGTTAATTTGTAATTTTCAGATATTTGCGCCAGATTTTCCCTAATGCAGAAGCCAATACACAGGTATTCGTACAACGTAAGGTCGTGCTCTAACCATTATATAGGTACGCACACTAACACGCACCGTTACCCGCCTTGATTGTTGAAAACTTGAAGCCAATGATTGGATGTCGAATTCAAACCCAATTCGTACGACCGAGTACTGCATGACATAAGTGAGGAAGTAGATAACGTCCTCGGCCATAGAGTGACGATAGAACATCAGTACTTATTTTAAAATGGTTAGCGTATGTATTGCTTATCTGGGAACCAAATATATTCTGAAAAATATTGAAGGGCGAATCTAAGGCGCAGTACTAACAAGTTTGATTGAACGTGCTTGAATGTTTGCAATGGGAATTGTATATTCTGTATTCGTTTGCAAGGTTAAAGAGAAAAGAGAGACCAAAAATGGATGGATTCCGGTGGAAAGGCTACTGCAAACCCAAATGATTTGAAAACATGAGAGGGCTGAACTGAAGGAAACGGGCCCGAAGGGAGAAGAAAATGGTGAAGCCAAGACTAGCGTGGAAATAACTTTAATGGTACCATACGAGCGTGTCGGTGGTTACCAAATATCGTATATGAGGAGTTTACCCAGACTTTGATTCATCCAGCGCTCCATATACGATATCTGCTGAATAGTTACCCCGTTTGATATTTCCTCACTAGTGTCTTGGGTGCACCAACAATCTGTTTCCTCCTTGAGGCCCTTCTCTAAAAGGCACCTGTTTCTGGCATGTGCTACTGCAGACGCTTGTTCCCAATCCAAGACCCTCTTCTCGTTACCCTTCGCAACCAAAGCTTGTACATATCCCTTAACATCCAACACAGCAATCAGTTTCTACAGTACGTTAGAGGTCCTTCCTACAAGTCCGTTAAGGCTTTCAACAAGATCAGCGCTCTTAGAGCTTACTCCCCATTCTTGGCTGTTTGGGGTGCTGCTGCCGGTATTGCCGTTTTGACTTTCGGCGAACACGTCCCACTTATTAGAAACACCTTCTTGAGGCACATTCCAGTCGTCGGTGACCACTACGTCTACAACCCAGATCCAGAAGACATCCCAGTGTAAGTGGCTTCTAGGGCTTATATGTTCACATATGCAGCATGTCGTTTAAAACTGTATTTATTTCTCGTCCCCTTTAACTTTTGTGTATAATAGAGGCTTCCTTATGTATGAGTTTGTTTACACTAAAACGCCAGATACAAAGGTTAAAATGACTAATGGCGCGATATTTTTGAAGGAGTAATTGAAAGCTGAGTATAACTGACTTCACCACACCTTCGCAAGACCGTTAACGCTACACTCCAATCTGAACCCGCCCTCAAAAGAGAAACCTCACTCGCATACATTCTCCTCCATTGCAGAAACCAGACGTATACCATTCGTTTCCATCTTTTTCTTGAAACAGGGATATATCCCACTTAATAATTTATATACCTAGTCTCTGTCTAGTACCTAAATAACTTGAAGATTTCCGGAATGGCAGAAAGTCCTTAGTTATGGACGCTTCGAAGACTTTAAACGTTAGATTATCATCCTGCTTCCAGGGCTCCGATATCGAGTTGTGGATAAAATTCCAGGAGATTGCAGCCTCTCGAAATAAACCATGATGTAAGGTAAAATATATTTTTCATCAACTAGCCGGTTAATAATTAATACTTGAGTACATCTTTTTGCAATTTGCTATCGTCATACCTACGTTCGACTAGGATCATTCAAAGTCAGAGCTCAGTCTTACTGCGGGAAACAGAGACGCTTATTGTCGACATAGGTGGCATTTCGTAAATTATTATCCATCCATTAATTTATTTAGAAGAGTACGTGGCTCGCAAAAACCTCGCACGTAACGGAACTAATAAGATTCACAATCGCTGCTAATATGACTAGACAGAACCTGCATCGGTTGTAGCTGTTCCAAAGATATGCCTTAAGGGATTTCTAATAATTGTTACATTTCTTAGAATCCTAGCCTTCTAAAAACTTCTACTATACTAATTGTGAGCCATACTGTGGTATATCTAGTAGATAATGGTGGATACTGTTAGCTACCTAAAAGAGTACTTTTTGTTCGCAAGATATACACAAGGGTAGTTAGTGGCTTTATATATTGAGGCGGATACGGTGCCAGGGTGTCCACCCATCAGAGGTAAAGAGATAATGGACGCTGACTTCTGTCTAATTAAATGGCACCTTTACTACACCTACCATTGGTGTTTTATCTTCAAGGTGAAGTAACACCCCATACAAGGCGGGCCTCAGACCCTTGGCGATTCTGTGTATGCGGCGCAGAGGTTAGGAGCTCGCCGTCACACGTTTCGTTGGCCGCAATAAGCGCTCACCGCAATAAGCGCTCAGCTAAATCTTTCCGTGCGGCGGTCAGGGTTCGCAAAAAACGCGCAGATAGTATTTAAGAACCATTGGTATCCCATAATTCTGGCCAATATACTTTTCTCTCATCACTCTAATTCCTACAATTATCCAGTATCAATTACAATTCAAAAATGCCTTGCTCTTGCTCTTCCTCTTCTAACTGCACCTGTGCTCCAGGTAGCTGCTCTTGTGCTTCCTGCTCCACCAAGACCTCCCAGAAGTGTGTCTTGAACTCTTCTGAAGCCCCTGACTGCTCTTGCGGTTCTTCGTGCTCTTGTGGTACTTCCTCTTGTACCTGCGGTTCTGAAAAGAAGTAAATCTACTTCTGAACCACGATTGCAGATACAGTCTTAACCGACATGATCCGTTAGGTGTGAGAGTTGTCTCCACCGTAGCCGCCTAGCCACGGGCAAGCTGGACACTCAAAGCCGTGTAGTTGCTTGCCAGACAAGGGCTCTGCTCTTGTTGACATATCTATGGGTATAATATGACGGGTTTGACACCAAAAATAAATCTTGTAGGACTGTTTAAGCACGTTTGGTGACGAGGCCTGTTGAGACGGGGCTGAACGTTACATGCCTCCCCCCGAGATCGATTTGGTCACCTGTTTACCGTAGACCACCATCCAACGCTTCCTGATCACCAGTAAACCTCGGTAAAGGCATTCAATTCTTCGATCTTTTCAATAAACTCTTTAATATTAGGGTTTATCGCCTCAAGTTCCTTTGTCTTCTGGGCCCTGCTCTTTCGTTCAATAGAGAACCCCTCGTCGTCAAGGTCCACCAACCCGCTCCCAATCTCCGCTTTCTTTTCGTCCACGAGGTAAAAAATCAAAAACTCAATGATTTTGAATTTGATATTGATGTACTCCTCCTTCTTTGCGGTTTGTTTATCGGATTTTTGCATAAATAAAAGATCTATAATCACCTTTGGGCCCTGTAGCATTTCAAAATTGCGGAAATTGTTCCGGTTTTTCACAAGGATGTGAATCAAGACAACCAAGGACTCAAGCAAGATTTGCGGATTGCTCTCAGCACCAGCTTCTTGTGGCACCAACAAGTCGAGGATAAGTTGCAAATTAGCTGGGATATTAAAGACATCGCGCGACGGGGGGTGGAGGAGAAGAACTCCCTGGGTCGACCTAAGGGCTAATAAGATGCTTTGTATTTTTAAGGCGGAGGGGAGCGGATCGCCTGAACCAAGGTGGGACAAATTCGTGATAATTATATTAACCAAATTATACTTGAAGGAGTCCTGTAAAGTGATAAACTCTTGGAAGGTGTCGTCGTTTCTGAAGTGTGGTTGGGTGGAAGCTCCCTTCTGCTGTTGGTGGAGAAAACACAACTCCATCAACACGTCATTCAACTTGTTGTAGCCTTGGAGAACAACCTCTAGCTCCCGTGACAGAAGGAGCCTCGTTATGGCTTGGATCCTGGAGGGAAGCGTGGGTTTCAAGCTTGGAGAGGATGGCCGTTTGGACAACTGTGGAGATGACATGAGGGAAGGCTGAAGATGAGCGATAGAGGGTAACTGTATCCAGTCAGACTGGTAGAAATAACTACTGGAGGGTTTGTTGCCTAGAAGTCAGTTACTAGCAAGCGTTTTATATGTGCCATCTTGTTTCATGGCAGGAGTGCGTCCTAGAGCCTAAAACAAATACCCGCATTGCATGTTCCGGATCAGGCAATAGATACACAACAAACCTTCTACGCCACGAGAACCATATAGACATCAATGCTACAAATTCACAGCTCTAGAAGAAAAAAAAGAGAGTCTCTCTATATATCTATGATCGGAAATGTCGAATAGTTTTTGGTGAGGGCAGATTTTTTTATCAGGTAGTGTCTGGCCAGCGCGGAACAGTGCCGGATCCCAGATCGACTCATATTTCACCCGCCGCGGATATCAGCAACCCAAGCACCATATCATCTTCATCGTGCAACGATGATTAGCGAATTTTTCATTCTCAACTCTAAGGGAGGACTAGTGGTTTCCAAATCCATCAAGGATAACCTCCGTAAAAACCTTGCTGAGGTGTTCCGGATCCAGGTCATATCCAACATCCAGGTGGGCTCGTCCAAGAACCTGTCGCCGGTATTGACACTTGGGTCCACGAGCTTCTTGTACTTGAAGTACAATGATCTCTTTTTTGTGGCCGTCACCCGATCCAACCAGGACTGCTCCATCATCCTCGAGTTCATGTACAAGTTTGTCGACCTCTTAAACAGCATCATTGTGATTGACGACTCCGACGTTTCCGAATACACCAGCCAGAGCCAGGGGGGCAATCACACATTCGACCGCCACGGGGTGAACGAGTTGACGATCAAAAACAACTTCATCTCCGTGGGTGAGATCTTGGACGAGGTGTTGGACAACGGATACCCGCAAACGATGGAGCCGGACTCGATCAGACACTGCATCTCGGACGAAAAGTTGCAAAAGCGCAAAAATATCCGAAAGAACACTAACAGCGGCTCTGAAACGGTTTCAGATAGTGTCTCGGCCGCTCTAGCAGGCCCCAGCGCCACCTTTACAAAGGCGTTGGCGAAGAAAAAGCCGTCCATCCCCCTCCTATCCTCCCTCCCCTCTCCACAGGGTCTCATCTCCCGCAGCACGAGTTTTCCCACTGAGGCCAACCAGCTTTCAACTTCGGATATTACATGGAGACGTGAGGGCATTAAATACAGACGGAACGAGATCTTCTTGGATGTGCATGAGAAAATTAACTTGTTGATGAACGCGACGGGGCAGGTGCTAAACTCATATATTGACGGCCACATTCAGATGAAGACCCGCTTATCGGGTATGCCAATCTGCAATATAGGCCTCAATGACTCCACCCAGATCATGTCCGATATGCCCACCAACGGCTTCGACGACTCATTAACAGGCCACGTGACGCACTTATCCAACTGCAACTTCCACCAGTGTGTCTCGTTGACCAAGTTCGACACTGACCGTATCATCCGGTTTGTGCCACCCGACGACGAAAAGTTCGAATTGATGTCCTACCGATGCCAGGCGCCTCTGCCATCGATACATACGTCGCGTATGACTCTGTTTGACCGTGCGCGCCTGCCCGCTTCCTTTGCCTCTTCCTCTACGCCAGGCTACCCGTCGAGCAACGGAGGCATTTCACAAGATCTAGAGGGGATCAACTTACCGTTTATCGTCAAGCCCATTGTTACTACCAGCTTTGCCCGTATCATCTACCGGATCCACATCCATTCTTTGTACAGCCGCAAGTTCAGCTCAAAGAATGTGGAGTTGAAAATCCCGATCCCAAAGGACGCCTCTACAAATTCCAGGTCCTACAAAATCGTCACCAGTCTGGGAAAGACCAAGGTTATGCCGTATGACAATTGTTTGATCTGGCGGTTCAGCAAATACGGTGGAGACCAGGAAGCCTCCTTGGAGGCGGAGTTCCAGATCCAGAGCAACGCCACTACCACCCCCGGAAACGCTTTGATGGCCTTGGCCATAGATCAGGACAGCGAAGCATGGAAGAAACCACCGATTCAATTGCACTTTGAATTTAACATGTCGTCGCTTTCTGGGATGGCTATCAAGTTTTTGAAGGTGGAGGAGCCGACAAGTTACTCTACTGTAAAGTGGATTAACTATATTTCGAAGGCTGGCAGTTACGAGATTAGATATTAAGGTGCCGTGGACTAAATGGCGATTTAGATATGGGGTTTATGGGGCTTGTGAGTATGGTAATGGCAGCTTTTTCTCCTCCATTGTGATTGGCAGTATTTGATTTAGCAGGATCTGCCTTTAGTGTAAGTGATATACGCATACAGTGGGATTACAAAATATATATTTATTGCTTCGTGACCCAGTCTAATAGTGTGCGGGTGTATACGGGTCCCGGATTTAGGGTTCGGGGTTAAGGTTCAAGCTTATCCGATGCACGGATGAGTCTTATGACCGGTCATCACGTAGGTACATCGACGCCACATCCACTCCCCAGGTTTCAATGCCAGAAAAGTATCGTGGGTTGATCGAATATGCTCTATTGAATAGCGGTCTTACCGGCCATCCAGTATGGCGTCACGCGCATGCTTCTTGAGCGGCAGCTCCAGTTCTACCGAAGCCTAAGATGACTATCATCCCATATAGAATAACAAAGTACGGCCCGTTGACGACCACCCAATTCAAACCCCACAAATCCACTTTTAATCGAGCTTGATACTACATATCTGTGCACGAAACTCCGTATTTATAGCAAGCCGCTTGGCTTGGGACCCCACAGTTACCATTATCTAAATCTGTTCTGTAAATTCATTTATTCTCAGAGTTTAAAACCTGGAGCCATTTTTCCGTTACCCGCTATACGTATCATATAGACTTCCCAATGTTGTCCGTGCTATTATATGAAATATCTTCGTGTGCGGCATGCATGAAACCTGTCATACAAATCGCTTAGTCCGGTCTCGGTGACTGCTACCAGTAACAGGCCAATCCTAGCTGTGTTGGTTACACCATGCTATCTGAAAGGATGTTTAAAGTCTGGCTTCAACTGAGGCGGCCTTGCCTTCGCTGTTGTAAGCAGTGGACCTGGCCATTTCAGCAAAGCGCTTGAATTCCTCGCTCTTCTCACCGACATTTTGGGTCTTGGAGGAGTACAAAGGGCCCAGCTGTTGAGTCTGTTTGCTTCTGTATTCAGCAAAGGTGGAAGAAGCGCTGCGAGCCACGGTGGCTTGGACGTTCTTGGAAGTGGACAAGAATCTTCTGGTAGTGACGGAGATCATTTTATTTGTAATGTAGTTATTTAAGAGAATAGGGGAGTGCAGGAGAGAGAAATTTGAATGAAGTCAGAAATAAAAGAGAAGAAAGAGGGATACACCAGTATTTATATTTGCCTTCGGCGCTACAGTCTTTTGATTATGTCATAAATTTTCAGAGGGTCATGATTTCACGGTACCCGCGGTGTACTGTGGTAGGGAACGAAATATTTCGACAACCAACGTGATTTTTTCACCTGCGTCTGCATGCACGATCAACTAGCTCATGTGAAAAAAAAAAAAAACTGTTCCGTAACCTTTTGTGGCAGCGGGCGCAATCAAACCCCTCTCTAACTGCACGGTTAGCTTAGGTAAGGTTTCTACTTCCGGCCGGCATCCGCGCGCACACTCAATAATTTAGCCGAGCAACTGTGGCAGAGTCAGGCAGGGGGGGGGGGGGGGGCGAAAAACAAAAGTGGCCTTACCGCCGTTACTAAGCAAAACGCATGTGGTGAAGTGGGGCTACCGGGAGCCGACGTCACCCGATGGATTTCCTTCACGTGTCAAACCCCCACTTGACCCCTCGGCAACTTGTCACACGGGCATGCAGCATAAAAAACTCGGAGCTTATGCGGGCGATAAGCACGTATTTTTCAGATTGCGCAGCAGTAGCAGAATTTTCGCGGCACGTTCAAACATGGCACCGAATCATAAGTGGGCAGCAAAGTAGGTTTAGATTCCTAATCGCTTGTACTTGCATGGAGCTATCTCGGCGGGAAAGTGGCAACGGCTTATTTGATTGGATAGGCTTTCCGAAGGTTGTACACAAGGCCTTATCATTTCTCTCTTTTTTGTCCCCTGTAAATTTGGTTGTGTTGCCAAAACAGACACAATGATGCAAGGAGAAACCGTCGGGTATCATAATAACCAGAACATATGAAGTATTAGTGTCATATAAACATATGGCATCTTAACTACGCTGTCCTAGTAAACATCTACGCACTACAGCTTAAGAATTAAAACCGTGCCTTTTGTTACAGCTTTTCTAAAGTCAACCACTGCGTGAATTCAAAGAGTCTGTATAGCGGCAACGTGTGATTATGGCGGACAAGATATTTTCGCTGCAAACCCTTGCACGAGAAACCTGCGGATTGCACGAGGCCGGCGGTAATGACGCAAGACTTTGATCCTCAAGTGCAAAGTGAAAGTTTGATGGGGAGACCGACATACGTCAAACCTCTACAGAGGATAATTTTCTCGTTCACGTGAACCCGCGATCGAAGCCCAAACCAGGTTGACTAGTGATGCGGACTGAATATTGCCTGAGCGCTGCGTTATGACTCTGGATGAAGGCAACACAACTTTTCCGCTTATGGTATATCCGTATTTAGTTACCGTTATATTCAGGTATCTAACTTGGCGATTTTGCCAGGGGAATATATCAATCGGAAAGCTGGGGAATATACATACTGTAAGCATCCTATTTAACAGACTCTGCAACGCAATACACCCTATTGGGGGGTAATCATATGGGCTTCGGCTGCTTTAGAAAATACTTGCCGGTTGCAATTTTGTACTAGCCATGCTGATGAATTGATATGGGAGTAGCTAGCAGCAATTTATTAACGCGTTACGTGCCGGCGGACGACTCGCAGATCAGCATTGGTCCGGACACACCGAGATTTAACCCTTAAGCTTTCGTCGTGCCCCCACAACTTCCCGCTACCGTGCCGCTCACCGTTACCCGCTGGGATTAAGGTTGACGAATGCGGGGTGCGGATACTTCAAGCAAACTTGTTTATCAATGACTCATTGTCACCCCACCAAATTTGTGTATAACAACATGTCTTCTGATGTCAGCTACAGGCTGCCTTCCAAGTTTGTCCGTGTCTTGGAATTGATTTTGATATGAGTACGAAACCATTCTCACGGTTCTAGGTCATCGGGAAGTGGGGTTCACTGATATACACTACAGGGGGCCGAACCTTTGCCGTGCCCCGAGTTGGGTGCTTTGCTGAACCCCACCTACAAGTACGTTCCATCCTTGGATATGTTTATTCGTCTAATATGTTTCGTCCTCAGACATGTCGCTATCTCTAAAACTGTATTATTTGATAAAACCCATCCGCCACAACAATCAAACGTAGTATGGGGCAAACTCATCGGCGAAGAACGCCCTGAAGTGGTGCTTGGCACCCTCCTCGGAAATCAAAGCGACATCCTCCTTGGATAATTCAAAGGAATGAATTTCCATGGCTTCCTTAAATCTCTCAGCCTTAGAGGAGGTGGTGATTGGAAGGTGACCCTTCTCCATAACGTACCTGAGCAACACCTGTGCGTTATTCTTCTGGTACTTTGCACCAATCTTATCTAAAGTCTCGTTCAATTTACCAGAGTCATCACGGAAGAGTGGGGCAAGGGGGCTGTAGGTCTCAATCAAGATGTCATTCTTAGCACAGAAAGCGGCAATACCTGGTGATTGTTCCTGTAAGAATGGATGGAACTCGATCTGGTTAACCACGGGCTTGATGGTGGAATAAGAAAGGATTTCCTCAATGTGGGAAGCGGCAAAGTTGGACACACCGATATATCTGACCTTGCCGTCTCTCACTGCTTGCTCCATCTGCTGCCAGATGTCCTTGATGGCCAACCCAGTACTGGTCTTGGTAGGGTCGAAGAACGGGGTGTGCAACAAGTACAAGTCGAGGTAGTTGGTGCCAATCTTCTGCAAGGCAACGTCAATGGAGGCAGTAGTACTCTCTGTGAAAGGAGGCTGGGTGAAGAAACCGCCTGGATAGTACTTGTCAGTGATCCAGACCTTCTCACGGGCTTTTTCATCGGTGAGGTAGCCAGCTCTTCTCAACGCCTCACCAACCTCCTCGTGAGTGGTGTACATCTCGGCGGTGTCAACATGGTTGAAACCCTGCTCCAAGGCACTCAAGATAGTAGTCACAAGTGGCTCTACTAACTGATCCTTCTCGTCTTCGGATCTGGCCTTCTTAAGCCATTGCCATTTGGTACCGGAGCCGACACCGATAGTTAAGGGATCGCCAGATTTGGTTTTAAAGTTGTCGCGGACAGAACCCATCGTAAATTGATTTGATGTGTTTGAAAATGAACGCTGCCGTAAATTGTAATTCGTGTCTCAGAATAATATGGGTTGTCCGGGGAAAGTGAGAATTGCAACACCTTGGCGATGACAAATCCGAGCCTCTAGAAAACCCGAGAACGAGGGGTATGCATGATTTAGGCATTGGCTCTGTGCAGTCTCGACGCGTTATAGGGGCTCAGAGCTAAACTTCACAGGACAAGGCCGAATATGTCTACGATTTCCAACCTTAAAGTATTGATGCTTCACCAATTATTGAAACCAGTGTCGTAGCTCAGGTATGCATACATCATACCGAAACTTCGTCGGTGCTTGCCGCGTATCTTTTATAACCTGTCCTTTCCCTCGAAGGATAGAAAGAGTCTGGATTGGTTTGGCCAGTTTCTGCGTCTAAGCCCCTCACCCGAAGAGGACTCCCAAACCATGGCTCTTGACGATACCAGTAAGTAAGTACACTTTAGATACAGCAAGCAGTTCATTTGTGATTCCGCTGCCTAAGAGGATTTTATGTTCCGGCCACAGGTTGTGGCTCGACTAAGTTGTTCCCTAGGTCTCCATAGCAATACACGTAGATTAAACAAAAATAACAAGCTACTCGCTGCCGAACTCCTCATCGTCATCCTCCTCGTCATACGAATCAGAATTGTCGCTTAGGTCGCTCAACACATAAGACTTTTTCACCGCGGTAGCGGGGCGACGGCTCGTTCTTTGTCGGGCTGGCTGCGGCGATGACGGAGCAGAGATATCAGACAACTCCAATTCATCAAGAGCGGAAGGGGTTTCAGACCTGGACTTTGGCTTGACAGCCTTCTTAGGGGCAGTTTTCTTAGGTGCCGCCTTAGGCTTCACCACCTCGATGCCATCATCCGAATCTAAAGCCGCGGCCTTAGGTCTTGGTTTGACCGCACTAGTCTTAGCACTGGTTTCCACAAAGTCGTCGTAGAAGCTCTCCATCTTCTTGCTGCTGCTGGAAGGAATGCTGTCGAATATGTCATCCACCGTTAAATCGGCGAAACTGTCAGATCCTTCCTTCTTGAACAATCCGTTCTTTCCGCCGAAAACACTCTGAAATTCCGGCTCCGGAGTCTTCGCCTTTATCGGCAATGTCTGCTGCTTCCCGACCGCTCCCTTCTTTGCCGGAGGAGATCCGGTCTTTTTCTTCTTTGCAGCAGGTTCTTCTTTCACACCATTCTCCTTTTTGGCCTTAGGACGCTTGCTAGTTTTCTTCTTCCCATCGGCATCTGGGACGATGTTGGTACGGTTGATCAAGTCCATGGAGAGGAACTCGTCCCAGGCGGCGGAGAAATCGTCCAAATCACGGTTCCAGAGGTCCTTTGGACTCAACTTCAAAAGCTCAGTCAACTCTGTCTGCTTGGCATCGACCTGTTCCAATAACTTTTCGTATCTCTCTCTGGTCAAGGACCAGATTGCCATAGACAAAAGGTAGTCATACTGTTGGTAGATAGAGGTAGGACTGTGGACAGCGTCGCCCGTAGCATTCTCTGCCCCTTCCCCCTCCGGAGACGCATCTTCTTCCCGTGTCTCGGCTCGGGTAATTTCCACCACCTCGATTTTGGCCGTAATCGGCACCCCGTCCTTTCCGAATCTCGGGAAACTCTTTTCCTGTAGCTCCGCCACAAGATCGGCACGCTTTCTGTTGGCCACGGTAAACTCCCTGTCAATAATCATCTTCACAAAACGCGCTTGCGACGACAATTTAATCAACTGGTTGCGCAACTGGTCAGTAAGGTATTCCTTACGCTTGTGGTAGAACTCCAAGCGCACAAAGTAGAAGTCGGAGACCATGTCGAGTACCGAGTCATACTTCTTGATGCGGCCAGACGGATCAAAAGCAACCATGTTACTCAAACTAACGGACCCGACTAACTTGAAACGCTCGTACAACCCGACCGCCTCTGCCTTGCGCATTTCCTCGTCGGTCAATGTGACCACAAACTTGATCCCCACGCCGTGCTGCTCGGTCATGTCCTTAATCCAGGGCTTAGCCTTGTCATCACCCCCAAGACCCTTCAACAAGAACTCCTTCATGGTGACTGTCCACATCTTTGCCGGGAGTTCGGTAATCTCCACGGTGTTATCGTCCACCTTTTCGACTCTACCGGTAACACGGTACTTGTCCAGAGCAATCTTTTGGATACCACCGTTCCAGCCCCGGAACCACGGCACCATCTCCTCCATTTCCTTTCCAACCATGAGATTCCGGATGTTCTTGATGATATCAACAGGGTTGAACGGTGGGATATTGGTACTCCACCCAGTACCGATACCTTCCGCCCCATTCACCAACAACATCGGCACCACTGGAAGGTACCACTCCGGCTCGACCGTCTGTTCGTCGTCCTGTACGTAGTTGTACAAAGCCTCGTCCAACGGGTTGAAGACTTTGCGGGTGATCTTCGACAACTCGGTAAAAATGTATCTTGCGGCCGAGGCATCCTTACCACCCATGTTTCTCGTACCGAAACAACCGTTCGGTTTCAACAAGAAGAGGTTGTTACTTCCAACAAAGTCCTGGGCAAGACCCACAATCGTCAGGAAAAGCGACGCTTCACCGTGGTGGTAGCCGGTGTGTTCGGAGATGTAGCCCACCAACTGCGACACTTTGATTTCCAGCTTTAACTTACGCTTGAAGCACCCGTACAAGATCTTGCGTTGGCCGGGCTTGAACCCATCGAGCACCGATGGAATGGAACGGACGTTGTCAGCCATGGAGAACAAAATCAACTCTTTGTTGATGAAATCACTGATCGGGATCTCCTTAATGTCGTTGTCGAGGAAGGTTCCCGGCTGGAACCCTCTCAACCACTCCTTACGGTCGTCAGCCTTCTTCTTCGAGAATGCCAAATCAATAAGATCAGAGTCACCCATCTGAAGCGCGTGGAACGTCTTGAGATGTCTGTCAAGATCTTTAAAGTATTCTCTACCTTCTGTGGGCTTGGACGTTCCCAAACCCTTGTAGTACTTCTGCTTCCAGGTGCAGCTGGTGCCGTGGGTATCGCGCCATGTCTCGTACTCTGGCATGGTGTAGAAGGGAATGATCTCCTTGGTGTTGCCTCGGGAAACGGTAACCTTGATGATCGGAGTGATGAACTCGACGAGGAAGCCGGGCACCTCGAGAAGACCCGGGAAGGAGGTTTCTAAGAAGTTGATGATCAACCCCTTAATGTGCGACCCATCATGATCCTGATCGGTCATGATCATGATGTGGCCGTAACGGAGGTCCTTGACGGTGGACGCGTCGTACCGTTTCCGGTGTTGCAACCCCATGATCTTCTTGATCGCCTCGATCTCGGCGTTCTTCATGATTTGGTCCGCACTCGCTTCACGGACATTGAGGAGCTTACCGCGGAGCGGGAAACACCCGTAGTAGTCACGCCCAACAACCGCTAAACCGGCTACTGCAAGCGACAAAGCAGAGTTACCCTCGGTGAGGATAAGCGTACACTTGTACCCCTCCTTGGTCCCAGCCTTGTTGGCGTCCTCCAACATTACGTGACTCGTAATCCGGCGTTTCTTGGACCCATCGGTCTTGTTCAACGCCTTGTCTTCATTGGCATTGACGGTTTCGAGGATTGCATCGAGGATCCCGGTGCGGAGGATCTTTTTGATAAAGTCGTCGGTGATCTCGATCTTGCCCCCGTATTGCGCCGGACGCGTGGTTAACTGCTCTTTGGTCTGGGAGGTGAAGGACGGGTTCTCGACGAGGCAGTTGACAAAGAGGAAGATGTTGTTCTTGACCTGGAACGGCTTGATGATGGCCTTCTTCTTCTTGGCTTTCACGTGTGCGATCAACTTGTTGATGATCTGGTCGGAGATGTAGTTGACATGAGTCCCCCCGGAGGTGGTGGCAATGGAGTTGACAAAAGAGACCTGGTTGAACGACGAGGACGAGAGCGCAAACGCCACCTCCCATCGTTCGTTGAACACCTCATGCACGATGGTGGGCTTAATCGGTGGCGGCACCGACACATCCTCACTATCTTCCGCCTTGGGTTTCTTTTCCTCGAGTGCACGCACGTACATCTCCACGTACTGCTTGAAGTTGCGGATCTTCAAGCGCTTACCGTTTAGGTTGACGGAAATATCGCGGACGGAACCACACAAGTCGTAGACACGGCGGCGCATCACCCCGAGGATGTCATTGTCGAGCTTCTCCATGCCAAACTTGGCCAAGTCGGGGCGGAACGTGATCTTGGTGTACTCCGGACCTTTCTTCATCGCGCGGATTTTGGGCTTGCCCACATCGCTCATGTTGTTGCGCCAGGTCTGGGTGTAGAGCAGGCCGGAAGCCAGGTCGTTGGTTTCGACGGTAAAATCGGTGGAGAAGATGTTACACAACTTGGCACCGTACCCGTTACGCCCACCGGTGACCTTCTTCTGGTCGTCGTCGTAGTTGGAGGAGGTGAGGAGCGTGCCAAAGATCAACTCGGGGATGTACACGTGCTCCTTGTCGTGGATCTGGACCGGGATCCCCCTCCCGTCGTTCTTGACCTCGATAGTGTTGGATTCGGGGTCGATGGTGACGGAAATGGATTTCATCGAGGGGTCTCGGATCTTGTTGTCGGCTGCGTTGACGAGGATTTCGTCAAAGATTTTGTAGAGGCCAGGAACAATGGTGACCGTTTTCTCCACCATCGATTCGGTTTCCTCGTCGTAGATCCACATCTCCATCAGCGTGGCCTCCACGGACCCGACATAGGTATCCGGGCGCTTGAGGATGTGCTCCAACTGCGAGAGCTTTTGGTACTGGTCAGAAGCGTTACCAGCAGGAGTAGTGGACTTTGAGACGGAGGCACTATTGGTTTTAGCTTTCTTAGCCTTAGGGGACACTTTATTCGCCGGCGGCGAGGTGGTGGCGGACTTTTTGGCCTTTTTTGGCACTGGTTCCATTTCGAAATCGGAGCCAGAGTCGGCCTCGAATTCTGAAACATCAGACACTTCAAAATCAGACATTGAAAATAGTGAGCGAAAGGAGGAGAACGCACAGAGTAAGAGCCGTGAGGGGTTAATTTATAAGGCGCCCAGGTACCATCGCAAAACGAGCCGTTCTCTGGCGTTTGTTTTGATTTTTTCCACTGATCTGAAAATGTCCTGCATTTAGCATAAAAGACGGGTTAGGAGAGGGTAGGAAGAAGGACTGAGATATGGGTGAGGGGTCTAAAGATGATATTTCAGTAGTCCAGAATGCCAAAATTATGAAAAGTAGGACAACTTGTGGGTGTTATTGGTGTTGGGCGGTGCGAACGGGCTTTAGGAGAAGAGGTTAATGTGAATGCGGCGCGTCAGCTGGTCACGTGGCAGACGCGTTACGGAAAGTGTGTGGCAAAAGCGATGGGGTCAAAAATAAACCTATATTTGGTGTTGAGTCCATACCAATAGAAATACTTGCACTAGCATCGTTATTTTGTTTAAAGCAACTACCCCGCTGTAATTACCCCCTAGGTGCGCCGATAGCAATAGTTTTAGCATAGTTAGAACGCTAAATTTCTCCGCGTATACTGGTGCAAGAGGCATTGGCCGCCTAGCATTTAGGTGCCAGTTACATTTCTATGAAACACTAAAGTCTCGGACATCGATAATAAATACTATACTCGCCTGAATAAACCAGAACTAAAGGAATATTTCACCGACACATCTACAACCGCTTATCTAGAGTTTTCGAGAGGTTCACATTCTGATCTTGATCTTCCTTCTAATTTGCCTTTACCAGATATATCTCACCTAATAGTCGAGAGTCGCCCCAAGCCGTGTGAATAGTTTTATCAAGTGCCACACACAAACTTCTCTCATAGACAGTATCTTGGAGATTAAAAAAGGACCTGGATCCGCTGAGAACTTTGCAGAGGGTAACCTTAGTATGCTCTAGCTATTTCACTCTCGACTGTAACACGCACGGCTCAAAAAGGTGCCACTAGTGACTAAATTTATAAACTCTCTGTTGCTTCACCTGAGGAAAATCTCTGGTTCAAAAACCTTTGGGATTAGTAACCTGATGCCTAACCTCAACTGGTTCAGAGCGTAGCTCACTCAGTCTTCTAATACCCTTTTCCGAATGACCCATCCAGTACCATGAACTGATACACCCTGTATAACAGCTTTCTCTGTATATTTACACCGCGCGCAACTATTTCAGTGGCCACATTCTATAATTTCACCATGGGCTTGCCCAGCCGCACAGAGACCCCTTCGAGAATTCTTCGAGATCCTAAGTCCTGCAGGGAATCTCGCATGTGATGCAATAGCAACATTGGCGGGGCCGGCCGTGCTGCAGGTTGAGACGACCCCAGCGAGGGCCGTGGAAAATTCGAGAATGTGACACACGCTTTTTAACTGTTTGAAACGTATAAACCAGCCTGTCCGAAAGCGTAGGACGGGATTGGATTATCCACTGAAATTTTGGCATAACTCAATGTGGTTTTGTTTTTCCCTAGCCTCGTAGCATTACATGTTCGTTACCCCACATCTGGATGTCACGTTGCTCTTCTAGCAATTAGCACGCCTTACTAAAGTATCTTCGCCATATTCCACATAAATACCCCGGTGATAAAAGAATCTCACGGTAATTATGAAGCTATAATCAGTTTGAACGTAGGTGGTATTAGTTTCGCCTAGCCCCAGATCTGACTGCGAGTTCTCCTGTAGCAATCCACACTTGCTGCATTCCATGCGCACCTCGATAGCAATCATATACAAGCAACCCCCCTCGGTATAAAAACTTCGCACCACCCCACTGCCACGTACACCAGACTCCATCCACATTGATTTCCATCACCCATTATCTCTACACCACCACCATGAGCGCCACCAGATACATCCTAGGCGGAGCAGCCATTGCCGGCGCTGCGTACTACGTCTACGACACCAACCAGCAGCGCGCCCTCTACGGCACGCCGCTTTCTCAGCAATTGCGTAACAGCGCAGACACTGCGGCCAGTAAGGCGCTGGACGGCTTGAACACCGCCAAAAACGAGCTTCAATCGGCCAAGTACGACCTCCAGAACAACCTCGAGGCGGCCAAGCACGACCTTAAGGGCAACTTAAACACGGCTGTACGCGACATCCGCGGCAACGTTAACTCTGCCGCTGAGGACGTGACGGAGTGGACGCGCGACAAGTACAACGAGCTCGTGCACGCGTTGTCACACGCCACGACCGAAGAAAAGGCGCGTCTCCGCGCGCGCTATGGTCGCAAGTACGACGAGGTCGCGAATGCAAGCGCGGAGGAGCGCCAGTTGGTTCTCGCCCGCCTCGATGTCTCCAAGAGCCCGCTCTTGCAGGTTTCCGACAAGTATATTGATGCAGTCAACGATATCGGTATCTCTACCGAAAATGCCCTCCAGTCCATCAAGAACACTGTAATCGGCGCCAAGGACACGGTGGCTGACACCACTGACGCGGCTGTCAGCGGTGTTGTCAGCGCGAGGGACTCAATTGTGAACACCGTGTCGGATGCCGCAGACTCTGTGGCCGAGACTAAGAAAACATGGCTCGGTGCGTCCGCGAGCGATCGTGCTGTGGTAAACACCGAAGCAAAAACTGCCGCGGCAGTGGCTAACGCGGTGCGTGGCTGGGGTGACTTGGCCACCTACGCGAGTGAGGAGCTGGCAAACGACCACGGTGCCGTGACGCGCGACGCGAACGGCAAGATCTTGAACTGGAGCGCCGATAAACTCGCGGAGGCCAAGAGCAACGCGGAGGCGGCGCTTGCGGAGGCACGGAGTGAGTTGGAAGCTGCCCAGAAGGAGTTCAAGAAGCTGACCAACTCGTGGTTCTCGAGCACGAAGGAGGCGGAGGCAGCCGCGCAGCAGAAGTTGGACGAGGCACAGCGCAAGTTTGACCACGCGGCGCGCTCCATTGAGCCGTACACGCGCCAGTTGGTGTCACGTGCGGGTGACGGCCTCTCCTACTTAAAGAGCGGCGCTGAGAAGGCGACCGAGGCTGTCAGGGAAAACGCCACTGGGATTGCTAAAGAGACCCAGAGACTCAGCAAAGACTACATTGGATCTGCTTCTGTCACTGACATCAAGGAGGAGCGTTTAGCCGCGCAGACCGCGCAGGCGCTCCACGGTTGGGGCGAAACTGCAGCCGCACTTGCGGAGGAGGAATATGAAGAGGTGTTCCAGAAGAATGATACCGCAACCGGAAAGATCTGGAAGTGGGCGTTCACCAATAAGGAGTCGGCTGAAGAGGCGGTGCTGTATGCGCGCAACGAGTTGGCAACTGCGAAGAAGGAGCTCGATAGCACCCACAAGAGGTGGTACCAGTTTGGGAGGTCTGTGGATACTGAGTTGCAGCAGAAGGCGCAGAGAAACTACGAGCAGGCCCAGAAGGGGTTCGAACACGCTCAGGCACAGGCGAAGCAGTTTACCGAGAAGGCCAACCAGGCATTCTGGACCGGCGCGAATGACGCGGTGGACCAGACCAAGGAGGGGTTGGATGTCGCGCATGACAAGGCGCAGGGTGGCTTGGAGGGGGTTAAGCAGTGGATTAACAAATAGGTCTAGCCAAAGCCGGGCTTAAATCAGAGTTTTATAACTCCAGAGATAGGTTTTGATTAGTCTTACATTGTCCATACGAATTTTAGCGCAGCTGGGCTTTCACAGTATGGTTTATTTGTGCTTTTTGTTCTTGTTTTTTATATTGAGTATATATATATATATACGCTTTGGAAAGGTAAGAATTTACAGAACTATCTGGAAGGACTGTTGTTATCCTTCCAATCTCCTCTTGTATTATTCTACATTGTTGTATAAGTGATAGTACTCTGAATATAGAAACCTTTTGGTTTGTCTACGTAAAATAGCTGAACTCAAGACATTTAGATTCCTATGGGTACCACTGGTTTATGCATGCCTGGGTAGTTTTCCATCGATAATTCTTCCACTACATTCTACGATAACGTACATGACATTTTTTGAAATGGATACACAAACCTAACAAACTATGATACATGATTAGATATAGCACTAGCTTTTGTTTTGCATCTAATACAGGTTGTATAGTGTAGTGGTTATCACTGTTGGTTCTGATCCAATAAACCCCGGTTCGAATCCGGGTACGACCTGACTTTTTTTAGGTAATCCCCCAGTCTGGAACCATGAGGATTATCCAACCTTTAGTGATGTCCCATTTCCGATGCCAACCCCGGCAGAAGGCTTTCCAGACTATTCGGTCGACGGCTCATATTTATATCGAAATTATTACCTTGTTGTGGTGGCAGGGCCTCCTTTCTATTATTAGTACCAATGCTATCAACCGTGCTAACCGACGGGAAAGATAGATAATGTCCACCTAGAACGCTCATTATTTGATGTTATATAACTCTAGCATGACTCTTTATCGGCAAATTTGAGCCATTATTGTTGTGTTAAATCCTTGGTAAAATGATTGCCAGTTTCGAAACCACAAAGACCCCAGCCCAACGAAAATATTGGCTAACCGGGTATCGCCAGCAAGCATATCACTCTCCATTCTGTAGGCGCAGCCACCTGCCTAAAGAGACGTGTCCACACCCGACCTGCTCAACATGCCTGAACCTGTTTGCTGATACGCAGTGGCACGTGATACAGGAATAAACGTTCGCTCACACTCAACACAGGGTAAGATAGGGCCACCTGCTTGCATTCCTATGCTTTCAGTTCCGTTCTTAGTTTGATAAAATTTTTGCCCAACTCCTAAGCGCTAACTCTTGATTGTCTGTTAGTTCACTTTGCTATTCCTTCACTATCCGTTTTGCCACCCCTCCTTGCTCTTTCCTTGGCAATCCCCTTCAGCAACGCTTTCACTTGATACAACTAAACCCTCAGGGAATGGACTAATAATCGATTATATCCATAGAAGATTTCTCTCTAGAGGCACTTCCTTCTTTCACTCCGTTTTTCTAGTTTGCATTAGAGCTGCCAACTCCGTTACTGTCAGTGTTCCCAATCCCTCATTACTCACCACTACCCCTCCACGCCCTAGATCATGCCCTCAAAACCTCTAACCATCTTTATAGGCGTGGCGGTTGCAATCATATCATCCGCTGCACAGTCTATCGGCCTCACATTCCAGCGCAAGTCGCACCTCTTAGACCAGACACAGACACCGCTCTTGCGAAAGCACCCCAGCAGCGACGACGGCGATGATAGCTTCGATCTCCCGGCGAACACCGTCACTTACAAAAAGAACCTCTGGCGCTTGGGGATTGTGCTCTTTCTCCTCTCCAACATCCTCGGCTCCACCATCCAGATCACCACGTTGCCACTCATCATACTCTCACCGTTGCAGGCCATCGGGCTCGTGTTCAACGCCATCTTCGCATCCATGATCCTCAAAGAGCCGTTCAACTCGCTCACACTCGCGGGCACCGTGCTCGTCAGCTTTGGCGCTTTGGTCATCGCCGTCTTCGGGGGTAAGGTCAGCCTCCAGTACGGCGTGGGTACCGACCCCCTGGACGCATTGGACATTGCGCGGCTCTGGGAGCTCTTTGCGCGCCGGCAATTCGTCTACTGGTTTGCCTTCAGCATGCTCACCGTGACGGTGCTTCTATACTGGGTCTACGCGCTCCACCGCCAGAAGCGCCGCTTGCTCTACTCTCACGCCACCGGCATCGAGTTGTATCTGAGCCGACCCCGCCAGAACGACAACACACTGATCGAGCGCATCAACTTCAAGCAGGGCTTGGTCTACGGCATGGTTTCAGGAATCCTCTCGGCGTACTCGCTCCTCTTTGCCAAGAACTCGGTGGAGATCATCACCAACGCCATCTTTGTGCAGCACAACTTCTTCCACATCATTTTTAACCGCCAGTACCTTGTCACATGGATCTTTGCGTTGTTCTTTCTAACGTTCGCCGTGTCTCAGTTGGTAGCCATGAACATGGGCCTCAAAAAGATCTCCACATCCATCTATTACCCGTTGATTTTCTGCAACTACAACTTGGTCAACATCCTCAACGGGCTTATCTTCTATGATCAGTTGAACGAGTTGTTGTTTGGGAAGCGCCAGCACGGCTGGTGGCTCCTCTTTGCCATTTTCGTGGGCGTGTTGTTTGTGGTTCTGGGCGTGTTTGCCTTGAGCTGGTCGCGCTTGGACGAGAACCAAAGTGACGGGTGCTGCGATGGGGGCTACGATTTATACCTGATCCGGATGGACCCTACCAAGAGCGTCCCAGTCGAAGAAAGTGTGGTACCGATGGAGACACCCAAAGCCACATTCCAGGTCCACGTGACAAATCTCCGCAATTCCTTCTCAAGCTCGCTCGCCAAAATCCGGACTGAGGTCATTGCAAGGCACCCCTTGGGTCGTAAAAGCCTGGCCCGTGAACGTAGAGCCGCATCCCACATCACGAGCCACTGCCCCAGCAATGCACCGTATGACAACGTCGTATACATTGGAACCGGAGCTATGAAGAAAAAGGGAAAGGGCCACAGGAAACAGCATCTGGGAGAACTCAAAAAGTCGTCGAGCCACAAGACTGACATAGAGTCTGTCCAATCCACGCCTCCGCTCGATGTGGTCCCGCAATTCTCCACGCCCATCCCCTCGGATGACGAATATGAAGAGGAGCACTCGCAGTTTGTGTCGTTTGGGTCGCCGATAGACTCACCGGTGGTGATACGCGACTTGTCGTTAGAAAACGATGAGGACCTCCAGTCATGGGCTGAGCGTAGGGTGAGCAATGGCGTCAGGTTCAGCAGTGGTCGTCCGGTACTCGAAGGCCTGGAGCACCTTCCGCGCCACCACATTGTATCGCCACTTTCGTCCGTCTCTCCGTTTAGAGACCGGCTTCCGTCGGAGGATGACGACGATGGTCTGTTTGGTGAGACCATTGCCAAAAAGTGGCCGTTTGGATGTGTGAACCAGAGTGAAAGCAGCGGTGGGAACAATTCACCTGCAAGAGGTCGCCGGATGCTCAGTTTTGAGCAGAGCGAGTTGCTTAGTCAACTCCGAAGCTAGACCAAAAGGAGCACGTTTCGTGTCTTAATCTAATGTTAATGGTGTCGCTGCGAGTGTAATGATAATGTAGTATTCCCTGTCTACGGTTAGCCGGTATACTTGTTATAGAACTATAAGGATTGGCAATATGATCAGCTCCTTAGATACGAGATTTTCATAACTTCCGCGATTAAGTTGTCTGACGCATAAACCAGCAACGTGGTGGATATTAACGTAAGCTTCAATAATCAATTAGATTGTAACATAGACTCGTGTGTACTTTGAACCAGAGACATTTCTGTTTGGTGCTTCAGGCGAACCGCACTGGTATGTAGAAATCACAGAGATCTCGTCATTACTCTTCTATGCTTCGCGAGCACAATCATGTTTCTTCTAGGATATTTGATAATGTATAAAACCTTAGTGAAGGATCCTTAGCAACTCAAAGACTTTACTTCCACCAAGCTCTCCAATGCACGTTCCGGCTTCATACACTTTCGCTGCTCTATAAATACCTCTTCTCTACTAGTTCTCACACATCTCATCTGGTGGAACCACAAACGCTCCGGTCAAATACAAGGCCGGTTCGTCAATACAATGGTGCTGGTAGCTCAACACCCCCACACCACCGGCATCCAATACGAACTTCGGGTCCTGGTTGATCTGCCAGCCACACCATCTTGCAGCAAGACACCTCAAAATGTGCCCGTGACCAACAACAAGTACATCACAAGGCATGTCTTCGTCAAACGCCTTCTGGTGAATGACACGGATCTTGGCAATGAGTCTGTCAATCCGCACGGTTGCCTGTTCGTAGGTCTCTCCGTTTTCACAGCCATCTCTCCAAATCAGCCAGTTATCGCCTAAGCCACGCTCGGAGCGTGAGGCTTGGATTTCTCTCTTCAACAACCCTTCATAGTCACCATAGTCCCACTCTCTGATGTCTTCATTGATCTCGATGGTGTAGCGCTTCTGCTCGGCTGTCAACGACTTCGTTAACAACTCAACCGTCTGTTGCGCGCGCAAACGTGGGGAACAGATCACCGTGGTCAAATGAGCTGGCTTGATGAGCTGCAAAGGTGATTCTCCAATCAACGCCTTCCCCGTCGCCGTCATCTGTCTGATCCCGAACTCGGTGAGCGGGATGTCGGTGACAGAGGTGTGTTGGCCAGACTTGGACCATTCGGTTTGTCCATGACGCGAAAAGATAACTCTTGGTGTTGCAGATTTGTGGGAAACCATTGTAGCGTGTAGCTGTCTGCTGATAGGTTCTTGTGGGAACTGTAGATGTTTTATATGCGAGTTTTTCAGACCATTCGCATGACACACAGGACCGGTATGTAGTGCAGCCGAGGCTTTCCGGCCAGGGGCGAAACTGGGCTTAGGCTGCCGATCCACGACGAAAAACATACGGAACAGGGGAATTTAGTTGGAGAGGACCGACCATAACAACGTTGAAGCCAGATAGGAAGACTGATATTAGCAGACATGGGGATAGTCATTTGATAGGGGCATCGAAGATATGGGATCACAGGGGCATTTGATCGTTTACGGCAAATGGTGAATTGCCGGGTAAATGCCCAATAGTTTGCTTATAGTAATGATTAGGTAAATATTACACTCCCTTGTACGTATGCACGTGTAGTAGCAATTGGTTTGTTCACATCACAATGGCGGGGTAAACGGGGGCCACTCTAATGCTCTATAGAGTATGTGAACTTTAATTGCTGGAAAATGAATGTTAGTGCACGCTTTTCGTGCCTTAATGGGATACCTATATATGAGTTTCGCCTGGGAGGCTAGCGGTATACCGAGTCGCAGCTTTTATGGTATCCTACTCATAGGTACAATCAATTCCGTTACCAGTTTTTCAGGATTTCCCGTAAGAGTTTATATGATTTGTCCTTTGTGTGGCAGTTTAATAACAGATCTGATGGTGTCCCCGGAGAGACATCGCCCAATCAATAGTTATAGCGCGTCGTCGCGTGCAGGAAAAACATCAACCAAAATTTGACGCGTCGCGACGCGCCTTAAAGGCATTGAAAACTTTTCTCTACTTTCAATCACTACTCTGCTCAACGGCTTACACCAACACAAAAATGGGTATCAAGGGTATGTTTAAGACCGAGAACTTCCCTGACCGATTACTAATTCCCTCCCCCAGGTCTTAACAGATTGATCGCGGATAACGCTCCGACCGCTATCAGAGCAGCGGAAATCAAATCCTTCTTTGGTAGAAAGGTTGCGATTGTACGTAAACATTACCGTTCCGAGATTGAACTAACATGCTGTCCTATTCTCTCTATGGATTCAATTGTTCGTTACTAACCTCCAGGATGCGTAAGTATCAGAGCTCCTTGTTTCCTCAGGACCATACTAACTTACAGCTCGATGTGTCTTTACCAGTTCCTTATCGCCGTGAGACAACAGGACGGGCAACAGTTAACGAATGAAGACGGTCAAACGACGTCGCACTTGATGGGGATGTTCTACCGAACATTGCGGATGGTCGACAATGGGATCAAGCCGTGCTACGTGTTTGACGGGAAGCCGCCCCTGATGAAGGGGGGGGAGCTTGAGAAGAGAACCGCGAAGCGTGAGCACGCGTCGAAACAGATAGAGGAGTTGAAGGAGGCAGGAACTCTCGAGGAGGTGGGCAAGTTTGAGAGACGGTTGGTAAGAGTCACCAAGGAGCAGAACGACGAGGCAAAACACCTTTTGAGCTTGATGGGGATTCCATACGTGGAAGCGCCATGTGAAGCTGAGGCTCAGTGTGCTGCGCTAGCAAAGGCCGGAAAGGTGTTTGCCGCTGCCTCTGAGGATATGGATACGCTTTGCTTTGAAACCCCATACTTGCTCCGCAACTTGACCTTTTCGGAGGCGCGCAAGTTGCCTATCAACGAAATCAAGTACGAGACGGTTGCGGAAGAGTTGGGCATGGACAGAGCGATGTTTGTGGATTTATGTATCTTGTTGGGCTGCGATTACTGCGAGACCATCCGTGGGGTCGGCCCCGTCACCGCCTTGAAGTTGATCAAGGAGCATGGCTCTCTTGAGGCTATTGTGGAGGCCATCGAGTCTAACCCAAAGTCCAAGTACGTGGTTCCGGAAGACTGGCCGTACAAGCAAGCGAGAGAGTTATTTTTGAACCCTGAAGTGAAAGATGCTTCGGAGATTGAGTTGAAGTGGAGCGAACCGAATGAAGAGAAGTTGATTGAGTACATGGTTCAGCGCAACGGCTTCAGCGAAGAGCGCATCAAGGCTGGGATTGAAAAGTTAAAGAAGGGTTTGAAGGGCGGAGTCCAGGGAAGGTTGGATGGTTTCTTTTCCGTGATTCCAAAGACTAAGGAGCAGCTTGAGGCCGCTAAGAAAAAGAGAAGCGACAGTAGTGCCGCGAGTAAGAACAAGAAGGCCAAGTCGGCTGCCAAAAAGAGAAAGTAAAAGCCTACAAGTCTATGAGTTTAGCGTAGCTAGACGAGGGGATATACACCGATGTTTAGTTTCAATTTGCTGTGTATTTGCTATTGATGAATAAATTGTTAGAACGGGAAATATTTTATTTATATGAAAAGATTATACACGGAAGAAATCTTTAAAATATAAATAAAAAACTAATAAACCTTTATCGTACATAAAAGAATGTTATACATATTAATTTTAATTCCACCCATATGTAATGAAATGGATAACACACAAAACTTATGATAAGTCTTAGATTATTATATATTGAGTCAGCTAGGACTACAGTCTTTCATCCATTATACCTTTCATTTAATGAAGCTTCCCAGAACCAGTTGTAGTTAGTTTATGTCACGTGATAATATAGTATAGTACTTCATTGTATTCATATCTTGTCTAGACGACTCTCTACAACACTCTTCAAAGATCAAAACAGCGAAAGAAGGTATAGTTTTTTCACCGGAATCTACGTTAAGCACTTTTGACATCTCTTGCATCTTAAAATGTTTCCCTAGGAGGGTCCTTGAAAGTTACTTATAGTGCTAATTAGCCCCACGTGGAGGCTTTCCCAAAGCGGTAACGTGATAGGAAAATCCTGCATTGAAGAATATATGCAGGAAGTAACTTTTCACCCCAGGTCATCGGCCATCGCCAGTATTTAAATTGAATAATCGCCTTTGCCACTTTTTCAAGTTTCGTAAAACACTTTCACGTCCTGATACTAATATCCATACTAATCAATACTATGGCCGTGCAAAAAGACGCTAGCTTGGACAAGCCCATCGATGTCTCTAAGAAGGCCGTCATTGCCTCTTCCGTGTTGACCCCAGACTTGGCTTCTGCCGTTTTGAACTTGAACATTGACCGTTTCAACCAGATCAAATCCAAGGCCAACCGGTACCTTTTTTGGCAGCTCAAGGTTTGGGTAGCAGCCGTTACCGTCACGTTGGCTCTCGTCTCCGTCGCTGGTGTGGGGCAGAATTACCTCGACAACATCCGCTATAGTGACGCCTCGTACATCTTCCAAGTGGAGTTTTTTACCATTTTCTTCACCTTTTGCTTCGTTATTTCTGGTTGTTTTGTGGCACTTTCATTCCTGTCTTTCTCGCTTGGCGAGCATGCCACCAGCTTGGAAAAGAACCATAAACACGTCTTTGGTACGGATTTAGAGAAGTTTGCCCAGTTACCTCTTAACACTAAGGACAGAGATACCCTCAAACAGATTGCCAAGGGCCAGGATACCTTTGTCATCAGTTATAGGGACACCCCAATTGCTACCATTTCCTTGCAGCCGGTGCAGAGAGGCGATACCCTCAAGCTTAGGGCTGGGGCCTACGTAGTTAAGGTGACCGGCTTGGGGGTCCGCAAGATTTACATTCCAAGTGGAATGTACAGCGATTTGCTAGAATGGGCTATTTTGCACGCCAGAAAGATGTATGAGGCCAATGGAAAGAAGGACACCGCTGCTTTCCTCATCGTCGACAACGTCTACAACTTCGACACCGCGTTGCGAGATGAGTTGACATCGCTCAATTTCGCCCCAGTGGCTGAAATGGCGTCATACTTAAACGGTACTTTCAAGTTCTGCGGCATTGTCAATGAAACCTGGGCCATTGAGGTGGCAAACAAGGAAGGCGTCGAGAGCGCTGAGGGATTTGATAGTCAAACCCTTTCCAGAAGGATTCTTGAGACGTCGGAAGGGGTCAGAAGAAGAGCCCAGAAATAGGGACAACAGTGCTAATACCGTGTAATATACTTGTTTTTCAATAAAAGTACGGATGAAAATTGTATTATAAAAGTTGACCAAGAATCTGATTCTACATGAAGGCACTTGAGGAAACACGGAGGTGAATGCACGTACTGATCAAAAAATAGCAGTCAGTGCTCAGAGGACCGAATAAATGGTTTCATTTACATTAATCTACACTCACCACATTAATGAGAATGACCGACTATTCAAGGGTCCGCACTGTACACCAATTAAAACCTAATTGACCATATACACACACTACACACATCCCGATTCTAACCAAGTATTTGAGGGGGGGGGGGAAGGATAGACGCATCATCATAAACTATGCGTAATAAGTATCCGAGTACATTCTCGGCAAGCACATTTAGTTCCGATGAGACTCCCACCATACCACTCGGTTAAAATTTTAGCAGCTTAACCTTATCCTTCATTCCTGAGACCATTCGAGTACATCGATTTGGTGACAACATTGAGGCGCGAACCCTACTTTCTTTTTGACGTATATTCAAGACATTGTTTCACTTATTGTAGACTTGCAGCCATACCCAATGCCGATATAAAACAAGGGGTACCCAGTTGGTAAAATATATTAACCGTTAAATTGTGTTTATCAGTAATGTACTAGATTATTAAATGGCTGTCCATCTCCAAAACACGGTTGTCCTGTATATCCCGGTCGTGCCCAGGCCAGGGGATATCGCTCGGGCGAAGTCCAGACGGTGCCTGGGGTACTTATAACTGCCAGCGACGTTATCTCCCCTTCTACCACCATCACCTCCCCACACATAATGGCGCCTAAACTTGAGGAGTGGGAAATCAAAAAGTACTGGGAGATTTTCAGCGGCTTGCAGCCGACGGATGGGAAGTTGAGCGGCGAAAAGGTATCGCCGGTGTTGAAGAACTCTCGCCTCGCCGACGCGCAGTTGGGGCGAATCTGGGACCTCTCGGACATCGACAGCGACGGGGAGCTAGATTTTGAAGAGTTTTGCATCGCAATGCGCTTGATCTTTGACGTGATCAATGGCACCATGTCCGATTTACCAGAATATCTCCCAGATTGGTTGATTCCAGCGTCAAAGTCCCATCTCATCCAAGCGAACCGTGCCCTCAACCACCAGCCGGTCTACGCCGCTTCTTCCGACGACGATGATGAATTAGGGGCTTTATCTGACGATTTCGATTGGTACATCTCGCCTACTGACAAGGCCACGTACGAGACCATCTACAATTCCGCCACGGATCATCTCGGGCGAATCCGTTTCGCTGCCTGGACCGACTTCTACCACACTTTACCGAACGTTCCGCAGACCGATGTGTCCTCAGCCTGGAACCTTGTGAACCCGAAGCAGTTTGAGACGATAGACAAGGACCAGGCGCTTGTTTTCTTGCACATTTTGAGCCAGCGCCAGCGCGGCAGACGCGTGCCGCGCGGCGTGCCCGCATCGTTACGCGCGACGTTTTCCAAGGAGGTTCCGGACTACAGCTTAACATCGCACCAGGCGAATGTCTCACGGACAAAGCAGTCTTTTGCCGATAGCTATGCGTCCCGAGTCGGTGGGTCTACGTCCAGGAGCAATACTGGAACTGACTTTTCCGCTACAAAAGATACGGACTGGGAGGAGGTCCATTTGCGCCGCGAGTTAGCAGACCTAGAGGCGGTGATCGCAAAGGCCGAGGCCGCGCCGGAGACAAGTGGTGACTCGCTGCTAGCCGTGGCGAAGCACGAGTTTACGCAGCTTTTGGCGTACAAGGAGGCTCAGTTGCTGGCGCAGGCGCGCGCACCCGCAGGCTGGGCCGGGCCCGAAGATGATATTACGTTGATTGCCGAGCAGGTGCAATCGTTGGAGGCGGTGATGGCGAGCAAAAAGGCTGAATTGGCAATGTTGCAGCTGCAGATTGCAAGTGAGCGGAACGAGGTGAAGTGAACATAGTGTCGCTCGCTTTGACACGCCGATTCTTTAGAAATGTCAATTATAATTCAACAACCGAGAGAAAGGGTGTAGTGGAACGAAGCGAGCGAGGGGTGAGCTAAGTCAAAGGCAGCAGACTGTGGAGCTAGGTTATGGTACGGTGTGTTGATAATGCCAGTTTCCATCGTAGGCAATCTCTTACATACTGGTTGCAAGAATCGAAGCTGGAGATTTGGTTGACGAAAGCGGAGTAGGACGAGGGGGTGAATTAATAGTAACATCAACGAAATGAGGACCTATTGCCGATCCTAGCATGAGGACGTCTTGTGAAGATCGGACAGCCAACAGTAAGCCTTCATAGGCATGACTAGAAATTAAATATAGCTGGATCTTTCTGATATAGCCTGATTGGAAATAACTGTATCCTTTCCATATACCAATAATCAGCCGGATTATGACATTCCTTAACGTGTGACTTTTGCAAGCACGATAAAATGTAATGCTGCCTTTAGCATTTGGAGAGCTCAAATGCTCAATCTCTATCAGGCTGGTCTCCAGTTTAGCCCCTTAGCTACTGCTTACACCAGCTCGGCTTTCGAGCCGAGCGTTGTTAACTAATAAATAATATAATAAAACGGGGCAATTATACCACCCCTGAAGAAAATGCATATGCCATCTACCGGGAGTCTTTTTATTTCTTTGGCGCGCCCTGAGCTGACTCAGGCTCTGGGGTTGGCTCAGGTTCCGGGGTAGGCAACTTGAAGGACTCTGGGGTGTCGTCTCTGCCTGGGCCAACCTGTTCCCAGACGGAGGAGCCGACAGAGAAGTTTCTGAACGCCTGGGTCAACTCCAACGGCTCGTAGACGATTCTGTGCTTTTCTTCGTCGTATCTGACCTCGGTATATCCAGTGGTTGGGAAGTCCTTTCTCAATGGGTGGCCCTGGAACCCGTAGTCGGTCATGATTCTTCTCAAGTCTGGGTGGCCCTCAAAGAAGATTCCGAACATGTCGTACGCCTCACGCTCAAACCAGTTGGTACCCTCAAACAACGGAACTACGGATGGCACTGTGGACAATTCAGATGCGTAGGTCTTGACTCTGATTCTAGAGTTGTATCTGTGCGACAACATGTTGTACACCACGTCGAATCTGTTAGTTCTGGACGGGTAGTCGGCACCTGTAACGTCCATGCACGCCTTGAACTGGGTAGCCGTGTGATTCTTCAAGAACTTCATGGTTGGGATGAGTGCAGACGGCGCGACGTAGATAATAATCTCGTCCTTCCACACGGAAAACTGCTGGACAAACTTAGGCAAGCACGCAGTAATGTAGCGCCCGAACTTGTGTAACTCTTCGGACTGCTCTCTGTATCTGTCTGCTGGGTTGACAATCGCAGCGTGGAGTTCACCCGGGTCGGCTCTTGGCAAGGATCTCACGTCGACGAGCTCCTCCTGCTTCGTCACGCGGGCAGCGGAGAAGTGTCTGGCATTGGCCAACACGCGCACGCTTTTGGCGACTTGGAACGCGGTTCTTTGAACGGATCTGGCGGAAATCATATTGCTGGAGATGGCGACACACTTAGCATGTTGTTCCTGTGGTTGACTTTTTTAGTAGGCCTGTACGCTTGGTAGAAAAGCAAATATTCTCAGATTTCCATTGGCTGCGGCAGCAGTACACGTCACGTGGGGTCGACTTCCCGATTGGGGTATATGTTGGGGATAAAGTGACTCCATAGGGTTTATTCGTTCGGCGGGTGTGAAGCATTTAGTAATGGTTTGATACATTTAGATGGGTTATATGGTAGGACACCAGGCAAGATATGAACGAGGCATTGGACAATGATGATGAAATTAAATTCTCTGATCTGGAGCAGCATAAAATTTGATTCCCTCAATTATAACCCAAGAAATTACTTAAACGGACATTTGACCGGTTAATACTCAAATAGGACCCTAGAGTTATATTAATTATACTATACACATAAACTGACCTTCGGCCGTTTATCGCTGACAGACCTTTACCCATAAATGCTCTTTAGCGCATGTTTCTATCAGCGGTTCTTGGCTTGGCTCTGATAATGTTGTCCACTCTCAACAAAACCTCTGCAGCCTCGGACGCAGAACTCACCACCGCGTTCTTCAATTTGTACGACTCGACAATCCCCAACTCTCTCATATCGGCAATCACACCATTGTTCAAGTCCAACCCGGAGGTCAACATCCCATTGTAGATCGAGGATCTCAATTTGGTGACCAACTCCGACGAATCAAACCCGGCATTGTCGGCCAAGATGGTTGGCAACTGTCTCAACGCTCTGGCAAAGGCCTCCACGGCCAAGGACTTCTTGCCCTCCTGGTTCTGTGCAGCGGTGTCCACAGCCTTGGACATGATCATTTCGGCACAGCCACCACCGAGGGTGGTTCTGGTCTCACGCGTGGTCTGCGACAACACGGACAACGCATCGTGCAAAGATCTCTCGGCCTCGTCCAAGACTTGCTCGGTGGCACCTCTCAAAACAATGGTGCAGGCCTCACCGGCGGCGACACCGGAGAACTTGGTCATAATGTCTTCGCCGATGATGACTTCTTCGATAACGTCGCAGAAACCCAACTTGACCATTGATGGCTCATCAAAGGTGGAGGCGACCTCACCGCCGGTGACAAGGGCCAATCTCTCGATCCCGTCAAAGTCCGCATGCTCGATGGTGTTAATCTTGGCGTCGGTAAAGAGCTGTTCCGGGTAGTCGTAAATTAATTGTCTGTTGATAAAGACGTTGATGCCGAACTTGGAGATCTTTTCAACCTTGGCGCGCATCTTGTCCTTTTCGGCCTTCTCTAACTCGGCCAACTTGGAGGTGGAATCGACCTTGAACTTGGCACCAAAGATCTTGACCTTGTCGGTATCCATAGAGGTGTTGGCAATCAAGATTCTGGCCTTTTCGAGGCGCTTTGGCTGGTTGACACCGAAACGCTTGTTCAAAATGAACCCCTCATCCAAAAAGGAGTCCGCTAACTTGCCCCCAGACTTCTTGATGATTTGGATGTGCTCCAAGTTGGTTGAGCCCTTCAAGCGGAGAATGGCGTCCACTGCCAATTTAGAAAAATACTCCTTGTCCTGCGACAAAATCTTGGAGGATAAAGTGGTTCTGGCGATGTTGATCAAGTCCTTTCTGAAGGCAGCCGGGTCGCCGGAGTTGTCCACGGCAACCCTGTCCAAAGCGTCAAGCGCAGCCTTTGAGGCGATCCGGTAACCTTCGATGATCGTCTGGGGATGAATCTTGGCGTCAATTAACTTCTCAGCCTCTCTCAACAACTCAGCCGCCAAAACGGTCACGGAGGTGGTACCGTCGCCCACCTCATCGTCCTGAACCTTGGAGATGTTCACGAGGACCTTGGCCGCGGGATTGTCAAATGGAATAGATTTTAAGATAGTGGCACCGTCGTTTGTGACCATGGATTCATTGCTGGACGCGCTGGTCAACAACTTGTCCATACCCTTAGGCCCCAAGGTGGTCTTGACAAGGTCACCCACGGCAATCGCACCCACAAAGGACGAGAGACGGGCGTTTTCCGCTCTTTCTTCGGTCGCTTGGTCGTTGAAAATCTGCACAGACATTGTTAGTGGAGGAAGTGGTGGCGTTCGGTTTTGATGGATCTCGGCGTCTCATTTTTTTTTTGTAACGTAACAGATCGAAGCGCGTCGAACTTTTTCGAGCAAAAGCACGTGAGGTGGCTGCCGGGAAGACGGCACGTGATCGAGATGAGGCAGATTGTAAGCTGTGTGAATGATGTATGGCCAATCTTTGCGTATGTCTAAGCATTGAAAGAGACTTGGTGAGGGGTTATAATAAGCTGCTAAATTGGGGGTGGACTCGGGTTATTCCGGCGAGGGGCATAAACGTTGGTTTGGCGCTAACCGTTATAAAAGGAGAGGTGCGTATTATCGGAGATCCAGATAGGGAAAGGGCCTGAAAGTGTATAGGGCAGCTTCAACATGCAACTGCCCTTGCTAATAGAGTAGAGTGATATAGTTCGCCAGAAAGAGTAGACTTTTAATAAACCATTTTTCGCTGAGGCATTTCGTGATAACGATAAATACCATCAATTCCATGGAAGGAAAGGAGATGTGTTCCATTGCCTGCCTACCATGTATCAGTCCCACAAAACCTCTACTTTTAACGCATAGGGGCCCCGCTACAGCTTGCACCTAGATGACTAACCTTATTTTACCGGAAACTGGGATCGTTGTCACCGAGTTTGTCATGTCAGTCAGGCTGACACCTTTCATGCAGGTTCTACGACTCCGAAAGTCCGAGACAGCGCGGTCGGCTTTCCCCGATGTGGTCCAATGCGATAGTACAACGAGGATTAGCAATATATTTAGTTCTTGAAAAGAATGCAAGGATAGTACTGAATCAGTTTGACTGGACCGGCCCGTATAATATGTTACCCCAGCTTTTGTTGTCAAACTTCAATGCAGATACCCGGCATACAGCTTAAACGTGGAAGTCGAAGCGAGCAGCCACGACCAGGCAGCTTTACCTAAAGGCAAGCATACCTTTTTGTGGAGCGAATACTGGCAATCAACAGCCCCACACCCTTTTTATGCATATAATCATCTCGCAAATGCCAGTGCTGTCGCTTTATTTGAGGCCCCGATAGCGCACGGCATCGAAAGGACTCCGGGAGTCGACTTCCTTCTCCGCGGAAAGTGCCGCACTCGGTGCACACAAAATTTTCAGCTTTTTCCTGTATGTCCAAAACGGTCAGGCGCACGCGAGAAAAATGCTTCTCGTAAACCAATAGCTAACTGCCAATTTGAATTCATTCGGCACATCCACTCAATCGTTCAACAATTGAGTAGCAGATACCTACACGTGTTAAACCCTTGGCTACGATACCAAACGCCACTACCTTCAGCCAAACTTGACAGACCTTGCCAAGCTCAACTTGTAATTAGACGCCAGCAAAGCATCGTGCATTCCAGCAAAACGTTCTACAAACCTTTTGCATCATCCAGGGCCCTATTAGGTTTTCACAGCTTTGTCGCATATCCATTTGTTGGTTCTACCAAGACGGCCAAGTCGTATATTGACGCCCTTGCCCGCTGCTTTATTGCATAGTCATCATTTCATAACCTGTGCATAATTACACAACCCCACCATGACTACCGTTACCACACCCATCACCACCACGCTGTCGGCCGCGGAGCTTTTGGCGGATGACCAGAAACTTTTCGAGTCGCTAGATATCGACAACACCGGGGAGATCACGCTCAGCGAGTTCCGCAAAGCGCTCAAAACCATCAAGCATCCTTTGTGCAACAAGCCAGACCTCATCGGACAGATCTTCAAGTCTCTCGACACTAACCACGACAACATCATTGATTTTGCGGACTTCAAAAAGTACTTGCAAACGACCGAGTCGCAGATCCTCGCGGGCTTTGACAAGATTGATAAGGACAACGATGGCCGCTTGAACAAGGCGGACTTTGTGGAATACTTGAAGAAGACGTTGAAGATCAATGCATCTGCGGCCAGTGTCGACCTGTTCTTCCGCTGCGTCGATACGCAGAACAACGGGTACATCACCTACGAGGAGTTCCGCGAGTTTCTCTTGCTCATGCCACGGCTCAACGGCTCGCGCATTGCGACCGCGTACCAGTTTTTGATCGAGGACTTGGACGTGTCTTCCGATGGTGACGTGACGTTGATCAACGGCTTTCTCCGCGGCTTTGGCTTCTTCCTAGCAGGCGGTCTTGCCGGCGTGGTGTCGCGAACGTGCACCGCCCCATTCGACCGTATCAAGGTGTTTTTGATTGCCCGCACGGATCTCTCATCGACGCTTTTGCACTCCAAGAAGGCAATCTCGTCAACCGTCACGAAAGCCCATGCGGGTGAGGTTGTGAGCCTGAAGAAGATCCACTCGCCGTTGGTGAAGGCCGCGAAGCTGATTTGGAAGCAAGGCGGCATCCGCGGGTTCTACGTCGGAAACGGGTTGAACGTTGTGAAGGTGTTCCCTGAATCAGCCATGAAGTTTGGTTCCTTCGAAGCGGCGAAGCGTTTCTTTGCCAGGATCGAGGGCGTCGAGGATACCAGTCAGTTGTCGAAGCTCTCCACCTACATGGCCGGTGGGTTCGGTGGGGTGGTCTCCCAGGCGGCTGTGTATCCGATTGACACGTTGAAGTACCGTGTCCAGTGCTCGCAGTTGGACTCTAACGTCAAGGGGAATCGTCTCCTTATCCAAATTGCCAAAGAGATGTACCGCGAGGGTGGATTGCGCATCTATTACCGTGGTGTGATGGCTGGTGTCGGTGGGATCTTTCCGTACGCCGCCCTTGATTTGGGAACCTTCAGCACTGTTAGACAGTGGTATCTCGAGAAGGAGGCAATTAAGCAGGATTTGCCTATCGAGGAGGTGAAATTACCGAACCACGTGGTATTGACCATGGGGGCGTTGTCGGGGACATTCGGTGCTACGATGGTATATCCGATCAACTTGATCCGCACGCGGTTACAGGCCCAGGGCACATACGCCCATCCGTACACATACGCGGGGTTCGGCGACGCCGTGAAACAGACGTTGATGAGAGAGGGGTATCCGGGGTTGTTCAAGGGGTTAGTGCCGAATTTGGCAAAGGTGGCCCCAGCAGTGTCGATCAGCTATTTGATGTATGAGAACTTGAAGACCTTGTTTGGGTTGGATACAATGTAGTCATAGCTACAAAGCAACTATGACACCATCTTGTGAACCAGTCATTATGTGAAACAGCTTTCAACTGGTACCAGCCCGCTGTATCAAAGTGACGTCTGCGAACTGCCTATTAGCGGCTATGGTCTTCTGAGGTATTGTACCCACTGAAACACTCCTCTTCTGGTGACACTGTACTCGCAAAAAGTCTAGGATAACCCCATGACAGCAATTCCCTTCTGATAGCCTTACCTGTATATCTTCAATGCGCTCACTCAACATCTCAAAGACTTTCTAATCTTATTCTCTATGACGATTTCTTTTAACCTTGCCCTTCCATGAAGTCCACGGTTCTAACCTTCAAATTGGCAGGTTTGGTAAGTTTACACGAGAGTGCTTTTACGATTCGTTTTAATAGATACCTTTATTCGTTCAAAATCCATAACTAAGCCCTAAAGTTACTTTGTAGAGCTTATGTCGACAACAGGGGGGTGGAAACGTCCTTCTTTGACCTATAGGGGCAAGCATGGAGTTATTTTTGGAACTGGCCTTAGGATTTATGGCAATTAGCAGGTGGAGCGAGCTATATCCTTTACTCGTAAAGGCTCGACCTGTAACATGGTTTTATCACTCCATTCGTTTCCCTCTAATCCTCACACTTTTAGAGGTTTGCATCTTTGGCATTTTCGCGGTGACGTTGAACTTGGATCTAACATTCGCTCATCATAGAACTCACCCTATTCTTCAACGGAAGCATTACACTAAGCCCTTTTAGCACGCCGATTCCCCCAACCCATCAACCTCGTATTACCCTCTCCACACACGACAGAATCCGCACTGGCCCCGTGCATATTTCCTTCAACGGTATCACCTTCGTGGCGGGATCTTCTAACGTAGAGCTTGGTTTACTATCCTTTTCTTCACTGGAGCACAAAATCCAAGCAGGCTCGTCAATCATCCTCAACGTTCTGACAGCCTCGAGCATAACGGTAAAGTTTAATGGCACTGGAACCTTCTCTTGATCTTTCTTTAATTCAGTAATCAACGTGAAAAGACTGGCTCGGATTTGCATATATAGCGTTTCCCAGGTAAAATCCTTGAACAGACGGATCTCTCGCTCCTGGTCGCCATCCGCCAGGGCGAGAAACTCGCTGAAATCAAACACATACCGCTCTATCACGTCCTCTGTACTCTCTTGATATAACACAAGCAGAAATGTGTTGATTTCCCCTGAATGAATCTTGCCAGTGCAGTTGTCCACAAGCTTTTCGAGGTAGGCAACCACCCCAGGATGGCGGGACACAAAGCACGATAGGTTGAAGGAGTTGACAGTAGTGAAGGATTCTTTGGGGTAGACGCCTTTATAATACAATACCTGGTAAAAGGCCGCGATGAGGTACTCTCTGATGGTGGAAGATACGTTTTTGGCGTTTAAGGGGAGGTAACTTGGCTGCATGCGGAACTACGAAATGTGACTGGTTGTGTTTCAACACTAGGAATGCGCGGCAGAGCAAAGTGCTATTATGGATAAAGGATTTTCCAGAAACAAAGTGATACCGAGATCTTTCTTCAACGGTGGCTTCTGACGTAGAATAAGCGTGTGCAGCGAAGACACTGATTGATTTTGTGGCTCAATCAAACGTGGGGAATACTGAGAGGTGAAGTCCGCAGGATGTATGCTTTCGATAACGGAGAAATAATGTGAGGGCTATATTTTTCATAACAAGGCTGTACGATGGTTTATTTTTATGCCAGTGGAAATATAAGCCCCACAGCTATATTGGTCTGGAGCATAGGAAGCTCAAACATCGATGGCAAAAGTTTCGGTCTGCATGTATGTATATCCTGTATAATTATACTACGCGTGAGGCGCGATTGCCATTTTTCGGATGAGACGCGCTCTTCCAGCTTAATAGGATCTTTTGTGTGGCGTATTTCAACTCAGCTCATACGCCAAAATCACCTTTAAGAGCAAAAAAAAACTTCGGTTGATCCAGCTTACCGATTAAACTAACCCTGTGTCACAAGAAGCACCTACCTCACTGGAAGCCCCCTCCCCCCAGCGCTCATTACCATTCCTACGAAATATTATAAACATGTCCATATCCGCAATCAGCGTTGGAGACGTCCATCGAATCACATCAGGGCAGGTGATAATCGACCTCACCTCGGCCGTCAAGGAACTCGTCGAGAACGCCATCGATGCCCATGCCACCAGGGTTGATATCGTGTTTAAAAACCATGGAATCAGTGCCATCGAGGTTTCAGATAACGGGGACGGGATTCCTACGTCGGACCACGCCAGCATCTGCCTTAAACACACCACCTCGAAACTTACAACCTACGAGGATTTGGCCCATGTGGCAACGTTTGGCTTTCGCGGGGAGGCTATGAGCTCCTTGTGTGCCATTGCTGACGTGCAGGTTACGACTAACACCGATCCCAGGATTCCCCGTGCGGCAAAACTTGAGTTTGACCGTTTGGGAAACCTTTCCGCGAGCTCCGTAGTTTCCGCCACCAAAGGGACGTCCGTATATGTGTCCAATTTGTTTGAAAACCTCCCGGTGAGACGGAAAGATTTCATGAAAAACGCCAAGCGCGAGCATCAGAAGGCGATGGCGATTCTCCAGGCGTATGCGATTATTAACACTGGCGTGCGGTTCACATGCCACCATGTAACCGAGAGGGGCAAGAAGACGCTTCTGTTTTCCACCGCGGGAAACACCCTCAAAGGTAATTTGATCAACGTGTATGGTTCCAACGGAATGCTGGGACTCATACCGTTGGACCTCACACTTGATATCGCGAAATTCAAGGTGAAAGGCGCGGTGGGAAGACCGGAAATTACTTTCGTGGGGTTTATCTCAAACTGCTCGTTTGGTCAGGGGCGGTCAGCGGGCGATAGACAGCTTTGGTACATCAACAAGCGGCCTGTGAATCTCCCCCAGTTTCTGAAGGTCATGACTGAGGTTTACCGGTCATTTAACAACGTGCAGTTTCCAGTGCTCATCCTCAACATGGAAATCGACCCTGAAGCGTTGGATATCAATGTGACTCCCGATAAGCGCACCGTTTTTGTTAGCAACGAGAGTGTGGTTCTCGAGGAGTTGCGTGAACGTGTGTATGAGATGTATCTGATGCTGGGGAACGTGATACCGAGGATCCAGACCACCGGATTGCAAATGAGCGGCGGGAAAGGTCCAGCCTTCGGGGACATCGTGTCGACGATGAGAACGAGAGAAAAGTTTTCAGTAATTGATAGATCCCAGGTAAGGGGGACTTCGCCAGGAGAAGAACTGCAAGCTACGACTCAAAGACTTCAGGAGCTGCAATATTCCCTGGATGACGAACCAGAGAAAGAGGATACAGATGAAACCATGGAAACGGAGTATGTTATCCTGTCGGAACTTGAGGATTTAGATTCACAGAGGGAAACAAGACTGAGACCCACAAGAAAGGCTCTTCCCGTGCTGGAGTCTCGGAGGACACAGAGGCGCAGCTATCGAGATTATGAATATGCTCTGCTGAAAAGGATCCCCGCAACGGATCTGAAATTCCAGTCTGATACTGAACTCAGTGACCACGAGAGGCTCGACAGCCTCACAGACCTTGACAAATTCCGGAGCTTGCTTCTCACGCCCACCCCGACGTCGCAAACCACCAGCCTCGAAACACCCACGATGGTGATGAATGTGGGCGAGCAGCAGTTTGTCACAATGGTGGCCAAGACCCGGGGTGGAATCCAGTTTACCCCAGAGATCGAGCTTGATGCGGATTCGGCACCAAAGGAAGACCCCTTATTTGCGGCCGAAGAAGAAAGCGATGACCAAGGAAGTTGCTGTTCTTATGGGCACGGGGAGAAGAAGGCAGAGGGGGTTCCTCTTAGTAATGAAACTCAGAAAAATGTGTTGTTACCTTTACAGGAATTGACTATGCCCGACGGCGGCCCTCCCGATGTAAAGTTGGAAGACGCTGATTTTAAGATTCCCTCGTTGATTTCTATTGCTCCGACTAAGAGATTAGGGGTTTTGACCTTTAGATCTAGCAAACTCATCCACAACCTCAAGACAGGCATTAAGGTGAATCCGGCGGAATGCGTCCCGATAATTAATGCAAAATCACTTATGGAGCGCGCGGCTCCTTTGGACGACAAGGAGGTGAGGGATGTTGCGATAGATGCAGTGGAAGCGGAGAAAATGCTCACGTTGATGGTGGCAAAAGACGACTTTTTACATATGAATATCATCGGTCAGTTCAATTTGGGGTTTATCATTGTCACCAGGAAGAAGCAAGATAGTGACGCCACGGACCTCTTCGTGATTGACCAACATGCCAGTGACGAAAAATACAACTTCGAAACGTTACAGAAGACAACCGTTTTTCAGAGCCAGCCACTTGTTATTCCGCGCGACTTGGAAATGAACGCCATTGACGAGTTGGTGGTGATGGATAACGTTGCGGTGTTTGAGAAGAATGGGTTTCGGTTGAAGGTCTGGGAAGACCGCCATCCAGGTAGCCGCATCCAGCTTCTCTCGTTACCGATGTCTAAAAATACGGTTTTTGATCTTAATGATTTCGACGAATTGCTTTACTTGTTGAAAGAGGCGTCTGATTCCTCGGACAGAGTGAAACGGTCTCTCAGATGCTCCAAGATCAGAGCCATGTTTGCCATGAGAGCCTGCCGCAGCAGTATCATGGTTGGAAGACACTTGAAGCGAGGGACGATGGTGCAGGTTGTACGCAACTTGGGCGAGCTTGATAAACCGTGGAATTGTCCACACGGGAGACCCACAATGAGGCATTTGATGGAGATGAGCAACCGGACCCTGTTCATGGAGGATTACGCCAGTTGAGGAGCTCCGTACCGGTGCTTGCACTAAATCTTGTACATTCGCCATAATGTGACCCTTAAACTAGTATTAATTAGTAGTGCACCGACGTCTCCCCGTCTTGGATATATCTGTCTTTTGCAGGGAGGAATTTCCCATGCTTGTCAAAGGTGTCGCCATACATATATAGTCCCATATCTGTACTAAAAGTACAAGTACTATCACAGGTTTTGCCAAACATATCACTATGCAATATATACACCACGGTTATAATCGACTGGAATGGGGGTACGCATACTAAAACCAAAGCTTTCGGTAACTGGATCATAACACGGAAGGGTTCTTAGTTAGACCTTACCACTTCCGTTGTCTGCAGCTTTCCAGTACCCTGGATGTGGATGAAATGCAATGCGGCTGTCGGCCCACAACCCGAGGAAGGTAATTTGAGAATAGAAATCCTTCGTCGTTCACACAGGCATAGGGCCTGGCTGCACTGCTTCTTATTTAGCTAATTGGCGAGTCTTACACCAGACCTTATCACCGCGTTGGAATAAAGTTTTCTAAACCCCCAATTCCCGAGTACTGCGCTAGTCCGGAAAGTTGGCAATTGGTAAACGCTATACTAAACGCAGTGGTATGCATATTTAGACGGATCTAGATCGGCGTCTGCGGCTTGGACAAAAACTGAGATCAACGTACCTGCACTTGCTGCCAGCCCCTGGTACTCTGTAACACGAATCTGCGCGATCGATGATATCCCCGGGCTTTACGGATATCATAACTTGGATTGGGCGCACATCATTAATGAGTGGATGCCCATTGGACGAACTATAACCAACTTCAATTGTCGCGTCGCCTGGGATTGGTTTTTGAACATGTGCAATCTATGCAAGGTGACACCACATGTAAGTTCAGGCTAGCAACGAGGTTAGTACGGTGCCTATTTTACGAGAGATAAAGATAGGATGCACTGCCTATTTCCCCCAATAGGATATATTGGAAAAAGACCGCCTTACCGCCTTTATGTATCGTTTCCGGGTATTAGGCTACGTACTGCTGATCTGGCTAGAGAGGCTAAATATTATATACACGCCAGGATCCTTACTCACTCATCTGCATCACACATACACGTTTCCCTAGGATATTGTCAATGCGTTGCCATGATGACCCTGCATAAGCTCTTATAGCAAGCTACACGACGTGTTCGGTAACCCATTTTGCATGGGTACCGATATCCTTACTGACTTGGGTTTGGAGTCTCACACATATTTTTAGATAAAAAAAAAACACTGCCATGGCGATTCACGCGGACAAAATTGGTCGCTAATGTAATTCCTAAGACTCTGAATACGCCTTAGTGCCCAATTTCATGGCTCCAACTGACTGTGCAGATCTAAGTGTAAAATCTGCAACCGCAGCATCCGTCTTCGCGTAGGGAATTTCGATGTACGAGCCTCTGAGAGCCGGATAGTTTTCCCGGTTGGGTTAAATAGAATTATACTTCTCGCGTAGGTGGTAGAGAATTTCCTGAAAGAAGAAAATGAATTGGGTAATATCCCACAGCTAGCAATCTGAAGGATCCACCCTGTGAATTGAAATGGTATTAAAAACTCAATTATACCTCGCTTTACTTTTCCCAATAACTGGCTCTTCGCAGATCAATACCGATAAGAGGATTGGTACTAACCATCAATTACCCTCTTACAGGGACTTTTGCAACCTTTCCATATCACTCTCTGGCATCAGAGTAATCGAGCTTATTGTACTGTAGACGTACCTTACAGATCCAATATTTGCTAGAAGGACCAGGGTCCACCACCTACAATAACTGTTCCGCTTTCTGAGATCTTCATGAACCAGGCATCTGACAACACGATTATTTTTGCCATTCCAACAATATCCATCGTGTAGAACACTTATACGTCAATGCAGCCTCATAAGACCGAAACGCGCGTCAAGTATGGTTCGCCGTTCGTGCGAACGGGGTTATTTCTCTTGAGAGGAACAACCCCTAGCTGTAGTTTAAGTCGGTTTCATGACTCCACAAGAGGTGGATCGCAACGTGCCTTTAGCTATACTCGAGGTAGAACTAGATAGGCTATTGCCAAGGGAACTCAAACTTGGGGAAGAAGGAATAATTACCTATTTAGGTAAAGAGAGGGTGGCATTACTGGGGCTAACTGCAGTACAGATTTAACTTGGCAACGAATCATGTCGGTAGTAATTACATACATGCTGACGATCACCACGTAAGCTGTCTGCAGCTGATACACGTTAATGTAAGTGTTATTTTCCACTCGACGGCCCAAGATTCGCGGTGATCTTGAGGGGGGAACGATCCGTCTAAATAGCACCCATAGATAGGCTAAAACTAAGTTGGGATCCCAATTAGCCACCAGAGCGGGAGGTGAAAATATAACGGGAAGCAAGTATCCCCAGTTAAGGGCTCGATGTTTGGCTCTGTCTAGGCAACCAGCCTGTAGCATGAAAACGTTCCGGTAAAGATACAGCCCTGGCTCCCCATGAAAGCCAGCGCCATGCAGGCGGCGCGGATATTTCCCGATTTGGCGAAGCACAGCTACACGAGATCTTGCTGCATATATGCTTAAAAATAAACTCAACAGGATTTCTCTGTCGATTACGTTCTGTTGAAGGGTTACAATTTTAATGCGAGCGAAGCAGTGGAATAATAACACAAACAGCTAACCTCTGTGTAAATGTCTGATTGGGAAGTTTACCCAAACACTTAACTGTGGGCTTTGTGTGAATATCTAACTACAAGTTTTGTTCCTCACCAACGTCAGCCCTACCCATGAACCACATACGCGGCAAAAATAGGTCCAATACAGGCCCAGCAAGGACCTAGTTCTAAGCTTCCACTATCAAAGCATACACCTAGTGACATTATGTCATCTACAAATCTGTTATCGGCTAAATTACCGTACTGGGTGAAATTGATTTAGTCTAATAATAGGTTTGAATGATAAGTAATAGGAGTACATATCTATCAGCCTTATCCAGGAGCTCCGTCAAGGAGTCCCAATGAGTAGCTGGGTTTACAATTCACATGCCTAGAGTCGTTTAATAAACCATTTATACATCAATGCCCGAAGGCTTCGTTCCACCCACCAAGTTTTACCGCGTTCACCCACGCTAAACTCGTCAACTTTGTCTATTGAGACTAACTACTGATCAGCATTTGATCCCGGAGCTAAGCATCAAGCAAGGGACCCGTACCGTGGGTCGGCGCTGAGATCATAGAGGCTACGTATAAATATGCGTGGGTGCGTGAGAATATAACCAGGTCTGCACCCCTTTGACCGAGAATCGTAGGCGCGTCGATAAATAGACCAGCCAGTCACATCGTATCCTAACCCACACAAGAAACCAGACTGATGGTTTCTGAAAACAAAACACGCGTAACTGTTACCGTTTCTCTGAGCCAGGAACTGGTATGCTTCCCTAATGACAATCTCTCTCTCGTCAAGCATTGCGCTAGGTGTTTAAAGATTAATCCAATCTGCATGCAACACACCCTTGTATGCATGAGCACCAAACGCTGCGCGCTTGGGATGCATGCAGCCGCAGGTTACACAGTTCGGGCTAGCTGGCGTGTATAACATACCATACTGATGCATGTCCATCAACAGCGCAAAGATCCGTTGATTTAGTAGAGATTTGCTAGGGATCCCTGGAGCAGATATAAAGACACCTCCGTCCGCTGCTAGGGTCTTCACTTCCACAACCATATTACTCACATCTGTCAGCCATAAAATGTCTTCTATTGCCCAACGCACAGCCAACTTCCTGAACCCATTCCAACAGCTGGACGCCATGGCGATGAAACGAGCTCCGTCCGTGTACTCTGTGAAGTCCACCACCACTCTCAATCACACCGAGCAGACACAGATCGACTCTGCCAAAACCAGCACCTACCAGATCAAGCTCCAGATGAGCGCGGAGGAGATCCAGATTGTGCGTTCCACCTGGGTGACGATGTTGAGTGATGAGGCCTTCGAGGGACCATCTGCTCGCCCTGACTCGGACATGACCGCCCAAAACTTGTCTAAATCCGTCTTTGTCGACCAAATTTACTCCAACTTGCTCACCATGAAGCCAGACTTAGAAAAGCTCTTCCCATCCATCAAGCACCAGGCTGCTTCCTTTGCCGGCGTGCTTGCGTTTGCCATCAGTCAGCTCGAGGACATTTCTCGCATCAACGCCTACTTGATGGGCTTGGGAAAGCTTCATTCGCGTATCTTGGGGATCGAGAAACCGCACTTTGAGTTGATGGGCTATGCGTTTATCAAGACGTGCGAAGAGAGATTTGGGACCGACAAGTTCACCCCCGAGATGGAAAAGTTGTGGATCTCGCTCTACTTGTATTTAGCGAACACCTTGATTCAGTTTGGTCTCGATCCGTACATGCACAGCAACTTCGATAACCAGGGCTTGAATGACGCGATTTTGGTGGATACGCAAATTCCAGGCGACAGCTTTGGCTTGGTGCCATCGCGCTCTATGGACGAAGAGGCCGATACCGCGTCCACCAACTCTGATTTCTCGCGCTTGTCGCTTCTGAACCGGAGCCCACCCTCCAGCCACAATTCTGGTGGATTCAGATCGTCCATCTCCACCATTGGCACCACTATGTTCAACAAGCACGGCGGTGTCGTTAATGCATCAATTCCCGTGAAAAATGGTCTCCCAGGCACCGAAGCGGTCTACGACACAGAGGCCTCTTTGGCACCAGCTACTGTCGTCAAGTCTGGCACAAAGAACGGTCTTAGAACTTCCAAGTTGGGCAGAAGATCCAGGGGTCCAAATGGCGACGATTCCAACTGCACGATCATGTAAAAGGCTGAAAGTTCGTTGAAACATTTCTACGCCAGCAATTCCCATTGCCCTTACGCACACTCTGCTTACAACTACACAAATAGGTACCACAGATATCCATAGACCAAGCAGCTTTGCTAGCAACAAAGTTCACCCTCGCGTGGCATTTCTTGGAAACGTGACCATTCCTTAAGTAGCTGTAGTATTGCAGACTACGCTATCGCCCGTTGCCAATGACTTCAGAAGCGCATACTGAACTCTATTTATAGTCAATAAAGGGTAAGTGATGGAGTAAACTGCGAGGCAGATTTTACATTTTGTATGTGGCTTGCGTATGGATTGTCGGGTAAAACGTCGGATCGTCAGGATTTACTGAAACTCTGATTGCTTGTATCTTTATTTATTACGCTGAATGACCCATCTAGGAGCTCAGTAAACCTATATTGTCCACATGCTAATTTTGTTACTTAGATTCCAACATCGTCGACCTGGCAAAATGCCAACTCTTTGTACGTATGCCACCTTGCCGAAAAACGTTGGCATGCTGCATTATGTGCTCGGGAAATGACGTCTGTTCAAAAAAAATACACACTCTAGCCACATACTTGGCTAATGATATATTTTATACCACACATTGACCGTTATCTTTATCTCAATGGCCTTGCGCGTAGCTTCTCAAACATCTTCGTTAACTCGCATGCAGCCATGCATAGAACTTGCCTGGTAACGCAGGAGTAAATCGAACAGCTGGTACGCGATACACCATCAATGTACTAGTCTATTAATCTTGCCGTAAAAACAGAAACCATTCGTATTGTAATCTACGTATACAATATGGCCACGACGCTCGCAGGGATCTAAACTCCTATTCGTCTCCCTAGAAAAAGGTGCATGAAAAATTACGTCTTGGCTAGAATCAAAGCCTCGAGCCCCCGTGAATCAGCTGATTTACTTAGACTAACCAACTGGTTGATGAAACGGTTGAGGGGACTAGCCTAAAGTTAGTTTCAGCTGCCCTGCACAGTAACTATAGAAGGCCATGTATGGGATATCAATATGAACTATCTCTGGGAGTTTGGATGCGATAGAAAAGACGCAAGGCTGCGGCGAGAGAATTATAGACGAAATGAAAACGCAAGCTAGACGGAGTAATTTACTGATATTAGATTTCATCCAACCGAGTTTTTTTTTACGAAACGGCACAATAACTGAGCCCGGCAACCATGCCAAGCACATACATGTAAGTAAAGCGGGGTTGGAAAGCGAATGACCTGATGCGGTGAAGTAGAATCCGACAGGATCATAGAGTTTGGGCAAGTGCTAGTGTTACTGTAATCGACTGGAGTAGAATCACAAATCAGCAAAATAATACGGACCAGAATACCCAGCCTACAGTCAAAACATGTTTTTGTCCATTTATCAGGACAAAGTCTGGTACTCGTGTGGAAGTTCCCTCGCAGATACTCCTGCACTATGTCAATAATCAATAACTTTCTCTTCTCGAATAGCCCAGTATGTATCTATACGGTATTCCTTGATGTCAATATTTAAGCAAGTTCAAGGACAAACACTGCTCCTGATACTAACTTAACGTCCCCAAAGGCATACTCTATACGATGGGGCTTGTTTGAGGAATATCAATATGATCTAACAATGGCAGCGTTGGATAATGTCCTCAATTTTGGTTTACAAGCCAGCAGTCAACTTTACCATAAGGTAAAGTCTTGGGGCGGTTTGGAATTCAATGTGGTGAGTCTTGGTGCAACAGAGATGGGCTACTTTCCGGGGGACTGAGGCTGAACCTACAATAAGACGCTGCCACCTGAGATTGAGCTTATTTAACCTCGTGTTTTGTGTGAATTTACACTGCAACTGTCCGTTAATTTAGATATTTGCACTAACATTGGAGCACAATATTTCTCATTGAATAACAAGCCCCAGATGGAATAAGACCACTGGATTTTATGAAACTTCCTCAGGGTTTAGTGCACGATATTTTTCGACTCATTTCGGAAAACTGCAGAACGTGGCTAGTCATTGTAAGCTATCACAACCAGCACATGCCTATCGCGAAGGAGGGGATTCATATCCCCACAGACCCTCCATAATAATCCTCATTATTAACTTTATCTCAGCCATCATTTTCCATGTTCTAAGCCAGTTCTCTTCCGCGTCGAGCTTGGGATCACCCGGACCTCGCACCACGCCTGGTCCGATGTAATACGCGGGAGACAACGTTTTAGATGCATAAGACGGAGAAGTTTCGGTCCTAAGCCTTTTAATGCCGTTATTAGCTTATCAAACAGATTACGGAATATATATCTCCAGTTCTAAGGAACCCTCCAACCAGGGTATCTCGATGTTCCTGTATCAGCACGGAATCTGCCCCGCGCGCCGCACCTGACAGGTAGTATCCGGATCTGGAAACAGACGCGGCACGCGTGAGTTCCTTTTCCCAGGAGCGTCCAAAATCGGGAGAAGGAAAATTGACCGGATCTGAGAGCCACTCGCTGAACTTGCACTGAGACTTTAACATCCAGATATATTCAACTGCCTGATTGATAGACTTGTTGCTTTATCCATTGCTGGCCTACCAACCCATTCCGTTTCTTGCTAGTTCTAAATACCACTAACCGCCAGTACACCCCTAAACTATCTGGCGAGCCGACATCCGACGTATCCGTCCTTATAGACATTCATAGATTGCCATGTCACACAGCGGGCAAGAAACCGCCGGTAAGGTTTTGGAAACTTCTGTGGAGCTGCCCAACTTCCAGACAATATCTGACTCGCCGGCAGCCGAGTCCCCCGCCGCTGTCCCTCAGCTCCTTGAGTCGCCGATGGCCTTGCCAGCAGCGTCACCAGGGTCCGATACCGGATCCCCCAACTTACTTAACGGCGAATTCTACGGCAGTGCCACCCCCCAGTCTTTCCTTCCGACCAGCAAGAAGCCACGGACGCAGTTGCGGAACCCGGTCAAAGAGCTGACAACGGGCATGTTGATGCAAAACTCGCCGTCTTTGGCCGCACTCGAGAGCATCTTAAACGAGAAGACCGGCCTGAATGCGGCTTCCCAACACAGGAACAGTCAGCCATTAATGGGATCTCGCCTCAACAACACCTACAACCGTAACCCATCGGTAAACTCGCCGCTGGCCGCCACGCCTCCGCCACCATACACATCCCCGGGCGGTAGACAGGGGCGAACCCCATTGCTCACCCAGCCATTGGTGACGGCCCGGAACGCCGCGACCCCTCGCGCCCTGGGCAGTACCCCTTCACTTGGCTTGGGGCTCGTGGTGGAGCAGCAGAAAAAGAGACAGCAGATCCAGCGATCTTCGCCACTGGTCTCACTGCAGGCCTCACTACTGGGTGTGCCACTTGTCCTGCCGCTGTCTTCATCGCTGATCCCTGTGCTAGTCCCGCCAGCGGCTCCCGTAAAGTCTACACACAACCAAACCGGACTAAAACAGGACATTCCGGAACTACAAAAGAAGAGGAGCACCGGGTTTAAAAACCTCTTCAAACACAACAAATCTGCCTCAACGTTTGAGGCATACACACCAGCGCCCCATCGCTCACCCGTGACACACAACCGCACAATGTCGTCGCCCACGTTCCCTAGTCCCGTCCAGTCTGAGACTAGAAGCGAGGCCGGAAGTGGGCGGCTGTTCCTGTACCAGCTGCCCGGCGATGTCAGAGGCACGAGATCGTTCCAGCAACCCACACCCCCCACCTCCAAAAGGGGTTTATTCTCGATCTTCTCCCGGAAGAAGAAGCCTGAGTCTGGTCTCTCCAGCTCCACATCTGTTCCTATGGTAGCTAGTCCCTATGGAACGGCCTCCCATGCGGCTTCAACCAGCAGCATTTTCAATCCGTTCAAACGCAAGGCATCGCGCCCCGACTTGCAGAGCGCAGGCGCAGCGCTTCCACTTTCGCAGTCCACGCCGGTTATTAGTCTGGCTCCCGTCGCGACGTTTGATGATATCACCACGCTCAGTGACAGTGATGGAGAAAGTGATGCTGCCGTCAAATATGGCTCGTACGGGCGAAACGATGAGGAATTGAGGCTAGTCGACAACGTTGCCGTGGCGGTTTCTGTAGCGATGGTGTCGTCGTCCAAGGCGCCGTCACCGTTAATCCGCCAGGTGAGTAAGCGCGAGCCAGGCGTGAAAAATTCTTCGTCGGCCGGCTCGCGTTGGAGCTTTGTGACGACGCCAGACGGGACGTTCAAATCGATTCTCGAAAGCGAGGGGCCTGCGTTGCCGTCACCGAATCTCGATGTGAAGCAGTTTTCCGAGGCAAAGATGGAAGAGGATGAGGAGGAGGAGGAGGAGGATACGGTGTCATTTACCGAGGGCGATGAGGTGGCGTTCGCGCCTGGGCTCAAACGCGACGAGTCAATGAACTACATTACGCTCGGGGTGTCGCCGGAACCGGCAAAACCCGTGGAGGGTTTTGCCACGGCAGGGAACTATCTCGCTACGCCTGAATTTCCTGAGGCGAAGACTATGAGCTGGGGGTTTTCCTGGCCGCCAGCTTTGGACGAGCTTTCCTCGCCTCAAGCCTCTGACTCTACCTCGACTGACGAAGCCATGCCTTTTGTTGAGGACTCAATCCTCTCACACGGCGGTGAGACGCTCTTCCCCAAGTCCCTCGACCAGCGCGAAGTCCAGACTATTGTCACCCTCGAGCGTTCGCTTTCCACACGCTCCGTCCGCTCGTCAACATTAAAAAAGCAGGACTCCATCAAACGCAACGCCCACGAGCTCGGCATGACCGTAGTGCTGTACGACCGCACACCTGAGCTCCCAGCGAATGAAGTTTTCCGGCGTATTCCCCTGAAGTCCACAGGCTATTCACCCGTATCGCCAGCCAGTATCTTGAAGTCACCCGCCCTTCGAGGAGCGTTTAGCGGTGACAGCCCGGATAGCACCCGTAGTGGAATGAGCGGGATGCTGGAGTTTGCAGACTTTGTGGACTTTGGCGGCGAGATGGACGAATTGACGAACGGTTTTTCCCACCAGGATCTTAACGCACCCTGGAGCCCCTCCCAACTGCTTGGTCTGGGGCGCTCTGAGGTGGCGGAGCCGTTGGCTGTTCCGCGATTCAAACTCCATACGCCAAGACGTAACTCGGAAGAGATTTCTGAGAAATCGTTCGGCGAAACTCTTTCGGCTCATTCGTCGCGCGGCTCAGAAGAAAGGCATTCGTCTGGAAGCGAGCACTCGCTTAGCCATGATCACTCTCTCGGCAACGACCGTCATCTCTATTCGCATAGTGATGAACACTCTAGCAGTGACCGTTCCCCTCAACGTCTCCACTCACCATCATCAGATAGTGACATAGACTACACGTCAGAAGGTGAAGAAATTTCCTCGCTCGACGCTTCGGTGACAGAGTCACCGAGACCGCATGCGAGCGCATTCCTCCCCCAGGGACATGATGCTGGCTACGACCCGCGGCGAATGTCTATGTCGTTCAAGGGCCTCAAGAGCGCGGCGTTCGACAACAACTTTGCAGACATCCACAACGGACAGCTCCGCGAGTCGGGGTCACACCAGTCGTTCACGCTTCCACCGCTGGAGTCGTTCAACAGCATTCCGTCCGGGCTGTCGCATGGCATGTCTCCTATGGCCAGTGACCCGAAACGTAGCCTCGCCGCAGCCCGGGCCGGTGGGGCGAGACCAAAGCCGAAGATGAATGTGAAATTTTCGTCGCGGATCATTTTATACGAGACTTATCATGGAGACGAGTACGATCGCCACCCGGAGATAGCTACGTGCAACCAGTTGACCCCGAAGTTGGCTCAGCTCATTAAGAACGAGTTGAATGCGGTGAAGGCGGAGATGCCTGTCCATGAGACATCGAGGTGTTATACGCATTTCTTTTAGTTTGTCCCATCCAGGTTAGATAAAAGATGTTCTAGGGTAGAGTTTGTATTTGTGACTTGAGATAAGGAGTCCACTAGGGGTTCTATGCTAATGTGATTTGATGTCAGAGGTTATTTGAGAAATATGTTTATCTATAATTTGATGCATCTACCGGGATTATGTGTTAATGTGCCTTGGACCAGGAATTGTCTTTTGGAGCTTGATATAATGTTTGTGAAATAATGAAGTATCAGGGTTACAAGCATTTACTTGCTTTGGTCATACTAGAAGGTTAAAGATTGGAATGCTTCCCAGTTAAAGCTGGGAAACAGAAAACCTATCACGTTAGATAAAGGTGGCAAATTGAGTGAGTAAACGAAGAATTAAATGTCGAAGCTGGGTCATGAAAAGTAGAGTCTCTGAAGTGTGTACGGTTTTATACACATACACGTTTTTATTTTCCTAGATTTTGATAAAATTTATATCAACTTTGGAATTTATGGTGGCCTGTTATAATTGTGATGATTTGAACTCCTGTTTCAAAAGACATTTCCTCGGCCGTGTACAGGCATATTATGCGGCTTCCCTCGTTTGTACGAGACTGTTACAATTGAAATCAGAACATTACTGGATTAACTATACATCACGGATACACGCAAGATGATTATTTTGCTTGCTCTTTGTAGGTCTTCTTGGCACTCTTGAAGATAGTATCCAAGGTGGTGTTGGCGTCCAAGTTGAATCTGGCAACCACCTCCTCCGGCCTCTCCATGTTCACAACCACGTAGTAGCCCGGTCTGCTATCAACACAGGTCCCTTCGGCCCATTCGGCCTCGTCGTAGTCGAGCAAGGAAATCACCGGTGGTTTACCGTCAACGTACGCTGGAGCTGGCATTTTGTGAATGGAGGACACAGCAATCATGGCGGAAATATTTTCATAGCACCGATATAGACACGAGGACGTGGCAAAATTATTTTGCACGTGACAACGGATTTCGATACGATGCAAGTCACGAGCCGAAGGAGAATGTGGAGAAGTTTGACGCGGAGCCATAAGAACGTTTGACCCACAACCTCAGTCTCCTATACCAGAGTATCATATTATGTCATTCCCCAAGGCTGTTTCTTTTCCGGAGGATATCGCGCTGTTTTCCGGCAGTGCGCGCGTGTCACCACTCGCGCGATTCATTAGACGAGTCTGCTATGGGTCCGGATACTCTCTCGTGCTTGTGTACATCGTGGCTAACTTTTTGGTGAAGCCGTTGCTCGAGGAGAAGTATGCCCTCAGAAAGGACGTGTTGCGGTACTTGCGGATGAAACTCGTGTCGTACATTCTCAAACTTTCACTGGAAGTGGAACGAGTGCCGGTGGTGGCGCTCAGCCGGAACGGAAAGTTGTACAACGAAATCGCGACCCAGACGGATAAGCCCAAAGAGACAGGCTATTCAGCATACATGCACAGCTATGCGGAAGAAGAGGTGGAGGAAGACGACACGTTCAAAACCGGGCGGCTCGTCAAAAAGTTGGACTACATCCACGCACAGCTTGTAGAGTTGCACTGCCAGAACGAAAACACCCAGAAAGAGCTCCATCCGTTACACTTCCAGATGATAGACCTCCTGGCCCATGTTCAGTCATTGTATACAGACCCTCACAACCCCAAGGGGCCGCGAGCTGGTCGCAGTTCAGCGTTGGATGTTAAACAGGATATCCGCAACATTAAGGGGTTGTACATAAGTGGCCAGGTGTAATGTAATTACTGGGAATGAAATTATGCAGAATTAAAGATCTAGGAGAGAGTTTGAAGATGTAGCGGTAAATCGGATCCTTGTCAGAATCAATAATCGTTGTCCATAGCATTGACTTGGACAATCGCTCAAACCATGTTAACTTTATATATATTACCATAACTAGCTCTTCCTAGCAAACTATTATACCTATACATATGAGTACTGATATGTATGCGTGTTATTCAGAATCCGGCTATAGCGAATGCTTGCAAGTGAAGATGTCAAACTGGCCGCGAGCCCAAAGCTTGACTAGCAACGGCAAAATGTCTCACTTACACTCAACATGTTTCCTATATCGCCGCATCCGGAACCCCCAACCGAATCCCTTCAGGGTTGCTCACCCACCGGAATAACGCTCCATGCTTCACTACTGGTCTCTTCTTCACGGTTTCGCCCTCGTCCGGATCCCAATCCTCCCCATCCTTGCTCTGCTCGTCCAATTTCTTCAAATCTCTGACCTTCCCCGCGCGTCTCTTGAGAAGCTTGTTCAACGTCTCGGTCTTTTCCTCCTCCAACTTCTTCTCGCTTTGGTTCTTTCTGCGTCTGGCAGTCTCGGCCCGGCGGAGCTGGATTTCATCTTCCGTCAAGTTGACTTTCTTGATAATATCGTTTGACAAGGCGAGGAACTTTTCCTTAGGGGCCTCCACCGCCACCTGCTCTTCGAAGTACTTGGTTCTCTGCCGCTCCGTCATCTTGGAAATGTCAGGTGTGGAGGGATCGTACACAATTTCCTCATCCGTTAGAAGTAGCTCATCGTCGATCTGATTGGGCGTGTCTTCAAACTCGCCATCCGAGTACTCGTCCTTGTATGTGACCGACTGGGCAGACTGCCGTTTGGGATTTGACTTGGTCAACGCCTTTGGCGGAGCAGCCGCAGCTCTGGGCCGTGCACTACGTGACTTTGGCGCTTTCCGTGGTGGGGAATCTGATTCTTCTTCGCTGTCATCGAGAAGGCGCTTCTTCTTAGGCGGCGCCTTGGCCTTTGGCGTGTACTTGAGCTTGATGGCCACCGGCTTTTTCCGTTCCACCTCCTCTTCGTGGTGATACTCTTCAGCAATATCATCGTCATTATCCTCAATAGCTTCGAACTCTTCCGATTCGTAAATATCCTCGGCCTCATCGCCTTCGTCATCGTCGTCGTCATCTTCCTCGTCGTCATCATCATCGTCGCTAATAGGGGCCCTGCGACGGCTCACCTTTGGGGCTTCCTCCTGAGAGGAAGTAACGCTCTGGGAGTCAGAGACCTCTGATAAATCTGACTCTGGCATGGTACAGGAGTGGATACGGAACGGAAAGAGTGGAAGGGATCATTTTGTGTGTGGAGATTTCAGTGCGCGATACCAATAGCTAACCGGTACGCGAACGACTTTTGGTACAGGCTCGTCCTACAGTCGTAGATTCCTGCATGTGTCTACCTTTCGTGCATATTACATGGGATTAAGTCAGGCCCTCGCTATAGGTTCTCACCACAATCAGCCCTACCCGTTAAAGATTCATCCAAATAGACTCAGTAGAGGTTTTCACTCTTATAATTATCTGTTTTCATCCAATTCATATGTCAATACTCGATGAAGCGTCCCGCTAAATGCTCACGCTGTCGTGTTAACCGCGACGAACCAGTGCTGAACTTGAGATGTTACGCCACATGTCGACGATGCCGGGAGGTCAGAAAGAAGATAAAAACACCGCTACCGGTTTATCGTGAATTCGACAAGTTTTGCCGTAAGGTTCAGCAGAATACAGAGGTGGATTTGCTTGACCAGAGACTTGCAACTCTGGGGTCTCCGTCGCATATACAAAAATGTGTACTCGATGAGATCACGGCCGAAACATACCTGATGATTTCGAATAGATTGATCCAAGTCTTTGTCGTTCCATTGATGGAGGCTACCGGGTACAGGTTTGTCGTGCGGGATCACCGCCAAGGCGGCGTAAAGAAGAGGAAAATCAGCCTAGAATTTGTTTGTTCCCAGGATAAAGCCCAAAAAAGGGTTTCACATGCTCTGGGTAGCGCAAAAGAACTAAAGGTTGAAAATTGCCAGTCAAAGCTTACCTTGGTTTACGATCTTCTTACAATGGAGTTGGGTATGAACTTCAACCATAGGAGTCACACCCCGTACCAGTGGAAGAGGGGAGGTATGGCCAAAGCCGGGGTCTTTAGGAATACCAAGCTCGACCATGACTTCCCCTCCGGTAAGTTTGAATGTATCAGATTTATCCAAGAGACTGCTCCCACGTTCCGTCGGAAGTTGCTGCGTGGTACCAGTCAAGAAAAATCCATCTAGGGAAAGCAATCTGGTTCCTCTGGTATACAGCTGCTCAGAAAATATGGTATTAGTATGGAAACAGTTTTTGTACTAGTTACTCAAGCGTAGAGTATGTTCTGACGAATCATTTATTTTGGGTCCTATGGCTATCATAATCAAGTTTGATCAGTGATTTAAAACTCAGGAGACTCTTTACTTTAGCAGATTGGCACATTTTTTCAACTGGGTCACTGGATGTATCTGTCAGTACCATTGTGAACTCGGATATTTTGCACCACGCAGATACATGACAAACTCCTGGATTTTTTTCAGACTCTTGGATTTTTTCAGCCTCATATATAAGTCAATTAGCAATAAACCTTTTATTAGCAAATCTTTATTAACAGCAAGTCATATCTACCATGAGATCTCATCTCCAAGCCACAGACCACTCGAGGTCATTCATGATCTCATGCATACCACGCTCCTTTCAACAAAGCCCTACTACAACTCTAAAATCACATCTTTACAATATTTTCGATTAGGCCTTACGGCCACTTAAACTTACCGGTACATTGTTTGCAGTTCATCTGCTAGGGTTCACGAATAACCTTTAGACCCCTACTCCGAATTCTTTGCTTTCTTGTTCGTACGCGCCTCTATCTTGGGCGAAATAGTGTCGGTCTTTCTCACGCCGCTAAGTTTTCGCTTGGGCTTCGGGGGCTCTGCTGCCTTCAGGGAAGTCAGGTTGGAAGCATTCGACACAGACGTCGGTGACTGCGCCAGATAGGCCGCCCCGGTGGACGCAGCAGCTTGGTTGCTCTGGAGCTGCATCGAGCCCACGTACTGCTCGAGCGCGGTCAAAGGACCATACGCCGTCGGATACGGAGCCTCGTTTGCCTGCGCCTGTTTGCGATACGTGGAGTTAGTGCTGGCATAAAAGCCCATCAAGGATTGCAAATGGGTCATGACGTCGCCGACCTGCATCACCCGCATGACTGATTCCTTGAAGCCAAAGTTGGACATGTTCTCAAACACCTTAAAAGAACCCTTGATCTCGTCCAAGGCATCTCTAACAGTTTCGCTGGGGGCAGCTGTGCCCTCGCGATGACCGCACTCCTCCAAGATCTTCTCAATCACGGGCCAGTTCATGCCCGGCGCAAAGTTATCGATCTGGATGTCGAACCAGTCGATCTTCAACTGTTGGTTGAAGATGATGCGGAGCGTACCCCGGAGACACAAGTACGAACCGTCATTGAACCAGTGCGTGATGGAGCACTTCGAGCTCTCCAAGTACGACACGCCGTTGGCGAGGAACTGCGCACGGATGAGGCTCGGCTGCATGTCGATACACTCAATCCCGCTCATGATCAACGCATGCATCATACGTGCCAAGATTGGCTGAATGATTTCAAACTGCCGCGTATCGCTGTTACCGTTTTTAACGAGATAGTTGACGATTCCGGTCTCAACAAAATATTCTGACACAATTTTCTGCCAGTACCCGATGTCACGGTTGGTCGGACCCTTGATAGAAATGAGCTCGCACAAGTCCAAGAGCTTGAGGATGGCGCTGTTGGCCATTTGCTTCTTGAACATGTTGAGCTGGGGCGTAGACTGGATAGGGGCCTCTGGCTTGGGCTTGTCAGCGGTAGGCGCCACCGGCGGCGTAGCCGCCTTTGGCTGGGCCTGTTGCTGGGCCTGTTGCTGGGCCTGTTGCTGGGCCTGAGCCTGTTGCTGAGCTTGTTGCTGAGCCTGCTGGAGGCTAACCTTTTGCGCCTGCTGCTTCATGAGAGCGTTCTGAGCGTTTTGTGCGTTCTGAGCATTTTGCGCGTTCTGAGCATTTTGCGCATTCTGGGCATTTTGCGCGTTTTGGGCGTGCACATTGGTGTTCTGGACATTGGCGTTTTGCACATTACCCCCCGCACTTGCGTTCTGCCCAAAACTCTTTGCATTCTTTGCCACCGGACGCATGTTCCCCATGGAGGCAACGGCACCGTTGTTCATCCGTTGCGCCTGTAACCGTGATTGCTGGAGAAGCATCTGCTGGCTCTGTTGCTGCGGCGTGAGTGCCATACCCATCTGGAGCGAAGCTTGTGCCATCTGGGGCTGCAGGCGAAGCATGTTTTGCTGGTGTTGCTGTTGCAACTGCTGAGCCTGCTGCTGTTGTTGCAAAAAATTCATCATTTGCGGCGTCATCTGCTGCTGAACCATGCCGTTGGGGAAACTCATGGGCATTCCCTGAGGGCTCATAGAAACTGGTACACCGCCCATGGACGCCATCCCGGTCATGCCTGCCATCCCAGTCATGCCTGCCATGCCTGCTATTCCATTAACGCCCATCCCCATGTTGTTCATATTGACGTTATTCATGCCGTTCATATTTGTATTGCTCGCGCCGGGCGTGAGATTCGGGGTAAAGTTCATGGGTAAAGCTAAATCAGACCAGCCGTTTAGTATGGAAGACGAGAGTTCATGGAGTGTTGTTTGTAGAGTGGACAGCCCATCTTGAACTTAAACGCCAAATTGCCACGGATCGTTCGTGCTGCGCACGACTTGTGATATCCTGGATGTTGGTGTGTTAAGCGCAGGGGGAGACATTCCCCGGGGCGGATCGTAAGCATAGTTGCAGGGCATACGAATTAAACGGAAGGGTTTATGGTGCACCCGTACGATGTTTGGATATTTCTGATCGATCAAAGACTATTGTTGATGGAGAAGTGTGGGCCAGGAGTAAAGGGGCTGAACGGATGGTCCCGCGTATCAGCGTTTTATTACTTTAGACTATAGTTAGCATCGCGAACATGCATCTAACTCTTATGTGTGACACAGTCTGTAGTGGGTGAAGTCTCCAGTTTATTCTTAAACACCCACTTGATTTGAAAATTCGGTTTACTGATCGAGGTCCTCCCGATGCAAAGCTATAACATCGCGAGTTGGGCTACTGAAACAAAAATCCAGTTTGTAGTACCAATTGTATTTTCCAGTCTCTCTTCCTGCCATCAATAAATATACTCCATGGATTTAAGTATTTGAATAAAAAAAATCGCGCACCTGTAAACCCTCCAATGGAACCTAATCCTGATATAATGCTGGCAAGTTGTCGATGCGAAGCAGTGTAGTAAATAATCTGGCTCTTTTCTTCTTACAAACACCTTCATAATCGCCATGAGTTACCAAACCCCTTTTATCTTTCGTTACGCTACACCGTCACCAAAACTTTGCTTGTCCTTAAATCCACCAGACGAATGTAATTCTCCATTGATCTACGTTTAAACTCCCCCTTGCACATATTAAAAATTAAGAATTAAAACTACTTATACTGCTTGACAATCCCGGCCCCTCTCATGCTATTTGCTGTGGGCTTTTGCAACGCCTTCTTGCTGACCATTGCCACATCGTGCTCCAACGCCACGATGATCTCCTTGTCGGTACCGTAGCGGAAGTTGTCAGAAATCACCTCTTGACCGTATCGCTTGATATGGTACGGGTCTTTGTCGCCGCGCAAAATCTTCTTCAACGACCACACTATCACGTATGGCCCAGAGGATGTGATAATCGTCTGCTCCACGCCCGTGTTGAAGTGCGCCTTAGTGAAGGCTAAGCCCAGGCGCGTTTCTGCCTGGATAAACGCTAAATTTTCCGGCGAGATCGTGAGCCGCTTCGGCCGTGGCTTGGAGTCCTTTCCGAACGGGCGCTTGAATCCAAGTTCGCCCGAGTACTTTCCTTCCTTGATCGAGGTATCAATCAAGAGCAAGTATGTCTTACACGTTGCAAGCAACCAGCGACCGTCCGCGGAAACATCCAAGCCAGTGATCGGGTCCCCCAATGCGGGTAACTGAGTTTTGGCGTTAATTCCGAGCCTGTCGTATAAGCGGATATCCCCCTTCTGTGATGCCACTGCGATATAGCCATTCTCCGATGTGGTCAACGCGCTGAACAGGTTCTTGGTGGCGCAGTTTTTGAGCTCACTCTCCACCAACTTGTCGCGCGAGCTCAACCGTGGGTCCATGCGGAAGATCGCCGAGTGCGAGATCCCCAAGAACGTCTCTTCGCTGGTGGTCTGGCCAAACTTGCTCAGCGGGCCAAACTCTACTATGGGTATGTCGTATGCGCTCCACTCCTCCACGATCTTCCCGCGCTCCAAGTCCATCTTGTACAACGTAGAGCTGTCTTCCTCGGCCCGGATGATCATGTGCTTGTCCTGCATGTGCAACTTCATCTTCGCGGGGGTAATCCTCTTGCCGTTCAAGGATTCCAAGTTCTCGATCGCCGTGGTGAAGGCGAGCGTGTTGTCTTCGTCGGTCCGGAACACCCCGAGCCTGTTCCCGCGCGAAACAAACGTGCGATCACTGGAATACCCCACGGCCATGTGAGCGTTCTTTTCTCCACCGGAATGGTACTTTCTCGAAGCTTCGTCATCTTCGTCATCTCCTCTTGAAAACTCCAACGGCTCTATCTCGTCCTCCTCGTCGAAATCGTCGTCGGGGAGCTCTGTATCATCCAACTCCAAATCGTTCATCGAGCTGATGATGTAGTTCTCCTCTGCATCGTCCTTGGCCTTGCCCCACCTAACACGGTTCAATGATTCCCACAAGCTCTTCATGAACGCGGCCTGAAAGTCGCTCAACGCATCATAGTCGGGGAACTTTAAGAGCCACGTCTGGCCCACACTGTCACTAAGTTGGTTAAAAATAAATGCAGTGTGCTCAAAGTTGAACACAGGATTCATCTCGCTGGACACGGTGCACTGGACGGAGGGTGTTTCAATGGCCAAGGCGTAGTCAAACTCGCCACACTCCTGGATGGAGACAGCTACCGTGTCCACAAGCACAAAACTCGCGCTTTCCGGAGAATACCGGCGCAAAGACGCTTCAGACTGGTAAACCACCGTTCCAGCTTTCACCGGGGCCTCAACAGCATCCTGGAAATCGTCTTCGGACTCGTACCCTAGAAGTTGCACCACGCTCGCCTTCTCACGCGCGTAATCAACCTCAAATTCTGCCAAATCCGCGGCGTTTGTACTGATTGACGATTTGCGATACTTTCGCTCATACTCACAGCGGTACACCGCCGTCATAAACTGCTGAATTTGGGAATTCCTCACCGTATGGTCCACGACAAACTCAAAGCGGTCGCCCGTGTCACCCTCTGGGTCTTTCCATGACAAAACATGCGCGTCGGAATCCTTTGTATATTTGGAAAAACGCAAGCCATCATCAATGAGAAAGCTCCATTCGTCGTCCTTGGAAATGGAGAGCTCTTTGAAGCTGTTCTCGTCGTCCCCATCACCGCTTTCATCCGAGTCGCCATCCAAATCCACCTCCTCACCCTCCTGGTATGCCTTCTGCACCACTAATTGGTAGTGATACGGGAGCGACGTCTCGCAAATAGAGAGAATCGCGTCGTTGTACAAACATTCCGACTCTCCCTTGGGCGAGTTGGGCGGCCGCTGCAAGTACAATTGGCCAGACGGAATCACCGCCACCTCATCTTTAGGCAGTGACGAATCAAGCATCTTTTTTAAAAAGTTCATGGTGTCTGGTATGACAAGAGTGGCAGAATGTGATCAGCTGCCGGGAATTTTAAATTTAGCTGCCAGGGAAGCTATCGCGATTGCACAGATCTGGAGTGCGCTAGTGATCTACGTAGAACACGTGACTGAAGACCAGCTAAAATCCCTGACACGTATGGGATCCATACTACTGGAGTATACGTGGTTTGTAGTTTCCACCCCCACCCCATCCATTAATAGAACAATTCCCTTTTATTTCTCAGTTATGAGGAAGGTTAGAATGGTTAGCGGTGTGCTCTTCCAGTCACTCGGTCCCCTGGTTCCGGTTCGATTTTTTTTTTTTCCTCGAGCCGGGATATGATAATAATATGAATGTTATATCGCCTATCATACTTGTAAGGTTTTGATAAATCATTACTGTATTAGAAACCTTGATTTGGAAATCCAGTTTGCCAGTTATTTGAATCATAAAACCGTTTATTCAGCTCGCATAGCTCAGGATCAGTATGGACAACACAAGAAATTTCTTAACATAGCAGCTAATTAATATTTATCCAACGGTACCAGCGATGTCATACCAAGGTATCTACGGCTTTGGCATATTTAATAACCCCGTATTTTATTCCTGACTTGGAAACCCCCAGATGCCTCATTGTTACCCGGATGCGATTAAAGCTCACGTGATATGCATCTCTGACATGCAGGGCAGGAATTTTTCATCTCTATTTCAAATCAATCCTAGATAAGCTGATACGACATCGGAGTATAGCTTACAGTATTCTACATGTTTTCCAGAGTAGCGTTGACAAGGTTCCCCACCGCTTCTCTTAGTTTCCTACTGCTGGGGATGCGGTGTTTTAGCAAAACCCCAATGCTTGCGAAGAAACCCGAGAAGGAGCGTGATTTGTTCACCCTAGCCTCCCCGGAGACCGAATCCGATATCGACTTTATCCCCTTCCAGAAAAAAGAGTACAACACCAAACGAAAGGTAAGGGAAGCCAAACTTGCAACGATATCTCCGGGGCCCGTGGTCCAACCTCCCGCCGCCCAGCCCTTTGCACAGCTCCACCAGACCGCGCATCGCGTGAGCAGCAAAGAACAGTGGCGTAACCTTCCGGAGTGGGCCAAGCGTGACACCACGATTAAGCGTAAGATTGGCGGCGGACCGTGGAAACCAACTAACAAGGTGTCTAGAGACACGATGGAAGGTATCCGTGCCTTTAAAACGCAGTTCCCGCACTCTGACAACCAGAAGATTGGCCAGTTGTTCAAGCTTTCCCCAGAGTCTGTTAGACGAATCCTCAAGTCCAACTGGAAGCCGACAGGCGATGAGGAAATTAAACTTGCTGCGCGGTGGGAGAAGCGCCGGAGTGTTCTCGAGACCAAGGCGATCGAGAAAGTGATCCAGCAAAGAGAGGCAGAGAGGTTACAGGAAGAAGAAATACCAGCCTTCCGTGAGGTCGACTTGAAGAAGCTTTCTGTTTTCAAGAACCGAAAGTATTAATAATGGTATTTTGTATATAGTATAATGAATTGATGACAGAACTTGCGTGGAGCCCGTTAGCCAAAAACTGATAGACAATCTAGTTGATGTTGCGAGCTTAGTTTATATATGGTTTTGGGTAAAACAGTAAAGATCTATTCAAGTATCTATGTGAGTCCACAGGTACAACGTCTACTATCGATAATTCTTTTATATGCGTCCTATAACCGTAGCAAGAAAAAAGGGGGTATTTTATATATCGTTATATTTCGTTTCTGGTTCGTATTTTAATATGCGTTGATCATAATTGGCCCACGTTTTAAAATAAATGGAATTGATGTTGTCGATTAGATAGAATCAATATATTGCCCATATCCCACACTAAGGGTCAATGCTAATACCAATTCAAACATCCCTGGATCCTTCAAAATATCGTTATTAAACACTGTTACCCACCCGAGCTTGTTCTTATTCGGACAATCATCCACAGGATTTGACACTGTCACGCCATCGGCCAACCGGTAGTACTTCATCCTGTCTTTCTCGTCTGGCATCTCGCCCTCAGGCATAAGATACTTCTTCTCATCCGACTTCAACATGTTCGAATACTTCAGCTTGAGTTTGCGGCTAAAACCAGTGTCGCAGGGCCGGAACACTGCTACCACCTCCACCCGTTTCTGGAAGTTCAGTCGGGTCTCTTCGTCCTCCCTTAGCTGGTAGTAATTCGGGACATCCACGAGGAAATTTGTCGCCGAGAGTCCGGGGTGCTTGGTATAGAAATAGGTAAAGTGCTCGTTCTGCATTTTATAATGCTCGTAAACCTCTGGTGGCGTGCCCTCGAGCTTGGCAAAGAGCTTCTTCACTGCCGATCGGCCAAACTCGGGCCGCGCCCCGATGTTCCACGCGGCGTTTGCATCAAGCTTTAGCTCAAAGTTGGGCAAGTCGGCAGTGTCCGTGATGCTGGAACCCTCGTCTATTTCGCCGTGGAGACGACTGTATTCCAAGTAATTCTCCAAAAACTCGTCTTCGATGCGCCGAGGAACTGCTTCGCGGTGGAAACTCCGCTTCTGCGCGTCCAACGCCATGGGTTCCGGGGCCCTTCGCCGCACACTGTTGCTCCGGGTAAAGGCCTCCTCATCGGGGTCTTCGCGCATGTTTTCCTCGATGTTTCGGATGGAGCGGATCTGGAAATTCTTGTTAAAGTCTACAAAGCTATCAAAGTTGGGGGCATCAACGATAAATGTGCCGCCGCTGACGGCTGGTGTCCTGGTAACCGTCACCACAACCTCATCGCTGTCCATATTTCTGAAGATCAAGCGGTAGCCGGCCTTGGAACGGCGCTCCATGCGTGACATTGGGTCAGGGTCGGGAAAGAGCACCTCGACGTAATATCCGGGGGCATTGCGGCAATAAACGTGGTTGAGGCCGGGGTTGGTAGAGAGATACAAGTCTTTTCCGTAGTGTAGCACGTGGTACTTCCAGAAAACCGGTTCGGGCGTGTTAGGCGGCGGCGATTTGGAGAGTTTCGGAGATTTCTCCGCGGGCCTGCGCGGTTCGGACGTCCGCAACGGATTTCCGGCTTCAAAGTCTACCTGCTGCGTGGCTTTCTGGAGGAGCTTGGTGGTCAACCCGGTGAGCGAGAGGCCTCTGCGACGCCGGGGGAGGTCATCGGTTGTGACGGGTTCTTCTACGGGGAACGGTGTGTCCATGAGTAGGAAGGGTATAGGTTTATGGGACTAAAGGGATATGAGTAAGGGTGTTTTGGTTACTGAGTAAAGAGCAGAGAAGAATGGGGGAATGAATTGGTGAGATAGAGTATGGAGGCGGTGACGTTACCGTAAGGGTCGTTCCTGAGGGCCAGTAGTATCTTGATTGGAATGCTTTCGTTCAGCGTGGTTGAGTCTTTGGGTACTGTTATGCCATATATGCAAAAAAAAAAAATTCAATGGCTCCAGATATCTCCGATACAACTGTAGGGAATAAATCGCATTTCACTCCGAGTGTTATCGGAGTGCTGGACCGCAGCTGCGGCAGGAGAAACTGTCCCGGAGCAGGCAGCTCAGCCGCGTTTTAGAGGTGTATGCAGGGCATTGGTCAAGTCATAAAGGCCACTCCTCAGATTAATTTCTTACGTAAACTTAGTAAGAGCGTAAAGAAGGGCTTCCAAGGGTTTGGTCTTGGCCCCAATGGTTTGTGCCGGCGGTGACTCTATGGATGGGTTGGATGTTTCAGGTTCATGCCGCATAGTTATTATAGTAGTCATACAAAGAGGAGGCAAAAGTAGTGCCGTAAAAATAAATACGGATGCTAATGTATAATATAAAAATAGTTAAGTATTAAACGAAATGGGGTTATAACCTCCAATGTCTATCAATTCACCGTTCTAGTTACGTCGCGTGGAGCTGACGACCAGGAGCAAACTCGCATTGGCCTATGGTCATACGCACTGCTTTCTTTTACGAAACACACCAGACCTATACTACATAACCCTTGGCTAATAAATATTCAATGTATAAAACAAATCCTAAGATTTGGCAGAGGCAGTGCTACTTCTTTGTGGCAAAGGTGTAAGCGGTGCTGAAGGAAATCTCAAACTCAAACGTGTCGTCCCAGCCCATGGCCTCCTTCAACTCCCGGATGAACAAGTCAGCTACATCCTCCTTGCCCGCATTTTCCGAAGCAATCTTCCAGGAATGGTACGCACTCCATGAGCTGACGTAATCTTTCAAACCAGCCATGTTAACTCTCTTGGAGATGATCAACTCCGTCTTGGTCTTTTCATCTTTTTCCGGATCGTACTCGTTTCTCACGATGTTTTCAAACAATTCCTCCGGAACCGGCACCTCCGCCATCAAGGTTCTCAAGAAGTTTCTGCCCGGTTGCTGCCACTTTGGACCCATGTATCTCTCGTCGTTGTAGCAGTACTTGTTGTAAATCTCATTGGCCTTTGGATAGCCAACGAAGATTGGGTCCTTGTAGAACCAAAAGGCTAGGGTGCCACCCTTGGCCAAGACACGATGGGTTTCCGCGAAAAACTTTGGATGGTCCATCCAGTGGACGCACTCCGCTGCGGTAACCAAGTCCAAGGAATTTGGAGCAATGACATTGGGTGACTCTTCGGCCGGAGCCACTAGAAACTCAATGTTCTGGGAGGGCACAGCGTTCTTTTGCGCTTCGCCGGCCATGGTTTCCGACAAGTCAGTCCCCACCACTTTGTCAAAGTATTCAAGAAGCTTGAATGCTACGAACCCACTGCCGGTTCCCACATCCATGGCGATCTTGTGGGGGTTGGCTCCATGATAGTCCATCAAGACGCTGTAAAACCCGTCAGGATATCGCGGACGCGCAAAGTTGTACTGAGCACTATTGAACTTAGTATCAGAATAAGTAGACATTAGAAACAATTGTGAAAGAACTATGCTTCAATTAAGTGTTATGAAGATATAGGTCTTTTATAGCCAGTCCGGAGGCCATGGATGACGGTCTTTCGAACGGCTCCGTCCTGGGGAAAAGGGTATGACGCAGCATCGTGCATGAAGAATCCTGCATGAAGGCATTCTCCCCGAGGTCGGACAAGTGGCAGGTGACATGACACTCTAAGAATTATCAATTTCGTAGTATCCCTTGTCTTCCGTCGGCCACGAGTCGGTTTTTGGTTTTCCATGACTGTCATGCTGTATTATGACATTAAAGATTTTTGTAGGCGGTTCGAGTGGAAGGTCCTGTGGGTTTGGCTCTTATCGATGACCTCCTTTCTGACTCATTTCCTGCCGCAGGTTCTTCGGCACCCTCCGGAGCCGGCCATCGATTCCACTAGCCTGTTCTTCCTCTTTCCAATTCGATGGAGGTAAACAGAATCTCGATTAAAACTAAACGTATTGTACATAACCAGACTATGGTGTAGGTGTTGTTGTTTACGGCCGCTACCGGCGCCGGTATCGCACAAGGTTAATCGATCGTCAGGGCTCTATGTTTGGTGCTATAAAACAATATCGGGCTAATCAGATCCGAATTCGAATAATAATAAAAATGGCACTACGGTGAGGCTGTGAGATATAAACCCCATACTCTGTGTTTCCCGTCCGTGCCAGAATACCCACCTCCGCCCTTGACAGTGCCCACCTTACAATCAGCGCTAATCTAAAAACATACTTTTATCTATTCCATCGCTACATAATAAGCTTGTTGCCGTGGTACTTGAACGGTGGAACAACGGCACTAACTGCGGCATCCTTTCTCTGTGGGAAGCCGTCAAACGACCCAGCATACGTAGCCACACTGTGAGCAATCAACTTGGTGTTGACGACCCAGGCATCGTAGTTCACATTATCCAAGTCGTCACACAACTGGTGGTAACACTGGTCAAGCCACTCCCCGGCCTTACCGCCGAACATGGCCTGTTCCTTCTTGGTCTTGACGGCTTCGGCACCAGTGGCAATTCCACCGCCAGGAATTCCGCCTTTGATGAAAGCGTCGTAGTCGGAACGGCCATCAAACGGAATCAAGGTGTAGTTCAAGCCGTGCTCGACGTACCAATCGATGTACAAGTTCTTCAACTCCTCAGAGCCGTTAGGATTGGCCAGGTTGTTGGCATCATACACCTGGTAGGCATAGTTTGGCGAGGCCATCATGTCGTAGTCCATGAACAAGCGGATTTTCTGGTTCTCCGTCTCGGTCAACTGCGAGACATAGTGGTCCGAACCCAACAAACCCTCCTCCTCGGCGGCCCACCACGCGAATCTAACCGCATTCTTGACCTTGAAGTTGGTCAACGCCTTGGCAACGGTCAACAACGAGATGGAGCCAGAGCCGTCGTCGTTGATGCCGGGGCCCGCAGCAACAGAGTCAGAGTGGCCACCCAACATGACCACGTTGGCATGGTCACCCTGCTTAGTTTCGGCCACAATGTTGGTGGTCTTGATCTGAACGACGTACGAGTCAACGTAGACAGTGGTCTCCAAATGCTTGCCCTTGGCCAACGCCGCGAGGTATGGCTCGGCATCTTCCAGGGAAATGCTTAACGTCGCAACCTCGTCACCCGTAGGCGTCCCCAATGTGCCGCGGAATGGGCCCTTTTCGGTGTTGTAGACAATCGCGGCCAAGGCGCCGGCCTTACCGGCGTTCAGGGACTTGTCCCCGAACGGACAAACCCCGCGCTGGATCAACACAATGGAGTTATTGGCAGCGGCCGGGAAGTCAGAGAGCTCACAGCCAAAGTTCTTGACCAAAACGAGGTCCCCGTGGACCGGTCTCTTGTCCTTGGTGGGTGGGGTGAAGCCAAGCGCCGTGACGGACTTTGGCTCTACACCATCGACTAACAACGAGAACGACTTGACCTTACCGTCGAGTGCCTCAAAGTCCTGCGTGTAGAACGTGTAGTACTTGCTGAGCTTGCCCAACTCGGCGAGAATGTAGTCAATAGTCCCGAGGTGACCTGGGGAGCCGATGACACGCGTCGGGTTACCGTATTCGGCAACCGAAGAGTTGGCGATTTCGTAGAGCGTATTGGCGCGTTCCTCCAACTCAGCCGCCGTGACGAGCTCTTGTAAAGCGGTCGTGTTGATGTCCGGCTTAGGGTGGAAGCCCGGGAAGTGCGGCCAGAAGCTCGAAAGCCGGTGCTGAGGCGAGTCTGGGGCAGTTTCGAAGCGGGAAAAGAGCGGAACAGCGCTCGCCGCCGAGGCAAGTAAGAGAACAGTGGAAGCAGGTAACAATTGGAACTTCATTGCAATTGGTAGAGAAGAAAGAAGAGGGAAGGGAAAAGAATAAAAGTGGGTATTTAAATGGCGGCACAAGCCTGTGGAGAAAAAGTGCCGCGGCTTACTACGGCAAAGTGTGGCGCACGGGTTTGAGCCCTTATCACGATAACGGCCGGACAGAACTTGACCCGAAACGGAAAGTATTCCGGACCATCAGAATCCAATGTCATCAGTGTTTGTTCATGGGCTTTAAATTCCTCACTGCACTGATGGTTTCACCGAGATGAACTTTCTAGGAAGGGGATTTTGTAAGTCCATCCATTTAGAAATTTCATGGGAAGAGAGTAATAGGTGTCTGGCGAGTCTTATTAGATTTCGAGACTGGCCCAAATATGACCAGAAATTCTCGATAAAGAATATAATCAGAAATTCTCACTACAAAGTCGGAGTCTTTAGTGTAAAACAATTTTCATACAGAAAGGAGTAAACTATTGTAATAAAACACCTCCAGCTTCTACAACAAAATGGAAGGTGATGGGACTTTCATACTTCTATCTAAACGCACTATTTCGCTACCAAAACATCGGCGCTTTCCAATTAGCATCTCAGGTTGGCCAGTACCTCTAAAGGTTTATGGAAAGCATATCCATCTAACCAGACCACCTTGAACTAACTCTTGGTTCAAGCTGAAGTCTCTACCGGGTATATCTATTGCCCCATCCAGATATTCTGGAGGCCCCCTCTCTGTGCGATCACTAATACAACGAAGATATGTCCACCTTATCGGTCCCTCTAGTCGCCGTCTTACTCAGCCGTTCCTCGTGGTGTGTCTCTTTTCCAAAGTCCTCGGAGCGGTTCGGGAGCCCCAAAAGCGTCCGCTGGATATCGTCAAGCCCATTATACACCGCGTTATGCGATTCTTTGGCTGTAAAAACGCGTCGCCTGATGTCTTTTTCAATCAACTCAATCACCTCGGGGTCATTAATGATCTCGCCTTGAATCAACGCAGCAATCTTACCCTTGTTCTTGGCAAGAAGGGACGGATCCTTGGCCACTTTCTTCCGGATCCGCTGCTGAATCACACTGGAGACCCGGGAGAAAGTCTCTGAGTCTTTAAAGTCATTGAGAAGCTGTTTTCGCTGTTTGTCGAACGCCCCGCTGCGCTTGTATACCGTCGTAAGCTGTTTTGGGTCGGTGATCGTGGGATGACCATCTGTGGTTGTTTCCTCCCTACGTTCCATTCCGTTTTTGTAGCCGTTTTCGGAGGGCATATCAGTATGTGTTCGGCGGTAGCTGGGTACTTAGTGTAGAGCATTAGTGAGTGGTGCTTTGTCTCAAATCTTCTCTGGTTGCCGTGTCGTGTGCAGCCAAAACGCGTGCCGATTAATGAATAGACCAGGGACCTCCAGCAACGTCTGGAGGTTGGTGCAATCAAGAACTTCGGTAAAGTTCAAGAACATAATTCAGGCTAACTCCTGTATAAGCAATAATTCCGCTTAAAATAATTTTTTTCTGGCCGAATATCTACCAAATAAAACCCGTTTCTTTTCCGACTCTTGCCCTTGTGTATTGTAAGATCAAAGGTCCTATCCCACCGTGCAGGTCGCTGACTGTGCGATCCAGACCGATATCGACTGGTTACCTGATACTCCAAAATAGGTCTTATTGAAACCTGCAAAAAGGTTCATCTTTTGAGCTGCCAATAAATTCCGAATAAATATTATATAAACATGTTTACACAAAAGTCGTCGGGTTGCTGCTGGTCCGCTACCCATCCCTCTTGGGCGCGCCTGCACCAGAGATCGAATTTATGCAGCTTTTTTCCAGGTGCTACATCAGAGGTTGTAACATATCATACATCCACCTTCCACACATAGCTGTCACCTTTGATGTCCCTGCTCAGCTTCAAACCCATAACCTCATCCGATGCTACGGGAATCTTCACGGTGAACCGTAGCCGCCCGGTGCGCTCGCACTTGGAACAGCCCCACAACCATCCATCACACAACCCACCCAGCGAGCCCCAGCCACTGGTGAAGCGCGTACAGAGCAGCAGACCGACGAACTATGCAGACGCTATAGAAAAGTTGGACCGGGCCGTCGACCGGATCTTTGAGAACGAGCCGCTACATACCAGCTACGAAGCCTTGTACCGCGTCGTGGAGTACTTGTGCCGTAACAACAAGCCCACAGAGTTGTATGTACACATTAAGGGAAAACTCGAAACGTATTTCGGGATCCACGTGACAGACCGGATTCTAGAAACCTTGGGCAATAACTCGATAATGTCCTTCCTCGGGCTTTATCGCACGTGGGAGGCAAAGCTCGCAGTCTTGAGCAAGGTGTACATGTATCTTGACAAAACGTATCTCCTCTCATCCCCTACGAAGCTTGAGGTGAGAGGCACCGGGCTCAAGGTGCTTGTGGATGATCTTTTGGCCAAAAACGATTTGGGCGTGTTGGAAGAAGGTACAGAAAAGGAGTCCCGGGCGTTGCTCATGCACAGCTTCAGCGAACTGATGGAATCTATGAGAGTACAAGCTGTCCACGAGTATGATCCAGAAAGGGGGATTAAGTTTGACCCGGCAATGGCTGCAGAGGCGCGCGAATTCCTCACAGTTGTGACGGCCCTAGATACGGAGAACAATATCAGATTAGAAGAGGTGGTCAGAGTCGCCACCGCCAGTCAATACCGCAATCTTTTGGAGTTTTTCTGGGAAAACTGGCCGGTTGATTACATTCTCTATGTTTCCTCTCTCCTCGACTGTGAAATCACCTTCTTTGCTGGTAGCCCTACCCCCTTCGTTGCAGATATCACCGCTCGGATCAAGTTTCATTTACTCTACGACGATGCGGCCAAGGTTCTTCCTTTGTGCATGCTGAACGCCATGGATGGGATACTGGACAACTGTGTTTCCTCCAAATCGATGCAACAGGTGTTGTACTTTTTCACCACCGAGAGACAGTACTTGCCCGGCTGCATTGAGCAGTGGGGGAAGAAGATTCACAGTGTGGTGGACGAAACTATCAAGGGATGCAGACGGACTGATCCCAGCCAGTTTATTCGCAATCTTATGACCCTTCAGAACAAGTTCATGGAGGTTCTCAGAACCAACTTCTCCACTCCGGTCATGGCGGCGTACGCTGAAAGGTTTGGCGACGCCCCAGCGGAAGACCACACAGATATTCTTGCGCAGTTTGACCTCAAGACGAGACAAGCGTTCCGCGAAGGTGTGTCCTTGCACGGCAGTTTTGTGGTTGAGACGTTGTGTAAATATGTCGACTCGGCCTTAAAAGCAGGCAGTCACGGTCTTTCTGAAGCATTGGACTTAACTGTCCAGGTCTACAACTTGATGAGAGAAAAGGCTATCTTCTATACAATGTACCGCAAAGATTTGTCACGGCGGTTGGTGCTTGGCAAATCCCGGGTAGAGGACGAGACCCAGTTTCTTGAGGGATTCAAGGCTGTTATGGACGATGAGCACTACAAGAGTCTTTTCTCGATGTTAACAGACATTGCTGAGAGCAAGGAGTATGCCGGCTTCGGTGTGTTTGAACCGCTCTTGGTAAGACAGGATACGTGGGTGGACCTCCCGGTGTTTGCCAACTCCCAGACCAATGGCTTCAAGTTGCCTCCGCCGCTTGCAGCAATGCTCAACCCGTTTAACGAGTTCTACCAAACCAAGTACAAGACGGAGAATAACGGCCGCAACCTCACGTGGGTGCATTACTTGAATCAGATCACGCTTACGGTCGACTTTCCGTTGGGCAAAAAAGATTTATCCCTCAACACATATCAAGCAGCGGTGCTCATGCTTTTTCTAGAATGTGATGCCCTATCAACAACAGAGATTGAGCAGCAGTCTGGGTTAAACGGGGAATTCTTGGATAGCGTAATGGCTTCGTTTACCAAAGGGAAGTACGTCATTTTGGTGCAGGAAAAAGATGGGTACAGGTTCAACACTGAGTTTCAGGATAAACTGTGCTTTTTAAAGGTTGGCCACAGTCCACCGAAGCCGCAGAGCTCCGCCTCGTCCAGAGCCTTGTCTGAGCGCAGTCATGGCGTTAACCCTGTGGATGTGCAATGGTTTACCGAGAGTTATATTGCAAAGTGTCTCAAGAACGAAGAGAGTATGCCCTACACGAGCGTGGTCAGCTCTACGATTCTACAGTGTCGGAGACGCTTTGGAGTGGTGGAGTTGAAGGATATCAAGAAAGTGGTGGAGACTTTGATCGAGAAGGGGTACATCCAGAGACTGGCGAGAGATGCCAGTATTTTGGAGTATGTGCCTTAGTATGTCATTTACTTATGAAGGAATTTCATTACCTTAATCCGTTTGAATCGCCGTTGCTAGCCTTATGACTAATCTTAGGTTATGGCCAAGGCTGCAGTAGGCTTGTCTAAGGGCTCCCTCTATAAACACTAAGCCGGGGACCACTGCGGAATCTGGCCGCCCGGGTGAGTCAGATGGGTTACTTCTGAGAATTTGGCTCCAAAATTTGTAATTATTTTTTTTTTTTTTTTTTTCCCACGTACGTTTCAAAGCCTAGATCTCTAAAGTAAACAGTTGCGTAGGCCGCATCTCCTGTACAGCATTGGTGGTAGATGCAGGTGCGGGAATTTCACGCATTCAGTCGAGTTTTAGAGATTCAGGGGATAGTTTATGAACAGCTCATTACAGCTTGATGATAAAATTTAAATGTAAGGGGGGTTAGGTAGTTTTAAAATTAAGGCTTGAAAAGGATTCCGGTTATGCTTATGTGTGAACTGCACAGGACAAGACATACAAATACTTGCGGAGCCTCAACATCAGGTTGACATTAACAATCCTCTGAGAATTTTCCGGGGCACAATATAAGCCTCGCTCAGTTCAAATGACGACATCAAGAAAAGTTTTTACGGGTTATACGGGGTATTTGCCCAATCTGTTAAAGTGGCGAAAATTTTTCTCACATAATCCCCCACCAATGTCGTGCAGATATGCATGTGACCCGTTACAAGACGTTCCCAAGCGGACCAAGGATTCCCATTTCCGGCTCCTGTGGTTCACCAGGTTGTGTAACAGATCATCGTAGAACCGCTCTTTGGACACTAGTTGCCTGGGAGTTTCAAAGGAGTTAATCATATAAGGGTATATTTGAAATCATTGGACACCTTGGACCGTTTTTAAAGGGTTTGGTTTAGATGAACGGTTTAGAAACTAAGCTCCACCCTGAGATAAAAGGAACAGAAAGGAAACTTCTGGTCATTTTTTCATCTTCTATCAATTAGTAATTTAACAAGCTTGAAGTTGTTTTTACCATTTATGGGTTGTCAAGTGAACAAGATATACATCGTGCAGTGTATGCAAAGATATTCAGGAACTTTATAACAGGGCACGTAAGGGGCATTGCTTTGCAATCCTTAATTTGGTAGCCATATTGAAGTGGTCCAGGCCGGTGCCCAGGCTTAGCCATTGCCTATATGTCTTAGGTTCGGTATGTCTAACGGGCATAGTGGTAATCTCCTAGTTCACCACCTCCGAAAAGCACCTCCGGTGGATGTTGGAGGACTAGAGGAAACATCGGATTTAAACAGTCTGGATCTATCTCGGCGTACTCCTAAGCAGCTATGGGGCCAGTGATAAAACTGTTCTTACCTGGTAACCATACGCCTGTCCAGGGTAATGGTTTAGCCTGGAACCTTGGCTGATCCTCCATGAATTACACACTCTTCCACTTTACCCAAAAAGGAAATTTACAACCAAAGTCCGTTCAATCAACGGCTAAACCCCTAATTTCACTGGGCGAAGTTTGTCTGAAATCACCAGACCCAGGTCATTAGTTTCCCAATACCTGATCCAAAGACTGAAGTTTACGTTGGATCTGTCATGTTATACGGCTTTTGCACTTGCGGGTCTACGGCTAGTGTAGGGGAGGGCTACCATCTGTTCCCGTGTCTCACATGGAACGGGTGAGGATCGTTTAAACCTGCACCAGTGATTGTTCGGTCACGTGCTGACTACTGCAAGCGCATGTAACATGTAATTACATGGACGAAAAAAAATTACCGCAATCGGAAATGCATAATAGGTCTAGATCAATTGCAAGAACTACCGCCACGTCCTTGATCACTCCTTTAAGTGGATCGGTTCAGCGAAGGAGCTGAACGAGTACTATTTTGTAGACTCTATGGCCTCTAAGCCAAAGCAAGCGGTCATCTATATTTTTTTGTGAAGCCCGATCCTTAGTGGCAAATGCTCGTTTATAACACGGCCTATATGGAGTCAGTTCTGAATGCAGTATAATCTCCATAACTGTGTGTCAAGTGCACCAGATCGTAGACGAGCGTCCTGTATATACTACGCCACTGTCGAAGACGATCCAGACATACAAAGGGAACACCGGGCTGCAAAATAGATCGATATGCCGTGAATACCAATCCACATCCTAGAATTTCCTCCAATTAGCCCAGTGTTTGTGAGGCTACTGAAACGTCAGCCAATGAAAGCCCCCCGAGCACCCTCTGATCCACTCCATGCATGGCTGCATAGCCGGGTCTTTCGGGAGATCTAGGCCATATCTGCACGTCGTATGCAGGATGCAAAGAGGACAATGTATGTCCTTTTCCTTGTGCATTAGTTAGTGGTAGAAATTTTACAACGGCAAGGGCTTCTGTCCGCTGTCGAATTTCGTAGAGTTTTCCCCTACTTTTCTTTTTTTCGTGAAAAATTGTCTGCAAGTTTCGCTTGCATTGCCAGGCCCAATTCGGTATGCAGTCAGAGCTCCGAACATCACGCACGCCATTTTGGTGCAAAATTTTCTATTTTTCGTCCGTTTTTTTCTCTGGGATCGGCGGGTGCCTGGGAGTGCGCCCATACTAAACTGCAGCTAAGCTAGTAAACAATTGCCAGATCGAGAGCGAAAACTATAAAACAAACTGGGCTCGCTGTAGTAACGAACGTCCATGTTGACGTTTTGATAGCCAAGTTACTCATCGCAACTCCACTCACACTCTTTACTATATTTAGCCTCCGCTTTATATTGCCACATTCCTTAATTACTTATTGACTGACCTAGAACCTACGTCTCCTTTAACTAATAGTCTTTCTTTTGCATCACAATGAAGTACTCTATTGTCGCTCCTTTGGTGTTGGCTGCCTCAGTCATCGCCGCTCCAGCCAACATTGACAAGCGTGCCGTCGCCTACGTGACCCAAACCGTTATTGAATATGTCAATGCCAACGGTAAGCCTGTTGTCTCCGAGGTGACCACCCAGGCTAAGGGCGTGGCCACTTCCCAGGCTGCTGCCACCACCTCCCAGGCTGCTGCCACCACCTCTCAGGCTGCTGCTGCCACCACCTCCCAGGCCGCTGCCAAGCAGTCTTCTTCCGCTTCCTCCTCTGGGATCAGCGGTGACTTGTCTGCCTTCTCCGACCCTACCACCAAGTTCGAGGATGGTGTCATTGCCTGTTCCGACTTCCCATCTGGCCAGGGTGTTATTGGCTTGGACTGGTTAGGCTTCGGCGGCTGGTCTTCCATCATGAACATGCAGGGTGAAACCTCCACTACCTGTAAGGATGGCTACTACTGCTCCTACGCTTGCCAGGCCGGTATGTCCAAGACTCAGTGGCCTTCTGAACAGCCATCCAATGGTATCTCCGTTGGTGGTTTGTACTGTAAGGGTGGCTACTTGTACAAGGCCTCTGACTCTGACTACTTGTGTGAATGGGGCCAGCAGTCTGCCAGCTTTGTGTCTGAAATCGACGACTCTGTTGCTATCTGCAGAACCGATTACCCAGGTTCCGAAAACATGGTTGTCCCAACCTGGTTGACTGCCGGTTCTTCCCAGCCGGCCTCTGTCGTCAACTCCGACTCTTACTACGTGTGGCAAGGCGGCAAGACCTCCGCCCAGTACTACGTTAACAACGCCGGTGTCTCTTTGACCGATGGCTGTGTCTGGGGTACTGACGGTTCTGGTGTCGGTAACTGGGCTCCAGTTGTCATCGGTGCCGGTTACACTGGTGGTGTCACTTGGTTGTCTTTGATTCCTAACCCAAACAACAAGGAAGCTCCTAACTACAATCTCAAGATTGTTGCTTCTGACGGTGCTACCGTTGTTGGTAACTGTAAGTACGAAAATGGTGTTTACACTGGTGGTACCTCCGATGGTTGTACCGTCTCTGTTACCTCTGGTGTTGCCAACTTTGTCTTCTACTAGGCTTTTTTTTTTAAACTTTACAGTTTTACTATGTGTATAATACCTTTAACCTCACTCGTTCAAATGAAAATATTAAAAAAGGACAAAAAAATAGCCAATCTGTAGCAACTATTTCTGCTTTGTAGCGACCGTTTTCACCTTGTCATTTTCGCTTTGTAGTGATCATTTTCACTTTGTAGTTGTTTCCGCCTCGGAGCGACTGTTTTCGCCTCGGAACTCCCTTCGGTTCGGTGGTAAGATACATGTACTAGCTTTGGTCGCACGACACCGGAAAAGACTGGTGTGCAGGTCGAGGCGGCCCTTTAGGCTCGCCAAACCCCGCACACCGATTAATCACCCACTCATTAAATCAGATTTAAGGTTGTACGATGGTCTTCGTATAAGGCCTACCTAAAGATGTAGTCCTCTTAGCTCAAAAGATCGAACGTTCCGTTGTTCTCATTTTCCACACGGCGTAGCCTGTGTAGGCGATTTTGCCCTTTTTTTAGGACATATGTCCTACCCGCCTCGTGTATATCCCTAGGTACAGGTCTTCTGCGAGTCGGTTAAAGTATATAACTGGCGAGTGCAATAAGGAGTGAGTCTCACCCTCGGAATAAGCCATTCTTTGGTTCAAACTTCCATGTTAGACCTGTCCTACGTTAGCGTAATGCTGTGGCCACTTACCGGAACTACAACACCGCTACGGACCTTGGAATGGCCAAAATGAGTCTGTTCGCTATTCTTGGCTTTGTAGAGTGCAGGGGAGCCCTTAAGCCCCGAAGTGTAAGATCTTTATCACTTTGGTAAAGAAAAAGTGGGAAAAGACAATCCACTACCGTTATGACTTTGCCTTACAGACAAACCCACGATAATATGGCGATGACGTTCAAGTATCAGCAAAGCCTGCTGAGGTCACCTCTCAAGGCAGCATGATTATTCATTTCGTGGTCACAAACAGATCCACTGCCATACCAGGTATTGCTACATTAAAAACAAGATAGTTTGACCCATCCATTGACAATCCATTATTACAACTAGCTTCTTCCGTACTGGTCCTGGGGGTAGTTCGGGAAGAACGATGCCTGGGCATTGGCGATATCCTGGTTAGGCAGCGAACCCACAAAGTTGCATGACGTTCCGTTGTATGTATCGTCGTACCAGTAATAGCTTTGCGCTATTGTGGCATTATCCTTGGGGCACACGAACGCAAAGTCATTCACAGGACAGTCTTGCACAATGTTGTTACACAAGTTGATGCACGGAAGCACTTCGTAGTACGGCTCCTTCGGCTGCACCACCGTGTTCACAAACGGGTTTCGCGACTCACCCACATCGCGGTACTGGAAGCCCGTATAGTTGTAGGTGCTGCAACGGGGAATCGTCACCGCACATAGCCAGTTTTTATAAGCGGTAGCACAATCGTCGCACGTTCGCACGGTCGAGTACAGGGCGTCGGCTTCGGTGTCACAGGCGGTCTGCTGAAGCGCAAACGTGAAATTCTGGTAGAGCGCAAGGGGATTTGAGTCATAGAGAATCTTCAAGTTCAACTCACTGCCGTCAATGTCGTACTGAGAGGATATGGGCACTGAGTAGGCAACGTTGTTGCAAAACTCCAAATCGTAGATCAATCGACAGGCCCGCAGACTCTGGGTCTGGAACTCAAACTTGGTGAAAATAGATCCTCCGTTGTCTCCACTTCCTTCGAAATCCTGTGTCAAGTACGCCACGTAGTTGGTAGAGGCGTTGAGGCCGTCTATATAGAACTGCTGCTGGATGCCACCGCCGCGGTTGGTGTAATTGGAGGTCATGTTAACGGTGTCAATCAACACGGGGCCGTTTCTGACAGCACACCAGCTATTGTTGAGGTGAGAGAAATAGTTGATATACGAATAGTCGTAGATAAAGAGATTGAACTCGCCGCCAGATTGTACCTGAATAAGTGTGGCGTTGGTCGTGGAGGCGGAGATGTTTCCCGTGACAAAGAGCGCCGACTCGAAATCCGCATCCACGAGACTCGCATACAGCCGGTCGTCCCATTGGAACACCAAATCGTTCTGCGAGATGGCGATCTGATAGCTCCAGTTGTCCTTGATTTCGGCACTCACAGGGGAAGTGACGGCGATATACAACTCGGAGTGGGCGTCGTCAATGAGGGTTTCTGCGAGCCCCTGAGAGTAGCCCTGGGAAAACGTAAGGCGTGAGGCCTGTGTGAGATTGGCCATGTCACTGGCGTTGAATGAATAGAACAATTCAAGACTGTTGTGCAAGTCGTAGTCGCCAACGTTGGACGGTTCGTAACAGATGACCCCTGCCAAGAAAATCAAGATCTCGAACTGGCTCGACGCACCATACGATTGCGTATCCACCGCAAATTTGTAGTATTGTGTTTCGTTCTGCCCGATCTGGGCAGACACCGGCGTCCATTCCAGAATCGATCCGGGTTCGCCGCTCCTTTTCAGTATAGCCTGGAATGGCGTGCCTAGAGGACTGAATATATCAGAGCTGTGGAGCTTGCATGTGGCCAAGATCGGCAAAAGGAGCCAGAAGAGGGTATTTAGACACCGCATCGCTGTTTTGTGGGGTTTAGCGGAATAAAGTGAAGGGGTGGATAGAAAGAGAATGGGCCAAGTTGTATGGCGGGCGAAAAAAATTAATGCGCCTCGTTATAAGGCACATCAGCCGCATGATGAGCGCTCGCAGTATGCGGTTCAGTCTTGGTGTTGTGGAGTACCATGATCGTATGAGATTATTTCGGTGGTGGTATGGTATTAGTATATTACCATTATAACAATGACCCTTACTTCGGCTGGGTCTTCTCCCCTATTTCAGCGCGCCCTCGTACGGCGGTTCCGATTTGAGGAACGGCCCCTTCCCCTGTATGATTCTACAACCCAATTAACAGCTTCGCCAGGATCGTCACTTCTGTGGAAAATTTTGCAATGCAACCATTTTAACAGCTTGCTAGCGAATCACTGTCGTTTTGACCCTAAAGGCAGCTGTACCCATGAAAACTCCTTGTCCATGGGATAGTCGATTCTTTTAACGGTTTTGACCCTGAATGTCTTTTCTTCGTTTTTAATTTTAATTTCTAGACGTCGGTGTAGGTGATGTATTTTTCCACTCAAAGACTTCTTAGTTTCAGACTTCGTCCGTAGAGTTACACGTTGACAGATACTTGGACCAGGCGAAGCAAAGGTTGTGAGACCAAAACCTGTGACCGTCTCAGTTTCCTAAAATAATGGATTGCGACACGTGTAACTAGAGTATTTTGAGCTGTTATACCATCTGGCCGGTGTACGCCTTTCACTAATTCGAGTGAATGAGCTACATAAGCACTGCTCTTTCTCTTCCTAAATCGGTCTAAAGTTCTTCACAAGTCCCGAGTTTTCTACTCTGTGTATCTTTCTATATGATATTTTTTGCCAACACTAGCCGGTCTAGTATAGTGGTCAGTACACCTCTTTGTGGCAGAGGAAACCCAAGTTCGATTCCTGGGACCGGCAGATTTGTTTTTTGAAGCTCAAGAAAAGTTTATTTGGCATGAATTCATCTCGATATATATTAATGGTACTCTATTGAGGGAAATAATAGACTTTCCAATCTATTGGTTACTTTCTATAAAAATGTTGACAGTAAGTGTATCTGTATATACATATAAACATTTAGTATGTGATAAATATATAAATATTTTTCCTAGATGTTATATTGTATAATGTCAATGTCCAACATTATGGTAATAATCTGGTCAGTACTAATATCATATTTTAGTATTATTCACTACATATGTACACGTTTTATGTGTACGTATTTGGCTCAAGTTCATACATTTTGAACGGGAAACTTCCATACCCAAAAGGAACAGCAAGGATTCGCTCCGAGAAACACTAGGATCTAGACACAATACGAGACAATCATCATTCAGAAGACACACCATAGTCAATGAAATATAAAATAAATACACACGAGCATCCAGTTAATCATTACAAGCAACAAGGGAAGGATATAACTCCTTTGGAATCTCCACCTCATTCGCAGCTTCCGTCTCACTCTCAGACACAGATTTGGTACTACCCGCATCCTTCATATTCTTAATGGCCCAAGCAATGTCACCACGAATCTTCGCAATCAATGCCTTATGCTTGATCACATCAACTTCGCTCATCGCCTTTGAGCCGAGGGATAACGAATTCATACCAGACAACAAGTCATTGTCATCGTCCCGCTCTTTTGCACCATCATCCGGAGAACTACTCGATGCCTGTTGATTAACACCCACAACAAATCTCTTTGTTGGGTCTTGGCCGAAACGCTGGTTGGCAACCTGTGGGTACGTATGGCATGTCGGGTAAGCGGTAGACTCGAAAGGCATCTGGTCATTAACCATTGCCATAGGACCATAGTTCGGCTGGTGTTGGAGCTTTTGCTCCGCAAGATTCGCTTGGAATGTAGGGTACACCGGGGACGTCGGAGGAATGACGTTTCCTGCGAAAAGTGGAAGCTGCTGGGGGTTCTGGGAAAACGCATCCAACGAGCTATTCAAGCTTTGGAAAAACATATCCACCTCCAACAACTCCTCAGGGTTCACTTGGCGGGTGAATGGTTGATCCATGTACGACACGCCAGTGTATGCTGGAAGGTAGGTTGACTCAAGTGACTGTTGCTTGTTCACTGGAACGTCTGTTGGAACAGCAGAGTTCATGAATGAGACATTGAAGTTGTTCAATTCATGGAATATGGTTTCACCGTACGTCGGCTCCACCTTCATCTTCTTCAAGCTATGGTAGAAACCAGCAATTTGTTCCACATCACGCTTGCGGGACGCCATCGGAACGTTTGAAAACCCGGCTTCTGGCTCAGCGCTATTCTCGTCGTTCTCTTCATCGTGGACTTTTGCATGCTTTTTCAAGTCCTGGGGTCTCTTGAACCCCTTGTCGCAGAGATCACAGGCGTACGGCTTCCAGGGCACATGAACCCGCAAGTGGCTAGTGATATGGTCTCTCTTGACTGTGGAAACCTGGCATGTGCCCCAGTGGCACACAAGTGACAAGTTTTGCAGGGACTTGCGTCCAATGTGATCGTCACAGAGGTGGTTGTAGAGATCAGATCCGTCTGCGAATAGAAGCTTACAATCTATCCACTTGCACGGGAACGGGCCTGCACTTTTTTTGGACCTATATTTTGGCGGAGACGCAGAAACGACAGATGACACTGGCGTCTGTTGGTAACTAGCTTCAGCGTGGGGGAGAGATTGCTCAGGGAATGGAGCAAAGGTAGGCATGTCAGATAATCTCGGGTAGTGGATAGCTGGAACCATATCTGAGCCGTTCAGATTTAACGGAGGTAAAACCTGTTGTGGTGGTTGGTTAAACATTTGTGGGTAGATCTGTTCGTTGATCTGGTTGTAGCCCTTGAACCCAGATTGAATATAGGGCGATCTTTCATTGGATTGGCAGTCGACTGACGAATCGGGAGAGACTCCCACAGGGCTGTTGTAAGATTTGGGAGATATCGTAGACTCTGGCGTTAGAGATACATCGTGGTGGGGAATGGCTGTGGTGAGTCCAGAGGGAGTACTTGCGGACGACATATTAGAGAAAGCTGGGGAGTCGTCCATGGAGGTCGGGTAGAGGAAGGAAACAGGGTGGACGTTGTAATCAAACTGCCCCTCTGCTGAGCCAGCCGGTGGGTAATCGTTCTGGGTATAGTCGAAATTTAATGTTGCTTCGTCAAAAACAGATTGAAAAGCGGTTGACATTTTGTGGTGACTTGCAATTTGTGAGAGAATGATCAGTAATGCTAAAGAAGGCTGATATAACAGAGATCGTTGAGACGTAACGTAAGCAATGTAGAGACAGTTGGTCAATTATGGGGTGTTTCTTTGACGTGTATCTAGGTAAGGGGTACGAACTGATTATATACATTTCAGGCATGTTAGCATGCGCCCACACGTCACGCATAGTTCGATGTGCGAAAATTACGTATATCTGGTGCGAGTAAGCGGCAAACGTAGGTAGATGCAGGAATTGCATCACTTGTATGTGTATCGTGCATAACCGCCAAGATCGAACTCTTGGAAGTTGGAAAAAAAGAAATTCTCGCGATTGTAGTACCAGACACAGTGGTTGTGACTGCATGTGCATGCGTCTAAGGGACGTGGTTCCGTTCCAAATTCATCTGGCCTTTGTTAGGCAGAGGCTCAAGCTGATGTGGGCGGTGCGCGTGTCTACCATTTTCCCTCTATCGGCCTACATGCTGGCCATAGCCGGTTTATCATAGTCACCCGCGCCGCATATTTGTACGACTCTGTAAGCCCAGTTTAACTAAAAGCTATACCGAGACACCTGGCAGGTAAACGTGGCCAAATTCAGCGCTGTACTGACTGGCGAGGTACTAGATATGACGTCAAGCTCCTTCATTTGAAGGACATGGTACATGTATACTTTCACACCGGATACCCTAGATCTAAAACGTCTTCAGTGATTGAGTAGGTGGTAGGAGAAATCATTTAGTGGTTTGAAGAGATTCCACTCCGTATGTTTCTTACCATGAATGGTGAAACTGGGCTTACTATTTCTGTCAGTATATAGGTATTGCCATCCGTCAGTATTTAGGTTTCGCCGAGAATGCGTATGTCGTGGCGGTACTATAATAGGGTCTAGGGTGACTATTAATATAAAATCAGCACAGCCGTGTTACGATATGGCATCGTGATTTAATGGTAGTTGAGACATTCGTGGGGTGTAGTTATCACAGTGGATTTATGATTCTTTGAAATTACCCGAAAAACAGGTTCGAGAATAAGCTTTGTGGTGGGAGCCTAAGAAATTCATGAGGCACTGGGCTCATTAGTAACGCTATGTACTACAGGTTTCAACCCTAAAACACAAGTAAATGTAGTTGGCCCAATGCAGCTGAATATACTCTCTCAATACCGTTAGTTACGTGGGCAAGACAGAAGGGTGACCAGCGCCACTTAACTTATGCTTCCATGTAAAAAAAAAGATCAAGTTTTATGAAACCACAACAAAATCTTTAATATTACCGTACCCTCATAATATCTAGCCATAGGTGTAGCAATCCCACTCATTGTGTACCACACAGATCTAGTCTCTTTTTTGCGATCTGAAATGTACATTTCCACGCATGCGGCCTGACGTTCTCGCGTTTATTGAAAAATCTCCGCGGCGCGCTTAAGTAGCACGCGTTATTGATGGCGCGTTTTCTCCTAATGCGGAGATTTTCTCGAGAAATTTTATATAGGACGCGTCCGCAGGACAACCTTGTTTCCCCAAACTGCCACATCATTACACCTATATATATCTTCCGCTACTCTAGATATTCCTTCAAGTCCTTAGCATCCCTTCCGACCTAATTGAATATTTCACTAATCGCATAATGAAGAGATCCGCCTCCATCCAGTCACCAGATGTCAATGAGCGAAAGCGAACCAGAAGCTCCGCTAGACTTGCACATTCCCCCGTTGAGGTCTTGAGCGATCTCAGCGATGATGAAATCCCTGAAAAGAAGAAACATACCGTTGTAAAGTCCCAGACTACCGTTTTGCAGAAAATCAGTCTCAACGCCTTGCAAACCCCTCCCTCTACCCCCACCAAGGCTCGAGTCTTGGACTTTCAAAATGAATCACCCGTTAAATCTAAAACCGTTGTCCAGTTGAGGTCGCCTCCTGCTACTCCCCAAAAACCTTCTTTGGAGCGAATCTCCATCTACACCCGGGCCAAGTCGCTCTTCCAGAGAGGCTCCGCTGCAGGGCCGGCCGAGACTCCGTGTTTACCGTCCCGCGACCACGAGGGTAGGTACCTCAACGACTTTGTCAAGTACAACATAATCCACAACTACTCCAACACCGTGTACTTGTACGGTCCCCCGGGCACCGGAAAGACGGCCCTGGTCAACCAGACGCTAGCAAGCCTCTTGAAGGGGCTGAAGAGCGCAAACGTTTTCTCCACCAAGAACCAGATCCAAACGGTCACAATTACGAACGACATGGACGAATCTTCCGCAGCAGTCGTGCGCAAGGTGATTGTGATCAAAATCAACTGTTTCATCATCAACAAGCCAGAGAACATTTTCCACGAGATCTACTGTCAGTTGAATAACGGCTACAAGCTCGACGGCCGGAAGTACCGTTATGAAGACCTTCAGGAGCTGTTACAGAGCGAGCCCAAGTTCCAGAATCTTTCAATCATCCTTGTGCTCGACGAATTGGACAGTTTGATCACCAAGGATCAGCAAATCATCTTCCAGTTATTCAAGATGGCGTCGTCCGTCGTGGATGCCGCGCCCAGCGTCCGGCCAAACGTGATTCTCATCAGTATCGCCAACGCGTTGGACTTAACGGACCGATTGTTGCCTAGATTAAAAACGAACGGCCTCAGTCCTAAAACGCTCCAGTTCATGCCCTACAATTCAGACCAGATCAAAAACATCATAACGGAAAAATTACGGTCGCTCCACACGGGAGATGAAGTTTCCGTTCCATTAATCCACCCAGTGGCAATTCAGCTCTGCGCGAAAAAGTCCGCTTCGAACACGGGTGACTTACGTAAGGCGTTTGACGTGGTGCAACAGTCGTTGGATTTGGTAGAAGAAGAGTGTAAAAAGACGGGTGACGTGTTTGCGTTGACCGCAGCCACCGCGCCAAAGGTGAGCATTAGCCACATGTCCCGGATCTTTGTTTCGGTCACCGGAAACAGCAAGGCAAGCCAGCAACTCGCCTGCTTGAATATCTTGCAGAAGTCGATCTTGGCGTCCATGATCAACTCTATCAAGCAAAGTAACAAGGGCTTGTTGACGAACAACCAGTTCTACGACCACTACTGTGCGCAGGTGGGGAGTGACCGCATGTTGGTGAAGTTGAAAAAGGGCGACTTTTTGGAAATCGTTTCCGCGTTGGAAGCCAGCTCCATCATTCTCATGGTCGACGATGTGAAGCGGAATGTGGAGTTTGGGCAGCGAAAATTTAAGTTGAACGTGGACTTTGATGAGGCTGTGAAGCACATGGAGGAGATTTCTCTCTGCAAGAGATTTCTCTAAGGTAATAGCCAAAGGCAGAAGCAACATGACAGATGTAAATAAGGCAATGATAAATAGATGCAATATGCAAAGATTCCAAACGGATGTGGATGCTGTAACAAAATATGAGTACGGGGGGGACCGAGACTGTGGAGGTTGGTAAATGCCTCCACCCAAACCAAGCTTACTTGGACATTATTTGAGCCCCATACAGTGCTTGAACTCTACCCACCAGACTTTCCTAAAGGCTGTGATTTTTTGCACAGGGGTCGGTGCAAAGGTCGAGTACTGGTACCGCACGTCTTCGGCAGCGGGCTGACGCCCTGGCGGCGGGATACCGTTGATTTTGGCGTGGATCGTCTGCACAAACTTGTGGAATGACGCTGATTTCATCAACGTCTGGTAAAGAAGGTCTTCGAGCGAGGTGGGAGGGCGCATGATATATTGAAGAAGAGCTCATAAAGCAGTACAAGTTAGGAACGTCCTTTGCTTGAGGTTCTCTTCAAATACATTAGGTCGTTCCCCTACCAGTTACCGAACATGTGTCTGGCGTTATAAGCACCTACGTGTTATGCCAATGTGGCAGCTTGATACCGATATATAAAATCACCGATACAATGATTAACGACGACCAGTTGACCACCTTGGCCATTTCCTTTGGTATCTTTGCGTTCGTCATGATCATGTTCTACCACACCATTCTTTCCAGCGGTGTCAAGGTCGATGAGTACGCCTCCAAGAGAGTTGAACAAAAGACGGACTAAGCGGTGAGTCCGCCGGTTGAATGATGGGGTAATGGAACGAATTGAAACCTGATTTGTCCCTAATACAGGCCCATTTCAGCGTCTTGCCAACTATATCGCCATATCCTTTTCGCTTCCTTCCCCCCTTGCCTGAGATGTGTCGTTGAAGCAGGTGAGTTGTATACTAGGGCCGCCTAAAACTATAACTATATACACTTTATTACTGTGCATACCACCTTTGTAGTTGAACTGTTATGTAACTTGTCCCTGTATACGATGGGGAGTTTGGCTGTGGTAGCAGGTTGAGGATTAACGAGTCTGCTTACTTTGACGCGACGCTTCCGGGCATAACAAGGGACTGAGTTTGTGCCAGAAAGGAGTATGTTGTCTGCATCATTACCGATCCCGGGCGAACCTATAAGAGTCTTGTCCACCTGGCATTAAGCATAACTTTATCTATAATTTCACTTCTGGTAAACTACTCGTAAACACTAAGATGGTTTACAAAATTCTATATTTGGGTCCCCGGAAGCAGCCCTGGTCCTTAACACTCAACTTGGTACAACTTATCCTTGTACACCACCTCTCTCTTCTGGTGCTTCCCACCCTTCTTCTTCTTACCTTCCTCGGCCCAAACGGTCAATGCACTCAATTGCTTCCCCTTATTGCAGCCCAGATCCAATCCCTTAGACCAGCTCTTCAACCTCAACCCACGATGGGCGTCATGGCCGTAGTACACCACCATCTGCTTCTCCCGGCTCAACGTCTGCTGTAACTCCTTCCACTTGCTCGTCCAGGATACACCGTCCTCCAACGGCAACTCTGATGTTTCGTTGAAAAACGGAGGAACCAAGTCACGCACGGAGACGACATCCCACGGGTCCTGCTCTTCCAAGGACACAATTGACGGGTTTAAGCCCCCGTGGACTGCCACCCCCTGCACCGAGCCGGAGAATAATGTAGGGTCGGTGTCGTACGGAGAGGATTTAGAGGGGCGGAACGCAACAGGGCCGAGTTTGAGGATGATGGGACAGGAGTTGAGGTACTTTACATGTCTCGGCTCCAATCTGCGGGCCAAAAGAAACTCAGGGTCCTCATCTAGGCGCATCACAGACATACCCGGAGGCAAATTGACGGGGAGAGAGATGGAATTCGCGTCCGAGGCTTCGAACACAAGGGGGTCTAGTCTGTGATAGTGGGTGTAAATATCGAGAATATTCAACTCGTGGTTCCCGAGAATGCACTTGATGTTGTTCTGCTCGGCCCAGTCGAGCATTTTGAACGAATCTGGGCCCTTGGAGATGAAGTCACCAAGTAACACAACCGTATCCCTCTTCCGCGAGTACGCCATTTGCTTAAGCAACTTCTGGAGCTCGTTGAACTGGCCGTGGATATCGCCGATGAGCACAAGTCTGCTGGTTCCGTGGGGCGTTGCTAGGTAGGGATGCAATTGCACATCCAAGGCGGCCACTTTGCGTAGCGGTTCAAGAGCCTGAGCCACAGGCAAAAACATGTTGGGGAGGTAGAAACCTAGGAAGTAAAAGGCACCAGCCGTAATGAGTGCACCGCAAATGGAGTAAAGGATCACAAAGCATTTATTATGGGGCGTAGATTCGTATTCGTAGTATTCGTTCTGCTCTATATCCTTGGTTTGGCGGTAATTGGTATGGTTGGGGGAGGTTAAATCGGCTTGCACCAACGGTGTGGATTCGTTCATTGTAAGTAGTGTATGTAATGGGCAAGCAGAAAATTCAGGAAAAAGGTCACTCTAATATACGGTAAAAGTTGGCTGCTAAATAGATATAATTTGTTGATCTAAAACAGAGAAGGCTTGTGACAATGCAATGTGATAAACGTATTAGTGAGATTCAAACTGGGTACTAATTTACGGAAACGCCATGGGCACAAAAGCTTTATCCTAGTGCATAAGGGAAATTCCCAACCGTTCGGGTTACGCAACACATGTGCTGCGGCTTTTAGTGTTTTTCCGGTCGTAACGGTAATTTGTGAGGCACGTGGTGGCATGCGGGAAATCAAGAACTGGAAGCTGTTCAGTTTCACCCAAAATCATTGTGATTCAGCGGTCGACGTTTATATCATACTGCGATTAGAAGTCTGCAAAAGAGTAAAATTGACCTGAACATATCTGGACTTAGTGCTAAGAGATAATACCAAAGCACGTCATGTGCTATACTTTGGATATTGCATGTTTCAAGTTAGTATAGATTTTCGGTGAGTAATACACTGAGGGTAAGGCAATAGCCGTCATAAATACAACAGAATGGCAGAATCAGTCGGGAGGATGTATATTAGCACAGTTCTGATACCTGTGGGCTATAAAATCAGTATCGCTTAAGCGTGCTAAAGTATGTGGATTAGGGAATTGCTAGAACTTTTCAGCTTTTGGTGCTTACTGTATAATTTAATCTCCCACAACTTAGTGTGCGGACAATAGCAGGGTCCAATAAATATACCATATCTCCCGTAACATAAAAAGTACCATGATCTCCTAGTACGACTCAGTGGCAAACCTACTGAGAGAGTATTCCCAATCCGGACGTTTTTGAGAGGCGCTCCTAAATCTATGAAGTATCTGTAAGCAGTCTATGGAACCTACACACGAAGCAGGCATAGGTCATAAATATACCGAATTTTGGGTATTTCATAAACAAATTCCATACTCTGTTTACATTGCCACCTAATGAAATGTGTATTTACGTATCAATTTACCGACGTCCGTCTTTTGTAAACTTCTGGTTTGACCTATCCAGACTGGGAATCAGCTTCCTGTTAGTGAAAGCCTCACAGTAGTCCGCTTTCCCCAGCCAACCTACTACACACTCTACCGCATTGTGTAATATGTTCACTACTTAATGCCCCCGCTGCGCCTTCTTATGCTTCATGTTCTGGAACTTGAAATGGCTGTTGCCTCCGAAGCCCCCAAAGCCCCCAAAGCCCCCGCCGGCAAACGGATTCTGATGGTGCTGGGTCTGCTGCCTGCGCCCAGCCTCGGGGTCATTAGGGTCTTCACCCTTATCGTAGCGTGCCCTCAAGTCCTTGTCACCTAACACCTCGTAGGCGTGGTTGATCTGCGTCATTTTTTCTTCAATCTGCTCGGCTGTGGCGTCACCACGGTACTTGTCGGGGTGAAATTTCTTTGTCATGTCTCTATATGCCTTTCTAATGGTTGTATCGTCGGCCGTACGAGGCACTCCGAGAATCTTGTAGTAATCGTGCTTCGGCTTTAACGGTTGTTGGTACTGTTGTTGTTGTTGCTGCTGTTGTTGTCGATGGAAGTGCTGCTGTTGCTGCTGTTGTTTCTGGTGCTGCACAATCGGTTCGTGGCGCAGCTGCCACAACTGAGTCTTCTTCACCCTCGCGTTAAACTCATTCAAAAGAGCAGCAGCCTGGTCGTACTTCTGATTTTTCAACAACAAGTCGATCTTAGGAACGTGAGCGGGGAAGAACTTCGAGCCCTCCGGGAGACCTTTTCCAAGATACAACTCCTGGCAGAGCGGTTTCGCGGCTTTGTATTCCTTGCGGTGGATGTGTGCCTCGCATGCAGCCTTGGTCAAGTCACGGAGAAACCCATTGTGCACCGCGGGGATCTCTTGCGCGTGCGCGGTGTCGCGGAGAAATTCAAAACTTGACGTAACCTCGCGCGTGAGCCCCAACTGGCGCAGCATTGCCTTGGAAAACGTGGGTTTCTCAAACAACAACTGGTGCAATTTTGCCCATTCATTTTCACTGACATCAATTTCCTCCTTTAAGTCATCTGAAACCTCGGCTACGTCCAAGTGGGAATAGTAAATGGACACCTTCTCGAGAAGTGTGAGGAGCTCCAGGAATTTAGTGTACACCTTCGACTGCACCTGACACGGCTTGTACTCATTATCGTTCCTGAGGCACTTGGCGGTGAGCAGCTTTGCGTTTTCAAAGTCGCTGAACCCGTAGAGGTAGAGCGACGAGAGGCGCTGCGTGTGGTCGAGCACATTCGGCTCGAGCTTGTGCAACGCGGTGAGATCGTCGAGCACAAGCGACAAAAAATCTTCGCGCTCGGTTCTGAGAGTTGCCGCTAACCGCAACTGATGCACCTCCTTGTTTAAAGGCGAGAGGCCAAGCAAGTTGGTGCACTTGTCGACGTATTCGGCCGAGTCCGGACACGTGTCCTTGAGAAAGCTCATCTCGTGAACGCCGAACTGGACCTCATGGTGGAACTTATCGAAATCCAGCACCGCCTGTTCTACAAGCAGTGGTTCAGCGGCAATCTGGGTGGCCAACTCGTCGTAGCGGCCCAATTCTAGCAACAAACGGAGCAACCGGCTGCGCGCGGGCGCCATGTGCGGGTCATACACAAGACATTGACGGAAATCCAGCACCGCCTGTAGCTCACGTCCGAGTGTGATCTCGATGATTCCCTTTTTGTAGTAAACCCTCGGAATAGCATGTGAAGCGGCGTTCTCCTTGAGTAAGGCACCCAAGAGCGAATCGTACTCCTGGAGGAGCTGTGCGGTGGGGCCGGTGCTGAGGAAGAGACGGTCGGTCTCCTCGAGCCGGGTTAGAAGCGACGAGCTCACTGCTAGCACCAGCCCTAAAATGTATGTAAGAGTGGACAATTTCATTGCATTGGGTGTAACAAGGCTCTATGGGGGTAGCAAAAGAAGGGTTAAGCACGGCTTTGAAGTAGGGCTGAAAAGTCGTGTGCATCTGCGCACGTGACCAATTGTGGTGCAGCACTGAGAGGTCGTGCGTAGAACGCTTCACGTCAATCTGTTACGAGAGGTTGTGGGCGTCACGCCGCACGCAGTCAGATTCTTTGTTGTGGTTTCAATTAGATCAACGGCTGATACGGGGTTAGACATCCTCTCGTTATATGAAGTCATTGACACAAAGTCTAGCATGTCTGAATTTTCCACGTCCTTAGACGATTCGGGCGACAGAATGCGTCTTGTCAACGCCACGTGAGTACGCTTTTACTCTGTCAGCAGTGAAGAACCCAGTTGTCAGGCCATACATCCACCCGCAATCCCAGATTTTACAAGACGCGTACATTGATTCTTGCCCATAGCATCTTCCTTGGTGGTCCTCCCTGGTGTTCTTCCTTGTCACCTTTATTAACCTCCTGGACCCATACTAACGTTTAGACCGATTTTTGTGCGAAAGGATGGCTCGCCAATGGGCTTCCACGTGCCGCAAGATGAGCCGCAGCGGGAAGCGCTTATTAGGGTAATTGAAACCAACGGTGGCATTGCTGTTGCTGCCAGAGATGCAGACATGGTCATCTCCGCCGAATACAACGCCTGGAGCCCGCGCTACTTGCCCGACTTTATCTTCGATTCTGCGGCGCAGGGCGTCGTGCTCCGGCTTGACAGCTTCCGCACCCGGCTTGTGCAGGAAACAGATGCTGATCTCGATCGTGAGTTTATGGATGAGCCGATGGGGGTGCACTCGGGGGCTGCTCCTGAGTGGGCCCAGCCACCTGTGGAGCGTACACACGCGTATTACATGCCACTGCCCGACGCCACAGCCCCAAATCGACCGCAACCATCACAACCCCGTGTATACCAGTCAACCCCCCGACAGATGCCACAGCTATCCAAGCTGCGAGCCGTCGTGCCTAGACGGCCGGAGGCCAACCTCTTCACCCCCGAAGAAGACGAGATAATCCTCGAGGAGGTCCGACGCAATCCATCACTTCGCAACACACATTCTTTTTTCGAGGTTATTTCTCGGAAAATGCCGTCGCATTCCGGGCCCTCCATCCGCCATCGCTACCGCACCCATCTCCAGTCGCAGCTCGAGTACGTTTACAAAATCAATCCACAGACGAACAAGCCGGTAACGGTGGAAAACGGGGCACTAAAGACAACCAACGTGCTTCCGCGCCCTTTGAAGTTGAAATACACCGCCGATGACGACTATGCGTTGGCGGTGGCGTTGCTTCTGAGTCCCACCGGCCCCACCACCTCCCGGGGGTTCTATAAAATGTTTGCAGAGAGACACACCAACCACTCTGCTGACTCCTGGCGCGACCGGTACCGCAAGTTTCTCGCCGTACACGGTGTCGTCGAGTATAAGCAGTACTATGAGACGGAAAAAGCCCAGGGGCGTGTTCCGGAGATGCTCAAAAACATGACCAGCAGAAAGAACCCGGGAGCGCCGAGTATTGATGACCTGGTACGGAAAAGAGCCAGAACTGAAACATCTGTGGCACAGTTCGATGCGCTTCTTGGAGCCTACTGCAACACTCCCGAAGAAGGAACAACCACCGTACAGGTGAGAGAAACAACGTTTGATGAGTCAATTTCCCAGGCGGTACATAACTCGCGTTCGGCAGCACATACCGACACATCCATTCTGGCAGAGATCTATGAGACAGGGGCTGAGACCATTCAGCCTCAAATGCGTTCAGTGAAATCCGCTGCCAAGAGTTCACCAAAAAAATACGCTGATTCGAGTGTACTGGAGGTTATTGCGAGGTTGGCAGCGCGAGGAAAGCCGAAAATTCGGGACAGCGAGACTGAGAAGGCTAAACATCCACGGGCTGACGACAGGAAAGTGAGAAAAAGCCCTGGCTCAGTTAAGTCTTCCCCTCGGGTGAACAGCCCTGCTAAACCGACTCGCACTTGCAAACATATGTTCCTCGGTAACGACGAAAGCCGTGCCCCTCCCGTAGAATCTGTCGCGGCAGCCACGACGGAGACCCATACCACTCCGCTCGGCTCCCGCCTGAAGGTGTTTCCTTCAGGGCCACTCGTTTCGCCAGATTTAGCTAAACTTTTGGGGGAATACACACCGACCCGAGATCCGGCAGTCTCGCCGTCCCCCGTTAGAGCAGGGAGGGCCTCAAAACTGCCACGAGTGAAAACAGAAAAGTTTGCAATGCTGACCCAGACTCCTCGCGTTGATAAAAGACGATCAGTTGTGACTGAGTTGGTTCCCACACCGATCTCTACCCTGGATCAGCAGCCACTGATAGATACGTTGTCATCCAGAAACCCTAGTTCTTTTCCTGTTCGGACAAACGTCCCAGAAACCATTCCGCGGCCAGTTGCCCTAAAAACTATGTTGCGCTTTGCTTCTAGTGACGAGTCAAGCGACGAGTCGGCTCCTGGCAAACCTGTTGCTGACATGACCGCGAGTGTGTCTCTGGCCCGAAAAATGCCGCAGTCTGAGAGAAAGCCAACCCACTCAGCGACCGAAGTGAGGCCGCCGGAACATATGCTGGAAGCAGGAAAACGTTGGTTGGGGTTGAACTCTAATGATATTTTCCGTATTTCGGATCGCAAAGAGAACACCATCGGCCTTGATAGTGAATCTCCATCTGCTACCCCTACTCGGGTTCACTCCAAACAGCAGCAGCCAGTTATAGCGGATAGCGATGATGGGCCAGTGAGTAAAGGCACAAGCCCGGAGGAACCGGCTGAGTCAAACACCCGTGAAGCACCTGTAGCTCCACCGACTCCTCAACGTTACACCAAGGAGTTCCAGCAGCTTCTCGAGTGGTCCGCGTTCGCCCGTATTAAGGAGTCATCTTTTTCCCCGCGCTTCCACGCTATCGGGATTCAGGAGGCACTCAGCCGTCTAAAAGGGTTGGCTAAGCGCTACCCCCACGGTGTCAGTTTTGATGTTCTCTTGCTGGACCTTGAAAACCACGTGGGGCTCGTGAATCCATTAGTGGGTAGCATGCTCTTCTTTTGCACGGGAGACTTGTTCCTCGTTCCGCAGTACTTTGAGGCGGCTATGGCACATGGAAAAAACTCTCAAGTACAGACAATCCCCGGGGTCTGGTGTACTAAGTACGACCTGATGTTGCGCTCCAAGGATGAAGAGGCTGACCGCTTCTTATGCGAGTTCCATGGCGAGGAGAATGTAATTGCAAGGCGCGAGTTTTTGCTTAATTTTCCAGACGACAGAGAGACCGGTACTGAAGGGTTAGGCGCGTTTTGGAAATAAGTCATTGGAAGGGCTAGTGAATTTTACATAACTCTCCGAAGAGGGAAAAGAATGTTCAGAGGGTTGCTTGTAGGTGAATCGTTTGACAATGACTTTTATTTATGGCATAGGATGGTATTTTGATACTAGGTCTTTCCAGGTTGTGATCATGCTTAGGGCTAAATCTTTCCAGCTCGTAATCATGCTTAGGGCTAGATCTTTCCGGTTTGCGATCATGTTAAGGCTGTTTTGCGTAGAGAAATTCAAAGACATGGATAAATGGTTATATGAGCTTCTCGTTAAAAAGTATTAAATGGATTAGGACTATTGTCGGCGTTTGTCATACAGTGACGCTGGGAGGAATCTCGGCCAACCTTCACCAATAGACGAGGTGCTACGATAGTCAAATTCGGAGGTAATCAAGTAGGTAATTATACCATATAGTATACACAAACAAAATACCCTCCTTTAAGCAATGAGAATGAAGGGCAAAGAACTGGAAGACAAAAAAAAATTATAGCTAGCGGAAACCTTTCAGTAGATCATAGGCTTAATTCACCCACCTTGGGGACGCCTTTCGAACTGACCCGTTGAGAAAAAATCTCTCAGATTCGTCCCCACTGGTGAACGCAGCACTGCCATTTTCGTCGCTGTACTCGTCGTCAGACACATTCTCGATAATGGTTTTGTGGACACCTCTGATATTCACCACACTTTCAATAATCCCACCGGTCTTGTAGGTGTGGGAGGTCAGAAATTCAGTCTGCGGGATGGCCAAGCCTCCTTTCACGATCGGCACCTCGGTCTGGTTGTGGTCAAAATCAGTCAAATCAGTGGAGTCCCGGTTTTCGGAAGTGGAAAATGTCTGTTTCACCGGCGCTTCATCGTGTCTGCGAGCCAACTGTTCGGCCACAGCGCCGTCTTCAGTGACATGAACCGCGCCATATCCCTCCCCGCCTGTAGACTGCTGTGGCGGTGGGAGAACCTGGAATACTTCATCGGCATGGGATGGACTTTTGATATGCACAAACGCCTTCTTGGAGCTCTCGATCGGATTGGCAGCAGGGTTGATCGGCCTGAACAGGGTGTTGAGCAACGAATTACCATGGCCATCATCAGAAACGAACTTTGGCTGGGGGGCAGAAAGCAACGGGTGGTTAGGTAAGGAGGTGGAGTGGGTCTTTGAACTACAGTTGCCTTCGACAGAGCTGCGTCTGGAGGTGGTGTATAAGTGGTGGAGGTAATGGGTCATGCTGCGCTTGGCCAAGGGACCCGGCTGGGTTCTCTTGATGGCGTTGTTGATGTCTATATAGACATCTGATTCGTCAATAATCTCCTCACCGATCAACTCCTCAATCACATCCTCCAAGGTTAAAATCCCCATGGCGCTCTCAGAGTCGCCGGGGTTGGCGGAAATCACAATCATGTGCGACTTGCCCTCCTGGAAGTAGTTGAGGATGTTCAAACACGACGTCTCGGGAGAGGTTTCGGGTAAGGTGGCCAAGGGGAAAGAGGAGACTGGCAACTCATCGTCTGGATCATACGAAATCAATACTCTCACTAAAAGCATCCCGATAAAGTTCTTTGGCTGGCCCGGGACATAGATCGGGATACGCGAGAACCCCTTGTGCAAAATGTCCTCGACGATCTTGGTGTCCAAAATAGTGTCTGCAGGCATGGTAAACACACTTTCCATGGGGGTCATGATGGTCCCCACGGGTTTTTCCTTCAAGTCAAGCACGGCGCTGATGATGGTAACCTCGTCCAGGTTCAATCTCTCGACACCCATGGTGCGGTGCAACGTGACAAGGGTTTTTAACCCAGACTTCTTGTACACGGTACCGTGGTCTTCGCCCAAAACATAGTCCAACAACATGGCAATGGGGTAGGCGACGGGATACATCACGTACATCAATCCCAAAACAAACGGCGCGCACATGGAGCCGACCTGGAGCCCGTAGCGGACACACACCGACTGCGGAATCACCTCGCCGAAGATGACAATGGACACGGTGGAGGCCACAACGGCGGGCCACCCACCTCCTAACACGCTGTCCAACACAATTGGAAGCGACTCGTTGGTGATGACATTCGATAATAGAAGTGTAACAAGCACCCAGTGCTTGCCCCTGCCAATCAAGTCCAAGACCCGTTTGGCGTGTCTACGCTCGGAATCTTCGCCAGAAGAGGCCATGACCTTCAAATAGACCTCGTCCTGGCCCATGAGCCCCAAAGTCAACCCGGCAAAGATTCCGCCGAGAATTACAAGCAACGCTGAGAAAAGCAAGTTGGTAATGTACTGGCTTTCAGACAACTCCTCTCGGAGGTGGTACTGGCTGTCTGGCTGGGTGTACACAGACGATACCAACGCCACGGGAATCCCCTTCACGAGCTTGGGTAAAGTGGAGACAAGAACGGATAAACGGCTCACATTGGAGCCCAGGAAGGCGGTGCGGGGGGTATTAACATTACGTATCGAGGGTTTTAGCATTTATACTGGCGCGTTAGTATACGAGGATAAGAACAGGGTTATTTGGATACACATACTTTGAAAAAATCAGGTTTTATTGTGTAGCAGTTTTAGCCGTAAAAACGATAAAAACTGAGCGTGGAATAAAAAGAATAGGAATTGTGGGAAAAGGGATGGTGTGTTCGTTTTTGTTCTGGCGTATTCCATCCCTGAACGTGTCTGGTTTGTTTTTCGCCTACTTGCAATATTGCGCCTGTATATCGGTATGTCCACGCCCTTTGACTAACCAGCCTTACCGCTCATAAAAATTGTCATGCGGGCACTAAATCCGCTAGTTGGTTTATTTAGGGGGAATCTGTAAGGTTTTTGACGCACTAAAGACATACACCGACGATACTGGAGCCGACATTGTATGCATACACAACGAAGCCCGTGCTGAATCGTCGGTTTATGAGACAAAACGGGTTGCTACACGTGTCTGATGTTCGAGAGTATTATAATGATTTCTTTCACTATAGCGTATGCTCACACAAAGTGTGGAGAATGATGTACTTGCTTCACTAGTGCGTCGTATACTTATACTAAGTGTTGTCGAAATGGCTATAGTTGTTTCACTAGTGTAGGATACATACCCTAAGTGGCATGAAATCAAGGAAATTACTTGGCAGGGTTGCGTAAAGCGGCTTGTTGCTTTGTATAGTTTTTTTTTTGTTTTCATTCTAACTAGAAGATTTACCGTTACTTTGGGGCTTTCAGTGGACAACGTGACCGGTTATTGGATATTGATTGACATTTCTGGACCGCACCCAACCCAGTCCGGCGAATCGCCGTTCTGGGAAAGTCAGTCAGACTGGTGAATCACTCACATAAACTTTCATGTGCTCCCATAGCCCACGTGGGTAATGAAAAGCCATTGTGCTGGAAACGCTGCAGGATACGGATATTTACAGAGTAAAATCCTCTATGGTTTAGAGTTCACTCCGGTATTTGCTGTTTGTAAGCTGAGTTAGGTCTCTATGGGTTTAAGTTGATGTGCATTCAGATCTGGTACTTAAGTTTCGCAGCGTCTCAGTTGTTTCTTATGTACACCTGACAGATCGTGCTGCAGCAGTACTCAGACTTGAAGACTTGATTAGTTTGTAAAACGGTGCCGTTACGTTCGAAGTATTGCATGGTGAGGCCTGGGGTCTAACGGAGTAAGGATAATTCGCTGATAGTCATATTACGTCTAGCACTACCTATATACAGTAGATTACATAAACGAACCGTCGGAATCTGGCTCTGTATCCCCGTCTCCAGACCTCAAGTAATCTGAGTCATCGGATTCCATAAACGAACCGTCAGAATCTGGCTCTGCACCCCCGTCGATTTCCAAGTTTGGGTACTTTGCTTTTATCGTTTCAATCCAGGCGGAATAATTCTCCACCTGGTTTCCATGCATGTGTAAATTGGTTAACCCGTCTGGTATTTCCAAGTTGCTAATACCCTCTTCGGTTAGGCTGTTCTCGCATAACTCCAAAGTTTTTAGATTGGAAGGAAGTTTTACCAATCCAGAGATGTCCGATAACCCCTTCAAGGGCCCTATTCTCGGTGAGGATATTCTCAGCGGACTCGTAGTGTCGTCAGGGCTCCTCGCCAGTGTCTCACACTCCTGGCCCAGGATGCTGAACAACCTGAGAGAGTCCGGAAGCTGTAAGTTACGGATAGCAGCGATTGCGTTGCTCTCCACGTCGAAGCGCTTTAACCTTGGGGGCAATTTAATTCCATCAATAGATGTAATTTTATTCACTTCGAGTTCCAAGTTGAGTAGGCTGGCGGGGAATTCCACATTGGCCACACTGGTAATCTTATTTTTACAAAGACGTAAAATCTCCAAATTTGGAGGAAACGTGGCGCCTTCCAACGACGTTATCTGGTTTCCGGTGGCCTTCAATACCTTCAAACTCAGAGGAAACCGGAACCCTGATAAGGTATTTATCAACGAACCACGTATCGCAAGGGTCTCAAGACATTCAGGGAGCGGAGAGATGTCTCCAAGGGTATTAATGTCCAGTCGATTCAAAAGGAGGGAGCGAATTTTCAAACACGGATCGTCAGCGTTGGAAAAATCGAGTTTCTTTAACAACGGGTTGTGTGAAATTTCAAAGTTGGAGCAGTTAACGGGAAGGTGAAAGTTTACCAACTTGGTCAACCCAGAGTTGAACAAGTTTAGTGTTTCAATAGAGTCGGGAAGGATTTTCGAGAACTCTTCAAGGCTATTATATGCCAACATTAACTGGGTCAATCTAGGTGGAATGGTAAGCGCTTCGATCGAGATAATTTTGTTGGAGGAGAGGTTGAGAAACTTGAGACGAGGGGGAAGCTGTAGCCCTTCCACCGAGCCCATGTGCATTCCCGTAAGGGCCAACTCCATCAAGCAGGGAGGGAACACGAGGCTGCTAGGGCGGTAGGAAGAGAAAAACTTCCAGTTATACTCAAGTTGCAAGGTTTCGAGACCTCCGGGGAACACAATCGCATAGGCACCAACGGGGTCTATGCCATCGGCTTCGTTTAGGTCACCAAGGGCATTGTGATTAAGAACAAGACGTGTCAACGAAGATGGTAGTGCGTTCACAAAAGCAATGGACGTGAGCAGCGAATGCACAATTTCCAATATCCTCAATTTTGGAGGGAATTTCATCGCTCGAACTTCGGACGACAGAAGCTTTGTGTTGTGAAACCTAATCGAGGTGAGGGTGTCAGGAAGGGTTCCGGCACGGAATTCCCTCAACGGGCATTGCACCACATATAGGGCCTTCAAGTTTGGTGGCATTTCTCCCTGCCGGAAGCGGTTAATGCTGCAGTGACAGAGCTCAAGCTCCTCCAACAGCAACGGCATCTCAAACAGCTCATCAATCTGCCCCACAGTCTTAATCGTTTGCAAGCGCAAAAATTTCAAGTTCGCCAAGTTTAACTCGTTAAACCGCTGGACGGAAAAATCCTTGACCGTGATCAAGGTCAATACTTCCAACGATGAAGGTATTTCTCCGTACAGGGACATTGGCATCCAGGGAATGCAGAGGTGCAATTCGCAAAGTCTCGGTGGAAGCTCAAAGATTGGCGCATTAGTCTTAATGGCAACGGCATGGTCGCGTTGTGTTATTTTGAGCTTACGAAGTTTCGAGGGTAACGGCGGAATGTTTGGGTTAATACGGTGGTCCAAGATGGTGATAGCACGGATACACTCCCACACCTGAGGATCCGCAGGAAGCCAGTTCCAGTCAAACGCCTCCATTTCGGAATACGACTGCAAGTCAATAATCACGTCCGAGAGCACGGCTGACACTTTGGCAAATGTCTCTCCGCGAAGGAAACTAAAGTTCTTGATCCCATTTAGAACCGAAACGTAGAGCTTCTTGATATGTAACTGGCTGAGATCATTTCTCTTGGTGAGAGCTTCAAACTCGGGAACCGAAATCTGGATCGCGGAGAGGTCGATGGGCTTCTGGATACCCTGCATTTTTGGTTCGCAGAACCTCAATTCGATGCACTCGTAGTACGATCTGCAAGCCATGACAGCAATCCGCTCGTTCTCTGATCTCATTAGCACTTCAAGGGTGAGTTTAGGAAGGTAAGCCACGATTTTGGAGACAATCTCGGAGGGAAGGTCATCCCACAACAGGAGAACGAATCTGGGCATAAGCAAGGAGGGATGATATTCTAGCAAAAATCTTGGTGAAGATTGATTACAGTAAACTGCACCGGTAAAGAGTGGTAAAGGCTTTGAGAGAATATATATATATATATATATATACTTAATGTGTTATCTAGTTACCGCTTTTGGGCTCCTTGACGAACTCAGTAGTTTAGAGTCCCAATCGTACCATTTGAACGCATACTCATGCAGGCTCCGATTGTGGGATCATGTCTAATGCGTATTACCATGGTAGTGTGCTTATGGGGCTGCACGATCCTGTGAGTCATTACCTCTCCTCGTGACTTAAAACCTCCTCTCCTGATCCTTTCCTGTGCGGAGCCGCTCCCCTCGGGTATAGGGAACAGTAGATCAGCGGTAGTGGCCGCACCGCAAAAAAATTTGACGATTAGATAAAAGTTTATTAACAAGGTAAATATAGCCGCCATCAACACGCAACCCCACGCGCAATGAGAGACTTGGTTGTTTTATCGGGATCCTCCCACCCAAAACTTACGGAAAGAATCTGTAGAAATTTATCCATCGAACAGGGCGAAGTGGATTTGGCCAAATTCAGGTATGTGAGGTGTGCAACGTCTCTATGACCCCATTCTAACGCTTTAGCAACGGTGAAACCTCTGCCACAATCAAAAAGTCGGTTCGCGAGAAGGATGTCTTTATTGTGCAGTCCGGCTGCGGCCACGTCAATGATAACTTCATTGAGCTTTTAATCATGATCTCTGCGTGCAAGACCTCTTCCGCCAGAAGAGTCACCGCAGTCTTGCCGTTGTTCCCATACTCCCGCCAGCCAGACATACCGTACACCAGGACTGGCGCACCACACCTTCCATCTATGGGTCCTAACCAGATCTCATTTGACACCGCGCCAACTACCCCGGGCTCCACCTCTAGAGAGTCGTCCAGACCTCCATCCGACCCAAAGACGGATGCTGCCGCCCCGATCCACAGAGCCATCGGCCAGTTACGAAAGGAAGACATGCCTTCGGCCCCACCGTCGCCAACCCGCTCCAGATCGTCCACCCGCATCCCGGTAATTCCAATGTACCAGCCAACCTCCCTTGCCACCAACCTGTCTTCGCTCCTCGGCTCCTTCACGCCCTTGAACGCGGCTGGTAAGCAGGGCTACAAGCAGTGGATCGCCCAGTCTGGCACCTTGATCGCGAACTTATTAACTACCGCCGGTGCCGACCACATTATCACCATGGACTTGCACGACCCGCAGTTCCAGGGTTTCTTCGACATTCCCGTGGATAACTTGTACACCAGGCCGTTGATGGCCCAGTACATTAAGGAGTACATCCCAGACTACCTTGATGCGGTGGTTGTCTCGCCAGATGCCGGTGGGGCCAAGCGTGCGATCACTGTTGCGGACAAATTGGGCTGTTCCTTTGCCTTGATCCACAAGGAGAGAAGACAGAAGATGACCGCCTCCTCGGACCCTAACCATACGTCTGGTCCATCCAGTGATGCCTCCGTTGTATCCTCTCCGCACCCCAACGTGGTGCTCACCGCAAAGCAGACGATGGTGGCCACTACGATGATGGTCGGTGACGTCAAGGGCAAGGTGTGTGTGCTCATTGACGATTTAGTGGACACCTCTAGCACGATTGTCAGAGCCGCCAAATTGTTGAAGGACCAGGGTGCCAAATACGTGTACGCGTTGGTCACCCACGGTGTGTTTTCCGGCGACGCCATCGACAGAATCAACAGTAGCTGCATCGATAAGTTGGTCGTAACCAATTCTGCTCCACAGGAGGAGAACGTTGAGTTATTAGGAGGCAAGGTGGAGGTTTTGGATGTGTCCAGGGTCTTGGGCGAGGCCATCAGAAGAATCCACAACGGTGAATCCGTCTCGATGTTGTTTGACCAGGGGTGGTAGACGCATATCTAGACTGTATATTTATTCCTATAAGTGTCTATAAAGCAGCTGTTAAACCAGACGAATGGGGGGAGGGTATAATAACCCAGTTCCATACCAGATGGTCATAGCTAGCAGTGCATACCGTTCAGAGTCTAGATCCAACAAAGCTGCAAGCATCAGTATGGAAATGGTCTGAGCGTGTGCCCAGGGAAGTAGCACCGATGGGTAGCTTTCTCACAAAAGTAGAGATTTTAATCATGATTACAATCTCATTGTACCCTTCCAGTAGTCCTTAAGTCAGATGGACTTTTAAAACTTTCCCTTGTCACCCCAACAAATTTATTAGCCCTCCCTAATTGGTGATATCCTGTATGTATCTAATTGATACATAGGACAAAATACACCGGGTCGGGGAACTCGTCCACCTAAAATGTTACACCAGGAATAAAATAAGAGATTCAGGGTATCAAATCTCTCGATTATCCCATCCATCTCAATGCCCCCTGGTTTCGTAATCTTTGGCCTGGGGAGCCATTGACTATCACACGTAGCTCTCTCCACCGGTTAATAAACCGCTTGAAGAGAGCCTGTCAAAGATAGGGCCTGGTATTACGCACAGGGACACAACATACACGCCTAAAATTTCTTTTCCCGTCGGAAAAAAGAAACGCGCGCCACGCTAACAAATTTATAACACAAACGTCAGTGCATGAACCACGTCTGAGGAAAATTTGAGATCAAATACTTCAACCCACGTTGTCAACCGTCTGTATTGGATCTATTAACCAACCATGTCTGAACCAATTAACAAGAGAAACGACATCTCATCCGCTCCAACCCCCCAGAACACCCCAGCGTCGGTGACCAACTCGTACTTGCGTTCGCAGCCGCCAACCGTCTCCACCATCACCGAGGAGGACGGCAACGATGTTTCCGCACTCATGAACAACCCGGCGTTGATGTCGATGATCCAGGGAAAATTGAGCTCGTTGGTTGGCCAGGACTCCGGCTACGTGGAGCAGTTGCCAAAGGCCGTTAAGAACAGAGTCGGGGGCTTGAAGGCCATCCAGCAGCAGCAGATGCAGTTGGAGGCTGAATTCCAAAAGGAATTGTTGGAGTTGGAAAAGAAGTACTTCAAGAAGTACGAGCCATTATACGTCCGCAGAAAGGAAATTGTCGTCGGAGACGCCGAGCCTACTGCCGAGGAGATCGCCGAGGGCAGAGCGCTCCTCGAAGACGAGGAGGACGACAAGATTGAGGAGGTTAAGGAGGAGGAAGAGGAGGTCAAGGGTGTCCCAGGCTTCTGGTTGACCGCCTTGTTGAACTTGCAGACCGTTGCGGAAACCATCACCGAGAGAGACTCCGACGTGTTGGACTTTGTCACCGATATCAGAATGGAGTACTTGGAGTCCCCGGGCTTCAAGTTGATTTTCGAATTTAACGCCGAAAAGAACCCATTCTTCACCAACAAGACCTTGTCCAAGTCCTATTACTACCAGGCCGAGTTGGGCTACTCTGGCGACTTTGTCTATGACCATGCCGAGGGTGACGTCATCAACTGGACCTCCTCCGACAAGAATGTGACCTTGATCATCGAGAGAAGAAAGCAGCGTAATAAGCACACCAAGCAGACCAGAACCATCGAGAAGTTGACCCCTACCGAGTCCTTCTTCAACTTTTTCGACCCGCCAAAGCCGCCAACCGAGAAGGGTGACGATGAGGAAGACTTTGACGAGGACGACGAGGACTTGGAGGCCAGATTGGAGTTGGACTACCAGTTGGGTGAAGAAATCAAGGACAGATTGATTCCAAGAGCCATCGACTGGTTTACTGGTGAGGCCGTCGACTTCCAGTCCGAAGATGAGTTCGACGAAGAAGACTTCAGCGGCGACGATGACCAGGACGATGATGACGACAGCGATGAGGATGAGGAGAGTGATGATGAGGAAGGCGAAGCTGCCGGCAAGACCAAGCAGCAGCCTCCTGAGTGTAAGCAATCCTAGGATCACCCTTAATTGCATTACACTTTTTGTTCTAGTTTCTTTTTTACATGTCCCGTCGGGTTTGTTGTACCTTTTAATATTATTTTCTATCAGCTTTGTTTGCGTCATTAAAAGAAGTTTCTCGTGTCATGTAGAGGGTCAGGGGTGCATTTTCTGATTACACAATCTTATGGAATGTAGGTTTATCGGTATTTTTTAATGTGATTGGGTGAAAGTGTTTTGATAAGGTGTAAGCCATTTGAACTTTGTGCTTTTCTACGTGTTCCAGCTTTTTTTTTTTCTGCTGGCTGGAAAATTAGCCGTGAATCTAATCTAAATAATAATATCCAAGTTGAACTCTAACATCTACGAGATGCGATTAGTGGCGTCAAATATCGATAAACCCACTAGTCGAGAAGTTTCATAAATTTACTTAACCACCCACACATTGTACCTTCAGTGTATACGTACTGTATCTGGGAGCAATTTGAGGCCCTGTAAACATTACCAGGTTAGAACGCACGGCACTTAAATACCAGGCCCACTCAGATCCCTCCAACTCTTGATGTACATGTGCATATGCATGGGGCTTGGAGGTATCCTGGTTATGGCAATGGTTCCCTAAAAGATATGCGCGCCTTGTAAATGCATCGTTAGCTCCGGACCCCTTCCAAATCGCACCCATCCGGATCTGAAGTGAATTCTTCACTCGTATATGATGTACGGATTGGCTGCACTCACTTCCTGTTAGCAGTATTTGAGTCGAATCCATATCTAGGCTATATCATTACGGCACTTTGGCGGATTTCTATCCAACAAAAAACCCTGGTGCACCCCGAAAGCTTATAAAAAGTTAATGGCATTGGACATTAATTATATCGAAGAAAATAATAATTTTCCTCTAATGGCCTATCGACCTCGGTCCAAGAATGTATACGTGAGGTTTGAGCATGACATCCAGCCAGCATATTAGGGAGTTTACAAATCGCAAATCCAGAGCCCTCTGAAAGGCTGCAAAGGCCAAGACATGTAAACGAAACGTGCTGTTTCTCCATCGCCACCTCTGCCACGATCTCTGTTTTTGTCACATGAGCTTGTATACATTCTCCTGTGTATGAAGGATTCGCTTCGACGGACTCAATCACATGCACATTTAAGGTGACATTCTCGCTTATGGATACCACAAAGCAAAGTAACGTGGTCAGCTGACGATGAGCGTCAAGAATACGGCGCTATAACCTGTCGCAGTGAGGTAGTTTTAGTATCAGGTGATTCATTTAATGTAATCGCGTGGTAGTTCCCACAGGAAGCATGTGCAATATTCTCCGTGTGCGGTATCCCATGTACGATCACATGGAGATTATCAGCGATAGTATACCTATTATGTTACAGTACATGAAAAGCCCACCTCGCTACGTCAATGTGTATCTCCGAAACTCGCAATGTTTTAACAGATCAGATGCAGTTCTAACTGTAACTCCGAGTCCGTCACCGAAAAACTCTGCGCGTTTCAGCTGCCAGGTATGTAAGGGATCCACCTCACCATAATTGTGGCTGAAACCAAGAGACGAGGCGCACTTCCGCCACAGTGTTATATAGCACCGTGGCGGTGCTGCTTCGTGTAGAACGATCACATGCAAATTTAGGAGCATTACGGATGGATGTCCTGCGCATACATCGGAGAGTGCGGCGCCGGTAGCCCGTACTCCGAGTCCAAAGCTATCCACGAGCCTAGGGCAAGGCTCTACCAGCGCACGCTATCCTCGGATACACGGCGGACGAAATTGTTACTTGTCCTAGCTACTCGGTACGCCTCATAAGATCTACCTTGTAGTCCAGAGATCTGGCTCGAAACGAAAACTGCTGCATGAGGAGGCCCCTGAATCGACCAACACCTCGGAACGCGCTCCACATGCTAAAGTTAACCTGAAAGCCTGTAATCGACAAGCTTTCCAGTCCAGCCAAACACTGTAGAACTTTGGTTGTCAATATAGACATTCCCCTCGCACAACATGTGCCTGCGCGGGGCACTGTGAAGGCAACTCCTCTTTGGGCGTTATGGCAAGACAGTCCAAAACAGGAAGCTCGGAAGCCAAACGACCCATAAGCAAGTCTCGGCCGGAGACCTACATATTCTACTTCTTGGAATCACCAGCCAGTTCTGGTATCCAATTCACCCGCCAAAAAAAATGCGATTTGGCTTTCACTCTACTTGCTGGCATATCTGCTTACTAGCATCTCTGGATGCTGGTTGTTTCTATCCACCTAATAGCGCACGATTCCAGTAGAAACCCCTAGAAATCGGCAATTGCAGATTTATCAACTTTTTGGACGCAAACCTTAAATCCCTATATCCGCGCATACGGTGCACCTGGGCTTGCATGTGCCGCGCCACTATGTAACTTGGCCGCAGCTAGAGCATTGCGTTATGTACCATCTGCAGGCGCTGCAGCTTTTCCCTATCTGATTTGACTTTACCATGCGCCCTTTTGACACAGTTATCAGTAGAAAACTTTATTCCGTGATTACAGATTCGCCTATAAAATGCCACCCCCCTCCCCTTATTGCTCTTTTTCAATTTGCTGTTCGCTTTATTTTGTTTCGCATATTTGCCTCTTTCGGAACATTCTAAACTGTCAAGAAAGTTTCCAAGTTTGACTTTTCCATCCTAACCCGGATTTCTTGCTACTGCTTCCTTTCCTGTTCACCCCCCCTCACCCAGACCCTTTGATAAGAATGTCTTCCGCCACACAAACCCCTGCCAATGGCCCTACCTATGCTGCCGTTGCTGCCAGTGCCGACTCCACCACCACCGCCAGCATTACGAAGTTGACCGATGCCTCCCCTACTTTGAGCCACCTCAAACAATACCCTCTTATCTCGCAATCAGTTTCTTACGTTTCCGGGATCACCATTGTCCAGTCATTGCAAAAGTTCATTGAAGGGAGCGTCCTTGTGTACGCTGCTGCTCTTTTGGGAAACTTCCAGTTCTTGAAGAGCATTCTCCTCAGCGCTGACAGATTCATCAACGACACGTTCTTGGTCAACTTAGACAAGTTCGCTCCGGGCTTGACCTCTTTGACTTGGAAAGACTTATACCCCTCCGTTATCTTCAGCTACGTCTACTTACAGGTCTCCGCCTTTGTGTCCCAGCACACTGGCTCCATCACTAACAAGTTGAATGACAACAGAGAGGCTATTTCTGCTAAGGTTGACCCGATCATCTCTCCTGTTAACAGGACCCTTTCTGGATACCTTGACAAGTACTTGCCAGGTGACGGAGCCACTGATGCTAGCACCTCTGAAGGTAAGGACGAGTTGGCCAAGTTCTCCGAGTTGGCCACTACTGCGTACACCAGAGCTGTGCCAATTGCTACCAAGACTGCTCAGGACTTACAGGCCGTTCCTGCTAACGTTCAAGCCCATGTTTCCAAGATCTACAAGAACCAGTTGCAGAATGACCCAAACACCTCCAGAGCTTTTGCAAAGACTTCTATTGAGTTGACTAACGAAATCTCCAGCCACATCCGTCCAGTGTTTGACCCATTGGTGACCAGGGTCGAATCCATTGCCAAGTCTACCCAGTCCAAGGTCAATGACGTTGTTGAAAACACCAAAAGTAACGTCGACAGTATTGTGTCTCAGGTCAGAAGTGGTGTGGATCGTGGTAACAATGCCAACGTCTCCTCGCCTGTTGCCATTGGTGCTGCTTAAGCGGTTGTCTCCTTTTAGTGATCTTTTTTTTTTCCTTTAGTACTGGTTTTACAAACTCTATCCTTAATATAGCTTATATAATATCCTCATTCCTCAACGCTTGATGTACGATGTATAAGATCTTGTTGTATAATGGATGCGTGCTGGCCTTTTGCCTCGAAGGCACATGTAAAGCGAGTGTATTATATTAAATATGCGCCCTTGACGCTCTTTCTTAGTGCTGCGAATATCCTTGTGTTCGTGCTGTTCTACGGTGCAGTATAAGACGGCTGAAATACTCGCTTCCGTTTTAGCTTTCGTATTCACATGCACGATCATTGGACCTGGCAATGGGTCTGGTATCCTATCACCAAGCCTCACCTCTTAGACTGGTTGCTCTTAACAAATCGTGAATTGGTAAACCTAAATAATATCAGCCTCTGAACTTTCCGCCGCCTCGGTTCAAAAGCTCGTCCTTCCATCTTCGGAAGTGGCGTCTTTGTTTCTTCCCCGAGCATCGATCCATTTTTATCAATTCTCGGTACGCACATTCATATAGCTGGATTAGTGTATATAAACTCAGACGGTTATATAAGCATCCCTGCTCTATGGCTTGCCCCTATGTGCTGACCTCGAGCCGATTTTGTGCGTGATGGAGGTTGCTAAATCACCTTCAGTCTATTTATAGGAGGCAACGGTATTTATAGACAGCAATGAATTGTAGCTACAGAAAAGATTCCAGACAGCGCAATATAGCTTAGATGGGGATATAAAAAAGAAATATCTCGGAAGGGTGATTCGAACACCCGATCTCAGGATTACATTAACATTACAGTCCCGCGCCTTAGCCAACTTGGCCACCCCGAGTATTAATGGAAAAGATATACAGCTTTTAAAAAATGTTTTTATACACCTTCTCTGCTCCCACGCTTCTCAGGCTATCAATATGTATTAAAGGCCTTTAGGAGGGTCAACCCGCTATAAGTCTCAATAATACAACTCTCGGGTTCCTCCAATTGATTAGGAAAGCTTCTGGACTCATCTGGATCTTAATACGGCTCCACATCCAACGGATTTAGCATTGGCCTTGGTACAGGTACTATTATACAAACCATATTTTGGCTCTTTCCCGTCTAATACAATAGCACCAATTCGTATTATCAAAGCCAAAGGACATGCTATTTGAACCTTGATGAGCTCTCCTGTACAGTTCGTTGCCCCAACCTGGTGCCGGACATTGAAAAACTTCGAGACGTTGATGGGCTTTAAAACCCACACACTTTTCATCTACAGCTCGCTGTTCCCCCGTTGGTGCTCAATCTCCTTGATTATGACGTACCATTGGGAAATGTACCAGCTGTTGGTGGTGTCCAATCCGCTTCAAGGAATGTCCAAAAAGGACACCCTTCACGTCATCGAGCACCTCCGCGCCAACGAATGGGCCAGCAAATTCTCGGACGAGTTCTTCAGCTGCTTGATTCTTGTGTGCCTCAATTCCGAAGAAGCTACAAGCCGAATCTTTGACAGAGATGAACCTGATTTGGGATATATTAGCGTGCAAAACCAGTTGCGTGACTTGATCGACGCCGCCCCCGCGGACGATGCACCTCCCGCGCCCCAAGACTCAAGTGCCGATGGCAAACAGGTGCATGTGAGTGCCTTGAACCAGCTTCTCTCCCTCCACAAAGACTGGGTACTTCCAGTTGCCAAAGGCAGCGGCTTGGCCTCAGCGAACCCCAGCCCGGGGCCTGGCAAGAAAAAGGCTGCTCTTCAAACGTTCCTCCTGACGTCCTCTTTGACGGTCCCTGACTGCTCTGTGCCAATGATGGATAAGGAGCTGTACTGGTTCAAGAACTATGTCGAGGACCATGTGAGCAATAACTTTGCCCACTTCGACGAAATTACGTCCGCTTCGGGAAAGGCCTGTCTCAACACGCAGAACCCACTGCTGGTGTATGACATCAAGGGTAAAGGCACGATTGTGTTTGAAAACAACGATATTCAACTCAACTTCCAGGATGTATATTACTGCCCCAAGGCCCCCAAGAACTACCTTTCATTAGACAAAATCCATAGACTCAGCGTGGAAAAGACCGGCAGAAGTGGGGTGGTTTTTGGCGAGGGGCTCCTCGATGCGACCGGTAAAATCCAGATTGCCATCTCACCATTCATGTTTGACTACAAAATGACAATCCCGGTGAAGGTCAAGGAAAGAAAGTTAAAGAACGACCTCACTCCTCAAGCAGCCCCGCCACTGGTGAATGAGTTCAACTTCTCCGCCAGCCCAAAGCCAGCTCCAATTCTGGCACCCCCTCCCGCTCAGAGCAACTACTTTTGCCCTGACTGTGTCAGAGGAGGCTCCACAATCCACTACAACCCCGTACCGTCAAAAGCCACTGAACCTCTCGAGATCGTGTACGCGAGCTTGTGCGGTCCTTATAGAATCGCGACGTACCCTGCCGAAACGTACTTCCTTGTGTTTGTAGATGCCTACTCCATGTACACAGACATTGTACCTGTGAAAAAGAAGGACGTGCTAAGACAGGTTTCCAATTACATGGCGCGGGCTGAGATCAGACGGAAGGTGGGGAAGTTTGTCACGGAAGAAGGTGCTCTGTGGTGTACTGACCAGCTCCACTCCTTCCTCTATAACGAGGGGATCCACCACGAACTGCCCTCTGCGGGGATTGTGTCTGTAGCTCGTGAGAGGTTTCAACTTGCGTACGAAAAGGCGCATGTCATGCTCCTAAAAGCCAAGATGAACGAGAAGTTTATGTTAGAAGCCATCCAATGCTACACGTACATCCAGAATAAGCTACCCGAGGACACAGAAAAGAGGTGGGATAATAGCTTCCTCGATTTCCAGAAGATGGCCACCTTTGGCTGTGCTGCTGTTGCCACGGATTCGGAAACCGAAGTCACGGGCTCAAGGACGGTGTCCTCTCCCTTGGTAGTCCGTGCCTATCTGGGAATCATGGTGGGGTATAGCGAGTACAGCCAGGATGCGTACTACATTTATTTCTTCAAGACGAACGAAATTAAGCTTTGCACGGATGTCAAGTTCGATAAAATGTCGTTCCCATACGACACAAGTACCTCCGCGGTATCCAAAGAGACCGCTATCAAGCGTGGATAAGTGCGGGTCTAGTGGGAATTATGAATGTTATGAATAAACTAAAACGTAATAAAGACGGTATGGAGGGGCGTACTAATATGTCTAGTGTATCTTCTGCTTGGACAATATGGAGGATCTATGATAAAACCTCTTACGAAGCTATACATGCTTGGTCTATAATTTAATGGGAAATCACCCCCCCATCCAGACCCTAATTCTCTCTTGGTTACGTTACCAGCTTTAATGGGTATATGTATATCCAATATTTCCAATAATTTATCTTACCATTCTTGATATAATGGATGTTTTCGCTCAGGACTACCTGTTTGCACCAGGGCACACCAAGATCCTATACGTGCGTATCGATGTCTTTGTCTGCTTGGGGCACTAAAATTCATAATTTTCTTGCCAAAAAGTGACAGTGCATATTGAAACACCAATCAAGAATTACAGATATCTATATGGTGTATATACACTAATTATTAATATATACTGAGCTATATGCATACTGTGAGCGATTTAAATTTTATGCTCCCTGATTACTACTTGCTATCATAGTTTAAATTTTAGGTTTGCGTATACGTATTGCATGTTAAATTCTAAATTGTAAAATTTGTGCGGATTTATGCACTAGTAAACATAACTAACTGAAATGAGATACAAACCCAATAGTATCAGTTTAAACATCTGGACTAGCCGTATAGACAACTGCTACGTGGAGATATTGATGCCTTGGGTACTAGACCTTTCAGAAATTTAAACCCTGGAAAAGACTTACAAGCCGCATCTACAAACCTCTCAACATTTCTTGTCCTACCCCACCACTCCGACATGCGGCATTCTCTATGTGGAACCCTTGAGACGGGGGGAGTATCTTTCAGCCGAACACCGACCATCGCTAAAAGCGGACGTAAAATCCTATTGTTTCAAACCAGCCGCATTCTAAACCCCCTCACAGTCTCATTTTTTAAAATAGCACGCATTGAATCGATCCATTATTCATATTCCCTTAGATGCTAATTTATAGTCAACTCTACAGAGAATGCTGCTCCCCCGTTACAAAACAGCGCCAGAGTGTATCTTGAAGTGATACCTTCCATGCGTCGAAACACACTATTAGCGTGCATTAGACAGCGTTGGTTGAATTTCTTTTTCCTTCCCCGACCTCCGGCACTGGGAAAGTCTCGGAGAAAGAAAGGCTCGAGGTCATCGTTCAAGTTTCCAGGTATGCTTCCTCGCCGCTGGTATAAATTCAACCCCATTTCTCCCTATCCCTCTGATCCCGGTCGGCTCCTCCATCCATCTCACGTCCCCGCATGTCCTCTGAATTTTCCTTAAGCAACGTTGTTCCGTCCTACCGCCTCGACGGCAAGGTTGCGGTCATTACCGGTGGTTCTGGGGGATTGGCCTCCTTCCTTTCCAGGGGCCTTCTCTCCCAGGGGGCGGAGATTGCTCTTATCGACACGAACCAACAGAGAATCGATGAAGCGGCCATCCAGTTGTCCCAGTGGGGCGTTGATAAGTTGGGGCTTAAGCCAGAGGCCGTGCCAAAGGTCACTGCCTGGGTCTGCAACATTGGTGATGCCGCCAATGTGGAAGAAACCTTCACTGCAATTAACGCTACCCACGGTAAACTCTCTACCGTTATGGTCAACACCGCGGGGTACTGTGAAAACTACCCAGCTGAGAGCTACCCCGCCGCCAACGCTGAAAACTTGATGAAGGTGAACGGTTTGGGCTCTTTGTATGTGTCACAGTCCTTCGCCAGACCTTTGATTGCTGCCAAATTGTCTGGTTCCATCATTTTAATTGGCTCCATGTCCGGCTCTATTGTGAACACCCCACAGTGCCAGACTATGTACAACATGTCCAAGGCTGGGGTCATCCATTTGACCAAGTCTTTGGCCTGTGAATGGGCCCCGTACAACATCAGGGTCAACTGCTTGTCCCCGGGCTACATCTTGACCCCATTGACCAAGCACGTTATCGCCGATTCCTCCACCTTGCAGGACGCCTGGGTGTCCAGAATCCCTCAGAAGAGAATGGCCGCGCCAAAAGAGTTTGTCGGTTCCGTTTTGTACTTGGCTTCCGACTCTGCCTCCTCTTACACCACTGGGCTCAACATGGTTGTGGACGGTGGCTATGAATGTTGGTAATCCCATTCGCACCCAATGTAAAAGTTTGGAAATGCCCATTTCTGTTATCTATTTTAATGATTTCCTAATTGATATTATATTCTCACGTTTATAATGCATTTTCGTATGCACTCTTTATATACTCCTGGGGTTTACCGTACTGGTCTGGGCTGAGTTTCAATGCAATGGCATAGATAACGACTTGCTTTGGAATAGTGGAAGGCATGACAAAACGGTGGTGTCTTGGACTAGGATTCATTGGATAGGGCGGTACATGCCAGTTCTCTCAAGCTTTAAAAATACTCTAAATGTTTGCAACACGGTCGACCCGGGTATGGAGGCAATGTAGGAGGCGTAAATGCCTTTCCACGGAACGGGAGATTCCACACCGCTATAGGCTACATGGTGAAGAAATATAGTGAAGCATCATGCTCATAAAGCATTTACACCATCTTTTTATTCCATCCTCTACAGCCCCTCTGTATGCCATGTTGCGGCTAAAACGTCGGCACATTCTTCAACCACACCACCAAGTCCGCTTGAAACTCAATCATCTTTTGGGAAATCTTATTCTCTTCGATCAATGTCTCCACCAACGCCGCCAACCCGAGCTTTGGAGACTTGGACTTGTCGGCGATAAAAGCGTCCTTCCGCGCGCGCAACGTGGTGTCGGAGTCTGCAATATAGAACACAATCGCCGTAAGCGCTTTCACGGTGTCCGGGGCTGTCACTGTCCATTCGTCGTAGTGCGAGACAAACCAGTCCCAAACTCTGTGCCAGGCTTTGGAGCCGCCCGACTGGAGCCCCACAAGCGCGAGCTCGATGAGAGTGGCATCGATGTGTGCCGCGACAAAGTCGAGCGTCGCGGTAACAAGCTCGTCGCGCGCAGCGTATCCCATGCACGAAAGCACGGCTGTTTGCACCTCGTGCACGGACGCGTTGGTGTGCGGTGCGACATCTACCGCAGACTTAATCATCGCAACGATATGGTTGTATTCCGTCGTGGAAGCGGTGTGGCATGTCACGCCAATGGTTGCAGCCAATAACTGGCGCGGAACGGATCTGTCGGGTCCGTGGACAAGGTTTTTGTAGAGACCTTGGGCTACCGCCTGGTACTTTTCGCTCTTCATGCCCATAAGCATCAACGCACTGCGCGCCTCTAACTCGTCCGTGTACACCTCCCTGGAGTCTGATAAGTCGTAAGCCGTGTTCCAGTTGATTTTCGCGTGCATTTTATCGGTAAAGTCGGCTACCCACCGGTTAAACGCGGCCAAAACCTCGCTCCCCCCAAACTGGCGCAACGACTTGTGGAGCTCTTGCACAGAACTCAAGGCAATGTTCAAGGCGGACCAGCAGAGCACGTGGTCTGGTGCGGCCATCGCATTTACCACGCTCATGAACATCCACAAATCGTCTGCGGTCTGGAAGCGCCAGCCAATATAGGTGGAGCAATCACTGGCGAGCGCGATTAAGTCTGCGATGCTGAGCATGCCGCACGCGATAGCCTGTGTGACGGGGCCACAGAGTGCGCGCGTGTATCGCACACGGTAGTAGCCCGTGCGGTTCGTGTTGAACGTCGCGATGTCCTCCGCACGCACGTCCAACACCGTCTTGCGGTCGCTGAGCGCCCAGTTCACCACACTACCGTCGTGCAAGCGTACGTTCAACGGAAGATAGTATGGCACGTCCTCCAAGTCCAACTCCTCCGCGGAATAGTCCCCGAGGAAGCGGTGCTGCTCCGCAACCACCTTGTCCTCCTGCACCGCCACGTGCACCACGGGGAGCCCCGGGACGCGTGTCGCGGTGTGCATCAACGCGAGGACATCGTCGCCGCACATTGGGTGCAATGCGGTCCACAAGTCTGTCAGTTTGACAGACTTGAAGCGGTTGGCCGCCAAAAACTTGGAAACACCGCGCATCATCACCGAGCAGTCGTCGGAAACGCCACGCTGCATCAAGTTGGCGAGCATGCGTAACGCGTAGATGCCGCGCTGGTACGCGTGTGGGTCCAATGCGTCGTGTGTGGTATGGACGCTGTGCACACAGCGACTCTGGTGGATGGAGCGCGCGTCCGGGCGCGCGTCGTGGTCCATCAAAGCTTCCATTTCGTGCATGCGCAGCAGCCAGTTGTACGTGTCGTCCGTACCCAAGACCTGTGTGCCGAGCCACGTTGCGAACGCCTCGTTCAACCACAAGTCTCCCCACGAGTCGAACGATACCATATTGCCCATCCACTGGTGCACGAGCTCGTGCGCCACAATGTCGCGAATGGCCTTGTGCGTGGCGTCATGTGTGAGAAGATGTTGCGCCTGCACCGTCACGCAGCCCCAGTTTTCCATCGCGCCGTCCGACAAGAACGGCAACGCTACAAAGTCGAGCTTGTCAAGAGGATACGGCTGTTGGAACATCTCTACGAGCTTTGGCAATACGGCTGCCGCCACGGACAACGCGTACGTTGCAGCCGCCAGTTCTCCCACAAGTGTATACACACGCACCGGAAGGGTGGAGGGACGTGCGTCCACCGAAGTGAAAAGTTTCGGAAGTATGGACTCAGGAGGTGTATCTTTAGTCGTTTGGGGAGTCGCGGGCATTTCCACGAGCGTCTCCACATACTCCAAGTCACCCGCGACAAGGCCAAACACGGTGGTCGCTATTGGTGGGGTCCGCTTAAATGACACGGTCTTGGTGAGGCCGTCTGCCGCGACTACCGTGTCGCGTACTCCGGTATTGGAAATGACCTGGAAACGTGCATCGGTTGTCACGGTTAAAGTGATTGGTTGCTTGTAGTTGACCTCGTCGATGCACGGGAATATGGTGCGGGCGAACACGGGCTGCGTGTGCGTCGCAATGATCGCGTTGGACGCGCGCCCGGTCTTGGAGTCCAAGTAGTTGGTTTTGAACACACCATGGGTGGGATCCTGGTAGGTACCGATCTGATTGGTCTTGCCAATGTAGTCAAGGGTCATGTTGAATGCGGGGAGCGCGCTGAACACGCTAGGGAGCGTCAACGTTGCGATCTGCGCCGCCTTGTCATAGGTGACCTGCGCGCGGTCCGTGAGTCCGTCACACGCGGCGACTGCACTGGTAATCACCAAGTTGTGCGCGTGCAACTGGAGCACCACGGGCTCGGGCTCGTCGTACACGTAGAGGCTGTTGCGCGCGAAGTGTGCCACGAGCTTCCCTGTGAAATTGGGCTTGGTCGCGACGAGCGTGAGGTGGAGGTTGTATGCCTCCGGGAGAAAATGGTTGACTAGCGCTAAGGGAACCTCCTGGGACATGGGAAGGATTATATGGTCACCTGGGTGGTCAAATAAAACCTGCCATGAAGATGGAGATATTTTAATGGTCAAAGATTTCCGTGCGGCTGAACAGAGATTTCCGCATTTGGTTTTTCAAGTTGGAGAAGTGGAACCAGGCTGAGCTATGCCATAAAATCAATCAAAACTAGGATATTGTTGGCATTTCAAAAAGGTAAAATTGATACAGGTTAATATTTTATGGATTTAGATCCTAACCACTTGGCCAATATTTTGGGCTTTGTCGTTTGGAGTGCCAAAGTCGTAGCTGCTGTCACGTGGAATCTGGATTAATATTGGGAGTAAGGGGACTCTTCTATAATTGGGTATTTGAATAATAGATATAAAATATCTATCGATTCCTCGAATTTTAAACATATAACTCGGACCAATTTTCGACAATAGCTTTGTTTATAGGTTGCACCGGATGTTATAGTCCAACGGACCCGGAAACCATTTCGGATTAGTAGAGCCATCGATGGAAAATTAGAGTGTCAGTATAATTGGTTATGACCCCACTCTGGCTAGTTCTTCCAATATATCTCTTAGAAAACACCTAGTTATTGCTCTACCTATACAGAACAACTCTAACCCTTTCTCTGGTCGCCCATATCCGCAAATGTCCCGTTATAAGTCAGCTTTGAACCCCATATCACTTGTCTTACTATCTCCTTCTAAAAGTACCCATCTTTTCGGTGAAACCGCATCACATCCTCTTCCTCCGTGAACGTATCACCCGAATGGATATCTACCAATCCCCGGAATGGCGTGGTGTCCATGTCACTGATGCGCCTGTAGTAATCGTAGATCTCCTTGTCAGCTTCGCTCACGGTGGGGACCGCGAAGCAATTATCAAACACGCTGGACTCCACCAGCGATGGTATAGTATCGTCAGTGTAGATGGGAATAGACTTTTGGCCGAGATTAAGAAAGTCGCGATACACAGCCGCGTCTTTAGCGGCTACAGACAAAGAGCTGAGATCGGTGTAGCGCCGCTCGTACTCTCCCAAGCTCAACTGGTCCGCCAACGTGTTTGGGTTCGCCTGCACATCCAAGGTCTTTTCGGACGAGGGCGTTTGGGCCTGCTCGTTGGCACCGCTGGAGAAGTATCTCTCCATGCGTCCCCGCAAGAAGTGGGTGATTTTGGCCTGCGACAGAGAAATCTGGGGGTGGCTAGCGGGACGGGGCTCTTTCTCGGGAATCACGCTCTGCGGGCGAGATGGCACCGTGGCCGCCGGATCCTCTTTCTCGCTAATGCTGGGGTTGGACACTTTCTTGGTCCCGAGCGTGTTCTTGGTGGCGGTCGCAAGAATAGAGTAGAGCGAGCTGCCCCGCTGGTGACCTCTCACCGGCAGGACCGTTACCGGGGACTTCACACTTGGGACAGGAGTGGCCCCTTCGGAGATCACATACAACTGGCCGGAAACGCCTCGCTTTTGGGGTCGATCGTATAGTCTATCACCGGAGGGGTCATTCATCGGGTGGGGGTTGTTCCGGGAGCGGAGCTCCTTCGTTGTACGATATCCACTCGTCGATCCATTCAGTCCACTTACCAGCTCGTTCTGCAACTCCGGCTTTCGCGTCTCAAACGGCGAAAAGTCAAACTCGAACGACTCGGTCATCTGCGTGGGAAAGTACCGCGCGGTAGAGTTCATGTTGAACTGATACACATCCTCCATGGATGTGAAGTTACGGGGCACATAGGTCTCATTCCACCAGGTGTTGATGTAGCCTGGGTACGGCTCGAGCATTGGAACCAGGAGCCGCGCGGAGTCTGCGTCGGTATCACTGCGCGTCTTAATGCAGTGTTTTCCGGAGTTGCAGAGGGCGAATACGGTGCCTGCTTCCTCTAAATACCGCTCGTTGTACCAGTGGATGTAGGAGTTGCGCGTGCGGAAGTTTTTGCTCATCCAAACGCTGTCGTTGTGCAACCAGAAGTCGTTAGCCAACTCCCATAACTTGGTCTTGCCCACCTCATACACATAGTTTCCCAAAAACAAGTTGATGGCCTCCTGGCGGAGTGAGTCCATAAAACTGTTGCTGTAGATGCGCTTGATCGAGTTGATGTAGTCGCGCGTATGCGACGACCACTGGTTGATTTTACGGTACGAATCCATGGTGTTGACCAAGTGTGACCCCCCATACTGGAGCGCTATCGTGTCACCGTGATCGTGGAACATTTCCGTGAGAATGTTGACCACATCGCTGTCGTATGGCAACTTTGGCGCGGCGATGAACCCGAGTGTGTACAACTGGTAGCTGAGCGCGTTCTTCCCGATGATGAACTCCGCAGCGTTCGTGCGGTCGAGACAGTCAATGCAGTTGGTACGGTTGATCCCCTTCTGGAGACTGGTCCGCTCCAAAGAAATTCCGTTGTGGAAGAACCCCGTGGTCCTTATACTCTTTTCCGCGATGGCTTCCAACGGCGTGATCACGTCTCCACCCTTTTTGGACACCCGCGACATGTCCAACGACGTGTGTTTGAGCTTTGCGGTCAGCGGAAGGAACTGGTTGAGGTACCCAATGCATTTGACAAACTCGCCAAAGAGCTTGCTCTCGCGCGGCATCTTCTCCTTCGTCTTGATCAAGTTGAGAATCAACACCGGCGCGCCATAGCGCTGGAACAAGTTATTGAAGTGCAACGCGGCGCTCCGGTAGAAGGGGTCTGATAGATTCACCTCTATCGGCGGCTTGGGGAGCTTCAGCATGTCCTGGGTCCAGAAGAGGGGAATCGAGCCACGGTGCTGGACGAAGCTTGTGAACCGCGGGTTGTTGTAGAAGCCGTATTTTGGGTCGTGGAAAGATGTGTGGAGCTGGTCGCACACGATCTGCTCGGTCTCGACCTCGTTTGCGACGTCGCCACGTGAGTTAACGCCACGCTTCAAGAACCGTGCGCCCGCGAAGTGGTGCGACCGCCGCGCGATCAACGTGATGTACACTTTGCGTCCGAAAATGGAGATGTTTGCCTGGTCTACAAACCCATGGATCATCGGCTGGAACCAGTCGTGGACGCGCGCAGGGTCGTCCACGCTCGCAAACACGGGCGAGAGGAGGTGCGCGTTCCACACAAACCGCTCGTTGTGGGCGAACGGTGCGTCGTCGCGTGCAGCGTCTCGCGCAGCGTGTGCCATCGCGCGCATTTTTTCGCGTACGCAGATCGTCTGGAGCGAGTTGGTGATATCGTATGTGTAGGAAAAGTAGAATGTTTTGCCGAGGTCGAGGTTGCGGAAGATTGCCAAGAGGCGCTCCTCGTCCGAATGCTTCCGCGGTTTGCTGTAGAGAAAGTCCACAGGGATCAACTGCGTTTCGTCAATGTGGTACACGTAGTGCCCCCCGAGGATTGCCACCTGCGAGCATTTGGTAATGAGCGAAAGGTAGTAGCCCTTGGTGAAGCGAATAAGCCCGAGGAGTCCGTGGCCGTGGCCCACGCGGTGGACTCCGCCCTGCACCGACTTGTTGAGCTCGCCGATCAAATCAATCACGTCTTTGCGCGTGTAAAAGAAATTGGTGTCCTCAAGGATCGTGAGAGCACCGTTCTGGGCCTTGCCAATCTCCATGATCCGGAAGAGGTTTTCGCGGCTATTGCTGCCGATGACGTACATCGTGTGCATCGAGTTGTAGACCGTGAACCGCTGCAAGACGATCTTTTTATTGTTGTAGTTGGGAGTTTCGCGGTGGGTTTCCGATTCGCTGGAGGAGGCATCCGAGGAGTCAAAAGCGGGAATCCCCGACTCTGCGTCTTCTGTGTTGTTATGGGAAGCGGGCGTAACAACTTCTGGGAAAAGAGGGGGACTTTCTGGGGAAAGGGGAGGACTTTCTGGGTCAAAAACAGGAAATTCAGGGGCAAACGGGACGGCCACTGGGGAAAACGGGGGTTCTTCTATAATACCCAGAAAATCTTCAGGGGAAACAGGGGAAGGCTCTTCCGGATCAAACACTTCGCTCATTTCCATTTCAGCAGTGTGGTCAGGCCCCGCGTGTGGCTCCGGTGCGTCAGGATCAACAACGTAGGGGTATTGCAGGCTGGCCTCTATCGTCTGATCTATAACGTCCTGTGACATGGGTATATTCAGTTGAGTGTTAGAGTGACTGGTGGATAAAGAATGGCTGATGTAGACGGTTGATAACAGATCAACTTGCAAGGCTTATCGGCGTGTAAATAAATCACTGAGTGCGGCGCAGGTGCACCGCCACCGATATACGTTTAGGGGGGAACGCCACTCAACGCTGTATCAATAACCACGACAATGGCATTGCTGATACAGGTATATACAAAATGATATATATATGGGGAAGCTTTTATATAACTATTGACAATTATGCCTGTTAGTCGGGAAGTGTGTACGTATCTATATATAACATGTGTTTCATTAAACAAACGGGTTTGAAGTGCATAAAACTGGTTATAGCTAGTAAATATATTCAGAATATATGTTAATAACACTGAAACCAATCTTGAGGTCATGATTTTAGATCATTTCTTTTGATTTTATATATTTATCTCGCAAATGGCGTTGGCCTCGAAAACCGGAATGAATGAATTGTAATAAATTTAAATGCAGAGAAATGTTAGTGTATGATAGAAACCCATCGATGTTTTTACATACCAGCCTGATCTTAGCTTCAATCCTTTTATTCAGAACCTATGTCCTCAAATACGGTAAAGGGAACCAACCCCCGTGTAATCTCTGTATTTAATCGCTCCCCAAGATACTGTGGACTCAACTTGTGGCTCAACTTACACAGCATGTGCATGAACTCTAGGTGCCAGGCGTCACCATGAACGATTTCCTCGAGAAACACGGATAGCCTCTATACGTCGTTATCTAAGCTTCGCCGTTAACAAGTTCCGCTCTCCCGAGCTCTCAATGAGCAATAGTTCACCCGTGAGTGTTTATCCGAGAGAACACCAATTCGGATTGACAATACGCATTCGGGAACTCAAGTACCGGCCTCTCGCATATATATGGAAACCTTTCCCGTGCTTAACATTTCACCGGATTATTGTCCTACTTTCGCCTCAGAGTACCATGGTCTCTGTCACTGTCGCAAATGATGTTCCTTGGCAATGTGTGGTATGTTTCCCGGCGTCCAGTTACAAATCCCTTCACCAATGAATGGATACTAGGCCCAATTTCTTGGGGGCTTACTATTTCTTCTATATCCCATCCACTACAATCAAGGAAGGCTAAGTGACCATGCCATGGAAGGCTACTTTAGTAATTAAACAGACGCAGATGACACAAACCATGACATAGTGGATCTCCTGATACATTTCACGCCGTTCGTCCTCGTACCGGCAACACTAACTTTTGAATTGTCAGCCTGTACATATGCTCCTTTACGTCCCGTCTACCCCGCTGAAAAATTTCGATGCTCACAGCAATTTTCGGAGTATCAAGAAACTCAAGGAAGCAATATGCCATGAGACAGTGACAAGGCGTTTCCGAACTCCGCTGACTTGCCCCGCATGTTAAGACACGGAGAAGGTGGCGATTAGTTATCGTACATACCTGCTGTTCTTAGGAGACTGGCCCTGCAACCGCTTGTAAATTTTCACTTCTTTCTACCGCATTACTTAGTTTACAAGCATCCCGCAGCCTTCCATGTGCCCCATACTCCGACTTCGCTCCGCTACGGCAATGAAAAAAAAAAAAAAAAAAAAAAAACGCCAATCCGACAGCAAGCTTTCAACTGGTGTGATAATAATGCCGGTTCACTGCCGAGCCCATGGGGTGGCTTATCCGATCCTATAGACCCACTAACAGGCCAAGATTTACCCTAAGACGGCGTGGAATATACGGTGATCTCCTTGAGCGGATTGGGCGCACTAAACCTTGATAAGATATCGCGAGCTTATCGTCAGCCGCTCGCCGGTGTTGCACATGCGAAAAAGTTGTACCCACCGCTTGACTGGCCTCCCGGAAAATTGGCTTCTTTCGCGGAAACGTCCGTGAGTCTTTCCTCATGCACGGATGGACTTACTCACTGCGGAAAAAAAAACCTGGGTTTTGGCCCCTTCCATTTGCAAATACCCGGTCTGGCCACGAGTCGCGTAGAATATTGCTGCATGCTAAACTCCCGACACCACCAGTCATAACGTGGTCTGGCATGACGGAGTGCGGCCGTTTGGTTACTTCACCAGCGGAGAATGTCTTCCGGGAATACTATTGGTAGGCCACACGTGACTGGTTGCGGATATCGGCGAGTAATGGACTAATGGGAGGTTGCGTGGGAAAAGGGTTGATACCGGAGCGCACCGACGCCGGTTAGCGGTTTTAGAGTTGTTACCGGTCAGCCCAGTAAAGTGCTGGTAACATCAGGTGGCGCGTTAAGGGTGCATAATCATGTATATACCTGTGATTGGCCGGGAGCGCCGAACAACACGATTGCGCGGGGACGTGCCCGCACCGCATGCAGTGCACGCCCGATAACCGTGGAAGAGGACGCCGGTTTCGAGGGTCTTCACTCTCATCTCCGGTCTTTCCGAGTCACGTGTTTATTATGCTATGCAACAGCCCGACTTTGCCTTTCCGACCTGCATGGCACCGGCTATACGACGGCTAAAGAGCGTCAAGATAAGCCTAATCTGGCTGTCCCTGGCATCCCGTGCGTAATCGAAGACCTTAACCGCTCATGTAGCATTCTTGACGGTCGGGCATCTTGCGGCCTCGGGACATGATTTCCTGGCGTACATAATCCGTTTTTACATACAGGAAAAAGAAATTTCACACCATCTTTGGGTGAAGCAGGAAGCTGCGGGGCTCTGGCCGGGAAAGAATATTTAAACGTCGTTGGATCCGTCGGTTTATTCGAGGTTCAGCTTCTTCTCTCACATACAAACACATAAATAAAACATACAATATGGTCCAGCCACAAGAACCTGAATTCCAGCAAGCCTACAACGAATTGGTCTCCACCTTGGAAGACTCCACCTTGTTCCAACAACACCCTCAGTACAAGAAGGTGATCCCAGTGGTCTCCATCCCAGAACGTGTCTTCCAGTTCCGTGTGACCTGGGAGAACGACAAAGGTGAGTTGGAAGTCAACACCGGTTACCGTGTGCAGTTCAACTCCGCCTTGGGTCCATTCAAGGGTGGTTTGAGATTGCACCCATCCGTCAACTTGTCCATCTTGAAGTTCTTGGGTTTCGAACAGATCTTCAAGAACGCCTTGACCGGCTTGTCCATGGGTGGTGGTAAGGGTGGTTCCGACTTCAACCCTAAGGGCCGTTCGGATTCCGAAATCAGAAGATTCTGTATCGCCTTCATGAGACAGTTGGCCAGATACATCGGTAAGGACACTGATGTGCCAGCCGGTGACATTGGTACCGGTGGTCGTGAAATCGGCTTCATGTTCGGTGCCTACAAGCAGATGCAGAACGAGTTTGCCGGGATTTTGACCGGTAAGGGCTTGTCCTGGGGTGGTTCTTTGATCAGAACCGAGGCTACTGGTTTCGGTTTGATCTACTACGTCGAAAAGATGATTGAGCTTGCCTCCAAGGGCAAGGAATCCTTCAAGGGCAAGAGAGTTGCCGTTTCCGGTTCCGGTAACGTCGCTCAGTACGCCGCATTGAAGGCCATTGAATTGGGCTCCACCGTTGTTTCCTTGTCTGACTCCAAGGGTACCATCATCGTTCAGGACGGTGTTACCCCAGAGCAGATCGCCGCTGTCGGCGAAGCCAAGTTGAAGTTCAAGTCTTTGGAAGAAATCATTGCCTCGGCTCCAGCTTTCTCTGGCAAGCAGGTGAAGTACATTGCCGAAGCTCGTCCATGGGTCCACGTCGGCCAGATCGACATTGCCTTGCCATGCGCTACCCAGAATGAAGTCTCTGCCGAGGAAGCTGAGGCCTTGGTCGCTGCCGGCTGTAAGTTCATTGCCGAAGGGTCTAACATGGGCTCTGAAGCCGCTGCTATTGATGTCTTCGAGGCTCACCGCGCCAATGGTGTCTGGTATGCCCCAGGTAAGGCCGCCAACTGTGGTGGGGTTGCCGTCTCTGGTTTGGAAATGGCCCAGAACTCCCAGAGAGTCTCCTGGACCGACGATGAAGTTGACTTTAAGTTGAAGGAAATTATGGTTAACTGCTTCAACAACTGTTACGACACTGCTGTTAAGTATGCCCCAGAGGAAGGCTTGCCATCCTTGTTGAAGGGTGCTAACATTGCTGGTTTCCTCAAGGTTGCCGACGCCATGTTCGCCCAGGGTGACTGCTTCTAAATCTCCGGGATCCCGTTATACTAATTTTTGTTTTACTATCCTGGTGATGTTTTTTTGCATGTTTTCGTTTTCTGTTCTATTTAGTTTTCCTTTCATATATTGGTGTTTGATACATAATAACGTTTGGCTTTAAAAGATTTAGGAATATCGAGTATGGACTGGAAAGTTCCACCAAAAGAGCGTTGCTCTCGCCATAAAGCCCCCAGGCTTCGTCCATAAGTGGGGGTTCTAGATTGTAAGGATAAGCCTTACATGCACGCACCGGAGCTGTATTTCAGAATTTGTTACAACCTTGTAACGAAAAAATAATTCCAAATTCGACTTATTCAAAGGTTGTGAGAATTCAACCTCTCAACTTCGACAATTTATGATGAAATCATAATGTATATCAATTTCTCACCAATCATTCTTTTATAATATCCCCTGCCCATTGCACCCTTTCAACTCACATTCCGAGAAGGTCGTGCACGTCCACTTTTCAGATCCAATGTATGCCAACTCCGCTGCGAACCGCTTGGGTAAATTTAGACGCTACACTATGGAGCTCCAGCGGGGGTTTGCTACTGTGCCATCGTCCTTTTTGTAATATAATAAGTCCCCAAGAACCTACGGCTTAGTTTACCCTCATTCATTTGCATCAAGAACCATGCCATCGATATTGGCGCCCCGCGATGGCTCTCCACAACGGTATGTATGACCTTTATTTCAATCGGTTTTGGGGGTTTACGCTACGCGGTTGCATCTTCTTATGTGTCATATCACGGCAGCTTCTATAAAAAGAGCTCATCCAAAGATAAGGCGTGCCAATTCTTGTCAAGTGGAGTCGGCCATGCGAGCTACCTCCTTTTTTTTTTTGCCGCCTAGAGGTCGCCCCAAGAGTGCGATCTCCCATACTATGTTTCCAATGTTTTGTATTGGCACTCCCATTCACTACTAACCTATAGTACCATTTCCTGGTCGAAACACGGCTTCGTGGCGTACGTGCCACAAGAGCACGGCACCGCGCACAATCTCTGCCTCACATACCTCGAAACGGCTCCCGGTGAAACCTGGCAGCTTGCCCCGCCCCAAAACCTTGTGGTGCGTGCACCTGGCCAACACGCCAGTCCAGAACCCCGTGCGGAACCCCGTGCTGAGGCGTTTCCACGTTTGGATGTCTTAAGCTGGAGTCTTTCCGGGACGGACCTCGCAGCCATCGACGTGCACGGTAACATGACCATGCTCATTGCGGGTGCCGAGCGCAACCTTACGCAACCTGGCTACAGCTCGTCGTCGTACAACCGCCTTGAGATCATCTACCAGGATACAGCCGCACAGGCGGCGCTTGTAACTACCACCAACAACAGCTTCGACTTGGTGCTCCAACAGAGCGCGGCCACGCCCGCCGTGCGTGCCCCCTTGGGCAGCTACGTCCAGCGCTACTTGGAAGACTCTCCATCTAAGGTCATTGCGTTCAAATGGTTGAACTTGGACAAGCCCATCATTGCGTGTCACCCCGCGGTACGTATGGAAACCACGGCCGACGCCATGAGCTACAACGTGGCCGCATCGTTAAATGCGCAGATCCGCACGGAGGCCGCGCGGTCAACAGGACTCGCAGTCGAGACCGAAATACCCGTGCCCAACTACGCGTACACGTACGGGGTACAGCAGTACAAGGCACACGGGCCTATGCACCCGGTACCCAACAAGCAGGCGTGCCTCGCGGTGCGACGCAACGGCGAGGTAGTGTTGTGGTACCAGGGCGAACACGGACTCGACTACCATCGGATGACGCGCGCATTGGATGCGGCTAGCACGGACCACTGGCTCAGCCACACGGCCATCGGGTTTCAGCGCGACGGCCTGATCATTGTTGCGACATTCAGTAACCAGACGCGTGAGGTGCGCCTCTATCGTGTAACCGTCAACTGGGGCTATCTTGTGACGTCGTCCGTCAACCAACTCAAGAGCCCCGCGTACCAGACGCCCGACGACAAAAAACTGCCGCTGCCTGCACTCACCGTTACGCGGATCCTCCGTGAGAAGGTACTCACACGTGACGACACGCGTAACGCGGATGGCTCGCCCGCGACGCTCACCCACATCGAGCTTATCTCGCCGAACTACAACTCCGACACTGAGCTCGACCTTTTGCTCGCGTTTGAGCACGACGGGTGCACAGCCATCCATCGCTACCAGCTCAGTGACCAGCCACTCACGCTTCACGCCGCGTTTCTTGGCCTTGGCGAGCGGCGCGGCACCAGCGCGGCAGCTGCGGCCGGTGCGTCGCTTGTGCTTAAGGAGATGCTCCGCACCGCACAGCGTGTGCTCTCTATTGGTGCGTGCTCACACGATACATACGTCGCGATCACCTACGCTAGCGGTGAGGTGGATCTTGTCAACCGACGCACGCAGAAGCGCGTGCACGCATCGGTTGTGGACGAGGAGGAGCCACGTTTGCTCCCATCGACAATCTTTTCGATCTTCGACGTGGGGTACAAGCTCCCCCCGCCGGTGTTTGCGCCATTGGTGATGCTTCTTTCACCAAATCTCTGTGGATACATAGCGATGGGCGAGGGAGGTTTGGTGTATCAGTGTGCGGTGAGAAAGTGTATTCCAGCCAGGCTCACAAGCCAGACGAACCAGACGAGTCGTGACGAGGGAGTTACCTCTAGTTTCGTGAGTGATAGGGTTTCAAATCTGTCTGACCCTAACTTTTCAAATCTCACGAGTAATGTGTCTTTCTCGGGAGATGACTTTTCGCCAACCTCGTCAGAACTCGCTCAGGTTAGTTTTATCAACGAGTCTATGCTCAGTACTGTTGTTGCCCTTGCCTACCGCTACTCTGCCGCGTGTTTCTCATCATTATACTCTGATGACATGCTTGCGGTCATCAAGCACGAAATCGCCGCGCTCACCGCAACACTTACCGCACTCGAGCAGATCCCGCTCGCCACCAAGACTGAACTCGCGGACAACTTTATCCTTTCGCTCCTCAAGGAGGCTCACAAGGCGATCAACTTTTCGTTGGACTACAACCGTGACCAGATTGAGCGTCTTCTCACGAGCCCGCCGTTGCAGAAGCTCTTGAGTTTGCAGTCGGCCATCGGGCGTAACCCGTTCAGTGGCGAGGACGTGAGTGTGCACGTGGCGGAGGCGTTGCTCACGTTGCGGATGGTGTCGTTCGGGCTCATGCTTACGCTCAAGTCCGTGTACCAGCAGTACCACAAGGTTCAGAAGAAGGTGGTGCCATCCAGCACGGCGGAGACGGCGCTCGAGTACAACTTCCGCGCGGAACACTTTGCGTCGGTGCTCGGGATAGTGCGCTGGGGTATGGACTTGATTATCTTGATCAACCAGGACATGCTCGACCTCCTGTCCCGGGTAGACACACGCGCGCTCCATGAGGAGGACGCATACCGCCGCCAGCAAAAGCTCCTCAGCTCCTCCATTGCGGCGCCTCTCCTCCTCGGCAAAATCCCACGTGCATTGCTCCTCTACTGTATCGTGGGCATCAAGCGACTCTATGAGACGCTCAAGAAGCTCGCGGCCGAGGCCGCGCACGTGGATGTGCCACAATCCATCGTGGAGTCCAGCACGCGCTTGAAGGATATCATTACGAGCAGCCCCGTTCCTATTGATCGCTTTGAGTTGTTCCTCACGGGCGTGGACAAGCTCATTCGCTCATGGGAACTGTCCATGAAGGCACAGACTTCGGGTGGCAATGTTGTGGTTGCCGGCCCGCCCAGCTTCAGTGCTTTGGCCCTCGAGCTGACCTTGGTGCTTCAGGGCCGCGTGCCGTTCCAGATGTTCGAACACCGGTCGTCCTTCACCAACTCTGACCGCTCACTCTTGCTAACGTTGATGACTAACTATCAAATTCAGCTAAAACCCAAGGTAAACTTGGTCAGCTTATTCTTCTACGACGTGCGCTGGTTAGGCTTGACCGTGGGTGCGAAAACAGGGGCTGACGGGTCGGCGCAGTACGATAGTCTCCGCAAGACGATGCTTATTGGGGACGCACGGCTCCGAAAGTGTGTGCGATGCGGAACATGTTCTGCGGTGAAGGATACGTTTTTATACGCGGAAAAGTACGCGAGTTTGAACTTTTGGACGATTGCGCATCACCGGAATTGTGTGTGTGGGAGTTGCTGGGTTAATCTTTAGTTTTCCTTCGGTGAGCATCAACCCTCAGTAAGCATGGAATTCTGTCTACAAACCATTCAAGACCAGAGAGCTCAGGCAAATGGCCGCAATACCGCGCCGTATTTATGACGAATCCACATACAGCTTAGATTCGACTTTATGACCAAGGGCATTACAGTTAATTAAAGACCCAAATAGTGATGTTGATCTGCAATAAACTATCATATTATCAGCAAACCCATGTAAGTATATTAGTACGTGCTTCAAACGTTACCATTTCTAGTCTATTTATTTCATTCCATGGAATGAAGCAGTAACGTGGACGTAGGCGCAAGCGATTCAATTCAGATACAGGCACGGATCAGATCAGTTAGACTGCTTCGTGGCTCAACTAACCGCCTGTGGTCGTCCAGAAAAAAAATGCCGGTTACAAAGATATCCATTTTTGCTTTTTGGTTTCCCCTTGGCTCCTCGGTAGCGCCCTTGGAACCCTTATGATTTCACATACCTCCCCTTTAAATGCTTCAATGTGCCAATAAACCCACGGAAGCTCCCGCTCAACCCGTTTGCATCGAACCCGTCAAACACGTGTTCGACGTCCAAAATCATGTTAATCTGGGCCACTACTTGCGCCACCGCGGCAGGGTCCACGGCGCTTGCCAATTGTTGCGCGACCGATTGCTCGAGTGCATTCATCGCCTCGTTGACGCGCGCAACGGTGAGTGCCTCGTGGCGTGTATTATCCTTGATGCTGGTGGGTACGCGCGCAGCTACAGTCTCCGGTAAGTTTTCCGCCACGATTGAGCGCAACACCGCAAAAACATTTTGTACGCACAACATGTTCGCCTTGGCGGTCTGCAACTGCGTGATCTGGCGCAACACGTCCGTGTCGGCGGCAGAGTGGGATGCATCGCCCAATGCCGCGATTGTGCGCGCAACCTCCGCCATGTTGTCGCCGAGCGTGTAGACAGCGTTAGCCATGGTCTCGAGGTAGTACTCCAAGCGCGTAGTGCCGACCAAGTCATTAGCCTGGGTGTTGTAGGAGATGACAGAGCTTGCAGAGGTGGTCAAGCCCGAGATTTGTGTTTCCAAGTCACGGTTCAACTCGTTGGAGTAGAACTCGAGGTGTGCGATCAACGCGGTGCTCTTTGCTTGAAGCATCTTCAAGCCCGCGGGTGTCGCCGCGGCTCCGGGCGACTCGTCGAGCGACGCCTGAAAGAGCGCATCGAGATACGCGTGCGGCACAAAGTCCTCCTCAAAAAACATCAGCAAGGCCTCAGAGTCAGACATGATGAAATAGTGGAGATTAGTAGGGTGGGGTAGGGAAGCCCGAAGCTCGTCGTGTTATGTTGCATGATGGATGTATTTTGAGTCACGTGACTGTACATGCTACCGTGCATGATGAGGATGTATGGCCGTGGCCGATAGGATATACACCTTAAGCGTATCAAAGTGGGAGGCTACAAGATTCAGAAAAAGCGTGGTTTTACTAGAATGGAGTAAAAATACAGAAATGCATATAAATTCAGACCATTATAATTACTATTTTTATGACTTTAATCAACAGGTAGTTCAAGCTTGTACAATGCAACTCGCTCTCACGCGTAAATGGCAACCACCCCGTGCTTCCCCACGGCGTACACCCTCCCGCCTTCCTGCTTCACCTTATTAAATACCGCACTATCGGCAGCACCTACCAACCACGTGGCATCCCATTCACCACGCAACGCCCCCTCCAAACTAAACCTCACCAACTTGTCCATCCCACCCGCAACCACCAAGTCTATATCCACGCTCAAGCTCGTCACCGGCTCATCAGACACCTTAAACGACTGCAATGGGGCGGTCTCACCCAAACTCCACACCCGTACCATTCCGTTCTCGTACCCTGCAAAGAGCACGTACTGTTCGCTGTATGTCGTGGACCCAGCGAGGCACGTAACCGCCGAGTGGTCCACGCTAAGGAAGCTAACACCCATACTGCGGTCTGCAACGCTATACTGCTGGATGATCCCAGACTCGTAGCCCCCAAACACATACTTCCCCAGAACCTCAAACTCCTGACTCGAGAGGGGAGTTTCCGGAGTGACCGCTGGATCAGCAACCACCACAATGCTCGTGACGGGGTCCGCGAGGTCGCGGATGCGGCGGAACTCGTGCACCATCCCACCGGAGCCGCACTCCCACAGGCGGATGGACCCATCGCGGGATCCAGTGAGCACGTTGCGTCCGCGACCAATCATGGCGCACGCGGTGATTCGTGCGGTGTGGCCAACGAGCGTGCGTGGACTGGTGCCGTCGAGCGCCCAAACCCGCGCGCACAAGTCCGCACCTACCGAGAGGAGTACCTGCCCGGATGGGAAAAACCGCATATCGGTGATATCTGCGTGGTGAGCGCCGGGTACAGTGATCGGAGGTTGAGTGTTGAGCGTAAGGCAGCCGCGCACGTCACCGGTGGCGTACACGTTAGGCGCAACATCCAAGGCGGTGAGCTCGCACGGGGTAGAGGGACCGCACGTAGGCGCTTGCGCGGGCGTTTGAAGTCTATATGTAGAGCCTCCCACCGTGACTTTAAAGATATGGTCAGAAATCTGTTCAAAACCAGCTGTGTGAGATGTGAAAACAATCGCTCCGCTTTTGGGATCTTTCGCCACCATGACAGTGTGCTCTTCATTGGTGTCGTCCAAGGTGACCCAGAACGAATCGTCAGCGCTGCCGTTTCGAACGTCCGAAATGACGTTTGTGAAAGTCGACTGAATTGTAATGTGCTTCATTTTATTGTGGATGGCGAGATTTTGTACACCAGTTGATAGGTCGGGCATGGTTTGGGGGAAGAAGTGGGGAGTTGAAATGTAAGCGCTGGATATTTTTCAGCTCTACGCAGGACGTTAAATTCTGGGGTAGGATACAAAGCCCAGGCTAAAAGCTTAGGGCAAGCTATTGTCTGAGGATAGATTGAAGTATCCACATGTGCTCAGATGGGGCTTAAAATATATCATAAGCGGTAAACTCATTGAATTTTATTATCGTCCGACTAGAGATTATAGGTAACTAAAAATGGGAGCCAAGGCTCGTTCTTAGGGGTAGCTAAACATACTGGCTTAGAGCAACAATACAATAGCACACTTAAATAATAGGAACGTTTGAGGAATTAATCCCTTGAATAACATCGGCTCTCCAAGACGTTTAATAACATACACACTACGAACTATAGAGAACACAACTAGCCGAAACCTGAAACAACCCCTCATTCAAAAATCTACCGTACTTGTAAACCCTTGGGAGCCAAACATAATCAATGGCAAATTCTGCCACCGTTGTCGCCTAAAAAAATCTGTCAAACTACCTTTCTGTACCGCACTATGTCACACACAAAGTTTTGACTGTCCACCACGCGGTTCAAAACCTCCTGCCGGAAGATATACTGCCCCTTGTTTATTGCTTGCACCAACCGTTCGTTCGTCCGCTGCTTGAGCAAGCGCAAACTTTCTGCGTTGTTCTGGGCGTACTGCTGGGTGCTGGCGAAATCTGCGTCGTTGAAACCTGGCGGCGACACGGGTCGGCGCCAGCGGTCCTGGTGCCTGGATGTGTTTCGCACAATGTCTGCCGGTCCGTAGCGCCCCTTTTCTTCAGGGGCGTCCCACCGAGGCCCGTTCATCTGGAGTCCGTCCCCGGCCACCTTGTAGAAATGCTCACAGCTGGTGCAATCGGTCCCGTGGGCGCACTGCTTTTTGGCATTGCCCCGCAACACAAATTGGAATGCGTGACTGACGTTGTGGTTTTCATCTGGATTTACCCTGAAGTCCTCAAGGATCCACTCGCGAAGCGCAACAGGGTTTGTCGTGAGGTCCACATCATCCCCTAGAGTGCATTTCGTTTCCACGAGACGGATATTTTCCGCTTCTCGGTCGCGTTGCGTAGCTTTCTTTGGGAGGGGAAGTGGCGCAAACCCCATCTGAGAATCTTCGATCAGAAGGCTGTCAGATAATTTTCTCTTGGAAGAAAAGAGGAGTTGAGAATCGGGCTCGGGTTTTATAAATAGAAGCTGCGATTGTGATTCATGTTTTACCTGTAGTTCATCATGGATCTCTGTTTCAGCTGCAGAAGCCTCTACGTCAGAGCTGTACTGGGTGGCAATATCGTACTCCGACGAATGATGTTCGTGCCCTGCGAGGTTGATACTGGAGGGAAAGAAAGGTAATTTGGGGCTCAGCGCGGACTCATGAAACAACCCAACATGCCCTTCCTTCAAGCTTTCTTCGTTCTCACTGATCTGCGTGAGAGCATCATCTGAATGAAGTGTAAAGTCTGTTTCGTTCTTTGGGCTTATCACCCTGTGAGCCCTCGCGAGTGACATGTGCTGGGAGGTGGATGGTGGGGGTTCACGCAGATTTGATGGTAGAGCGGGCAATGGTATGATAACCAGACTAGCTGATTGCTTGAGAACGCCGGGCAACGGAGGTTCTCCCTTATATATCCTTGACTGTATCGCTGCTAAAGGGGTTTTTGGGTCTTGAAATACGTCTCCTGGGGTTTCCTTTCGTAGCCGCGTATTTTCTTCTTTAAACATTGCCAACGTTTCTTTCATCTCCGTATTCTCGGCTTTGAGTCTGACATTCTCTAATTGTGTTAGTACTATCGCCGCTGGCAATAGAGTGTACTCACCATCAAGAATCTTGCTGATTTCCTGTTCGTATTTTGCAAACCACGGCCTTGCAAGCTTGAGGAAATCATCCTCCATAGAGTAGTTTGGCATTGCTACTGGTATCGTTGTTGGGGTCCGCCTTCGCGTTTGTGACACGCTCTTTTTATTTCGCGTTCTGAGCTTGACGCGAGTTAAAAAATTATTGCTTTGACACCACTGGGCTGCCAACAATCATTGGGAAAGTGTGATTATACTGCAATCCCTCCCTGGATTTCGGTAAAATGCCAAGTGGTATGTGTTCTTAATGTCATATGTGTAACATTTCTATGGTACGCGCAGGTTTCACATCTCTGAGAGTGTTTTGCCAAAAACAAGATGTTACCCAACAGAGCCATACGTTAGCTTGAGATCTTACCCAATAATGCCATACACTAGCTTGAGATCTGTCGTTGTGTTTATGCCGCCAGTCACACTGACCAGAAGGGATAAGTTAACCTGTTACCTTGGAGTTTCACCAAATATCGACTTCAAGTGATGTCTCAGAATTCAAAATGTGGGGGATTTTCGCGGAGATCGATAAGAATATTCTCCGGATTAAAAACTGTAAACGTCCTTACGTTATACCTTACACTCGATAACTCCATAGCCCTTTAATGCCATTCAATCCAGCGCTTCTTGTGATTGACCTTCAATACGACTTTCTTCCGCCCGATGGCTCGCTTGCGATCCAGAACGGGCTCGACGTGCTCGCCCCTATCACATCGTTACTTGACCCTAAACATAACTGGAAAACCATCATCACAACCCAGGATTGGCATCCTGCTAACCATTGCTCCTTTGCCACCAACCATTCGGACACCAAACCGTTTAGCGTGGTGAAATTCACCCATCCCGAGGACGCTTCCAAGTCGATGGAAAACATGGTTTGGCCGGTCCACTGCGTCCAGAACACTCACGGAGCGGAAATTCACCCGGAATTTCTTGCAGAGTTGGAAAAACAGGGCTGGAATGAGCGGGTTCCGGTGACAAACATTCGCAAGGGATACTTACAGGACCGCGAGTACTATTCGTGCTTCACCGACTGCTGGCAGCTCCACCACACGGAGCTCCACGCCTGGTTGGCGAAGCATGAAATTACCGATGTGGTTGTTGTCGGTTTGGCCTACGACTTCTGTGTGTTGCACAGTGCCATTGACAGTGCTGCGTTGGGCTACCGGACGTGGGTGCTCACCGATTGTTGTCGGGGCGTGGCACCAGCGGAGAACAAAAAGACGGAGGAATTGTATCGGGAGAAAAATGTGAGGTTGATTAAAGGAATTCCCGACGGCCGTTTGCTTGAGCTGGTGAAAGAGAGTGTGTAGCATCAGCTTGAACAAAGTTTGAGAGCTAATGGTGGTGACGGCCTGAATACTTATCGGTATCCTCATTCAACCTAAACTCGAGACTAGTATTTACCCTTAAGTATTTTTATAGGTTTATTATGGATTGATTAAGCCAATCGGCCTTGGGAGTTTAAAAACATCTAGCGAGTAGAGTTAGCAATATCGATGAGGGATGAAAAGGTGAACTCATCTCGGTGTAACGTTTCGAACATGTATAAGCCAAGAAATATATAGGGATTTTGAAATTCACAAATACACTATTGGTTCTCAACTGAACATGATTTTAAGCTAACCAATTGGCTATAATCGGAGCATCTGAAGTTGCACTCCTAGTAAAACGCCGCGAGCGCTGCAGAAATATACTTGAACCGCCAGGGCCAGGGTCTAACTGAGTGGATATTAAACCATATTTCCAATACCGTTTCAGGGGGTTTATTATATAATATGACATTGAGACTGGTAATTTTGACAGGAAACATTCACCGAATCCAATTCCTCCGCTGAATGGGATGCGGTTCCCTTCTCCTGCATCATGTTGTCATGGCATTGACAGACTTTGAAGTTTATCCCCTGCCCTTTTACTTTACAATTGACTGATTACGAAACAAGGATACAGCAAAAAAAAAAGTGGTTAGACACTACTGCTTGATATTAAGGCAAAACTGTTGAGAACTCATCCCATGATCCAGTCAACTAATCTCACTGAGACTCAACAAACAAAGCTCCAATCGCTTATTGATAAGCTTCCCGAAATCATTTCAAATGCCGGCAGCTACGACGAATTGTACGGTTATCAGCTTTCCGAGGGCGAGTACCTTGAGCCAGACATCCGCGACGAACTTACCCTCAAGTTTCTCGTAGCCAACGCTTACGACGTGCCTACCGCCGAAGCTCAGTTAATTGCCACCCTTAAGTGGCGCCGGGAATTCAATCCTTTATCCGCCGCCTACTCAGAGAAGCATGATGATCTATACAATGCCATTGGGCTTGTCACCAAGTATCCTAACAGCAACAAGTTCCCAAACACTCACGTTGTGGTGTGGAACTTGTACGGCGCTGTTTCCTCGCCAAAGCTCTTGTTCCAAGACTTGCAGAAGTTTATGAGATGGAGAGTCGGGGCTATGGAGCGGACCGTATCGCTCTTGGACTTTACATACAAGGACAGCAACCAGATGGTCCAGATCCACGACTACGAGAAGGTGAGCTTCCTCCGCGTAGACGGAGACATGAAGAAAGGGACCAAGGAGGTTATAGCAACGTTCCAACAGAACTATCCCGAGATTTTGTCACTCAAGTTTTTCCTCAATGTTCCAACAGTCGTCAGCTGGGTCTATGCCTTGGTGAATAAGTTTGTGGCCAAGGAAACAGTGCTGAAATTCCACATGCTAAGCGGAGGCGATGTCTCGGAGTGGTTGAGCAGCAAGGATTTGCCAGAAAAGTACGGAGGTGAGGCCAAAAACTCCGATCTCCAGCTGCAGAACGTGATGAGCAAGGATGTTGTGGTTCCACAGTACGCCCAAGTGTTACTCCAAAAGGATTTTCTCGATGTTGAGTAAGTCGTTTAGAAGCTTCTTTCAATAGGGATATACAATTGTGGTGAGCGCCCTAAGTTACAAGATAAGGCATGTATTACATTTTCTATGTTTTACATCTATGCATATTTCTAGCTTTACTTGGATAATACCCTGCTTGTAAAATTATTTATGCATATTTGTAGGCGCATGGTAATTTAAGGTGCATGTCAAATGCGAGGTGATATCGGACATAGTGCCACGTATCAGCCTCACAGGTTGAAAAGCTTCTTCCTAATCGCCGACTCATTGCTTAACTTTTCGTTATATACCGTAAAATAGAGGTAGTGGAGGTATAACTTATATCATAGCCTTTTGGTTTTGTCTTTTTTTTTTTCACTCCAATATCTCATGCTTACGGCCACAGTCGGTGACTCCGTATCGAATGGACACGTAGACCCTGGAAAAAAGTTTGCATGCCTTTCCGATGGCCTGCGTCACCTTTAAATATTTTTAAGTCGCCTGGGACCCACCGAGTATAAATTTCCCAGTTAATCAGTTCATTATACTTTCATAACTGAAAATTCTTCTGCTAGAACATATCCACACCTTGTTACCGTTATGATCCAATCCACTACCCTAACCGAGGCTGAGCAGGCCAGCCTTCAAGAACTCCTTGAAAAGCTCCCCGAAATCATCACTAACGCAGATAACTACGACGAATTGTATGGCTACCAGCTTTCTGGCGAACGCCTCCAGGAAGATATCCGTGATGAAATTGTTCTCAAGTTCCTCAAAGCTAACGCTTACGACGTGCCTGCTGCCGAAGCTCAGTTAATTGTCACCCTTAAGTGGCGCCGGGAATTCAATCCTTTATCCGCCGCCTACTCAGAGAAGCACGAAGACTTATACGATGCCATTGGGCTTGTCACCAAGTGCCCTAACAGCAACAAGTTCCCAAACACTCACGTTGTGGTGTGGAACTTGTACGGCGCTGTTTCCTCGCCAAAGCTCTTGTTCCAAGACTTGCAGAAGTTTATGAGATGGAGAGTCGGGGCTATGGAGCGGACCGTATCGCTCTTGGACTTTACATCCAAGGACAGCAACCAGATGGTCCAGATCCACGACTATGAGAAGGTGAACTTTTTCCGAGTGGATGCGGATATGCGTAAGGGAACTGCGGAGGTGATCAAGACCTTTCAGCAGAATTACCCCGAATTGATGTCGCTCAAGTTTTTCCTCAATGTTCCAACAATCGTCAGCTGGGTCTATGGATTTGTGAACATGCTCGTAGCAAAGGAGACGGTGAAGAAGTTCCACATGTTGAACAGTGGAAACGTGACGCCTTGGTTGAGCGCCGTTGACTTGCCGGCAAAGTATGGGGGTGAGCCCAAAAATTCCACCCTCCAGCTGCAGAATGTGATGAATAAAGATGTGGAGATGCCAGCATATGCCCAAGTTTTGCTCCATGAGGTGTTTGAGGATGCGGAAGAGCAATAACCAATGCTACAAAAAGACGATGAAACTAGGATAAACTATGCATCACACGTTTCTTCAGAGCTCTTTTTGCACTGATAAACTCAAGGCATATGAGCGCTTCTATTGCATGTATTACTTTGAAAAGTGGTGACCATCTAACACCAGGAATAATCAATACCATTCCGTATGAATTTGGAGAGTTGTAGCATCGTTTTAAACCCCGATACATGTCCCTGGACCCCAAAATCTTTGATGCACTTTTTGAGCCAAAGGATATATTTAGCGAGCTTGGCTCGTTTACTGTGGTACACCGAACTATTAACGGAGCCGGAACGGACATAGACATAGACATTCTAGTAAGAACCAATACCCTATAAATCGTTGCACGAAATAATTAAATCGACTGGTGAGTGTTATACAGGAAAACACCTGATGGGGTGAGTCTTTCAGGTATGCCAGCTCCCGCCCGCCTATACCATGTTTCCTAAACCGAGGGGGCAGTTTACACCTCCCCATCTTGTCTCTATGAGTCAGCAGACCGGGAGGAAAAAGGTAGTATTCATTACAAGATTGAATGTCTCTAATCGAAATACGGCAATGAACCGCGGTAGCTCGTGACGCTCCGCGGGTCACTTAATTAGTGCGCTTCAAAGGCGCTCCACCATTCAGTCATTCAACTGACCTTGGAAGGTAGACTTGGCCACATGAATATATCATTGGGTCAGTACGCCCGCCTGCAATCCCCTGGAAATATGGATTTGATCTCTATCGATATGCTTCCTTAGTTTTGCCTTTAGACAAACAGATGAAGATCGCCGGAGTCACCGCAATTTGCATTTCTTTTTCGACCCGAGTCAATGAAAATCCGACACCCAATAACGCCAAGGATTGTAATTAGCAGCGCGAAACTTTCCACACCCAAATCCCCAACGGTTCGTGAAACCTATATCATGGCCGGACATTTTTTCTTTTTGCTTGTTTCCTCTGCTTTTTAACGGGTTGATCGTTCATTGCAAAACTAAGATATCGCATCTAGCTTTTGCTCTCAAATACCATCGAAAATACACACAAACACATAATGACTGACGTTGTTCTCGGGTCCCAATGGGGTGACGAAGGTAAGGGAAAGTTAGTGGATATCCTCTGTGAAGACATTGACGTCTGTGCCAGATGCCAGGGTGGTAACAATGCTGGCCACACCATTGTGGTTGGCACCACCAAGTACGATTTCCACATGTTACCATCGGGTTTGGTCAACCAGAACTGCCAGAACTTGATCGGTTCCGGTGTGGTGGTGCACGTGCCGTCTTTCTTCGAGGAGTTGGAAAACTTGGAAAAGAAGGGCTTGGACTGCCGTGACAGATTGTTCTTGTCTTCCAGAGCCCACTTGGTGTTTGACTTCCACCAGAGAACCGACAAGTTGAAGGAGGCCGAGCTTTCCGAGAACAAAAAGTCCATTGGTACCACCGGTAAGGGTATCGGTCCTACCTACTCCACTAAGGCATCCAGATCCGGGATCAGAGTCCACCACTTGGTGTCTGATGAGCCAGAATCCTGGAACGAGTTCAAGACCAGATTGACTAGATTGTTGGAGACCAGACAGAAGAGATATGGTGACTTCCAGTACGACCTCGAGGCCGAGATCACCAGATATGCCGCCTACCGCGAACAGTTGAAGCCGTTTGTCGTGGACTCTGTCGCCTTCATGCACAAGGCGCTTAAGGAAAACAAGAAGATTCTTGTGGAAGGCGCCAATGCCTTGATGTTGGACATTGACTTTGGTACTTACCCATACGTCACCTCCTCCTCTACCGGCATCGGTGGTGTCTTGACCGGTTTAGGGATTCCGCCAAAGTACATCAACAACGTGTACGGTGTCGTTAAGGCCTACACCACCAGAGTCGGTGAAGGTCCGTTCCCTACCGAGCAGTTGAATCAGGATGGAGAAAAGTTGCAGACCATTGGAGCCGAGTACGGTGTCACCACCGGTAGAAAGAGAAGATGTGGTTGGTTGGATCTTGTCGTACTTAAGTACTCCAACGCCATCAACGGCTACACCTCCTTGAACATCACCAAGTTGGACGTTCTCGACACCTTCAAGGAGATCCAGGTCGGTGTGGCCTACAAGTACAATGGCAAGGTCTTAGACTCGTTCCCGGAAGACCTCTACGCCTTGGGCAAGGTTGAGGTTGTCTACGAAACCTTACCAGGCTGGGAGGTCGACATCACCCAGGTCAAGACCTACGCTGAGTTGCCAGAAAATGCCAAGAAGTACTTGAAGTACATCGAGGACTTTTTGGACGTTCCAGTCGAATGGGTTGGTACCGGTCCAGCCAGAGAGTCGATGTTGGTCAAGAACTAGGTTTGTTTTATTTAGATATTTATAAATTATTTCGTTAAAAGAGTGTGAGGCCCAGCTCTATATGGTGAGATCATCAGCACACGTAGCGCCCTGTGACGCATAAAGTTTGATGCCTTCGACAACGGCTATCGGTCAATGCCTTTACGATTGGCAGTTTCCGATAAATATGGCCTTCTCCTGGAAACTCACATCAAAGATCACACCCCGAATACGGCTAAACACTCACATTTTCGCTTCTCTTCGTCAAGCAGTAGTCATAGTAGACCACATCATACGGAAACAACTGTCGCCACCGGACCGGAACGTACAAGAGCTTTCCCAACCCGGAGCTGGCGTCGGCATCGATGAACTTCTCGCAGTGGACCACCTCCCAGCCCAGAGCTACCTGTAACCCCTGCTTTTCATACACCACCTGAGCCTCCTTAGGACCCGTCGGCTGCGAGATGTCGACGTAGTAGTCACACTGGGAGAAGTCCACCACCTTGGAGGCATCAAACCTGTTCTCGTTGTTCATATTGGGAGGGACAGAGGAGATAGAGCCTGCCAAGGCAGCGACGTACGGCGTAAATGCCAATGCTGGGTCAACCTCCTGGAAGTCGCCTGGCAAGAGCCCGTTAAAGCCCGACTGCACAAAGCGGAGTCTGGCGTTTTGAGGCAAAAAGAAGGACGATGGGTAATGGTACCATTCTCTGCCCACACAGATATTTACCGGATTCTCGGACGGCGGAACGTGTGCGTACACACGTAACGGCGCGGCGTAGTTTTCCACCAAGTTGCGGATGCGGAGAAGCGAAACGGTCCCCAATACCCCTACAACCACAACCACAGAGAGATAGTTGATGGTCCGCTTCACAATTGCGTGGGATCTAATCCCCACCGTGTCAAGAATGAATCGGTTAGCACCGATAAACAAGTACTTTGTCGCCAAGGCTGCGGAGAGGTTGAGTAACGGGTAGATCGGGTACAAGAAGCGCTCCTCCTTGTGGGGCTGGGCGAAGAAACACGCGCACCAAATGAGAATCGGCACGGAGGTGGTCAAGTTCAACAAGTTGGTCTGGCGCTTGGAGAAGCGGAACAATGCGAAAGAGGTGAGGTTCATAACGACACCCAACACCGCGAGGAGCAACATGCCGTTGAAGTTGAGAAGAAGGTTGAGGAGGTAGTAGGAGAGCGGCTCCACCCCGAAAATATTTGGCCCAGACGTTTCGGAAGAATTGACTACATTGTACAAGACGATGTTGAGTGGAACGAACTCGATAGATCTCCAGGTTGGGAGGTCAAAGTTGTAGAAGAACTGATCGGTCCCTATGATGGCCGCACACATCGCGGCAACGGCGATGGAACTGCGTGCAACGAGGCGCCACATGAACGTCCAGCTCCAGTAGGTGTGGTTACTCTTCTCGTCGGTGGTTCCCGACCTGAACCATGTGATCAGAAGCACGTATACAAGGAAGGGGACCGCAAGCGCAAGCGCAAACGGCCAGCCGTACAAGCCAGCAGCAGCAAAGCCGACAATGGCACGCACCCCAACATTCACCTTTGTCCGCTGCGTGTGACCAGTGGCCAGCGGCGGTAACTGGATAAACTGGACAACCGTGTTGGTCGTGCAGATAACCAAAACCATCGCAATCGATGACGGAAGAAGCGAGATTGCGGCGTGCGACATCCCAGGAGAAATGATCTGGAAGAGAAGGAACCAGTAGCTCATTTTGACGCTGATCCTTTCGTTTAAGGTCTTGAAGAGCGAGAGCTCCGCGAGCACACTGGCGGCAGCTAGAGCGTATCTCACGGCGTAGAAACCGTTGATCTTAAACACCCGGGAAAGCGCCACCGGGAGGGTGAATGGCACCAAAAAGGACCAAGACCTGATGGCATAGAGCGGCAGGTACTCCCATGTGATCTTCCCGAACCCGCGCACGAGGAGGTTGAGCGGCTCGTAGTAGTTGAACACCTCGTCGCAGTCAGGGATGATCATGTTGTTGGCGCTGTAAAAACGCATCCACACGAGCCCAATCGCAAGTGAGAGCGTAATGGAAAACTTTGAAAGCGACTGGAATGTCGACTTGGGAAGTAGGCACGTCATGGCTGAACCTGGGAAAGAGGTTCAGAAGGTGCAATGTTTCATTTTGGTTGATTTAAACTGGCGGCTATATGCGGCATGGCGCACGTGATGTGGCATTGCCGTTTGTATGTATTCGGCGACCACGGGATCCTATTTCTGATTCTATTACTGAGTAGGACTGAGGTTTAACCAACTATTTCTTTTATTGGCCTGTTTTTTTTTTTTTTTACTAAATGGAAGGGTGTTCGGCCAAGGTTCATACCGGCCTTTTTTTCTTCTAGGATGAGGGTTTTGCCAATGACTGGCAGAACTACCAGGAGCATGTGATCGGTTCTGTGACTCTGGGCGGACTTGCGCCACCTGCCGGTGAGCCAGAATTGAAAGCGGCAAAGACGAGAGAAAACCACGCGTATACTTATAGTAGGAAAATTGATAACATAGATATTGTTGGTATTTATGTCAAATAATTTCCTGTGTCTTATGTTCCTTTGTCTTTTCGAAAGCAAGTGCCAGTAAGCGCTGGAGAGTTTATCTGATGTGTGTGGCATTACTCTTGGGGTACACATATTTCTGGTGAGTCCAAGTTCGTACGAGGCAGTGGATAATCAAGAGTATCCTCACAGATTTGCTATTCTCGCGTATTTGCTATTATCAAGTGTAATATCTGGTTAAACTATAATTGTAACCTAAACTTGAAGTTTCAACCGCTGCATCTCGCCTACGCCAACTGTCAGTCTTCGTATTGCAGTCTTTGGTATGGATCTTATCATTCATCCGCTAGAAGATACTTGCAAAATTTCTTAATCAGAGACTCCACAATACTTTGGGTTGTAACTGGACAATAACCAATCCCTGAATGTCTGAATTTGGCCATTTAGGTAGTTTGAATATCGTGGAACCCGCAGTGACGACAATAATTAATTCTTGTTCATGCTACACAACTTTACTTCGGACTTAGCCTCTTGCATCCCATCAAGGATCTCTCCAGAACAACAGTGGAGTCAATGTTATTCTCAGTACAGGACTCGATTATCAGCTTCACGTATAGAGACCGGTCTGCTTTGGTAGATTTTCCTTCACAACTGGGGCTCTCTGGAAACTGGGTCTGTGGTGAAAAATTGCAATGGTCCCTTAGCCGTCCTTATTCCTAGGCCCTTAACCTCTACCATACGCCTGCATCCACGATCCAGGAGTACATTATGCCATGCAGCGGTGCTAAGGGATTGATTGTACCTGAGACATCGCATAAGACGCACATGACTGAAGGATAGCCATCGGATAGAGCTCTAGTCACGGTTCAGGTAATCCCAGGAGCCATAATGTGGAGAAAATGGCCGCCGCTAATCCTCTTACGCTGATATGATTGACGGATCGCCATAACTCGTTAACGCATAGACTTCAAGACGCCTGCAGGACTGACAGCACACTATCTAATCGTCCTGGCTGCTGGAGCGCAGGGTTCGACCCTTGTCCGATGAGTAACTGGATGGCTGCTCGGTGTTAAGATCTATCTCTGCCTGAAATGCGTACAGCCTGTACGCAACCCACAGCGCTGCTAATCGCAGGCTTCCCTGTACGTGCTCTGTTTTCGCGAGCACGCCTGCCTATAGTTCTGCACATGTATAGCTTAATTTAGATACCTGTACATGTCTGTTTTCCAGGAAGGCTGCAATGTAGGCCAACGGTTGGAGGTACATATGTAATGTACGGAATGTACACGGTAAGGGTCAGATCCAATGTAAGGGGTGTAGGTTCGTGTTTAGCCGGGCAGTACTTTGCTGTTGAAATGTGCGGGTAGTATGAGGATGGGTTTAAGTTTCGAAAATTGACTCAGGGCTGATAGAACGATAGGCGAGTTGGCGACCCAGGAGAGATAGCAACGATAGGCAATGTGCAGACCCCGAACTGGCAGCAACGATAGATGAAACCAGAAGGCGCAATAGCATTGTCAGACTCCACTTCAAGTGCGACCACACACCAATATCTATCCAAATGTTTGGCATCAATCATGAATCTGACTCTTTGCTGTTTATAGCAACACCTACCAACTTGTACTCGTTACAAGCTCCCCAAGTCGCGCCCTTCCTCACTGTGCCAACACGCTGATAGTGGTCGTAGCAAATCAGACGTGAGCCCAAACCTTAATCCGGCGCGCATGACTGACAAAGAAAATACGTAGGTGGAGTGGTTACCCTACTGCAGGAGACAGCAATCCCTCACTGGTTGCAGGGCAACGGCCCATTTGCGTGGCGTGTGCGTCCCCTATTGGACTGGCGAGAACCTGCGCAGGCCGCAGCCTCCGGGGCTTAATTGGATGGCAAAGCCTTCTTTTGTAATTCAGCTATACTATCATTGCACAATTACACTATCATTGTAGAGCTGTACTATAGTTGTACAGCTATACGGACAGAATTGACTAGGGCAATGCTGCCTGGCGGCGAAACTGTTCTGGTAGCCCTAGCTTAAGGCTGGGTTTACACAGCACCTCCTTTTTTTTGCGACGGACCAGGCAAATTAGGTTTAATGGCATATGTAAGCGCGCGCACCTGCGGTGCAAAATCTCGCAGCTCCTTATTCACGCAAGATACGCGTTCTGCCATCCACAGTGCCTGTCCGTGGTACCTGTCTTACACAGCGCAGTCATTCTGTTCATCCGTAGCGTAGTCATCATCCACATTACATTTGACGTAGGTGTACGAAGCTTATACTCCGTCGGCTTCTACCAGTTGTGTTGTGGTTGTGCCAGCCTATCATTGTGTGTGTGCTTGTCGGAAAAAGAAACGAGAGAAAAGAAACGACGGCGCACGTCGACGCGCGCAAGTGCATGCATGGCCATCCTCTAACCACGCAAAACTCTCGAGTCAAAACAAATCCCAACCGAAAATTTCTCTTCTTGTTGTTTTTGCCGTCACTACAAATCATTCTTTTTATCAGAGCCAAAAGCCAGAATCTCTTCAACACCAATTATGTCTGCCCACTCCACCCCCGTCCAGCCGTTAGATTCCCACACCGAGACCCAGTCCCAGGACTACGCGCGTAGCGCTCCGTCCGTCGCCCCAGCCGGGGGCTATGGCTACCAGCAGCCATCGTACGCGGGCCCAGCAGCGACGTCAGCGCAGCGCGGCGCGTACGCAAGTGGTACAAACGCCCCAGCCGTGGGTGGCGCGACCTCCGCGTCCGCTGGCTACTACAACGAGCACTACCCCGCTTACCAACAGCAGTTGGCCGCCAACCCAAACTACGCGTCGTACTACATGATGGGCGCGAACGGCGCGCAGGGCGGCGCGCAAGGTGCCACGCAGGCGCAGGCCCAAGGCCAAGCCCAGACGAGCCAGACGCCGCAGGCGACACGCGACTACTCCGCCAACTACGCCAACTCTGCGTACGGTTACGTGCCAACCTATGGCGCGGTATACTCCGGAATGGTTCAGAACTCTGGTGCGGCTGCGACCCCCGCGGCCGCGAGCCTGGCGGCGCCAGCCAATGCGACGAGCTCTGCGTCGTCCGCGTCTGTCTCTGCCTCTGCCGCCGGCTACCCTGCGTCAACTTCTGCCGCAAGCTCCAACCCGCAGAACCCGAACCTCGGGCAGATTCAGCCGACTGGCTTGAGACCGCGCGTCACCACCACCATGTGGGAGGACGAGAAGACCTTGTGCTACCAGGTGGACGCCAATGGCGTGTCGGTCGTCAGAAGAGCCGACAACAACATGATCAACGGGACGAAGCTTTTGAACGTTGCCCAGATGACCAGAGGCAGAAGAGACGGGATCTTGAAGTCGGAGAAGATTCGCCACGTCGTCAAGATCGGGTCCATGCACTTGAAGGGTGTGTGGATTCCGTTTGACCGTGCATTGACGATCGCCCAGAGAGAGAGCATTGTCGATATCTTGTACCCATTGTTCGTCAGAGACATCAAGTCTGTGATCCAGCAGGGTGCCATGACAACGTTCTACGGCTCGCCACAAGGCCAAGGCCCGGCCCCTAACGGCAAGTTTGCCGCTTCTACTGCCCCTGCCGCGCATCTCCGCTCCGCCAGCGGCAACCCTCCGCAGACGGACGTGAACAGATCTGCTACTAACACCCCAATGGCCGGCCTGAGTGCTGCGCCAGGTCAGCAGCCGTATGTCCAGCAACAACAACAGCAGCAGCAGCAGCAACAGCAGTACTACCAGCAACAGTATCCATACTACCAGCAGTACCAGTACACGAACTACTACCAGCCGCAGCAGGCGCAAGCGCAACAGGCGCAGCAGGCGCAGCAGTACGGGAATGTGTATGGTGCGTACGGTGCGGGCGCAGGTGCAGCCGCTGCGACGACTGCGGTGCCAAGCGAGGACGTCAAGGAAGAGAAATAAGCTAAGTCGAAGGCGAATCTATCTTATGTTTGAGGGGCCGATTCATTGGAGAGGTTCATTACCATCTGAAAGGATTTTGCCAATGAGGCTTTCATCTTTGATTATCAGCTCTGTACGTTTGATTCCATTTTTGCTCCATCTTTTCATCTCTTTCCGCTCTGATGGAGCAGCTGTCTTTCTCTTAGCTCCCAGGGTATGTTCATTGCCGACCCTGTTGGCATTTTTTTTTTATATCGCTTATGTCCTGCTTCTCTTTCTGCTTTTGCTTGGCACATACTTGGTGTATGTGCGTGTGTATTATATTTGATTCATTATCAGTTGGTTGTAGAAGAAAATGCTCCGGGCGTATCGGGAGAGAAGTTTATGACGCAGCCAGGAGTTCTACCAGTCCAGAAACAACTCGGGCGTATAAATCCTCAGGAGAGTTACCAAGCTAGCCTTTGTAAAACAGTCCCGGACCGGGGATCAGCACAATTGAAGGAGAACCAAATAGAGCCTCCATGTATAGAAGATGTCATGGCACAGAGTTAAATCGTTGTGCCCTGACAAACGGAATGGAAACCACTGTGTCCTAGTACACCGGTTTGTCACCACTTTGATCAGAAGCGAGGACTGTGAGTCTAGCACCACGGTAGGGTAGGCCGTCTCTCTCAGCGAAGCTAAACCTGCGAACCGCTTCCATTCCTGTGGAATCTTGTGTAGTGTGCCACTTTCAACTACTGTAACTAGGCAGGGCCAAGCGGAGGTAATCACTAGGACATGCGGCATCCTCGAGTCCCTACCAGCTAGATAGAAACTTAGTCGGAGATGTAACTGTCCCGCCTGCACCTGTCTAATGATTAGTTCACCGAACCTATGCCATTCTACTAGCCTGTGCTTATATCACTTATGCAGACGTAGTGTCAAAAGCTTGTCAGCAATAGTCGCACGTCTAGGTGGACCACGAAACGCAGACACCACATGCGCATGCATCCTGAACCTGCTTATCACAGCTTAAGCAGGGTAGCGACTTAAAGGTACATTGCATGACATGACGATTCACCTACATGCGCGCGTAGGGCATACCAAGGTTATTATTTGGGTAAACATACAGCCACTGAATCATTGGAGAAGCTGACAAGACTGAAGTCGAGGAGGATAAGGCAGTTACGGAAATGCTGATCCACTGGGAGATAGCTACGGAGCTGACGAGTTGTTACATCAACATGTCCACAATCAATGTCAGAAGGTGCTCGTATATGGAATGGCAATTCTGAGAGATACGTACTATCTAGGATAGGGTTCTAAAGAGAGATGCAATCTAAGGCTGGTTTTAAGACGTGATCGATGATTAGTATAGAGAGATATGCGCCATCTAGGATGGAGTTAGAGGGGTCATCGGCCCTGGCCCCAGGGTCGAATAGACGAAACGCAGTTCCGCCCCCAGTAACTGTCAGCGTCAGAATAGAGATGATAGCCTTGGATGACTGGCTTTTCTACGAGGTTATCTGCGTTAGTATTCCTCAAGTTACTGTCTTCTGACCGTGTACGAAAGCTGCAGCGCCGCTGAAACGTAGAGAGTTCAGTAATCCTGATAATCTATCTGGCCCTTTCTGCACGTGATGAGCCAAAGGTTCCCGGCCGTGTAAGGTAAATCCGTCTATTGCATCATTTCCCATTTAATAATTTTATCCAGATATCACTCTTATCCCAATAGACTGACCGGCGCTCGCCCTTTCTCAGTACCTTGTGGTATAAGCATATATAATAAGCGCCGGGTTCACGATTGATACGTCAGGCTTGAAGTAAGCCTTTTGTGTCAAGAATGAGGTCAGTAGACAGAAATCTGGGTTAAGTAGTATTTTACGGAAAAATACTCTGGAGATTTGAGGGAAAAAAAAACTGGCACGGATATAAAGACCGCTTACTATTGAGTAACCTAGAAGCAGGGAACAATACATTTAAAAGGTTAAGGCACAGCAAGAACACCCCGGTCTCAAACATCCTCCTCGATCTCTGTTGAATATTGAATCGATGTTGGCATAAATCTGCCGTTAATAGCTGTAGGTTTCTGTCTCATTACGACAGATCACAGTATTGGGCGTTGTTCTAGCGATGGTTCAACCTAAAATATCTCTTCCTACATTGGTCTGCTGTTTAAACTTAGATTGCAAGAACTTGGGGGACTGATAGTGTGAGAGGAGATGCCCAACTGGTATTAGTATTACACTCCTATCTGGTCCATCCCTAGAGCACAATACCGACAAAAGGGCCTGTTCGAAGGAAATGGGAGGTGTCACATGCGAATAAGCAATTGGTAGTGCCGGTTTAACAACGCTGTATGTTTTAGAGTTCGCCAAGGAAATTAGCAGAATGGATTGATACTTGAATTAAAAAAGGCGGAAATTTTACAAGTCATTGTTTATACAGCAATTATTAGTCCTTAAAAGTCACCGGAAACATATAGTGATAAATTGTGTCATTTGGAATAAGGGGCTAAGCTCGAAAAAAAAATATAGAAACTGAATGTGCACAGTACAATTAACGCACGACGAGCCTCTCTCTGAGTTTTCCCAAAAAGATATTTGATAACCCAGAGAACTATACCATGAGTGGTTCGTAAGGAAACTGCGATTCATCCGCGAGCAGAGCCTGGATTTTGCCCAAGAAAAGACCACCAAGCGGATATCCACTCAAATCGTTCTCGGAGACGGCTGCTTCCGCGTCCTCCCACTCATCCAGGAACATATCCAAGAAAGCTTCTGGAAGGAACCTGCCCTCAGCTAAAGTCTGAAGCATCTTCTGGGTTTCAAGCGCCTGGCTTGCCAACCCTCCCGTGAGACTTTCGTCTGTTTGGGAACTTATCTGGTCCATAATCCCGGCATACTTCTGGAACGAAGGCATATCATACTCTTCCCTGTCCTTTGTCTTATCCTTGACAACTGTGCCATTAACAGCCTTCACCTTGCGAGTGTAGTACCTGGCCGGTAACGGCGCCAGGGCGTTGAAGCGGAATTTTTGCTCCGTCGTTCCAAACCCGTGGTTACCACTATGGGAGAGGAAATAAGTGGAATTACCCGCCTCGCCAGACCCAATCGACATCACTGGTTTCTGGTTGAGTTTAAATTCGATCGCCGTGGCACGGACCACGCTCGCGTTGTACGCCACATGCTCGTCCGTTCTCAGCAAGATATCGATACTCACAACCAAGGGAAACACCTGGGTGAACTTTGTCTGGAACACATCCTCCTTCGCTCCTGCCTTATTGTTCAACACGATGAAAGAATGCTCGTTCGAGACGACCGAAACCACGCTCTGTGAATCCCCGTAGCGTTTGTAGCTCTGGACATTCGTTTGACGCGCCTTGGAAAATGCTTGGACCGTCACGTCGAGCTCTGTCCCGTTTCGCAAAACGTACCTCACGTCCGCCTCTATTTCATTCTGGAAGTTGGCATTGACAATCTGCGATAAGGAGCTGGAAGATGGAAATCCGAGGGAAATGGCATCCGACTTCCCAGCGCGCTCTTCAGCAACCTTACCCGACGCCTTCACAATCTGGTCGGATTCCCAGGTCAAGATGTTACCAGTGCCAATCCAGTTCTCCCCGATCGATGGAAGGTCTGGCGCTGTTTCCGCAAGGCCGTTGACAACTCGCACTTCGAGTAAGCTTTCCTCCGCCCCCCAAAGCAACGGTAAAAGAGGGGTCAAATCAACCTCCAAGGCCTTGATATCAAAGGCACCGGTGCCCACAATTGGGTTCCAGAGTGCAGGCGAGATCCCGCCGGTGTAGATGACCGGCTGCGGCGACACGCTAGCGACTCTTCTGCCGTTGTAGTAGACGGTGGCGATTCGCACTGGCCCGTGGCCCGGCAAAATACTCAGACTGTGGCCCGCAAATAGCTTGGTGTATTTGTCCAAGACATTTCCGTACCAGAACTCCTCCGCTCCGTTACCAGAAACAAAAAGGTTTAAGCGAACCCGGGTAGTGTTGGCGTTCAACTTTGGAACACTGTAGATCATCTTCTTGGACGGAAGCGTCACCAATGGTGGGGCTCCGTCATTCGCCACCACGGGGTAGATCTGGTCTGCCGCACGGTTCATAGAGAACAAGGCCTGAAAAGAGTCAGAGGAACGATGGAGATCTGAAATATCCGCAGACTTCTGAGGAACCAGATAGTAGTGTGCGGTAAGGGTGACGTTGATGATGCCGTCGAGACGGGAGTTCAACAAGTTGTCAAGCTGGAACATCAAGTCTAAATCCTGTGTCTGGAACAACTTCAAGTACGCTGAAACATCTTTTTGGACAGTGGAGTAAACCTCACCGCGCGCTGGTTCGGGGGTGGAGGTCCGCCAAAGCGAAATCCCGCCGAGGAAGAGGTTCGCCAAGCGGTCATATTGTGTTCCTTTGACCGTGGTGTTTAACTCAAGTACCACCTTGTTAAAGCTGACATCTGGTGCAGCGTAGGACACGACAGCTGGTTGGCCCCAGGAATTGCCAAAAGAGTGAGCTAACAAACTCTGGGAGTGCACTGGGACGCCGAGGTGCAGAAACGGGAGCGAAACTTCAAAAACTTCCCTGGCTGGGGAGTATACGCCGGAGAAAAAATGGCCCCCTTCTGACCCCCTGAATAAGCGGAGGCAAGATACTCCAACCATAACGATATACAAAATGATTGTGCTAAAGAAGATGAGCCGTTTCTTTGTCGGTATGGTCTTATTCGGGGTACCGGCTTCGGCATCGATACCTTTTCCAAAATATTCCCGCTCTCTACCGAGGAAGGGCATCCCTTCATCGTACCCCCTTTCACGCAGTACTTTCTCGTCAGTGTATTCTTCATTTTCGTACGGCATTTTTTCGGTGGCAAGGGTTCTCCCGTCTTCGTACGACTGTCTGGAGCATGGTACCTTGGCCCCAAAGTGTCTTTCATGGCTGCTGGCATAGATTACGGAGTGCCAAATACTCCATTCACGGATTAGCATTCCTTTCATGGTAAAATAGCTTGAGGGTCAGTATAAAACATAGAAAGAGTGCTAACCCCAAAAGTCCTTTTATATGCGGCATAGCGCAACGTGCATCCCGACAGGGATATTGAGTGCCGCACGTATTCTTGCTCTCATCGTTGTGGCGGATAAGGATTTTCCCCCTAATCAGTACGGGGTGGCAAAAGGGCTTGGTTTATTGGAGTATGTCGGTGATGGGTAACCCCTAGACCAGAATTCTCAAGGATCAAACTGTTAGGTCGATGTTATGGTAATGACCAGCCCCGTAAGATCTAGTCAGCACTAACGGTTTCAGAAATGCGTTGTATTTATAAGCACAAAACGACATTTATATCCAGTGAAATGGATTTCCAGGTGTGTCAAATGCTACTGGTGTATGGCGGACGTTCCGTATCTCCCAGGGGCTTATTATTTACTGATACCACGGATCTGAGGTTTATAGAGCAAGCCACAGGATGTCTGCCCCGCACCCAAATTCTCCATGTCTTTGGCTGGGTTAAGAGAAATTCTCTATTGGACATGTAGTTTATTTCCGCTTAACCTATTTATATCCTGTTCAATGATTTTTAAACTGTATAGTTCTTTTTTCCGCATGTGGCAAACCAGCATTTCTTCGACCCTTAGGAATGGCTCTATGGCCCAGTGGTCACCACTGACGCCCGTCTCGTGTTGTTCTGCGCTTACCCGCCTACTCCGGTCACCCGGAACCCTTGCGGGTGGGAAATTCGGTGGTTCGCTCCGTCCGATCGACAAACATTACTCCTGAGAGTTTACCAGGCGCGGAAGCGCCGGGCAGTGCCATCAGAAAACACCGAAGGCTTTGCCCTCGGATGGGAGGCACTGCGGACGGCTGGTCCTCCGTTGCACGGGGGGCTGTTGAGTGCAATGTGCAGACCTTGGCTTGCAAGAGCCAGGGCACCCGATACCGATCATCTTCACGGGACGGGAGGTTTCTTTTTTCTTTTAATGGTTATTTGATAAAGCCAGTTGGCTTTTACTGAAAGTGTCCAGTTTCACCACAATTACTTTTTCCGACTGTTCAATGTTCGATTCCTGGCACTGAATATCCTGCACAAATAAATATTGTTGATATCGGAAAACAGATTCGGTGATAGCCCCTAGGAACACTTTCTCTTCCCAAGTCATACTATGAAGTTTCCCAATATTTGGCGTATCTTTGCATCTTTCCGCACAGAAGAGGAGGAAAGACAACAGTCACGCAAAGCGGTATGTATCTGAGAGACCCATCGTACAACGGTGACTAATGTCAGATAGTTTTTCAACTTGGTAGGGTTTTTGGCAACCTGTGTGGTGTTTTCGTTTGTTGCACAGAAGAAGATCAAAGCCTAAAAGTAAACGAGGCTGGAGGTGGGTATCCCTTACGTGTTTATGGTTCGCTTATCTGCGTCAGATACGGGTTCGCGCGCGTTTAAAATCATCAGACTCATCTCTCGCGCTAGACTGGTATTGGAAGAATGGCTTGTATAAGGTATTCCTTAAGGGTAGGTTGAGTCCTGCTCCATACCCGTGGCTTGGCCGGTACACCCCACTTTCCGAATTTACGATGTTCTGAGCTCTCTTTGTTTGTCTAAGTGTTATAAACAGGTTGTCGATGAGCTATTGAGTACCGACAAAGCCCTGTCATACAGGCACCATTTCCCCCTCACGGTTTATCCTCCTTCAGCCAAAATGTAAAATTGCGCTGGGTTACTCCGCGTTGTATAAATTCTATAATCCGAAAACTTCGGTTGTACCTAGGAAATTTAATTATATCAATGCATTTATTTCGACTGCAGACTAGGCATACTTCTTCAGAAACCTATCAATACCATAAACCAATGATCTATGTAATGGCAAAGAGTATAGACAATACCAAAGCTTCCCCTTAATACCTCTAGGGCCGTTTCTAGGTGAACTGCACCTATTCCATATCGAGCTGGTCAGCAGTCGTGTTATTTCTCATTATTCACCTCGGTGATGCGCTTGCTGATAAACCCCTCCATGTCGACCTTATCACGGTAGCGTTTCAACCACGGATGGGCCAACAACTCGGTATAGGACGGTCTCTGAGACGGTACCTTGCTCAAGCATTTTGCAACAAAATCACGAGCCTCGGAAGAGAACGACTCGGCTGGCAAGTTGGGGGCAACACCATCAACAATGGCGGAGAGCTGTGAGAAAATGTTATCATACGTTTCAGGCGGATATGGATACGAGCCCATAGCAACCTCCAATATCGAGAGCCCGAGCGACCAAATATCCGACTGAACGCTATACGAAACGTCTTCCGGATTCATCAGTTTGATGCGTTCGGGCGCCATGTACGACTGGCAGCCAATGTTGGTGCGGGCCAATGACGCAACAAGGTTACCACTAACACCAAAATCACATAGCTTGACCTTTCCGAGCGAGTTGATTAAAATGTTGGTGGGCTTGACATCGCGGTGGATAATGTTGTGGTCCTGCTTCAACTGGCGCAACCCGTGGATAACCGACTCGGCGATGTACGCTAAATACGGCTCATCCACGCCCGTTCCGTACACCTTGTCTAACGAGCCCCCATCCATGTACTCAATGCACATGTAAACGGCGCCCTCAACGAAGAAGGCGCCATAGAAGTCGACAATGTATGGCGACACGCATTTGTGCAAGATGTCCAACTCCATGAGAATCTGAGAGAACTTCGCTTCGTCTAGCTCCAACCGCACCTCCTTCATTGCCATTGTAACCCCAGTGGGCTTGTGCAAAACCTTGGAGACTGTCCCGTAGTTTCCGCTGCCCAACTCCTCTATGACTTCCAACTCGTCAAAGGAGATGTGAAAGCTGGAGCCGGAGGAGAAGTCCACCCCTTTTGAATGGAGCGAAGCCTTTCCCGCAAACTGCAACGACCCAGACTTAATGTCCACGTACTTGGAGTAGTTGGCAAAAACACCCTTGAGGTTGCCCAGTGGTACGGATGGTGGCGCCGCGGGGTTCGGCGCCGCACCGCGCTTGCCCATCAAGTCACTGAGGGTTGTGTTGAGAATCGGCCTATTGGGATTCGCCCGCATGCTTGGCGCGGAAACGGGGCCCGGTACGGCCAGCTCTGCTATTCCCGGCAAGCCGCCCGGTAACTTCATGCCTCGTCTCGCGGATAAGGAGGCCTTTCGCTGAATAGCTTCGGCGCCGCCGAATGAAAACTTTGTGGGGGAATTTGGCGCACCCGGAAGTGCAAGCTTGGGGCGCGGGGGCTGCGCTGGGGACATTTCCCGGTTTGAGGGCAAGGCGGCCTCCGACGCCGCCTTGTGCAAAAGGTTTCTAGCGGGCGGTAAAGACGGTAACGGTTTATCTGTTGGTGATGACGCCGGGGATGAGGCGTCGGTTTTTTTGACGGAGTTTGATCGTTTTTGCTGGAACGCCATTATGCGTGCTTGCACGTCGGCGCTCAACGGTGTGGAGCCGCCGGTAAATGGCGGGGGGGATGATACCAGCCGCGGCTTAAGATATCCGGTTCCCGCGCTTGCGCCAGAGTCCAAATATGTGCTGTGCAACTGGTCCGCCACATCGGCCGAACTGGGTGTGGTGTCGATGACCTGGTTAGGATGGGACATTCAAAAAAAGGAGGGGGTTATAGAGATGTTTAGGGTAGTTCACTCAGCTTTGATGCTTGGAATGAGTTAGTTGAGTGTTTGAGAACGTACGTGGCGTTACTTGCAAAAAGGACCAAGAACGTGGGACGGCTGGGCGTAACGGGAGCACTGCTCTAGTATACACCCAATTTCTGATGCCAATTGCTTCAGGTATTCTCCCTGGGTAGGTTTCTGGCTGTAGAACCCTGTGAGATGTAGTTCTGCCGGTGGGGTGTGGCTCTGGTATTTTCGGCTCGGTTTCAAGGGGCTTACAAACGTTCGTCGTCACTTGTTAAAGGAGTGTATAGTCAAGTGGCAGGTTGTCAGATGCTGCGATAAACCTAAAACTCTGTAAGTAGGTGTAGTATGATGCCGGAGGAATTACTAGGAGCCAAGACCGGGACGTTCGTTAGCGGAATCTCTTTTATATATACTGAGCTTGCATATTGTGGCCGGGATTTAGTTTCGGAAATTCTCCCGCGAAATTTCTTCTCGCGCGGACTCTAGCACTTAGTGCAGGACGAGTGTGTAAGGCACCAAGGGGTGCGCGTCAATGGCCAGTTTCGCGTGGCTTTTGGAGCCAAACTCCCTCGAGGATCGACAAAACCGACGATTGCGTCGCGCAACGCATGTAATTTAGAGTCATTTTCATCCCAGATCAACCCTGGTGTTCCACAGAAAGTGCATACATAGAGAACCGAGTCTGTTACAAAAAGTATTTATAGTGTGTCTATTTACCTAACGTGAGGGTTAGTGCAGACACAGAACGTGCTACTGCCAGATAGATAGCCATATGTCCCTCCTTAGTTCCAGTCGTCGCGTGCATCTATGTGCAGAGTTGTGAACGGTGCGTACACTTGCGCATTCCGCACGGCCTTTCCATGTCGGACAACTAACAGTCATTCCGAATCTAGTAAATTAGCACCATGCTCTCTGCGTCGAACATGTGCCATGGTGTTTCAAGCAGAAAATGGCACAAATCCAGGTGCGGTGACGTAATTGGACGGTTTACGGGGCCTGTCTCTGCTGGTTATTTTTTTCTCGCTATCAGTGCATGCGTTGGTTTCGTATTCCTTCTTCGGACCAAATGGTCGGATTAAGTTTCTTACTAAAAAAAGATGAAACGCTACCAGATCACCTTGCGGGGTACATCATAATACCCTGAGGGCGTGACAGCAGTGGTGTCAGCTTCTTGAAGAAGGTTGGTCTTAAGAAGATCACCAAGCCCTTGCCTATCAGGGCAGACAGTTGTTGGAGCGCACTTTAGGTCTGCATGTTAAAGCCCTTCTGAACCGGCTTAGGAGGCTCTGGGCTTGATAGTAAGCCATCCTAAAGGCGCCGACATGGTGAACTCCGTTCCATGCCCGAAGCACGCGGTCAGCCATCCTTCCGCACACTAAAGACTGTCCCTCCGTTAGTCTGTAGGTTTCGGATTAACAGCGCGTTAGTCAGTGTTGAAGCCTGCCCCCCTAATCCCTGTTCATCCTGGAACATATCACCGTATGCCGCAGGTAGCAAAACTGCGCTGCACTCCCCTGGGTAGCAGGGATCGAATATTCCCTGACAGACACCGACAGAGATGCCCCACTGAAATGGCAGGCTGGGGTTTAAAACAAAAGTTTATCAAACAAAGATGGTTTACTTTTTGTGCCTTGAGAGGCGTACACAATCGTTAGGTGCGTGTTTCCACAGTTCAGCACGCACTGTGTAACTCAAAGATTTCCAGGCTGGCATACACGGAAACACCTACGCACATGATGACATGTGTCACGCCAAGCGTTTAAAGGAGATCTGTACAGGGGACCAGGGTAGATGAATTACTACTACGGTACTAATGTATCCATGTAAAACTGTCAACAAAAGAAAACTTAGACGAGAGATAAGGAACAAGCAGAGTTTCCGTGTACGCGGCGAGCAGCTCTATTTAGTCGGCGTAAACAAGTTTGAGAGCTATACGCAATGGCATAGATTTATACAATGATCCCCGTATTGCAGGAGGTCTGTGGGACAGAAAAGCATTTAACAGAGCTAGACGAGACCCTATGGGCCACTCACCTGATGTACTACAACTGGAAGTGCGGGGATGAATATATTGGCAGTAGTCCGCTGTCTCATGGTTCCCCCCTTGGGCTTCAAGTTAAATTTTAGTCTACCTTGCATAAACCGCGTTTGGCGCCATTCTGTATTGAACCTGGAGGAACCGAAAACTTGCTTCTACGGAATCTTGGCTCTATTAAAAGCTAGCTACGAGATAGACTATAAACATAATGCTTCGGTTGTATTTAATGATAAATGATATGGCCCCTTTCTGGTAAAGCTTCTTCGCGTTTGATTTGCAATAGACCCTGTCTAACCCTACTTAGTGACCGTTAATTATCTCTGCATGCAACTAGCGTCTAGATAAAACACGCCCAGTCTTTTGAACTTCTCCCACAGCTTTTCATTTTCTTAGACATTTGTTTGTAATGCCGGCTATTTTTAGAATTATCTGTGGGCCCAGTGTTTTCTTTCCCGACTCTAGCCTCTGCCTGAGCGGTGAATAGTCTTAACCTATCCCCAACTTTATGTAGGAAGTCCTGGTTTGTGGAATTGGAAGGGCAAGCACATTTGAGGGCAAGCACATTTGAGAGCTATTTTAGCAAGCAGCAGAGAAGACAGCAGCTACGAAAGCTGGAAACCGCTGAGTTATTAGCCCACCAACTATCCGTACTTATTAAATAATCCATTAGATAACCCTATATGCATCGCCCTCGATACCTGTATCCAGCGGTGATACGATGACAATGATATGTGTACCCCTGCTGGCAATTGTCCCACTGTATACGCCAAAACCTCGTTTTTAAAAATTGGAGTGAACCATGACGTCTATTATCGAGTATAAATCCAAGAAAATGAAGCAACCTGCGTGTGAGTTGCTGAGGTTTTTTTTTTTACAGTAGCTCGTGGTTTAACGAACCCCTTGACCTATCTAGCTCCCCTTCCGGCCACCTGGCTGGGCTTTGTCCTTCCAACTGCCCTTAAACAAATGATGGACAAGTGCCATTTCGTCGTTAACTTCCTTGCTTCCCATATGGCCCACACCGGGGCTGAAACTGGTGATGGGCAAGATCATGACATCATCAACCAAAAGCGGCCTCTCCATACCAGTGAAGAACTCCCAGCTGATGGGGCTTGTCTTGGCATCTGTGCCGTCACCTTGGCTGCCGTATAAGTTGTTCAAGTACTTGAAAGTAAAGTCGGTAAAAATGCCCGGTCCAGTCCAGTTCATGATGTCCTCACCCTTTTTATCTCCCTTGGCAAGGCTCAAGTTTCCGTCCTCCGCCCGCTTCAACGTAAGGAGCGCGATCTGAATCACAAGCTCGCGGAGCATTGGATGGCCAACCTTTGACTGGATGGTCCACTGGCAGAACTGGATGCGGCGAGCGTACCAGTCGTGCCAGTCGGGCCTATCGGGGTCCGCCTCGATCCCAAGCACTAAACCGGCACCGAGCCCCGGAACCTCCTCCGCCAATGGCGTGAGTGGGTCTTCCGTTTGAGGGTCAAGCTTGGAAAAGGTATAGGATGGGTTTGTGGCTGGCCAGCGGTCGATCGGCTTGAGACTGAGAGTGTCCATATCGGAATAGACCCCGCCGCGTGCAAGCAAGATCAAGTAGCGGAAGAAGTCTGCCTTTAAAATCGGTGTAGGGAGGATCTGGTACGCCTTCAAGACCTGTGGGACCGAGGCGTATAAGGACTCGATCAACTCAGAACACCCCTCGTCCGATAAAACGTAGTGCGTGTGTGTTGGGTTGGTCATCTTCCATTTTAGCTGGTTATGGTGGAACTGAGCGGGAAATTGTTTGTGGGCCGTGTCCACTTTCCACGTTTGCCAGATAATGTTTGGGATCGGGTGTGATGCCTCGTATGGAAATTGGTACGAGAGCTGCTGTCTCATAGATATGCTCAGTTTGTCTCCATCTGCAATGATAATAGGGAGCAACGGTGTGCGATTTGGACTGAATATTGCCCCAACCAGCTTGAAATTAGGTACCTTTTCAAGATCCTTTTGAAGTCGCTTTATAGATTCTTTAACGGATGTGGTGGTATACTTGGCAGGATCTGTCTGGGGTGCGATTCTCACCTGGGATACGATGGAGAAAATGACGTAGAGTACCATGGCGAGGACGAGACATAGCCTCACCCGGCGCGATTGTTTCAACGATTGGATCAAACTCATCGGGATGGAAGATGTACCTGGTCCCTGAGCTGTCAGGGTAAGGCTGGAGAAATGGGGTTGGGATTGGGGTGAGGTCCGAAGAGATGTCTCAATCACGGGTATGTGAAAAATTACGCGTCTTGTCCGATATTTCTGGGGTGGTGGGCAGCTAGCAATGTCCTATCCCTGTCATGTAATGTGTCAAAGGTGAAACGAAAACCTTTTCCAGAAGAAATACACCGTAGGAGAATGACGTGAGACCACTTAAATTTTGGCCAAGCTGGTATTTCGCCCATCATTGCGCTGCGTCGCAGTCTGGTCTAGATCGCACTCTCGGGGTCTTTTATCCTGCCAAAGGCACGCCTGTTAAATTTAGTGCACTCCCTGGAATTTCAGACATTTTATTAACGTCAGGTATTTTAAAGATTATGGATAACCACCCTAATGCTTGATCCTCATATTTATGGTTAAAACGCCCGTGTGGGTGGTTTATATCCAGATTGATGGTTTCTAAACTCAACTATGAATGCAGGTTGTCCCAGAAACCAATTTCAAACGAAAAGTAGCCTTTATATATACGGGTATTTAGCCAAGGTTCAATATATATATATTCCAACTTTTATTTAATTTATATCGGTATATCTAGGTACAACTGATTTCGGTGGATGCACACGCCGGTTCCACTGAATATTAGCATAGTGCCATAAATTCGTGGGAATTTACGAGATAGACCGCAAAGTATCCAAGAAATGGGTAAATGGGTTTAACACGGTAGCCTTAAGACTGTGACCAACCGAAATACAATCACGGTTTGATACAAAACCATCAGGCAGAGCTATTTCCCAGTCATATTTGAACGCTAATGACGGTAGAGGCTTCTTTTTAGCGTAAACATTTATTCGGTAGACGGACCGGAAAAGAAAGCGGATTAAGAGGATGAGGGTTATGTCCCGGTGAAATGCATAATTTATCCCGGGAACCACAAACAGATGAAAACTCGTAACCTCCACGGAGCTAGCTAACCTTGGGCTTCAGAAATGCAATGGGTTACAACTGGTCTTGGTAGTAGTTGCTCAACAAGATTCTGACGTTGTGGAACTCCATCTTGCACTTCTCCACGGCGTCGCGAATGCTGTCGCTCCACTGGCCTGGTACACACAAACCGTCAAAGCTGTGCTTAGCACCGTAGTTCTGGATGCGCTCACACTCACTCTGCACCTTCTGCAAACCCAAGGCGGCCGCGCTGCCCTTGAGGTAGTGGCCCATATTCGAAATTTTCTTTAAATTCTCGTCCGAGTTTGGGTTTGCCTCAGGCGCTAGCGCGGCGTCGAGATCAGCAAAGATTGTGTTAGCCTGTTCGACAAATGTAAGTATCAACGACTTTGAGAAGTCCTCTTCATCCTCATCCATCGTGAGCAACTCGGAAAAGATCATCCAGTCGATCAAGTCCGAGTTTTTGGGGTCGTGGTAGCGCGGGCCTGGCAGATCCATCGCGGCGTACTGTGCAAACTGGTCATGCGCCTTGTCTGATGTCTGTGCGTGGAATGAAGATGTGATCATTAAAGTGTAGGCGGCGGGGCTGTAAACGGGTTCGTTGTACGTGTCTCAGATGGAACGAAAAACGGAGCGTGGAGACTTCACGAAGGCGTTGACTTCTGGATATACCGGCAATAAGACTGAGAGAGACGCCAAGGATGGGACTGAAATGAGAGGGACACCAAAGATAGAAGAAGAAGAGTTTTGCGGATGGTTGGGAAATTACGAGATTGCAGAGTGGGAGAAGGTTTCAATTATTTGCCGTACGCATTTTCGCTCGTTCGCACTGGCCTCGAGGTCTACGAATCTGCCGTGACGCGCCTGAGCTCATCACGCAGACACTTACATCTTCGCACGTCATTGGTTCCAGCCTCTTTTTTTTTTCCTACCCATGCCAAGAATTCTAGATCCAGTGCCAGGTACGAACACATGACCAAAAAGCGCTTGGAGTAATTTCAGGAAAGCCGACCTTGAAGCTGGTGAGGCGGGGGAGAGCCTAAAAATTAGATTGGAGTCATCCAGAAATCGCCCGATCTAGATTGTCTAAAACGAACAGAGCGGAGGTTGCCGTCCATGGCGTGCGTTTTCGCGCAAGCCTCTATGTTGGCTATGGCCACCAGTTGCTTGTGGTCCAGACAAATAGCTAGTGTTATCCTTGCCTATTGGTAGCATATTAGGAAAGGCGACAGCTCCTAGCGATTGGTGTGAAAGCAGCCTTGCTATCACCGTTTCCAAATAAGCGTGAGCCGCCCAGGCATGACGCCTACATGTTCGCGGGGATATGTGCTTAAAAATTTTCAAGCACTTGCGCATGGTTGGGTTACAGAAGACCACACCTTGCATGGTGATTGGGTTCCTAGCGGGATAGGCCATTACAGGGTCTTTTGGAGCTTCTTGTTGATATTCGGCTGAAATTCCCACTTGTCGAGCGCTCTTGGGCCTGATTGACGCTGGAATGGTCCAGATCTTCTCGCTTGTGGCGATCTGTCCTATGCGAAGACAAATAGAGAGCCGCACGATGATATCATTGCGCCGATAAAAAAGCATACGGCGCACAGTGCTACTTCTATATATTGCTATTTCAACCAGAAGCGGAACATAGGACAATGGCCACGGAGCGCCGAGGGAACCAGTGCTCAGATCTATAGCAGTTTGCGTCATTTTAGAATAGCCTCGAATTCAAACAGTTTTCCTCGGATTTCCGCAGCAGTGTGTTACCCTTATGACGTCGTTGTCCCTCAAACAGGAACTGCACGTCATGTATGCACATCATTTTGACGTTTTGAGCGCGGGTAAAGACTGTTTTAAGGTTTTAGACGAGCTAATTTTTCTGAGGGAGAATCACTCTTGACAAGTCACTGGTTAGTATTAGGGAGTCTCGCTTTCATTCCAAGCTGCCGTTAGGTGGATGTACTAGATACGATAGGGTATTATTTTAATGAAAGGACGGCACGGCGCATAAGCATGCAGCCTATACAGCTTCAGTTACTTTAAATATATGTAAAGAAATAGGTTTACCAAATACGCCAGGTTAACTGGTTCGGATTGATCCCAGGACTGTGCAGTTGTCAGGTTATGGGAAATTACCTAGAGCCTACAACAGCTGTCAAGGGTGGTATGTACATGACGCTACCCTTTAGAGCTGGTGCTATGTCTGAGTGGTGAAAATGACTGATTCACATGAATTGGTTCATACTCTAAAATGGGTCTTTAGATACCTATCCAACCTAACGCTGGCAGGGTGATATCCCTTCCGCCTCACAATCTTTGGACGTGCCAGTCGATTAAGAGCACCCATGAACGTATATTTGCATCTTTTCAGCCTATTCGCACAAACCTACCAAAAACACACAGTGAGAATCACGTAATCAGCATGAGATAAAATAAGACTAAATACACAGAAATATCCGCTTAAACGCTCAAAGAAGCCTCAACATGCTTGTTGTATCTTCCACCAACAACGGTAGCCTCACCAACAAGCTTGTTAACCTCGGCAAACTGCTCCTCTGTCAACTTAATCTTCTGAGAAGACAAGTTCTCCTCCACCCTGTCGATGGTGGTACCACCGGGGATGGCCAAAAACTTTGGAGAGTTCTTCAACTCGCTGTGTTGAGCGATCCAGGCCAACGCCAACTTTGGCATGGTAATGTTCTTGTCACCCCACTTCTTAAGCAACTCCTGCAAGTCATTAACCAACTTCAAGTTCTTGGTAAACGCGTCTCCTGAGAACCGGTCAAACAGTCTTCTCATGTCGTTCTCCGGGATATCCTCCACCTTCTTGATAGTACCGGTGAGGAAACCTCTGCCCAATGGCGAGTAGCAGACGATAGGAATCCCTAACTCCCCACAAGTTTCCACAACCCCGTTGGTCAAAATTTCACGGGACCACAACGAGAATTCAACCTCAACACAGCTGACAGGGTACAAAGCATGAACCTTACGGATGGTGTTGGCGCTCACCTCACTAAGGGACAACCCCCCGATTTTACCGGCAGCAATGTACTCACGCACAACCTCCACAAATGTTTCCATCGGAATAGAGGGGTTAACTCTGGCAGATTCAAACAACTCCAAGTACCCATCCGGCATGAACGACAAAATGTTGTCGATAGAGTGGCGCAATCCTGCGACGTCAGGCACCGGGGCCAAGGTCTTGAAGTCAATACCCCCCTTGACACTGATGGTGACCTTACTTCTATATTCAGGGTACTTCTTGAAGAAGGCCTGCAAGTACTTCAAGTTCAACTCGGAGTCTGGTGGGTTACCATAGAACTCACCAGAGTTGATGTAGTCGACGTAGTGGTGGTCCAAGATGTACTTCAAAGTTTCGTTGAACTCCTCCTGCGTCTTTGGCTGTGAGCGCCAGGTGAAGCCCATGAGGCCGAACCCGATCTTACCGTTGATTGGGATTTGTTGGTTTAAGGTGGATTGTCTTGGCATGATTTTACTTAGGTTGTTAAGGAATTGAGGTGGTGAATACGAAACTCAATAAGCAATTGGGGAGGGAGGTGGTTTATATACTGTAGGGAAGGTTGCATGAAAACGTGGAACAGCAATTTTCACGTTTGCCACTCAAAGCTAAGGCTTGACATATGCGTAGTATCCGTCTCGTGAATACATTGATAGTATCTTACTTGCATTTAATCCCTCAGATTATAGACGTATTCGAGTAGATACCCCTGGTATTCGGAATTCGTCGTCTAGTATACGCTTAATCAGACGCAAGGTATTAAATCTTAGTAATGTAGGTTCGGGTATGCTAAGAATCCCTGTGTAGTAACTTTGGGGTTTCATTCAAGGAGCTTCGCGGGGCATGGAGGGGATATTTCGGAGGCCGTATTTCACTGTCCTCAGTCGGAATTGAGCAGTCAAACATTGGCTATTATACTAGCCATAGGGATAATATATTAGTAGGTGAATTTGAACCAACAGTATCTCGGACCCCACTATTTGTCGGTCAAACTCCGATAAATACACTATCCGAGGATGCCGTGAACACTATACAATTTTCAACCGGGGAGCATAATGACCAGGGTATTCACTGGGTGTCCTTGGAACACGCAGCAACTTTATAACTTATGGTTCTCCCCGCACAACAAGTGCAACATACAGGCCTTTCATCCAGGCACCACATCATCGCGCAACTTCTTGATGACAAAATATGTTAGGTCAAGCACTGCAAGAGTGCCTTTTAACATATACTCAGTCCGTATTATAGTAACCTTTCAATGGAAATCGTAAGAGGAGCCTTAACTCCGTAAGCTCTGCCGAATAATGCAGCGTCGGTTCGGAGACGCGCTCTATACTAGTTTTAACTCCGATAGTGGTCAAAATCACAGGCAAGGTATGATTACAGCAGATATAACTGGGCACCCGCTTGGATCCCCTCTACTCTCATATAGCTCAGCAGCTCATGGATATATGGAAAAAGACAAATTGATTCACCAAGTATACAACCCACCGACAATTCTATATAGACGCATCTATTCCCTGTTCTCAACAACCAACTCGTACAAGTCGCCCAACTTGCTCGCATAGTACTTGACCTCCTCTTCCGTGCCCTGCAAGTCCACGACACGGGCTTCCGGCTCGATACCTGTCAAAACTAAGAGGGTCCCCAAGCCTCCGTCACGGCCGAACTTCATGTCGGTATTCAATCTGTCACCAACCATGACGGCACGCGCTGGGTCAAAGCCATGCTCGGCCTTGATCGCCTCCATCATCTCCTGGTTCGGCTTCCCGCACGAGCGCGGTGTTCTACCGGAAGCGTAAGCGATAGACTGGATGATAGATCCGGCACCAGGCAAGACCTTACCCTTGTTAGGGAAGGTAGAGTCAATATTTGTAGCGAGAAACGTAACCGCCGGATCGTGCAAGTACTGCAAGGCTGCAGCGAGCTTGTAGTAGTTGATTCGGGTGTCCAAACCGGCGAGTACAAGGCTCACTGCCGGGTCTACGTTCTTGATGAACGGCGCTTCCAAAGCGTTGAAATCTGCTGGCATGTTCGTGAGCTCCGGGTCGGTACCCCCAATGGTGGAATACCCCAACTCGTGCAACTCCTGCTCAATCCCGTGCTCGCCCACAACGAAAATCTTCTTATTTGTAGAGAGCTTGAGGATCTTTTTGATGTAGATGGCGGACGCGTACGCGCTGCCGAAGATCTCGTTTTTAGAGACGTTGGTCAAGCCGAACTTGGCAAACTTCTTTAAGTAGGCTTCGCGCGATTTGGTGGAGTTGTTTGTCACAAAGATCAACTTTTTTCCGCTCGCCTTGAGGAAGTTGAGCGTCTCTGTCACCTTTGGCAAAAGGTGATCACCCAACCAGAGCACCCCGTCACAATCAAAGAGGAAGTAGTCGTACTGTGCAAGAAAGTCTTCCGCCTGTTGTTTTGTTTCGATCTTAACCGTCATGGGAGAGGAACTGTGCGAAGGTGGAATGAGATGCAAGGATGTGAGACTTTTATGCTTATTTTTAGGTTTGGTATCTCCACCACGAGGCCACCCCGAGCCACCCGAGGTGCACGTGATAATGGATCATAGCAGCACTCCAATGTCCACGACCAAAGGAAAATGAGCCAATAGATACGAGCTAGACCATACAGATAATACAGCTATTTAGGACTCGCTATATAAAACCTCAGAGATTAGCGTAAGATCTATGGCGAATAGCTGGGAGCCTCGGGTCTGGGCGGTAGAGGTGGCACACCGTTGCGAATTTATCGGGGAGAACACCTATAAGGGGGATTTAAACTAACTTTATAGGTACATCAATATCAAGCGATATAGCGTACTCGGTGTCAGCTAGGTTGGGTACATACGCGCTAACCTTTCCGTACAAGTACAACGCCATCCGGGAGTCTCTGGGCCATATCCGCGAATCTCACGTTCTGCATATTTCACGTTCGCGAAACTGAATCGTTTCGAAAACACGAAAATCACCAAAGGCGGAATTACCCAATCCGGAAATCTACAGCCAACCTCCATTTGTTTCCCCCCATCAATGATTGGCCCGTAAGACATAGTCGTGCGCCAGCTAACTAAGCGTAAAATTCACGCTTACAGTCTATATCGAAAGGGAGGTGGTGTATACACAGATCCTCTCTCTCTCCAACCAATCTAATCCAACTGACACAAAATGGCCCAAGATTTACCACCTATCGGCGGTTATGAACCAGTGCAATGGAAGCGTAACTTGCCTTCCAGAGGTTTCCGCCCTATCGTTTACTTTATCGGATTGGTGTCCTTGAGCGCCTACGGATTCTACAGAGTCTCTTTGGGTATCCACGAGAGAAGGGAGTTGCGCCGTGAGCAGCGTTGGATGGAGTGGTACTTGACTCCGTTGTTGCAGGCCGAGATTGAGAGAGATTCCTTGAGAAGAACTATCGCCTACAACAAGCGTGTCAACGAGGTCATGAAGGGCTCCGAAGGCTGGGAGAACGAATACCAGGGTGAGGGCGACGAACACAAGTTGAAGGACATTCCAAGACAATTTGCATTCAGAGACAGACTCAGAGGCTGGTGGTACGGCTCCAACACCTTGTCCACCACCTTCAAGCACGGCCAGTTCTGGACCTTCGACGAGACTGCCGATGAGTTTGTCGCCAAGGGCAACGAAAAGAAGTAAGGGTCGCTTCGTTTCCACTCCACTTCCATTCATAGATCCCCTATGTTCATCAGCCTTGCCCTTTCTGTGATGAACGACTAATGCTAGCAGCATCGGAACGCATCCATACATTGTCTGCCTCAGATGCGATCCCCACATATCCGGGCTATTTTTTTCAGTCCAATCACAACTTCATTATTTATTCATTGTCTTTTTTTCTTTCTCGTGCTACTGTAAGAAAACTTTGCTTCTTTATATGAGGGTGTATCGCCTAGAGGAGCAATCGCGATACTGGTGGAACTATCCTGTAAATGAACCATTTAACGTGTGAACCCATTTTTTTATCAGTTTTGTTTCGCCCTGGCATGAAAGTGTATTTATTTACCACAACGGACAACTTCGTAAATTGCATTAACATAAAAACATGACTTGAGATCTCAAACGAGCGTGATTAAATGAATGTAGACCTAGCCCCCTAAGACACCCTCTGGCCTAGGGACTTCCTTCTGTAAAATAATAGTCCGCTTCAACAAGTTTCTCAAGTTAGGGCTAACCGTAAGCTTAGATGAGGTAGCGGGGGCGGTTGAGGGTCCCTCTTCTGGCTTAACAGGCTCTGGCTTGGCAGACAGAGTCTGTCCTTCCGGAACCTCGTCATCGCTGGCCTCCGGGGTCAAAGCATCAGAGTCATCAGGGGTTCTGTCCTCTTCGGTTGCAGGAGATTCAGCCTGAAGTTCGCTTGGGGTGTTCTCGACCATCTCAGCAGACTCAGCAATGTCGCTAACCAACCGCTCCAACTCCTCTTCCAGCAAATACACAAACTCCTGCTTCCCGTCGCCCCGGTCCGCTTGGTACACCACCCTGCGGAACTTCAAGAACAACTTCTCGGCCCTGATCAAAATATCGTCAATGTCATGCTCGTTCATCGCCAAGTCGTTCACGTACTTCAAGATCTCATAGTCCTCGGTCAAGTAGTCCATCATGATCGACTCGTGCTTCTGCAAAAGCGCCAACACGATAAACAACTGGTACAGTGAAGAGTAGAAGCGGGTAAACATCACGTCCCAGAGCGAAAGCACGTCGTCGAGCAACAGAAACTCGCGCTTGAACCACACAAGCAACATACGAAAGAGGAAAAAGAGATGATTGGCGTTGCACTTGATCAAGTGCTGGTAGAACTGCGGCAACATCAAGTTGATCAACTCGTTGAGTGTCTCGATCTGCTGCTTGATCCCCAGCTGGTCACGGAGAAAGTTGCGCTCCATGATGTCCATGTATTTGGCAAACATCCAGAAGGTGAGCGCCTCGTGCGTGGCAGACGCCGATTCCATTTCTGGGGTGAGAACGGATCTCGTTCCTGGAGCTTGGGCAGAATCTGCATCAGGGGACGTTTCGTGTGGCTTGACCACCAAATCGTAAAGAGCAAGGTAGACCGGCGAAAGCAAGTCGTTCATACCCTGAACGTATCCTAGGTTCAAATTATACTCATTGTAGGTCAACAAGATGTTCTTCAACCGGAGCAAGTGCGGGTGGCGAACGTTCAAAACATCATCGTCGTCAAACTCCTCCCCATTCTCTGGCTTTGGTGACTGAAAAAGTACCAAGTTACGGTCCGTTCTCTTTACATCCTTGCAGATGCGGAATATCTGATCCTTGAAAAGGTCGGTTTCCTGCTTCACCTCGTCCTGCTCCCATTTAGCCTTGAGCTCTTGATAGGATGTCTTGTAGCTCTCCAAAACAACGCTGCGCTCGGCCAGAGAGGTGTCCCACGGATAAACCTCCAACAAAAAGAGCCAAATCTCGCCGCGGAGCGCCTGGTCGACGCTAGCATCGATACTACCATGGAAAATCGCCTCGCGGACCTCGTGGTCAGTTATCCGTAACCTCCCAGACGAATCGAAAAATGAGTCCCACTCGACACGGGTGACTGGCTTGCGTCTGGTCGCCACAATACCCCAGTCGTCCTCACCGTCGCCTAAAATAAACGTCGACTGGTCGTTCAACTTGAGTGCCTCTTCCTGGATGCTCATAGCCCACTTGGCGAGATAGATCCGGGCGCCGTCGAAATCGTTGGCCAAGCTGGCCACTTCCGGTTTCTTCAACATGTGTTTGACAGGAAGCGGGAGTGCCGAGTTACGCTCATCCACGATATCGGTGACCGTGGTTTTTGCAAGCGTGGACAACGAAGCAAACGTCTCCAAGACCTTCCACTTCATTCCATTAAGGGTCTTTCCAAGGGTGTTGGCAGTGTCCTTGTTCAGGGAGGCACCAGAGGTCGGGGGCATAAAGTTAAGACGGTCTGCAGACGACGGATTGACCAAAAACGTCGAACGCTCCAACGTCGACTTCTCAAGCACTGCGTACCGACTTACCACGTCGAGAAACTCGTCTCCCCCCCAGGGGAGATCGCTGGTGCGAAATTTCAGGTTAGAGCCGCTCGCAAAAGGATCAAACTTTTTATTCTGGCGGCTCTGCGCCTGCTGGGTTGATGGCGATTCGTCGTCATGAAAGAAGATAACTGGCAACTTATCCACGTTATGGAGCGTGTTAAGCACCATCAGGCCGTACCACAAGTTGAGCCGTGGCGGCCGCGCCTGCACCAGGTACAAACTGCCGAGGGGGAGAGAAAATGCGTACGAGCTCAAGCACGAGACGAGGGGCGTACGGACGTAAATGGCGCCGCTGACATTGGCGGACAGCGTTTGAAGCGAGAGATCTGCCTGGCTGAATGTTTCCTTTTCACTAGGCACGAGCATCGACTCAGGCGTGAACGAAAGAAGGAGCTCGTCATTAGTGCCGTTGGTGGACGGGCGTGAGATGGAGAGGTATCCGGGGATGTTATCCTGAGCACGTTTTGTGGGGTGGAGGTAGACTTTGGATTTGACATAAAGCAATTCAACCTTTCCCGAAGGAACGGATTGGCGGGATGTTATAGGAGGCATGATAGAGAGTGAGGGTTCGCTGTGATGGAGAGCTGGGGCGATCTGGTTTGATTTATATGGTAGCAAAGGGGGGCGCATTGCGCAGCGCCGCACTGCGCAGCGCCGCACGGTTGCAATGATGTCATAAGGACGTACCTATCTCTGACTAGCACTTGTCAATCAGTGAACCATGATGTAGCGACAAGGAATATAAATAGGTACCACGTCGTGAGTAAATCCGGAAAGAGGTAGGTTTAATATTGGATTAATATATAAGGTGCAAGAGGTTGTGGGTTAGATAGCTCGGAGGTGCGTAGTCTCGCAGGGAAGCCTGGCTGTGGCCCCTCGGACACGGCATATTCTCCGTATACAGATCTGCTTCGCCCCACAACCTTGTTACCCTTCACTTGACCACATAGTCCGGAAAAAACTCCGAATTAGATCAGCCATAGTCATTACAATTCTTTTTACAAACTCCATCTCTGGAGACCTGGTCTAACAGCAATTGAGCATTCCCTTGAAGGTAATATCCCCTTAATATTCCTCTTGCATGGTGTACGAAAGGGTTTTCCGCTCAATCACCTCATTCTGCTTCTTATACCACTGTTCCTCAAACCCATTAGAGCGGTCTACGCCGTCCCACTTGTAGCCTGGCGGAATGCTAAACCGGTTCGCGGGATAGCTTCCCTTGTACAACTTCCGCCCCGTTTTGGAGCGCGCATCCTTCGTGGCACTGGGTAAAAAGTTGAACGCAGGATCCTCATATCGCTCCTTCTGCCTCAACTCGTCATTAAGTTCCTTGTCTCCAGCGTACCGATTGAGAGGCCGTGTCTTGGCTTTTTCTAACTGCGCTCGCTCCTCCTCCTGCTCGATAAGCTGCACAGCTCCGGTGTTGATACTGCGCTGTATGGCCTCCTTAGCGCGCGCGTCGCTCTCCATCTGTGCGCGAAGCTCTGCGCGTTTCATCGCGACGTCCACGCGGCGTCCCGACGCGTCACGATATATTGTCGCGGAGTCTTTCCCCAACAGGTCGGGGTTCTCCGTGAGCATCCGATGAAGCTCGTCCGCCTGTTTCTGATTAATCGAGTCTTCCACCGCCTGGCCCGTTTGCAAACCTGCCACCGCACCATTAGCCATTGTCACCACACCTTCCACGATTCTCGGGGTTTTGAGGATTTTACCCGTTTCCAAGTTCTTCCAGCCGCGCGATTCCCTTGTCACGACCGCCGATTCGATTCTTACAGGGCCCTCGCCTTCGGGTTCTTCGTCGCTGATTTGGGGATGGTCCCATTCAGCGGCATCTGCAACGATAATTGTGGAGCTGCTTTCGGCCTTTCTCTTTTTCTTCTTCTTGTCTGGATTGAGGTAGTTCTGCGCAAGGTAATCTGCAAGCGACATGGTTGTGTGTGGGGAGTTAGAATGGGATTTTATCGAGGATCAAAGCTGATCGGATTTGAATAGATGGGTGATAGTGCTTGGACTGGAATAGTCGTGATAGACTACATGTCGAAGGTTTCTGAGTTTTTCATACGCAGGAAAATACGCGCATGATGCGGCGTCATGTAGACTTGTAGTTGAATATAATATTGATATGATAATATTAAGTAGATTTCTTAGGTTACAGGTAGTGTTGACACCCGGCAGATAAAGAGTTTACAAGGGGCTGATTCCTTTGTTTCATTTATATTGTATTACACCTAGGGATAGAGCAGTTCGTTCAGACTACGCCGGGCAGCGTCAGTAGCAAAGAGGGGATTAGCCCATTCTATATACAACAGGATGCCAAAACCAGCTGGGTAAAGCTCCGGATATACATATTCATACGTCTACATCTTACCCCAATATTAATAATTATATGAAACTAAACCAATCAACCTCCATCTATACCATTTTCTCATTCTAGTTCATCATCTGGGACAAGTCCACATTGGAGCGTCTTTTGAGAGGAATACCTGGGGTAAAGGAAAGCCCATCAGGCGATGATTTGCGCTCGGGCGCAACGTGGGTATGGAGCCCGTGGGTATTCGCCAGCAACTGCTCCAAGTTCAAGATGGACCTGATGGGTGGTAGCACGGTGCCACCCGCGGCGATGTTATGGGCCTGTTGTTGCTGTTGCTGCGTCTGGAGGTGTTGCTGTGACAAGCTGAAGGAGGCCATGTGAACGGAGCTCAAGGAGGCAGGCGCCAAGTGCGGGGATTGGGACGGGGTCGTTAAAGGAGTCTCGTTAGGACTGGTTAGGCTGAACTTGGGATGAGTATGGGACCCGTTCATCAGCAGGAGGTTGTGGGAAGATGGGTGTAAACCAAAGAAGGAGTGCGACTTTACAAGATTCGGCGGAGAGGACGTGCTGGGGGAGTTTGGCCGGGACTTTTTGCGCTGGAACTCCAAATTCAATGCCGTCGCGGAGGGTGGTCTCGGAAGAATGCCCTCCTTTGCAGGCGAAGAGGCCACGGTAGCCGTGCTTCCCGCGGACGGGGTCTTGAGGGGGGTCATTCTCTGGAGGGAGGAGAGAGAGTTGAATAAGTGATGGGAATGGAAGTGGGCGCCGTTCTGGTGATGGCTCCCCATGTTCAGCAACGAGGTTGAGGAGCTGTTCTTGGACGTAAAGGTGAAGTTAGAGTGCGGAAGGGTAGGCGAGTTGCTTGACGACTGGGTAGCCGAGCTGAACGAGCTATCATTGTAGGAGCCGTGGGAGAACAGCGTGTTGGAAGACTTTATCAGAGGGACAGAAACGGTGGAGAGGGATTTTTCACCAAATGACTTATCCATAGCTTCCACTGGCTTTTCATGAGATGGCTTCTCGTGAAGTGGCTTCTCCTCCGGCCTGAGTGTATCAGCAGGTGAATGGGTCCTCGGCGGAGACACCGAAAATTGTGCAGGTTGCGCCTGGAACTGGCTCGGATAGTACGTCTGGGGGTATGGGCCACTGTTGGGATACTCCACAGGCTGCGCGCCCCCCGGCGGGTATGCCGTCAAGTACATTGGGTATGGCGTTGGGTAGAGCGGTGTGCCGTTGCTATTGACGGGGTAGCCCACCGGAATCGGTTGCACGTGGTGCACTACCGTGTGATTCAGGGTCTGGGAGTTCTTTGACCGTCTCGATGACGGATTCGTGTGGATTCTCGAGTGTCTTGTCAACTCATCGGACCGGGAAAACTTCTTCGAGCAGCCGGGAAACGAGCATGCGTGGGGCTTCTCCCCGGTGTGGGTGCGAATATGTCTTGTCTGGTGTTCCAAGCGATGGAACGCCTTGTCGCACATTGTACATTTGTAAGGCCTTTCCTCCTTGATTTTTTTGTCGGGGGTATCGATCATAGACATGAGCTCAGATTTCAGTTATAAGGGTTGGCGTCTGGAAAAACTGAAATTAATAAAGCAGAGGTATAAGTTTGTCTTCTAGCAAAGAAAGCAAAAGCCACTGACTATGAACTAGAGAGAGAATGAGCAATAAGAGAGAGCCTATCTATGGAGGTTTATTCCACAAACACCCGTTTTTACGACGCACGGAGGCAGCGGCAATATGGAAAAAGAAACGTGCTGCAAGAAAAGTTTTTCCGAAGACTTGCATACGGCGCTTGTGAAAATTTCCGGATCACGGGGGGAGCTTCCAGTAGGTTTAGCATGAGATAGACATGTGGAACTCCGTTTCTTGGCACCGCAGGTGATATAGGCGCAAAAGAGCGTTTCATGGGGTTGCATTTCCCCATCCAGGAGTCATCTGGTTACAAAAGAAACGATTGGAAACCACACGCACCCCATGTCTCCCCACGGAGACACTATACTCCCCAGAGATGTGTACCCCGGAACTGAGCAAACAAGCAGCGTGTATGCCCGACGCACCAATACATACACCCTTATACTATCTTTTTTACAGCTTTAGTACTTATCTCTCAGGGCCGGTGCCTTATAGCCTTGTCCTCTAGAACGTGTGTTCCACGCAATCTGAATACCAATGTGCACTAACCAGAAGATTACGTCGTCATACGTCTGCTTTTGTAGTACCCCGGAGCTGCAGTCGACGGCCGCGCTATCGGCCCCGAACTTCTGCTCGGGATTCGGGCGGCACAATAGCGCCGCAAGCAAAAAAGCTACCAACTTTATCGTTCTTACGTTCGCGATAGCGTAGATAAGGAAATAACCTCAACAGTGTAAGGATTCGATAGACATTACGAAAAAAAAAGCATGTGATAGGCGTACCAGGTTCTTACTGGGTTTTGATGTGGTACCGCAACCGGGAAAGCTGAAAGATTGGCCAGTTGTTTAATGGCTGAATATGTCTTCCCCTAAAGCGTACTTGGAAGCTGCACGGTAAATGTTCCATTATAACCTGGCTCAGAGCTGCATTACCCTAGACCGTTTTATAAGCACTTTACATATTAATGATTTATTCGAACTCTGTGTATCCCGAAGCGGGCGAAGTGTGGTGGGTTCCTCATCACGTCATTCCCCACAGAATCCCGCAAGATAGCTTGTTACAAGGTTTCCGCAGTCACTGGCAAATGCTGTACCCCAGCTTTGTGAGGCTGATATGCGTGATACAAATACCTCAGCGGAAATGAGAAGTTGTCATTATAATTAGATCCCGACATCGTTAGCCTTGCTAGAGCGATACTTGTGCGTCCGCAAGGAGACTGTATAGCGGTCTCACGTGCGAATTCCCACGACTGTACAGGCTATCGCAGCATGTGTTGAGCCCAAATACCACAGGGGAGACTGTCTATGGTTTTTGCACTTCCTGGGGTATGTGAGAGGGCCCCTGTTGGCCTCCGCAACATGAAATTCACATGCATCCGGGTGGAAGGATTTGGTGTATCCGCATCTTTCCGGCGAACATTCCATCTCATGTGTTGCAAAACCACGGACTCAAGCCATTGTTCTAGAAATGAACCGGCTGCAACCCACTCGAAAAATTCTTGGCCTTTTGTTGATGCTATTACTGATATACCAACCAAGGTTGGAAATATCTCTGCAGTAAACCCTTGTAATCTTTTGACAGATATCAGATCTGGACGTAGAAAAATTCTGTTAGATACAGAAATCACCATCTATCCACTACTTATGTTCCTAGAACTCGTGATGCTACCCGGTTTGACTTTGATCAACCAAGGCTTGACATGGTTTCATCTGCTTCGCTGTAACCTCCTCATGTGCACCAGTCTGTTCCTTATGAAACCTTGAAAAGTCTTTCAGAGGGCTAATTTCGTTCTATGAGCAAGGAAAAGCTCCACCGCCTTATCCACATTTAGAGATCGCGCTATTAGCCTGTTAGAGTGCGGTATATGAATAGGATATCTCTGATGGCCATCGGTCCATCCCTACTGCTTAGTGCACTTCTGGACTTTAAAGTCTATTGGTAAAACTGATCCACTCACCCTGTTACGTAAACTGCTTGCCAAAGCAAACCCCCTAAATTTGGATTAGGTGGCCAAATATAACCACCTATCCGAAAGGTAGCGTTTCAAAAATAAGGAGTAAACCTGGCATTTCGATACATAGACAAACTCCTTTGAATAGCCTAGGGAATTTCATCGAGTTGATTGTCCAACTCAGGTTAGGTTATTAACCAATTGTGCTCTCAAAAATCATAACAGGGGAGTCCCCGTGGAAGGCAACGCTGCTAAACCTGTTCTACACTAGGAAAAATCTAGCAATTTTCGTTAAAGTAGAGATACTTTTACATGCGCCACTACAGCACAGGCCAGCTCGCCATGAACTTAGTTGAAGTCGTCGTCGTCGTCTTCGTTCTCCTCGTTGACGGCACCCTCCTCCTTTAACTTCTCGGCAGTCTTGGCGTAGTCGATGACCTTGCCTCTGGTTCTTCTGGAGCCGGTGATGATATTGGAGGTGTCAATTTCCAACAAGTCATCTTCGTCCTGTTCCTCCTCGTCGATTGGCAACTGATCCAACTTTTCGTCATCCACCTCCTCTTCGGAGTCGTCAGAGTTCTCTTCCTTCGGTTCATCATCGTAGTTTCTTCTTCTACGCTTGCTCTTCTTAGGTTCCTCAGACTTTTCGGCAACTTTCTTTTCCTCAACTTTCTTTTCCTCAACTTCCTTTCCCTCAACTTCCTTTCCCTCAACTTCCTTTTCCTCAACTTCCTTCTCCTCAGTTGCTTCTTCAGTTTTGGCTGGAACCTCTTCGACTTCTTCGGCCTTTCTCTTTAAAGTGGAATCGGTGGTTTCAACGGCTTTAACTTCTTCTTCGGTCATTGTGTTTGTGTTGTATCGATGTGGAAGAAGATTGCTCAATCGGCTGTCAAATATAAATGCATAAACATCGCATCTCCTATTTCCCCGATTAGGCAGTCCACGGTCCGAAGTGTTCGTGAAAGCGCGGGGATGGTGACCAATATTACGCTTGCAAGTGTAATTCCTAGCCCTATCTATGTAAGATTTTCTTCTACATACATGATAGCATGTCAAAAGACGAGCTCATCGGGAGTATCTACAACGCAATATATACAACACAGTATCTCTGATTGGCCTATAGCATAGGTATGTTACCCCGCCAAACAATAACTCTGAACACCAGGCGTCATTCTAAGCCATTAGGCTATCGCTCCGCCCTCTCAGAACATCCATCGTCGTTACTGTTACTAACTTACTAGCATCACATTATGAACGTGTCAAGGAAAACTAAGATGGCCGATTTGGTCAACTACCGCATCAAAGTCACAACATCGGACTCACGCCAACTATCAGGCCAGTTGTTGTCCTTTGACAAGCACATGAATTTGGTTCTCGCCGACTGCGAAGAGTACCGCATCACCAAAAAGTCGTTGCAGGAATTGAAGGAAGCCAGCCGCAGCAACAATTTGGCACCAACTAAGGTGACCGAGCAGAAACGTGTTTTGGGCTTGGTCATCTTGCGAGGCGAGCAGGTGGTCAGTCTTGTCATCGAGTCTCCGCCGCCAGCAGACCCTAGGACAAGGTTGGGCGCCACCACTGCTGGGTCCGGGACCATTAAACAATTCAAGAGCGCCGTTCCCGCACCGTCCGCTCTGGCCGCCAGTCTCGCTGCCCCTGTGAGAACCAACAATTTCACCGGCGCCCCTAAGGTGTTTACCCCTCCTCCAGGTTTCCAAGGTGGTTTCAAGAGATAGGTCCGGGATGTGTATAATAGACGATATGTATTTTAGTGTCAGTGTAGATGGCGGACATATGTTGTGATATGAATGTAGTCTATGTACAAAGGCTCAAAGAGTCTGCCTCGGACACGTTGGGCTACAAGCTAGTTGCCAACATGGTTGGCCCAATTTCTCTCGCTATAGGGTATTTCTAATTCTATGATAAGCCAAACTAGTTGTCTTACCTGTTGTGTGCGGGCAGGGCTTCTAGAGATTATTTGAGTTAACTCACACGTCTCTTGGAAGAGCAGATGTGCAAAATTACGAAACTCGAGACTGCAAAAATACGAAGCTTGAGCCTTTACGACTCCATGCTGAGATTTATATCGCAGAAATCCACATCCATTTTTTATTTCTCCCCCTACTTGTAACCATCTGTTTTTATGTTGGGTGTGATTTAGATAGCCGTAGGACCCTCGGAGATTGGTATCCTGCTGCGACCGTTCCGCCAAACTAATCTCGACCAGTTCCTAACACATGCAGAAACCGCGAATGACCGCATGCCTCGTTCGCATATTATACTGTTTCCCAACAGAACGTTGAATAAATGTCCCCATACTACAAAAACCACGCTAGCTTTTATATATAGCAATAAGTCTAAAGATATAGGCCAATCATAACATAGCACTCTGTCAATTTGATTTGTTCATGACAAATAGTCGGATATTGCGGACCGACATCATACATCAAACCCCAACCTAGCTCCAAATACTAGATGAATTATAGTTGCTGAGAGCTCCACTAACCTCTAAAAGCCTCAGTTAGATATAGTTAATGAAAATCCTCATTGCCCCCTTATAAACAAAAGCTCAAACTGTTTAGGCATTACCGGTGAGGGTTCCTGGTTACGGCGAGCCTCGTACATTTGTTCTGTTCTGGGTCGTGCCCTGCCTAGCATCGGTACGATACAAACACGGCATAGAAAAAGCGCTGAGGTCGCCGTCAGCCCCGATTTCTCCTTCGTCATATCCATAACTCCCACTCCCACTATGGCTGACGATTACTCCTACGACTACGAATACCTCTTTAAAAGTACGTATCCCAGTTTCTTTCCGCTATGACCGTCCTAACTCTTTAGTTGTCTTGATCGGAGACTCCGGCGTTGGGAAGTCGAACTTGTTGTCGCGTTTCACTCGCAACGAGTTTAACCTCGACTCGCGCTCCACGATCGGTGTTGAGTTTGCCACCCGTACTATTGAAATCGACGGTAAGAGAGTCAAGGCCCAGATCTGGGACACCGCCGGGCAGGAACGTTACCGCGCCATCACCAGCGCCTACTACCGCGGTGCTGTCGGCGCGCTTGTGGTGTACGATATCAGCAAATCTGAGTCGTACGAGTCTGTTTCGCGCTGGTTGAAGGAGTTGAAAGAGAACGCTGACGCTAACATCGTCATGGAGTTGGTTGGGAACAAGTCCGACTTGGACCACTTGAGAGCGGTGCCTACCGACGAAGCCAAGAATTTTGCCTCTGAAAACCAGTTGTTGTTTACTGAAGCATCTGCGTTGAATGCTGAAAACGTTGACTTGTCCTTCCACCAGTTGTTAAAGAGCATCTACGAGATGGTCAGCAAGCACCAGCTCGACGTCTCAGACTATTCCGGTCCTAAGCCTTCGGGCGGCCCAACCATCTCCTTGACCCCAGCCCCGGTCGACAAGAAGGCATCCTCCAATTCTGGCTGCTGTTAGAGGCCGCATTGGCCATATAGGCTTGTATATTACGCATCGCAGACCCACCGGGTGCCGTTTGCCCTGTTTTTTTTTCTTCAGGTTTTCATATTAATTCTATCGTATTTGCGAATGTAGGAGAGTGATGAACCAAGATTGGACCGGTGTAAGGATGCTGTGACTCCGGGATCTAACAGAAGTGCAGAGTTTTGGATCCCGGCACAAATCAATAATGGTTATCGAGGATGTAAGTATAAAAGGATTTTCGGGTATTTCACTTCGATGGATATGGGCAGGACGTGGAGTTTACATATTAGACCGAGCAACGAGTTTCGTTTGGTCTTACAAAACCGTTTTCACGTATCTGGTTAGTTTTCTTTCTGGTTACTAAGGTTTTATGTTATACCTCATGGCGCAGTAATCTTCGGGCTCTCGGAACTGGACCGTGCTTTTTCAACCGATGATTTGATCCAGTGGCTTTGTAGCCCACTGGATTTCGGCCTCTCGATGTGACTTGCATTTAAATTATCAAGAAATCTAGATGGTATTGTTAAGTCTGGAGGCTTTGGATTTTCACGTTTCGGCCCTATCTGACTCTAAATCAGCAACCATCAAGTTTTGTAGTTCCCATAATCCTTCATCTCCATTGCAACGGGAATGTCGCGTTGCTGACGCGTCAGAAACCGTGCATTGTTCGGACCCTCCATTCCCCCATATGAATGCTCCGTCTCCCGAGCTATACTTTCAATTATATCTCCTTCTTTCCAAACCCATAACGACGACTTTATTTCCTGAAACCCCCCACTTTAGTTGCGGTTCGCCTTCGAGTATTCTATCTTTTGGTCTCAGCCACCTGCCGGTCGTGCGCAGCCGAAGCCGGGGCCACGACCAAAGTGTCCCTGTCGCGTCGGCCGTGCGGGTAACTTGACGCGTTTTGCATACATTAAAATTCATCACCGCCACCACCATCCCTCTTTTTTGCCGCTCTTCATCAATCATGTCTGAAGTGCACATAAACGGAAACGCGTTTAAACGCCGTGTCGCTGTCATCCAGAAGAACCTTGCCGCCGGGCTCCCCGCCCTCAACGGCGCGACGTCCGTGTTGGTCATGGTGGGGTCTAGCAACGAGGACAACCCGTACCAGAAGTCCACCATCCTCCAGCAGTGGCTCTTGGGCTATGAGTTTCCTGCAACGGGGATCCTTGTAACTGCCACCAAGACCGTCATCCTCACGTCCGTCAATAAGGCCAAGCACGTGGACAAGCTCAAGTCGGACTCCGTGCTCGTGTGGACCAGAAACAAGGATGCCGCACACAACGCGCAGTTGTTCAAAGATCTCCTCGCGGAAATGAGTGGCAAGATCGGGATCCTCTCCAAGGACTCCTACAAGGGAAAGTTCATCGACGAGTGGCAGGCGGCTTTAGAGCCGGTCAAGGCCGACTACGTGTTCGTGGACGCCGCGGCAGGCTTGTCGGCCACGTGGGAGCTTAAGGACGCGGAGGAGCTCAAGGCATTGACCACGGCCGCGAAGGCGTCGGTTGCGTTGATTGACTTCTTCCAACAGGAGATGGTGACCGCGGTGGACGACGAACGCAAAATCACGAACTACCAGTTGAGTGAGAAATTGGAGCTGAAGATTGACGACGCCAAGTACGTGGCACGTCTTGAAAAAAGCCTCGATCTCGACCCTGAAGTCTTGGAGTGGTGCTACACGCCAATCGTGCAGAGCAGTAGCAAGAACTACGATTTGAAGGCGTCCGCACAGTCGGACGACGAACAGTTGTATGGGGGGGTGGTTTTATCCACGTTGGGGTTGCGTTACAAGTCGTACTGCTCGAATGTTGGGAGAACGTTTTTGATCGATCCGACTAAGGAAATCGAGGCGAACTACGACTTCTTGGTGCTACTCCAGGCGCAGGTGTTTACGTGGCTAACGGCCGGCGCGGTCGCCAAGGACGTTTACGCGAAAGCCGTGGAGTTTGTGCGCGAGAAGCACCCGGAGTTGGCCGACCACTTTGTCAAGAATATCGGTTGGAGCATGGGCTTGGAGTTCCGCGACTCCACGTTTGTACTCAATGCCAAGAACGAGCGTGTTATCCACGAGGGCTCGGTATTGAACGTGACGCTCGGCTTCCAGAACCTCACCAACTCCAAAGCCACGTCCAGCAAGGACAAGACGTACGCCTTGGTGTTGACAGACACCGTAGCGATCACTGCGGCCGAGCCAAAGCTCTTGACACCGTACACCAAGGCACGTGCGGAGGTCTCGTTTTACTTCAAGGACGATGAGGACGTTAAGCCGGCCAAGTCCAAGTCTGACCAGATCAAACTTGAGCAGGATTTGAAGAAGAACGAGCAGAACTCCAAGATTCTCAAGTCAAAGTTGCGGGGCGAGAACAAGAACACCGCCAGCGAGGACCAGGAAGCCATCAAGCGCGAGTTACAGAAGCAGTTGCACGAGAAGCGCCAGAAGGAAGGGTTGGCGAGGTTTGACTCGTCGGACGCCACCGACGCTTCCGAAACCGTTGCGGTCTTCAAGCGCTACGAGTCCTATATCCGTGAGACGCAGATTCCGCCACAGGTGCGCGATTTGAGACTTCACGTCGATGTCAAGAACCAGACAATTATCTTACCGATCTGTGGGCGTCCCGTGCCGTTCCATATCAACTCGTACAAGAACGGGTCCAAGAACGAGGAAGGGGACTATCTTTACTTAAGATTGAACTTCAATTCCCCGGGTGCCGGTGGGAACGTGTCGAAGAAGACAGAGTTACCATATGAGGATGGCAACGACAAGGAGTTCGTGCGGTCCTTCACTTTCAGGTCGCGTGACACCGAACGCTTGGCAGAGGTGTTCAAGCAGATCTCCGACTTGAAGAAGGAGTCGGTGAAGCGTGAGACCGAGAAAAAATCGATGGCGGACGTTGTAACGCAGGCAAAGTTGCTCGAGAACCGCGGGTCACGCATGAAGAAGCTCGACTCGGTGTTTGTCAGGCCGGCTCCCGACTCTAAAAGAGTAGCGGGTAGCTTGGAGATCCACCAAAATGGTTTGAGATACCAGTCACCGATCCGCTCGGACCACAAGGTTGACATCCTCTTCTCCAACATCAAGCACTTATTCTTCCAGCCATGCAAGGAAGAGTTGATCGTGATCATCCACTGCCACCTCAAGCACCCGATCATGATTGGCAAGAAAAAAACGTCTGACGTACAGTTCTACCGTGAAGCGTCGGACATGACCGCCGATGAGACCGGCGGCCGCAAGCGCAAGTACCGGTATGGTGATGAAGACGAATTGCAGCAGGAGCAAGAGGAGAGACGGCGCAAGGCGTTGTTGGACAAGGAGTTCCGCGGGTTTGCGGAGTTGATTGCCGATGAGTCGAACGGATTGGTCGATTTGGATGTTCCGTTCAGAGAGTTGGGATTCACCGGTGTTCCGTTCAGATCTTCCGTATTCTGTATGCCAACCCGTGACTGTCTCATCCAGTTGATTGATCCGCCATTCATGGTGGTCACCTTGGAGGAGATCGAGATTGCGCACTTGGAGAGGGTGCAGTTTGGCTTAAAGAACTTTGATTTGGTGTTTGTCTTCAAGGACTTTGCCAAGCCGGTTGTCCACGTGAACACCATCGAGATGGGGGTCTTGGAAGATGTAAAGTCGTGGTTAACCGACGTTGACATTCCCTTGTCTGAGGGTGCCATCAATTTGAACTGGCCAACGATCATGAAGACCGTTCAGTCGGATCCGTACCAGTTCTTTGTTGACGGTGGGTGGTCCTTCTTGGCCGGTGATGATGACGAGGACGAGAGTGATGAGGAGGAAGAGTCTGAGTTCGAGGTTTCCGACGAAGATCCTTCCGACGAGGAGGTGGTTTCCGAGGCAGATGACTCCGATGCCAGTGCCGACGGTAGTGACAGTGAAGGCGGTAGCGGTAGCGGCAGTGACTTTGACGAAGAGAGCGAGGCTGACGACTGGGACGAGATGGACCGCAAGGCCGCCCGCGACGACGCCCGTAGAGGCGGCGAGCACTAAGTGTTTTTGTATTGTTTTGTATTCTAAGACTTGAAGTCTGAGTGGCAATTCAGATTCGGGAGAATCTGGATGGTGTAGAGAGGTTAGAATTGAGAAGGAGCACCAACCCAAGTCCGAATAATGGCTGAAGTTTGAATCCTAATCTGATAAATATAGATTTAGATGTATATATGTGTATTTTCTTGGCATATAATTTCCATATTTCGTAATATTTACGGAAAATTAATATTTATGCAGACAACAGATTGCATAATGAAGTTTGGTATACAAAAAATATACGCAAGCGTTTGATATAATTGGTTCAAGTTTCCGTAATCTCACCCCAAATTGCTAGTTTCCAGATATATACACCTACGGATAATGTATTATCAGATATATTCATATCACCGTCACGCCGGAAACCCTCCCATGGCCTGGCTATTGACAGCAATTCCTCGCCGCACCTCACCTCTTTTCTTCCGCCGCATGAAAACTTTACACGCAGGAGAAAAAAAAAAGAGCTCCAGGTTTCCACCTCTTTGCTCTATCACCAACCATGTCTGCCATCCCTGAATTTGCTTTTCCAGGGCAGCCGCTCGTGCCTACCTACGAGCTTGTGAGCACCAAGCAGGTCAAACGCTTCCAGGCTGGAAAGGGTACCAAGCTTGTGAAGCTTGAAATCACTAAAGGCCACAGACTAGTCGAGGTCCCAACTATCGTCGCTACCATTCTCGGGAAAGTTGTCGTTGTAGAGCGTGAGGCCCCAGAGACAGAGGAAGCGGACAATGATGCTTTGAACGTCAAGACATATGTCGTTTCCGTGTTGCCAAAGGGCCAATCGGTCGAGACCGTGGACCTCTCCGCAGGCCTAGACGATGCGATTGTTTCAAGTAACCTTCCGCAAGAAGGAGACATTATTCTCTGCCGTGTGACCAAATTGACGCTCAGACAAGCCTTTGTGGAGATTTTGGCAGTAGAGGCGCGCGGGGTTGTATCCAAGGACGGCGGTGTCGGCCACAACGGCTCCGGCGAGGTGGCGTCTGGCGGCGGTTCCGGCGCGCTCACCTCTTCACTGGCCACAGCAAACACTGCGCCGACGCATGCAATTGCGTCGGACTTGGGCGAGACCTTCAAGGGGTTGATCCGGTCCCAGGACGTCAGATCCACCAACAGAGACGCGGTCAAGATGATCGAGAGTTTCAGACCAGGTGACATTGTGCGGGCGTTGATTATTTCGTTAGGTGACGGCTCCAACTACTATCTCTCGACTGCCAGAAACGACTTGGGGGTTGTGTTTGCCAAGGCCCATAGCGGTGCCGGTGGCTTGATGTATGCCGTTGACTGGCAAACCATGGTCTGTGCCCAGACCGGCGAGACTGAGTTGCGCAAGTGTGCGAAGCCGTTTTAGGATTGTAGATTTCATTGTATAATAGACAGTTTTTCAGGCAGGTTGTAGGCCGCGGCTCGAAGAGGTGATGTGGCGGAATAGCTGGGACAAGGGATCGTTAATAAATAAACGAACCGGTAAAGAAATCTTCAAGGGAGATATATTGGGCATTACGAGTTTCGCCGTTGTAGGAGCTATAGTGCAGTAGGGTTCAGTATCGTACCGAATCAGAACTAGATTTAGAAAATTCAAATGACCGATTGAGTTGGTACCAGAATTTTGTGACGCCCATAACAATTACGTATTAGTTGTCCACATGCTAGTTTATTGTTTCACCTTCATGTTATTCATTCTTAAAATTGGTATCTACTATTCATTCACACTTACAATCTACCCTCAAACCAGTCATTGGTATGTGACTTTAGTCATGTGTCTTATCCATTTCACCAGCACATGCTTAGTCATTCCCTTAGCTGTAAATTCCCTTCACTTTTGGTCCGGAGCATATTCCCTTCCTATCTCCTTCCGATTAACCTCAGATTGCTCTCTACCATTCCAGCACCATCACTTTATTTTTTTTCTCGTGGGGAAAATTCAGAATGGTAGCACTCCGCCATTTGCAAACACAACAGACATATGAAGTAGTTGAGAGAGTCATAACGATATCTGCATGACTCGTGTTTAGATCTAGTCATCCGGTCTGCGTGGTGACTCCAGAACAAGAGCTTTGGGGGAGACCCCGCTGGAACTGCTTTATTCTATATACCCCTCGAGGGAACTGCTTTGAGTACTTAGATGTTTCAGAGCGGCTTAGATTACTTCAGTTCAGTTTCAAAAACTAAGCCAACCGTTAACCCGCATGATGGAATGTTTCATATTAACCCCTGCGCGCGCTTAGTCTCGATTCAAAACATGCAGTCGTCATACTGCGTATACCTTGACGTGAGACAGTGACGCCTTCCACATGGTCCACTGATCAAAATGAGGTGGGAAAAAGAATCACAGGCTGCACAGATGGGGTAGAGGGCTTAGCGGAACAATGAAACAAGAATATCTTTGAGTGGTTTAGGCAAAATTGAGGGATGTTCGCTGTGCCGACTCGAGACAGCCCACTCACACATGTGTAGGTTCTCGGTCCGTCGGGGTGGCTCCTTTCAGTACACCGGCAATTTGCAACCGTGTGGCCTGGCTTACAGCTGATCATGCTTACATATACCATTATGGCCGAATTTCAGAACCAGAAGCTTATGTAGCCAAACGAGAATCTCAAGCCAACAGAACATATGGCAGGGCTGAGTGCAGTGGCACTGCCTCTATCCGCACGTGCATCGTGGTCAACATCGCACCGATACTCAAGCCTGGAACCATCCATTCGCAAAAACCTCCAGTTAAAAGGAAAAATGGAATTGAAATTCGAATTAAAATATGTCTAAAATGAATTCAGTGCTACAAAAGATATAAACGCTTTAAGCCCTACGCGACCCGAGCCTCGTAAACTGAACCCAGAGCTTATCCTGCATAGACCCCCCGGCGCTAAAAATAGGAAGTGGTCGTGCGCTGCACGCACCCAGATGGTGACAGCCGCCCTGATCTGATTCCAAGCCCATCAGAGGGTACCGCAGCTCAGCACATCGCGCTTCCCAGGCTTTACGGCCAGAACGCTGCAGTGTTCGAAGTTCCATTGGTACCCTTGCCAGACACCTTCAATTACCTACTGTATACCCCTGCCGAGTCGCGTGCAAACTGATATTAGCTGCCGAGATAAGCCTATTTTGTAAACCAGTTGACCTACTCTTGCATCATTGAGACCAAGGACCATTGGAAAACCATTGAACACACCTAAGACCATTTCAGACGAACAGACCACAAGCAGCTTTTCATGTCGGAATCAACAGATCTCTTTGAGGACGAGAAAATCAAGCGGGTGATGAGCGGCGACTCGTCGCTCGACGCGTTGCTCACGCGCCTAAAACAGAGCATGGTGTCGACAGACGAATACGCCAAGTTTGTCAAGAAGAAGGCGGCGCAGACCGAGGATTACTACAGTAACTTGCGCAAGCAGGCAAAACACACGACAGATCACATCGGCAGCAATGCGACGCAATTTCGCAATGACTCCTTCATGCGCTCTTTCCAGCAGATTGTGACGTTCGACGACAAGCTTTACAGCGTGGGCCACTCATACGTGCAAGCGTTGCTGGTAATGAGCGATGAGCTCCACTCGCTCGTAATGGCAATCTCCAAGAGCCGTAAGTTGATCAAGGAGGAGGGGAAAAGACGCGAAAAGGAGTGCATCGACGCGATTCTGGCGGCGGAAAAGGCGAAACAAAAGTATCTCAGCTTCTGCACCGAGCTCGAGAAGTTACGCACGACCGATCCCAACAAGAAGTCGTTCTCCTTGACTAACAAGACGAACGCGCAGCAAGAAGATGAGCTCACCAAAAAGATAGAGGCTGCCGACGCCGACTACCGGTCCAAGGTGAAGGTCTGCGAGAGCCTCAAGCTCGAGTTGGTCAATCACCACAGGCCAAACTCTGCGTCAAAGTTGAAGAACTTGATCCTAGAGATTGACATTGCTCTTAATGTGCAGTTACTGAAGTATGTGACGTGGCAAGAGACGTTGGTTATGAACTCGGGGGTCATGATTAGCCCGTTTGCGGGTGGCCCGAGTAAGAAGTCCATGAAGGAGATTGCGTCGGCCGTGAACAATGAACTTGATTTGTACAACTATTTGTTGAAGTTCATCAATATGAAGCCGAACGTGAACTTGGTTCCGGTGGTGTACAAGGTCCATCCGTCGTTGGAGCGTGCCAATGGGAACTACAAGCCGCTTCCAGTCGCCAAACCGTTCTTCAACCCTAATCCGACACCTCTGGCGGGCTCTGTGCCGTCGTCAGTAACCAGATCTGTGACTTCCGGGCCCGTTGGGTCGTCGCTTGAGGGCTCTTCCTACAAGTCCACGTTAGACCCGGACCACAAGTATGAGGTGACGCCGTCGCGTCCGCTCAACAGTGTGTCAAAGGACCCCACCTTTGGCATCAAGCTTGAGGAGGTAGTGGAGAAGGCAGGAAACGACAACGTGCCGTTGATAGTCGAAAGATGCATCCAACTCATCGATGTCTACGGCTTGAAGCTCGACGGGTTGTACCGTATCAGCGGAAACGCCACCGCCATTCGTCAGCTCAAAGAGCTAGTCGACCAGACGCCTACTAACTACCTCAAGGTCGGCGAGTACTTGTCTCTCGATGGTAGCTCCAGCCCTACCGACAGCGAGATCCACCTCATTGCGCTGTTGGTGAAGAACTTTTTTTCGTCGCTCTCGGTGCCGCTCATCTCGGTCGACTTGTACACGTTGCTTCTTGACGCGTTGAAAACCGCGCCGGACTCCACGTTTGTGATGCGCAAGTTTCACCAGATTGTCTACAAGCTCGCTGACCCCGAGTATTTCACTTTGCGCTACTTGATCTTCCACTTGAACCGCGTGGCCGATCTCCAAGACACCAACCGCATGACCCCACGTAACTTGGGGATCATCTGGGGGACCACCTTGTTGCCGTCGCTGAACCCGAACGCCGAGGAAATGAGCTACCAAGGGAAGATAATCGAGGAGTTGATGCGCATTGCCAACGACATTTTCGAGCCAGACACCTAGATGAAGTTACCGGCGAAGTGGATTTGTTACTATGCCGTGACTGTCGGGGCGTTTTGATGGTCTGCCCTTAAATCTGTTTTTGAATCTTGCTGTCTTTCCCTATGAGAGTGACACACCACGCCGTTTTCTGTTTTGCCTGGGCCGGTATGTAGTGTCTAAAAGTAATCAACATTGTATATTAAACAACTAGTAAAACACCCTCGGGACTAGGGTTTAAGTAGCGAAGGATAGAGCTATAGCTTTAACCAACATTGACGGTTTTTTTTTTATATGTAGCGTAATCTTTGAATTAAATGCTCATGTGTAAATACGGTGAACTTCAATAGCAGTGCAGACTTGTCCATAGATCACTGCTCCACCGAGTCTCAAAATACATGAACGCATACGTATTCCTGGTCGCTAACAATTTACAAGCCACACAAGTGTGTTACAAAAAACGGCTCCCATGGTCGGACATCTGTACGGCATGATTTGCCCGAAACTGCCTCTGTTTTTAAAAATTTGCCGTATTTCCCCACCTCGCCGAGCGTAAACGCGCCGCACTGGAAAATAAACAGTCCTGTATGCACCTCCTATCAGCTTCTACTTTAGATAATTGCCGGCTGTTTTGCCACCTCCTTTCTCCTCTAACAACTCATATGTCTCGCTTATCCCAGTTGGACGCTCTTCCGCGTGTCAAAGGACTCCAATTTGGCCGTACCATTGGTCAGGGGTCGTTTGCCATGGTAAAGGTTGCCAGCGAGACCAAGCGCCCCAGTCACGTCTACGCCGTCAAGTTCATCCACCGCGCGTACTGTAATCGCATGGGCATCACGGACGACGATATCGGGCGTGAAATTATGCTCCACAAGAAGTCCCTGAAACACCCGAATGTAATCTCGCTCCTCACCTACGGTACTGATAACGTGTGGCTCTGGATGGCGATGGAGCTTGCCACGGGGGGTGATCTCTTTGACAAGATCGAGCCCGACGTTGGGGTTGACGAGCAGGTAGCAAACTTTTACTTCCACCAGCTTGTCAACGCAGTGCTGTTTATTCATGGCCAAGGCATCGCGCATCGCGACATCAAACCGGAAAACATCCTTCTCGACGCGCGCGGAAACTTGAAGCTCGCAGACTTTGGCTTGGGGACGGTGTTTCAGCGGACCGATGGTCTGAAGCGTGTGTGCCACAAGCCGTGTGGCTCACCGCCGTATATGGCGCCGGAGATTGTGGATCCTCAAGGATACCACCCCGAGTTGACGGACGCCTGGGCATGCGGGGTGGTATTGTATGTGCTTCTTTCGGGGCAGACGCCGTGGGATGAGCCTACACAGGCTGATCCTGACTTTAGCCAGTTCCTCCACCACGACGGGAAGCTCCTCACCCATCCCTGGAACAAGTTTCTGCCGCTTGCCCTCTCGATTATCAGGGTTACAATGAGACCTAACCCCGAGGAGCGCTACACAACAGCTAAGATCAAGACTCATCTTTGGTTGAAGCAACCGAACCCGTTGGCCGATGAGCAGGGTTTGTGCCGGGACCACGATCTCCTAACGTCGAAGCTTCTCCAGAACTTACATGTTGACTTGAACGACGCCCCGACACCCGGCTCGCAGTACCAACCAATCAGCGCTACCCAGCCGATTAATGACATTGCAGATATGCTTGATGATGAATATGACGTTCCCGTGGCATTCACCCAGCAGGTTGTGTCTGCCAAGGAGGCCTCGCGGGGCAGGGCGGTGCTCAGTGACCAGGACGAGATGATTATAGAACTTGTGCTGCGCGACCCAGCAACCCTCCAGTTTTCAAACACCACCAGCAGAGCGAACCTTGAGCTCACAGAGCGCTTGACGCGCTTTTTCTCCGTCTGGGAGATGCCTGTGTTGGTTGCGAACCTTGTGGCGGCGCTCAACACGTTGGGGATCCGCTTTTCTGATGTGGGTGTGGTAGAGCAGCATGTGGATACAGTTTTTATCACGGTACAATGTTTGGATGGCCGGCGAATGCCGATGCGGGGAACCATCAAACTTGTTCGCGTGGAAAATTTGCCTTTGCGAAGAGTGGATTTTGTCAAGTCTAAGGGCGATCCGTTAGAGTGGCGTCGTTTGTTCAAGCGTGTTGTGGTGTTGTGTCGCGATGCGGTCTATGTTCTGGAGGGGAACTAGATGAGCGGTAGGAACAGCGCTCTGATGCGGGCTTCTACAAATGGACACGGTGAATAAACAAAAAATTACAAAGACTAGAATAGTCTTAATGATTTAGGGATTATTACTTGTGAGTGGGGGTTTAACTGGGAGAAGCTTATATTCGGATGACTCCGTGGTAAAAAAAAACAAAGCTTTATTTTAAGCCATTGACTGTATATCATCCTTGCGTTGTTTTCTAAATTTAAACTTGGAGCGGTAGCTAGAAACTGTAGCGCCAATTCCGGTCAGGGTTAAGCCCCGAAGTTCGTGGGTTGCTTCGCGGTATACTCTTTCGCTTCTCGGTACACCTCAGACGTCATAAAATCGATAGTAATTCATGTTCTACACGCAAAATCCAAACTTCAACTAATATTAAAGTCAATAGTTGGGTAATAATAAAATATCACGGGTCGGTCCTATGCCCAACTCGTATTCCTGCACGCCCCTTTTAATTCTCGGTACACTCGGCCCCGCACATCGGTGCGATGTCCCTGCGCTGAGTCTTTACAAAAGTCGCAGCAAGTCTCGTGATCGACGCTTCTTCTTTAGTACACTAATCTCAACTTGCTACCACCCTCCATCTGACTAACCACCATGTCTGAAGATATCTCTGCCCTCTTTCAGTCTTCTGTGAATTCTGCGGTGCAGAGCTCCCTTTCATCCAAGAAACCGCTCTTTGTGTTCGTCACCGACGAGTCTGCCACCAGCTCGCACTGGTTACAACAGTGCGTGACGCCGGCACACCGGTCTCTGGTAGACCAGCATTCGGTGACATTGCGTTTGGTCAAAGGATCAGTAGAGTGTGGCCTCTTCGAGCTGACCTTTGGCGAGACCGTCGTGCCGAGCATCTACATCGTTCGCTTGGGTCAGCCGCTTGAGACGATCCACGTTAATTCTTCGGAGGAAGAGATTCAACTGAAGATTGCTGGTTTGAAAGGGGATGAGGAAGATGCACGTAGTACATCAACCCCATTGAATTCTCAATCAGATGCACCATCAACCCTATTGAATTCTCAGTCAAATGTTCCATCAACCCCATTGAATTCTCAATCGGATACGCCATTGGCTATGCCTTCTACCCCTGCAAATCCCGTCGCTACCCCTCCTCCCGCAAAACCCCGCAAGTACTCCACCTTAAAGGAAGAAGCGGCCGAGACCGCCTCTTCTATCTACAGGGAGCAACAGGCCAAGGAAAGAGCGATGGCAAAACTCGACAAGGAACGGATTTTGAAGCTTCTCGCGGCGGATAAGGAGGAACGTAAGGCGAGAGAACGCAGAAGGTTGGAGCGTCAAGGAGAAGTGATGGAGGCAGAAGAAGACCTGTCCATCAAAGAGGTGATTCGCAAAAAACAACATGATTCGTGTGCTTTGCATATTAAATTGCTCAACGGGGCAACACTCACGGCCAAGTTTGAGCCCCAGCAGACCCTCAACGATGTGAGGAACTGGGTCGACGAGCACCGTGACGACGGTGAACAGCCGTACACGTTTGTCAAGGCGGTGCCGAAGGTCAACTACGGGGACGGTGACGAACTGAGCTCACTCGCCGAGCTAGATTTGTTGCCGCGCTCTGCCTTGTTATTGAAGCCGGTTGAACATGAAGTTGTCTCCTCCTTCAAGCAAGGGGAGGGCTGGTTGTCGGGGTTGGTTTCCGGTGTGTTTTCCTACTGGGGAGGCAGCAATGACGACGATTTAGAAGAAGAGGATTCGCCGAACGTGACGCCGGACGCCAGACCGGCTGAGGACGCCGGGGACTTCTTCCAGTCGCCAGTGGAAAGATCCAGAGCATCCACCCCTACTTTCCAGTCGCCCTTGATGCTCCACGACCCTGCCAGTGTCCTGGTCCGATCCACGTCGATGTTGCGCTCCAGCTCGTCGCAGAGTGTGTCCCAGCAGCCCCATGTTCCGTCCAACTTGCACCATTCCAATTCGATGCTCAGTTTTGGGGACTTGACCAGCGGCGCCCCTGCTGGCGGTACCGTGCGCGAGAGACCCACACCCATCTCCAGTCATAACTCCAGCGTCCGCATCAGAACATTACAGGGCACTGGGAACAACGAGCGCCTTACATACAACGGAAACCAGTTGAACCTTGAGGATGACCGGGATAAGAAGGCTGCAGCTGAAAAGAAGGAATAAGGTTTGTGCTGAAAGCTATGAATAGGAAGTTTTTTCCGTGTTTTAATGGCATCTGTGGGTTAAATTAAACAATTGTGAAACATAAATCTGTAGGTAAGGGTCAATGTAGATAATTCCAGATTAGAGATGGCCACAGCAAGTAACTAGCTGGCTATTTAAAAAGATTTAGGCAAAAAAATATGAAACTTAGAGCTATCGCTCAGTAACAAAACTACAGCTTATACAAATATGAGTGCCTTCAAAACGCGGGAACTCTATTAATCCTCCTATACTTAGGTTTTACAATGGCATTGATCTAGTTCAATAACTTTGATTCTGACTGGAATTTTAATTCTTGCACTTTAATCAACCGAAAGTCCAAAGTCACAAAGCCTCAGATCAACCCTTACGCGGCGCATTTTCCTGCGCGCCGAAAAAAAATAAAATAAGCACAACCCTCTCCACTTCTCTCCACGACTGCCTACCCCACAATGTCATATTTAAGCATCCAGCAGGTTGCTAGAGTACGTTTTCCTTTATCCTAGTTCATCTGTCATGAGACTAACCCCTTAGTTGGTGGAATCGCTCTACACGATCCGCGATCCGGAACAAGTCAGCGTCGTCCAGAAGGAGCTCCAGGCCCTCCAGCGGTCCGAGTACGGCTGGACAATTGCACACGAGTTGCTCCAACAGGAGTCGGCTAACTGCAAGTTTTTTGGAGCGCTCACCTACACAGTCAACTTGAACCGCGCGGACTTTGCGGACGCATCGGTACAGACCGCACTCCTCCAGATCATGGATCACCTCGTGGCGCTGCTCACGCGCGCGGACCTCGCGATCGTGGTGCGCAAGTTGCTTTCTAATATTTCGCTCATTTACGTCAAATCCTTTCGCGACTGGCCGAACCCCGTCGCGACTGTCTGGTACGTGATCCACTTGCAGCGGCCAGTGGTGCGCGAGGACTTGACACACGCGGTTGCGCCGGAAGCGCTCCGGGAGACGCTCAGCACGGCGTCCGCGGCACAGATTGCAACGTTGGTGCTCTTCTGCCGCATCCTTGTAGAGGATGTGATCAAAAACGAGCGCACATCCACGGACTATTCATCTGAAATCCACTTAGCGATCCACGCGAATGTGTTCCCCGCGGCGGAGCCGTTCTTACGCGCGATGCTCGCGGCTCTCCACTCTACCGGGGTGGTGCTCGCGACTGATTCTCTCGAGTGCCTCCACGCGTGGATCCAATATATCTGTGTCGCGGAAACCGAGTCGATAGCGCGGTTTGACATTTACGGGCTTCTTCTGGACCTCCTTACCGCCACCGTCTCCCAGTCTGACCATGACGTCTCTGCCAAGTGCCTAGACGTGTGGACTGAGGTGCTTGAGACGACACCGATGGTGGTGAACCGGAAAACAGATATCAAAGATCGCTTGCAGGAGGTGCTATTTGGGCCCTGGGGCACATCCTACCTCAATTATTACGCCCAAGAAGACGACCGTGACCTGCTTGCGCAGTTCTCCCGCCTAGCCATTGCCTTCCTCGAGCTCAACGTAGTGAGGGTTTCGTCTGAGTTGTGCAATGCCGAGCACGATTCTCGCTTTGAATTCTTGCTCCATTTGACAAACTACCCCGGGATGCCGGTGGTGGACGAGGATATTTCCCTCCAGTTCATCGAATTCTGGTCACAGCTAGCGGAGTGTTTTATTGACGACGCTGAATTAGTCCACCATGCACTCGGAGGTGATGCGGAAAAGATCGCCCGCGTCAACATCAAATCTGTGGACTTGTTCAGCCGGGTGTCCGTTATCTACTGGGGAAAAATTCACCTAACTGGTGACACCAAGACTGACGAGTTTTATTCCTATCGGAGAGATGTAGCGGATCTTTTTGACACCATCTACCCCATTGTGAAGTTTCCCTTGTTCCAGAATCTTGTCGATAGTGTCGAGCAAAAGACCAAGCCCAGTGATGTGGAGGCATCCTTGTACCTCCTTAACCACATGGCGGCTAATTTCGGCGATGCCAGTGAGGAGGCTCTCAGGGCTGTTGAATCGATCTTTAGCGGAGGTATTTTATCCTATGTAACTGCCCAGAATGAACCATCCCTCACGGCTATCACCATCCGATTCCTCTCCTCCATCGACTTTTTCTACAAACACGTTCTGGGGGTGTCGCACCTTCCCAGCATCTTGGAGTTCCTCTTTGATAGTCTCCTCCACTCACAATCGCAGCTTCTCACCTCCAAAACCATCGTCACCATCAGCAGTGAGTGCCGGGTATCTTTGGTGGAATACCTTCCCCACTTTGAGCGCCTTTTGGTGATGGTCATTGATAATGTTACGGTCGAGGGCTTGATTCGCGAGCGCATTTTGAACTCCTATGCGTCCATTATCCAGAGCATGAAGAACCCCCAGACGCAGGGCCAGGTGCTAGACAAGCTCCTCTCATTGATTTCCAACAAAGCTGGGGTGTTGATCTCTCACTTTGATCCCCTGATGGCCGATTATGCCGTGTCCTTACTCAGCAGCGTATACGAGGTCGGGAAGGGAATGCTGGTTCCGGATGAGGCCGAAGACTTTTACACCCCTCAGGAGCAAGCATCCGTGGTGGAGTACTGGACAGCGGATCCGCTAGGAATCCGTGCCAAAGTCATGGCCATTGTGGTCCAATTCTCGCAGGATCCCCATCTTTCCCGTAGCAAAGAGGTGACGGAAAAGTGTTGCCAGATATTGAGGGTCGGGCTCCGCGAGACCATAACCGGCCCATTTGTCTTCCCTAATGCTGCCTTATTCGACTATATCGTCGGAAAGTTTGCCATCACCGGCCCAACCTCTGTGCCGTACCTTTTTGGACTCTTCGAGACGATTGTGAACATCAACTTCCGCCAGTTATCAGTCATCGATGTGGCACCACTAGTAGACTGTTTGTTTGTGGACCAGCAGCTCTCGGACCCAGATCTCGTAGATAGCTGTTTGCTGTTGTTTGCAACCATGGCGGAACAACAGCCGATGCTTGTGGTGGGTCTTCCAGTCTTCCATGCCCAGGTGGTGCCCTTTGTAATTGATTCGCTCGCCTCCCACGAGAAGTTTGTCTTGCGTGCCTCCTCTCGTTTCTGGTGCAAGCTCATTGTGTTAAGAAAGGGAACCAGAGACGATAGAAGCGTCGTGGATGGACTCTTTGCCAACGAGGCGTTCTGCCAAGCGTTCGTGACCACTTTTATGACGGCGTTTTTGGGTGCCTCGCGGTCGAATTTGGACTATTACACCGAGATCGTACGGGTATTATTGGCCAAATACCCGATGCCGTTGAAGAAGTGGCTCCTGAGCTGTCTCGAGGCAAAGAAAGTTGCTGGAGCGGAAAAGTTCATCGGCAAGTTGATGGTGACTAGGGGGCAGCGCCGGGCCGTTGAGGTCATGAAGGACTTCTGGTTGGACATCAACGGGTTGATCAATTACAGCAAAAAGTAGGTGAGCTTGGCCATTGGGTTAATACCGCTGCTTCTCATCGTTTAACGCCAGGAAATTGTCGTCATGAGGTGTCTGATATTCCGGAGAACCTAAAGGAACTGAGGCTATACCAGAAAGAGAGGTGCCTTCCACTGAGGATCAAATATTCAAACCAGATCATGTGTATGAGTTTGAGTTCTGAACTTTTTCCGCTTGGAGGTGATGATTGGTATTGCGACCCAAGATACGTGAGGGGATCCTTCAATCCTGCGCTCGTTTCATACGCTGAATTAGGCTACAAATCCTTCTTATGCCCGTTCAACCCTTGACTTATGTGTTCGTCCTAGCTCTTATCTCAATTTTACACCATTCATTTCTTTCTTAACCAGCTCTTTTTGTTTTCTGCAAACCTTCCAGCTGTTATTTCCACTCCATCTAACCCCACCAGCACTCGCTTCTACACTCTCTCAAAATCACAACATAAATTACACAATATAAACCTAAACCATCAACGCATCCAACTTGCCCACCAAGGCCTTAGATTCGGCCGTAAAGTCAATTTCTGCCAAACGCATGACCTGGTACCTCACTCTCACATTCCCGTTGTACGCGTCCTGCTTGGCCTTGAAACGGAAGTTATACTCCTTCATCTGGACGTTGGAAATCACCTTGGTGAATTCGCCGTTCTCGTCATTGTTCTCCTTCATCTGCATCAACTCTCCGGCTGTCACGCCCAACATCTGTTGCGCGTGCTCATCGAACATGGAGACCCAGATCTGGCCCGAGCTATCCAAAAGGGACGCGCTCAAGACATAACGGTACGACGGCGCCGCGTGGTCCATGTCGCACTTCTCGCAGCGCCACGTACCGGAGTTTTGTTCCACGACCTTGCGGTTGCAGCCCTCAGAGGAGCACGCAGGGTAGCAGAAATTCTCGGTCCGGAGGAACGAAACGGTTGCCTTGGAAGAAAAGTAATCTGGCTTTTCGTTCATTCCGAGATTCTCCGCCTGCGCCTGACCAAGAGTGATTCTGTCGTTTGGCGAGCTGTGCCCAACCTCGGTCTTCAAGGATGTAAAGGATTGAGACTGCCCCTGGGTGTCGAACCAGCCCTTGAGCTTGTAGGCCTCCGGAGAGTCTGGCGATGGCACAATGGTCGCGGACTGGGTCAAAGACAAGGACTTGCCACCGAAATCGGAGATCTTAGCCCCCTTGAAAGCAACCACAGAGCCCACAGGAAGGTTAAAGTCCAACGCAGTCTTGTTCCACAAACCGACCGTGATGGCAAAGTTGGAGTCGTCCACAATCACCACATCGCGTCTGTCGAACGGTCTGCCCGACGCTTTGGCTGTGATCTGGAATGGATCGTGAACCTCCTTCAAGACTCCCAACACGTCGATTACCGAGTTGGTCTCGCACTCCGCAATCTTGTTCAACGTGGTGAAGTTGAAGAGAAGCTTTGGGATGTTGTCAGACTCGAAGCACTCTTCCACCTCGGTGTCACGGTCGAAAGAGAGCTCGTACGGGTGGGAAAGGTTGCTGAACTGCGGCTTGGCCTGCTGGATGCGCGCCTTGGAAAAGTAGTACACCTTGCCCTCCTGGAGAAGGTCGTAGAATTTGTCCGCGACGTCATTGAAGGCCGTGGCACGGATCTCGTTCGACTCGTCGAGGAGGTTGACGTTGAAAAGTTTACCCTCACCGCGTGCGTTGGTCCACGTGCGGATGTCGCCCTTATAGGAGACACGGGCTTTGATGGTCCACGAGTTCTGGTATGGGGAGAGCTGTTCGATCGCAAAGATGTTAGAACGCGGCGTAGAAGACTGGTGCTGCACGGCCGGCTGGTGAGACACAAGCGGTGCTGCAGGCGGTGTGGACGCGGCAGGCACACCAGCCTGTGGAAGCGCCTCATCACCCGGATTTCCCGCAAAATACTCATCCACCGAAACAACCTTGTCGCTGAATCTTGGCGCCGAATGGTGCTCCACGCGCAACTCCTCAATTACCAAAACGTGCTTGTTCTTCTGCATTCTCTCAATGTTATACTTCGTGATGGCCACAATAGACGAGCGCTGCAAATTGCCCGCATCGCACAAAGGAACGCACTCCGGTCTCACGATCGTGTGGCACGAGTGCTCACCGTCCCAGATCACGAGGCGGAGCCTTCTGCCGCCGGAGTTGGTCGTTTCCATGGTTTTCACGTTCAAGACCTGTGCAACCACCGTGTTGCCGACTGGGAACGGCTTGGACGCGGAAAAGAGACCCTTAATAGCCCCTTGGGTGAGATTGTAATCACTAACGCTCATAATTGTATATGTGTTTGTTATTGTGTGATGGCAAAGGAAGAGAACGTTTTGAAGTAGCGAAAAAAATGGTGGCGCGTCAAAAGAAAATACGTGCCGAGTACGCGTCGAGCGTGAGAATCCACCCACGTGACACCGGGGCTCACTTGGACATGGTGTCACGCATAGTCGTGCGTTGGCCAGTGCCTCTGTTATATCCGGCATACATCATATAAACGTGTCACCTGACATGGAACCGGTGGGTGAAGAGAGAACGCACAGGGGGTTAATTAAGGCCCGCAGCCTTGAATATAACTTCAAGTTCCAAATTATTTATTGATATATAACAGGAATGATTAAAAGTATGGTAAAAGCTTCAAAATAAGTATGAAAAAAATCCCCCATTCAAACCGGTACAAGCGATGCCCCCCCAATGAGTGCATATGCATGCACTGGAGACCAACTACGTATAGCAACTACATACACTAACCTGAACTTTTAATCATAATTTAACTTAAAACTTGATGAATTAAAATATAGATATAACCAGATCGGACCTGGGCGCAACCCCTCACCTAGAGATCCGTTCGAGCTTCCGGCCTGCCTACTCCACTCCACCCGGCAACAGCCCCGCCCACTACCGTCGGAACCATTGCCAACGCGGAAATCCCAACAATCTCCACCTTCTCAGTATGATCATCATCGCTACCCACCTCCGATGACGCCTCAGAACTACTTCCTTTCCAGTCCTTGTAAAAGTTGCGTCTGCCGCTCTGGTGCTGTCTCTTGATCTTAAGGATGTCGTGTCTGGCTCTTCTGAATGCCGGGATTGCAAGCAACGGTGAGGCGTACTCCTCCTCGAAATTTGCCTCCGGATCCTTCGACGCGCTTCTCATCCACTTGAACGAGCCAGCGTACATCACGGCATTGTACAAGCGGCGTGGGAAGACTGCGAGTGCCCACAGGTTGGGGATCAAGCGAATCAACACCCCAAACGGAAGCGACAATAAGCCACAGATCAAGGCGGTCCCCCACATCGCACCGGTCTGGCGCGAAACCGAAAACGCGGCACCACCGACATACATGATAAGCACCTGGCCTCCGCCAATGATCAACGCGATCGCCACAAAGTACCAGTTACTGAACAAACGGTCAAAGAAATTCAAGTTGTATGCGCTGAAACGTTCCCGGAACGTCGTCAAGTCATCCCCCTCGTCCAACTTGCGCGCCACAAAGATATTGAAGAACTGCAACCACACAAACGCGTTGAACGTGAGCGACGCAATCTGCGCCTGCTCATGGGGGTTCGCATCAGCGCCGAAGAAGATCCGCACCCCAGCAAAATGCAAGACGAACGTTATGATCAATTGCATGCTGGACTGCAGAAGGATCATCTTCCACATGGAGACGGAGATGAGCGGGGCGGTACGCCCCGCGGGCTTGCGCTTGAGCATATTGTCGTCCGGGCGATCAGTAGCGAGCGCGAGCGCAGCCAAGGTATCCATGATCAAGTTCACCCAGAGAAGTTGCACCGCCGTGAGCACGGATGTACCCTCCTTGTCGGCGACGGCGGAAACAAAGGTCAAAACGACGGCGGTGACATTGACGGTGAGCTGGAACTGAATGAACTTCTTGATGGAGGTCGCAACCGTACGGCCCCACACGATTGCTTTGACAATCGCACTGAAATCGTCGGTCATGAGGATGATGTCGGACGCCTCGCGCGCCACCTCCGTACCGGCTATCCCCATCGAGAAGCCCACATCCGCGAGCTTCAACGCAGGCGCATCGTTGGTCCCGTCACCAGTGACGGCAACCACCTCGCCCATATTCTTGAGTGTCTGGACCAAAATCTTCTTGTCCTCCGGCGACGAGCGCGCTAACACTCGGAGGTGTGGCACGATCTCAAGGCGCCGTGCAGCGGAAAGCTTCCGGAACGCTGGGCCCTCCATGCAAGACTCAGGAAGACGCGCGTCTTCAGGGGTCAAGATGCCACAGCCAAGAGAAATTGATTTGGCGGTGATGAGGTTGTCACCCGTCACCATCCGGACGGTGACTCCGGCTTTTTGACACTGCTCGACGGCAAGCGGAACACCCGCGCGCAACGGATCCTGGATCCCAACGACGGTGTCAACCACCAACTGCGCAGCGCCAAAGAGCAATTCCGGGTCGGCATCGGTGGTGGAGAACGCCGGGTTGATGAGCTCGCGCGGTGGCCAGACACCGGGAAAGTCGCGGTGCGCAAGCGCCAACGTACGCAACGCCGCGGTGGCAAACTGCTCAACCTTGCGAGCGTAAAAGGCCGTAAGCGGCGCATCGAGCGCAGAAATCTCACCACCCGCACTGCACCGGAATCCTGCGTGCGCAAGCACGATTTCGGACGCTCCCTTGACGAAAAACCGGTGGCCCGTGGCGGTGCGGCATACGATCCCACCCCACTTGCGCAGCGACTCGAACGGAATCGTCTGTACGACATCCGCACGGGCAGCGTCGCGGCGCGCTGCGAGTGGCTGCGTCTTGAACGCGCCAAACGTGTTTTCCGCCAACAAAAGAAGTGCGGTCTCAGTTTTGTTACCGAGGTATGATTCGCTGTCCGTGCTCAACGGCGGTGGCTGGGTCTTCTGGTACCACTTACCCTTCGGCGTAGTCACCGTCACATCGCTTTTGGTGTTTTCAAACGCGGTGGAGTTGACAATAATGTTTTTGAGGATATTCTGGGTGAGCGCAGGGTCGAGCAGCGGCGCGAGCGCGAGACTCGTCACGAGCGGCTCCTGTGCGTCGTGCTCGGTGCTATGCGAATCGCTGAATTCGGACTCGCCAAGTAGCCCCTTCACGACTCGCATGCGGTTCTCCGTCAACGTCCCCGTCTTATCGGAGCACACAGCCGTGGCACCCCCCATGATCTCACACGAACGCAACACACGGACTAAATTACCGTCCTTGGCCATCCGCGTCGTCGCAAACGCGAGCGCGAGTGTTACCGCGAGCGGTAACCCTTCCGGAACGGCCACCACGATGATAGTGATGGCAGTGATGAGGATGTTAAGGAACTTGGAGCCTTTTTTGGACGGCTCAAGGAAGCGGTCGCTTCCGTGGGTGATATTTACCAAGAACTTGATGAATAACACAATAAATAAGATCAAAGCTGCGATGAAACCGAACTTGGCAATCCCGTTGGCTAGGTTGTCCAAACGGGCCTGCAACGGCGTGACCTCAGCTTCGACCTGTAAAGACGCCATCGTGCGACCGTGGACAGAATTAGGCCCCACCGCGGTGACGACGGCGTTGCCGAGCCCGGAAAGGAGCTTGGAACCGGAGATGAGGTACGGGTCGGGGACGCCTTTGGTGCCGATATCAACGCCGGAAGCGGCATAGTCAGACGCGAATAGCGATTCGGCCTGCGCCGCCGGTACCTTCTTGATCGTGTTTGACTCACCCGTCATCGCTGACTCGTCGCACTCACAGGCACCGGATATGAGTACCGCATCGGATGGCACCACGTCACCCGTCTGCAACACAATAAGGTCACCCACGACCAAGTCGTAGACGGACACAAGAGTCTGGCTTCCCGCACGGATGACCACCACATCGCGATCTTCCTTCTTGGAATTCAACTTTGCAAACTGGCGCTCCTTCTGGTAATCGTTGGCCGCGCCGACCACGACCACAATCGCCACAGCCACGATAATCGCCACCCCTTCGACCCATTCGACCTGCGGGATCGGGTTGCCCTCGTAATCGTAGTCAGGATCCTGGCCAAAGGTTTCGTAGAGCCCAAGTGCGAGCGAAACAACCGCAGCGACTGAAAGAAGAATGAGCACCTTATCGTGCATCGCCTCCCATGCAAGCGCAAAGAAGGACTTGGGTTTCTTGGCGGGGAGTTTGTTGATCCCGTAGCGCTCAACTCGCTCGATGTTGGCGCCCGCGGGGATCCCCTGTTGGAGGTCTGTGTGGAGCGCAGACGCAAGCGCATCCACGCCGCCAAGGTGCGCGAGGCTCGCGAGCGATTTGGGGTCGTGTAACGCCGAGAGCTCCTCTGTAGTGGGAGTAAAGGACGACATGTGTGTATTGGTTTTAATAGATGGTTATTCAAAAGGTGTTAGTGGATGTACGTGGAACGAAAACAGAACTGGAGGGGGCAGAACGCGATCCCACTTATATTCTCAGGTGTTTCTCAAACGTAGCTGTTTTTCCAGGTCTGGCTATACGTTATTGCTGACTAGTTTGCTGTAGTCCTGGTACGTCGATGATTAAGGGCAGTGTAGGGAACTGCAGACGAGTTTGAGGTTACTTCGCCATCCTGTCCCGGGACGGGCACAATGAAGGATATATACAGCCGTGAAATCTTTCCCAGTAACGGGCAGTTACCCACAATCTGCAAGTTCTTAGTGCCGACGCTCTTTGATGCATGTTCCCTGCATGTTGCGCGCCCTCCAGAGAGAAAACGAGGCTATGCTTCCTGCACACACACACCAGTATATATACCCTTCTGTTGCTCCTGAATATCCTGGCGTTTCAGTCCGGGCTTGTTCGGGGTTTGTCTGACCTTAACGTGCCTCCAATTTCATCATGTCATGGGTGAAATCGTGACCTCCGCCTCTCCGAAAGCAAAGACCTGTAGTCTCAAATCGAAGTATAGACTGGAATGGTTTGATAGGCTGGCGTGTAAGTCGTATATCCTGTCGAATGTAAGCCTTCGGGCTCTACGGCACGGTCTACTTTCCAGATTTGCGTACATAGTACTGCACGCCAGAGCTTGGCACTTACTAGCAATCGCCAATGGGTCATTCTGATAACGAATTTGAGTACTGAAGAGGTATTCTTCAGAGAAGCATTTTCTAGCATAGCCCCAGAGTTCATGTACGATGAGAGTTTGCTTGTACAAGAAGAGTTGGAGCTCGAGTATGACGGCATAGCCCTTGTGCGCCACCTACCCACGAAGTGAGAGCTTGCTTGTAGCATCCCGGAAGTGCTTCTAATGCGAAATCTGGAGGTTTCTTTATCACTTCTCGGAGTTTGGAACTCTGACGTGGTTTGCACGCCAACCATTCCATGTCTGCAACCAAGTTCACGGCTGGGGTGTTGAGTAAATATGCGTAATATTTCCCACCAAAAATGACGTTTAACTGTTTTAGTGTGGGCTACGGTCCTAAGGTGGAATAATTAATTTTGCAGGGGCGCGTGCTGGATGAAAATAAGTGAATCTTTGGGGGATTCGGCTAAAAGCATATTGCTTCATAGGTTTATTTTCTATTGAATTACGGGACACGACTAAAATCAGCCTGGGCCTTTTACCCTGCTTGGTTTGATCCAGCTCGAACGGGATATACCTAGAAATAACGCCCCGGGATTGCATGACCTGATAGCGGAGAGCGATATGCACGTGAGGCAACGCAACTTTACTACATGTATGGAATTGGATATCAATTGGTTGAGCTTCCCTATTGCACAAGACGGCGAACCAAAGCTACATTATCTCCATATGAAACTAAAGCACATATCAAAGGGTATACACCTAGCTAAATGTGAAGTTTAATTTTAAATTGCTAGATAACAAAGCTGATGATATATATTCTCAAGATATGCAAAACACACATCATACAACGAAGCCGTGCTCACTCGAAAAGTCACCGAATGTACCAGGCTCTCCATTTTCTGAATCTTTAGGCGCGGTAAAGTGTATTTACGTATGCAGTATCCGACGACTTGAGTTATGATTCATGCTTAGCAGCATGGGCAGGGTTTACTCAATTTCCTCGGGGTTAAAGGGAGTCCAGGGTTGGGGTGTATCGAAATAAACAGAATACACGCTCAAATTCCAATGCCAAGCTTCCGAGGCTATATCAGTACTCCGTTGGATGGTATATGCCTTTCCATCTTTAGAGGTTTACTAATGCTATGTGTGGGATCTCGGTGGCAATAACGATGTCTAACTGTTTTATTTTAGCACCTGCGCTTGGTTTCCACTGCTCTTAAATATCAACCACTCTGGCAACTGAGTATAGCTCTTGAAAAGCACTATGTTCGGGCCTTGGGGTCAAATCTCAGATCATAAGGCGATAATGGGTATGGCCGGGAAGAAATTGAGCCAAGCATACTGCGTTGATACAAGAGACACAGTGGGAGTCTCCAGCCGGTGGAAGATCACTACCCCCAGACATATAAACCAGGGGTTATAGTTTTTGTTGCCGACACTAGGGGACTAAAGAATTGGGTTTTAGATAGCCGGCTGCAGACTAACCACAAGACAAAAGTGGTGGTAAAAAAAACCTGCGTAAGAGAGTCATAAGCCGGCTCCTGCTCGTTCTTTGTAATTCTGGATTCCAAAGGAGTTTGGTATTAGATGTAGCATCGAGTGAGTGCCAGGAAACCTCATAGTTTTGCACTGAATAGCGGATATATTGTGATGTACTTCACAATTTGTCTTTGAACGGTTATGCGGGACATGACTGTATACGGCGTTTTCAGGGTACCGTTGTCATTGAGATAGGCATACTGTAAGCAATCGTTACTTGAAAAATTCGCTTGGTACTCTATTTGGCTAGGTAACTCTCATCCACGGATTTGTAATAGTTGACGAAGCTGCCCTCATTCAATAAGAATCACGCCCGAGCAGGTGAGCTACCAACTCGCCGTTTAGGTCAACTAATTCCTCTAACGGTTTTCTCGTAGGAAAATGAAAGTTCGAAGGCATTTTCTGTATTACCTGGAATTACTGTCAGACGTACCCTTAATCACAGACGCTCCAAGTTTTTGCATCCAGGTAAACGATATTTATATTCTGCCTCAGGAATAAGTAATGAAATGAAAATCCCAGTCTTGGGCAAAGGGTCGTTTTTATGTATGGATCCCGATTGGGAGTAGCCGCTGAGCGTTTGAACCGCTGAGCGTTTGAGCCGCTCCGATTATCAGATGCATCTGCAGTAGAGGGGAAACAAGTATACCAAGTTTATGGTTATTGTTCTTGTAAGGTGGGGGGTTTCTTTTTTTCGTACAGGTAAAGGCTGCGAACCCCACGATGGATTCTCTACCATCGTATTAGCATAGATTACGGGTATTGTCGGAGGTACGACTGAACAAAGCACCGAACGGTTCATATGCAACTCAGTGTCACGGGCGGTCAGATTGTGCGCCAGCACCTGCTGCCGGGTAACTAGCCTTCCGCTTCTCCCTCAGGTCCCAACCCAGAGCCTCTACGCTAGCAAAATATTATTGCCACTTGTCAGTCTACATTTTGTGGTACTCCTCGTGGAAAGCCGGAGTCCCTGGTGCAAATTTAGTACCGGGAAAGCACCGTCAAGTTACGGCCTTGGCCGCGGTTGCAAACCTTATACCGCAAAGAGAACGAGTCACTAAGTGAGCTCGCGCGGGGTAGCCTCGTTTTGGATTTACCGCCAGAGTTCGAGCTAACACTAGTAAGCTCGCCGAGAATGCCGAGTGTTATAGACGTATATCCATATAACGAATATAATCGAAGAGTACGGTAAGATAAAACTGTTTACGCAGATGTCCCACCGACCCTGTAGATAGGGGTTGCTGTATATTTATTGTCCCCGCTTCTGCTTGCTTTGCGAGCACTGATAACGATATGAGCCAATGCCCGCACCACATGATAACCCAAAAAAGAAACAAGCGCCAGCGGCCTTAGCTGTGCGTCAGTGCAGATTCGAGATGACCCTTCCAGGGCTGTAGCGGCTTTAGAAGCTCCAGTTTTTTTTTTTTTTGCATGCATATTCAGGCGGCTGTCCCCTTTCACTCACAGATAAGTAATCGGTAGTTCCGTGACAGATATCAGCGGCTAGTCGACAGACGATATAAAAAGAATAAGTCTCCCTGCAGTATAGAGTCTTAAATGTACAACAGCTAACAGTACCAATTTTATATTTGTGCGCCTACTTGCAAGACACTTTGCAAATACCCGTTTGACTTTTACAAAAAGCGAAACTGACTCCCACCTTCCCGCACAAACTATGCTGAGATTTAGCCCCATCGTATCTCGGGCCGGGTCCCAAATCGATGTGGACCAACTCCACATCCACTCCATCCTTTCCAACCAGGGGAAAAAGATCGTCGTGGATCATGATGTGGACCAGGATGAAGCCGTGATGTTGGCGCTTGGTTACAAGCAGGAGTTCAAAAGAGAATTTTCCCTTTTCTCCACCTTCTGTGTTTCCTTTGCCGTCTTGGGTTTACTTCCATCGATTGCCTCCACCATGAACTACGGCACGCTTGTCGTCGGTGCCTCGCCCTTGCCCTGGATCATCGCGATGATCGGTGTCGGCTCGGTAGCGCTTTCCCTCGCGGAGATTGCCAGTGCATACCCGACATCTGGTGGCTTGTACTACGCCACCAAACAGTTGGCGCCGCAGGAAGGTTCTATCGGTGCGTTCTTATCCTGGACGGTTGGCTGGTCCAACTGGATTGTGCAGATCACTGGTGCCCCCTCCATTGACTACGGTTGCGCTTGTATGATTCTCGCATTGAGGACGTACCAAAACTCCGACTACTCCCCCTCGAAAGGTGAGATTTATGGCTTATCGTTCGGTTTGATGATTATCGACTCTTTCATCTCGTCCATGCCTACCAAGTGGATCGCCTGGTTCAACGAGGCGGGTTCCATTTCTAACATGGCCTTCTTGTTTGTCGTGTTTGTGATGCTTCTTGCCGGTAACGACAGAATGCACATCATGGATGTGGACACCAAGTTTAACACCGCGGGCCAGGCCTTTGCCATCGACAACCAGACTGACTGGCCGAACGGGGTTGCATTCCTCATGTCCTTCTTGGGTGTCATTTGGGCCATGTCTGGCTACGATTCGCCGTTTCACTTGGCTGAGGAAACCGCAAACGCCCAGCTCTTCACCCCTAGAGCCATCGTCATGACTGCCGGCAGTGGTGGGATCATTGGGTGGGCCTTTATGTTTGTCATCGCCTTCACCATTGTCGATGTCAACGCGATTGCTACCGATTCTTTGGGACAGCCTTTCATCACTTACTTGGCCCAGGTCTTGCCCCACAATATGGTGCTCGCAGCGGCCGCCCTCACCATTATCTCGTCCTTCTTTATGGGACAGGCCTGTATGGTAGCAGCCTCTAGAGTCACTTACGCCTACTCTCGTGACGACTGTTTCCCGCTCTCCTTCCTCTGGAAACAAGTCAATCCCATCACTGACACGCCAGTTAACGCCGTCTGGGGGAACTCTCTTATCGGGGTACTTCTTCTCTTGTTGATCTTTGCGGGCGAAGTCGCTGTGGGTGCGCTTTTCTCCGTCGGTGCCATTGCTGCCTTTATCTCTTTTATTATTCCAGTTTTCCTCAAGATCACTGTGGCCCATAACCACTTCACCAGAGGTCCATGGAACTTGGGCAAGCTCTCTAGACCAATCGGGATTGTTTCTGTGGCCTTTGTCGCGTTGATGACGCCAATCTTGTGCATCCCATACAGCAAGGGCTCGGACTTGGATGTCCTGTCGATGAACTGGACCGTGGCGGTGTATTTCGGCCCAATGTCGATTTCCACCCTTTGGTACCTCGTTAGTGCGCGCAAGTGGTTCAAGGGTCCAAAGAGTAACTTGGACGAATCCTACTTCCAAAGTATGGACAACTCGGAGTATATTTCCGGGTTGGAACAGGCCGTGTATAGCAAAGAAGGCGCTGAAAACGGCGTTGAGGTCTCGGAAAAGCAGTCGCGTTAGCAGGGCTACAGAAGGCTTACTTTTTATGTAGCTTTAACATTTAAATTGAATAACAGGATTTTATGGAAGACGGTGGTACAGGGCGTGCTGAATAGTCGGGGTAGGGTTGAATATTACTGATCGTATAATTAAGCCTGTGCGGGGGTCGGAGCGTGACCGGGGCTCAGGGTGTAGGACCCGAGATATCGTTTCAGGAGGTTACTTTGTGTTTCGTGGTTTATCTGAGCTCCAACCAAATTTTCTCTCGTTTGATCCAGGGATATTACAACCGATACCATAACAATCTATCGCAATGTCCTTTTGTGTGAAATCCTTTTAGCTCCCAAGCGGGAAAGCATACTTAAACGTTAGCTTAGAAAAGCGATATTGGCTATTTAAACAGATCAATGGCTAGTTATCTAATAAACAGTGTTTATACCTCCACGAGTTGTGGGTATCAGAATAAGGTACAAAGAGCAAGTTAACCGGGTGTTCTTGTGAAAGATGGATGCCGGTCAGCGATGAAATCACACGTTGAGCGTTACTGATTAAGCCAACACAAATATCATTAATACATACAATATAAAAAAAACAATCAGGATAAAAGGAGAAAGAAAAACCACCTGGTTGGATGAAGGCGTGGGTGCGGTTTTGGTTCGTTAGACTAATGCAGGAGTTGGTATAACTGGTAATATGCCTTCTGGGTAGTGCAGGGAGTTTTCGCTGTGGGGCGCCTTTGTGCTATCAGAAAAAGCAGGACGGGTGTGACCCAAAGTGTCTCCAGTAGCGGTACGGTAGTTGTTTAAGGCTAGCGACTCCATCGAGGTTTGTGGGGTCAAAGTACCATGACTGAAGCTTGGCGAATGTGCATGGCTATCCCCATCAGACGAGTATTGATCACTCAACGAGTGGCTTCTACCATACTGGATTTTCTGCGGCAGGATCGGTGGAGGTTGGTGGAAGGTAAACTCGTCTACTATTTGAGTGGGCAACCCGAAACTGCTCTTGTCGTGCTCCATTGTACGTTGGATCATCAAGTCGAGCATCTCATCAAGCGCCTCTTCTTCGGCAGAGCTATCCTCCTGGATCGAAGGCAAGGAAGGCGTGTTTGAAGAGCTTCTTGTGTGCGTTGGTGAAGCGGCCAGGGAAAAAATACTGCTGAGATCCTCTTCCAATTCGGGGATAGCCAAACGGTGCTTGCTGACCGTAAGACCCTCGGAGCTTTGGTCAACAACGGAATAGTCCACCTCCTCCGTGCTCCAGGAAGCCGTGGCACCATTCTCAGACCCGCTCCCTCCACGGTTCAAAACCGTAGAGTTCTCGGAACTCTTGCAATGGACGCCCAAAAACGAAGAGCCATCAATGGACAACAACTTGCTACCACTTTGGTTGTAGATAGTGCCCAACTGAACTATCCCAGAGCTCGAAGCAGGAATCACCGTACCGCATTGTCTCTTGCCAACAATAGTATCTGAACGGCTATCAGCCATGACGGCAGCGAAACCGACACTTAAAGAGCACTTCTGCAACGTGGACCGGCAGGCCCCATCAACCGACAAGTCCCAGTGCACAATATTGCCATCCCTGCCAGCCGTGTATAAATCGCAAGCATTCTCCTCGCTCCATTCTACAGAGGAGATTGTGTCTGTGTGGCCATCCAACTCGGCAAACGGAGCTGAGCGGTTACGGATATCCCAGAGTCTGGCGACCCCATCCGCGTAAGAGGCCGCAAGGACATTGGCATCGTATGGAGCCCACTTCACATAATTCGCCAGCGACGCGCCGGAAACCTGAGGAGCAAGCAAAGTTCCTCTGTCCCCACATCTCAAATCGTGTAAAGCTACCCCGTAGGTACCACTCAAGGCAAGAATCGCCTCACGCTGGGGCGCAGCGTCAAACATCACAGTGCCGTGTGAGTTGATCTTCAAGATGGGGCTGCGTGACTTGGTGGAATCCCAGTTGAAAATATGTTCCTTGTATAACGTGAAGATGCTGTTATTGGGGGAGTTCCTCCATGTCTTTGGGGCTGTGTCAACATTGGTCACCAGAGAGGAGGAGTAGGCCAACACCGGAGAGATAGGCGGCGTGTCAAGGACCCGACTTCTTACGCTGTCTCCGGCTAAATGCTTTTGATGGTTGAACCGCTTGACAATTTCGGCAGAGGCGTCAAGCTCTTGTGAATTGGGGATCAAGGTGAGGTGCGCGTAGCCTTTCTTGTTACCAGTCAATAAAAGGTTGGGGTCGTTGTAGGACTTTTTGTCTAGCCATTTCATGGAGTATATGTGTGATAAGGAGATGGTATTGTGATGGGTCAAGTAGTTTTCTTGCATATTAATGTCATAGATATAGAGATTGTCGGTTTTGGAGCCGGAAGATACGGCTAGTAACGGGTTGATGCTGTCGTTGTTAATGGCCATAGAGGTAAGGTATAGGTTGTCGTCGGGGATCTTCCAGTAGTTGGAGGCAATTGCAAGGCTGTCCAAGGAGCAGGCCTTGTCCAACTGCTTGGTGTTATCAAGCTGGGACTGTAACAACCATGAGGATCGGGACTCACAAGACAGGGCACTGGACTGCGAGCGAGGCGTGGTAATGGATCTTTTCCTTGTTAAGGCGTTTTGACGGAATAGTTGTATTGGCTGGTAGAAATCGTTCGTCATTGTAACAAGGGCGTGTTGGTAAAAGGTGAATTGAGCTTATAGAAAAAAAAAGTCGGTTTCAATAAGTCTGTAATGGTAAGATAGGGGGGAGAAAAAAACAAAAGTACGTAAAAGACCAATAAATGTTCTGAACTAGAAGGAGCGAGATTTCAGTGTATTATATCCCGCCAGCCTTTAAAAAAAGCTGAGCTTAATTTAGCACTTTGACGGCTGGCTAAATCACCCGTTACGGCCGCAGACGCGCCTCATCGGAGGTGCATGCAAGGCTGGTGTATGACACTGGGACGGGAGCGCTAAAGTGAGCAACAGATGTATCCCCCACCTAACTCGATTAATCCCGCTACACCAATCTTTACTATTATGGGCACTCAAGCAGTACTAGGTTGTACAAGTGGTGTGTGTGAGGAAGATAGCTGGCCATGCAGTCGATGTGCCTGATTAAAGGCTATGGCTGGCGGGCGCCGAAAAAAGCGTGTTACTATGGTACAGACGCGAAAAACTAAGATAAGGTGAGCCTTGCATGTAAGGTTCGCCCTTGCGCAGATTTAATAGGAGCCGCATTCTCAATGGCTGGATTAAGGTTAAAATCTGGAGAACGATGCAGGAATCTGCCGCCGTTCAACTAGCCATTTTAATTACCGCCAGAGAAATACGGTGAAGACACGTCCTTCTCTACCGTATTCAGTTCTGAGCCCAACCTCCATACATACACGCTCCCCGTTCGAGTGAGCCTTCACTAACCTATTGGCAAAATGTATGCAAAATGAGGTATTTTAGGCGCGTAGAAAGTGGGGCTGCAGTATGGAACTTGGTGAATGATAATTCCGGGGCTGGTGCATCAATTAGGAATGATGTATCCACGAGTACGCCGTTGATTACAGCTAAAGACGGCTTCTATCGGTTGCGCGTCATTTACAAGTCAAGTGGATACATAAATTGCAGAACCCGGAATTTAAAGGGGCTGATTTTTTTTAAAAAAAAGTATCTATACCATTCTCTGATTCTTTCTTAATGATTCACAAAACGACTAGTGAAAGGCGTTTTATCGAAAAAAAAAAAATGCTGCCTTGTAGCGGCTCATTTGGTTCTTTATATCATCAAAAATTTGAAGTAGCGTCCAGCAGAATGCCATACGAGAATAGCCGCAGCTGGTATGCATATATCCATTCTATACACACCGTAAATCTGGCAAAGTAACTCTTGGCTCGGCATTTTTCGTCTGACCTGGTTAGACAAACTATGCCCAGTTTACGTCATGGCGTATCTCATAAGCCAAAGCTCACGGATATGTCCGGTTTGTGGCCCCACCTCGACGCCGACTGGTATCTAAGACCAAAATGACTTGAGCTCTATGTTGAAAGGAAATACTTTTTGGTTTGGTCTACAAGTTTTGATCAGTTCCTTGCCGCCCTACCCAGACTATGCCGGTGACGTGAATCTCCTGCCCCCGTATAATGCACATTAACATTCATAATATAATTTATGTCGATGTTGCGCTGCTAAGTACCCCCATGTTTTTTAAACTGTATTGTATTCCTAAGATTGTTACTGAAATTCCCTTTGCTATGTTCCTTTGGAGATGTCAATAATGCATGGCTGGTTTCATCATGGTCTTATCAGTTGTCGTCTAAAACGCACATTTGAAGGGACATAAAATGACATGCGTAGCAGGTCAACGGAACACATCTCGTAAGTCACGTGATTTGAACCCTCAGATATACACTGAAGCTATACGCTATGCACCTCCCATATATAGCGGAACATCTAAATCCATGTTGGCAGCTGTTAGACGAGTTACACTGCGCATGTGTCTAATGTTAAAAATAAATCCTAAAATCAATAAAGCCCAAAGATGTCTAAGTACTCGTACGGTCAGGCGTATTAGGACCGGTGTTAGGAACACACACATATACAAGCGCACCGCCACATATCCATAACATCCAAGTTCTACTACAATACCCAAGTTCCTCTGCAGCTATAGTAGTGTGCCATCAAGTTTTAAGAATCTCGAATCCATATTCCAAAACTACCGTACCTTTTCTCAAGCTTGAACAAGGCCTTGAACTTGCATTATGCTTTGACACCGGGGATTCCCTGTTGCATCTTATTTGGCCAGGAGTATACTTTTTCACTCAAGTTGGCTTCTGAAGTGTTTGGATTCTTGTCTTTCATAACTAAGCGACCTGCTATTATAAAGCTATGGACTACAGCCCTAACTGGATGTTAGTATCTAGCAGGCAGCTCAATCTGAAGCAAAAATGTCAATTTCTCCTCCGAATAGAACTGCTTCGCGGAGCATATTGAGGTCCTTCTACAGCTCCTCAGGCACCCTGGTCAGATTAGATCTGAGGCTCATGTTCAACTGAAACGGTGTAACACCTTTTCTAGGAACGTCAGTTGGTTGCCAGGATCCACAAGTGAAGACTTTGCATATGCAGGACGTCAGTTTCAGACAAAAACGGCAGGCTTCTGGAAGCTGCTGAAATAGGGCAGTCTAGACTCAAAGAGCGGCTCCGGCGAAGAAAATTTTTCACGCGCACTGCCCACGGCAAGCGTTAGGTCAGGCTGCGGAACTCGAAAGATATTGCACCAGCACACGTGCTGTAACCCATGCGCCCTGTCAAAATATTACGGTATGTCCGGCCCATAATGGGCGAGTCGCTGTCGTCTAAGGTGTTAAATTTAGAACATAGGCTCTATGTAAACTGGTGATATCGGTTTCCTTATAACGACTAGGGTTTGAATATTGCTCGTTCTTTCATAAGTGACACCAATACTCGTATAGAAGGATGGACTATACATATATCGGCAACCTCGGGGACGTAGCAGTTTCCGAAATGCACAGCAGAGATCACCCACGCGTCGTACGATATGGGGAAGGCGGCCCCTTAACCACACGTTTAAAGATCGAAATATAACCCTGCGGGTAAATGGAGAGGTTACAGAAAGTGGCATGATAACCCTTCGGGCCGGGCCAGACGGGAGATCAAATACAATAAAATGCCTAGATCAGGAGCAATTAATAGAGGCCTGCTAAAACGCGGTACGAAACTACAAGAAATATTAAGTAAAGCCGAAATGTCAAATCTCAGTGATCATATTATACTCAAGAAAAGCAAAAAAAAAAAAAAAAAAAAAAAAAAAAAAAAAAAAGGTATATAATTATAATGTATAGCTTAGCCTTGTTGAAAAGAAACCCAGAGAAGAAACCCCAGAAAATGATGTAACCGATGAAATATTATGTAGCCGTAAGAAAAAGCAAAAACCAGTTTTGATTTACATCCGGATGAGACTCGAAAAAACTTTAGTTCTTAGCGGTCGATGAACGATGTGTGAATAATGCAAGTTTGTAGTGTTGAAAGGTGGATCGGAAGATCAGAAACGAGCGGAAGTATTCAACCATTTTCTGTAATTCATCGAGGCGGACAAAATATTGCTGTTGTTACTGGCGGATTGAGTGGTGGTTGGGTTGAAGTAGTAATTCATCTTGTAGTCGGTAGAGTTGAGGTCGAAGTGGTCATTGTTCAAGTCATCCTCCATTTCGTAAGAGTGTCTTGGGGTGGACGACAACACGAGGAGTGGCGAATGCAGCGAGTAAGAGTTGTACACAGAAGAGCCGGAGGTGGAAGGCACAGCCGCGGCCAATAAAGGCGACTCGTGCACCATAGAGTGATGGCTATACTGGTTGATTTGGTCCAACTCTTTGCAAGAGTCAGAGCAGTAAGCCGAAGGCGTGCTTAACAAGTTCTCGCAGACGAGGCAGTAGTCGTTGAAGGCAGACATTATGTGAGTTGTGCAAGTATAGATATGACAGGTGGATGTGAGAGATATCTGTATAGATGATAGAGTATCTATGAAGGGTGCGTGTTGAATGAAGAGAAAAATATAATTGAAAAATTCAAGGGGAAACGAGTGTATTATATATCCTTTGTCGCTTATGGTAACTCCGATAGGTTTTGCTGTTAAAGTGGTGCAAGGAGGTGTCACACAGTAACTGTGGGCGGGACCGGAGTGATTGTGTATGCGTGTCGCCCTGAGCGAAATTGTGTAATTAATCACACTAGAGTCATACACACATGGGCTGGAAACCGTGGGTGACACACCACGGATGAGTAATCTTTGCTGCGGCTCATGCCCTGCACAGTTTCCAGTGTGCAGTGGAACGCCCAAGAAACCAAAAGAGCGCCGGAGAAACGAAAAGAGCGATATAGACCGCAGGCCTCGACGCATACAGCAGCGCGCGTTTCTACGTAGAGCAAGTTTTGCACCTAGGAAACGTACGGCTACATGCACGTGTACCAATTCCACCTCTTCCGGGGCCTCGCCCCCGCATACAATCTGTCATTCATGCGTCCGATTCCTGACTCGAGGGTTCTAACCAAAAAAAAAATAACTCGGCCAGGGTGAAAATTTATTTCCTTAGCCAATACATACATATCGTGGATCATGCTTCCTATCTCTAGTCACGTTTTCCATCGCCGGAAACAATGACTGAGCGCGCTTAAAAGGTTCCCCTCCAATAAGCGGAGGGTAAGAGCATGACTTGGCGTTATCTACAGGCACTATCCACGGGTAGAAGGGAAGGCATACACAAATCACTGTCTTATGGATCTAGATCAGTAACCAGGTGGGTCTATTATTATTCCGGGCCAGAGCCATAATGTAACTGAAACAATGTATGCCTCGACGGTAGCCATGCAGTTAGCTATTATTGTGCAAAATGCGTGTTGGTAGCAACGTGCGGGCGGACGTGCGTCTACCATCCCCGTGTTTCATTAAGGTTCCGTCTTACTATTAGGCGGTAGTACCTAAAAGAAAGCACTTACGCACCAGCTAATTAGCTTTCAGAGCATTATCCTCGTGCCGTACACTTTACGCTAATTACCGCATATTTGAGTTGGCTTAATTTGTAAATATAAACAAGCTGTTCTACTATTAACCGTTATTCCCTCATGGAACTATCCAGGAGAATGATCTCCCTTGCCCCATTAGGCACTTAATCTCCCCACGCCCCACCGACGCCACTGAAAATTTTTCATATTGTATCAGGGATTGCGCGCTTTGATATCGCTGTAGTGCATACAGGCACTTCCGCCTGCGTAAAAGCGGTGCCACACCTTGAAGGTGTACCCAGTATCGCGACGTCACGTGAAATTCTTCGAACTTGAGCTGGAAAGGTACGAGTCAAAACTACGCCTGGCCCTGGTACGTAGTTTTGGCCTTGGTGCGCGGCTGGCCCTCTGAGATTCGGGTGAGTAAATACATAACCAATGCTATTACGTGATCGGCTCGACTGGTTACGTTTCGGAGCGAAGGTGTCATCTGTGAGTCAGTCGCAAGATATGGCATTGTCAGATACAAAGTTGATCTCTGCAGCTCGGTTTAACGTCTGCGAGCGATAAGAACTGTGGCAACATTGACAGTATTGATATTTCGTTACCCGTAAATGTTTATCAGCACTGCCTCATCTCTGTTTGAGCCATTTCTTTTCACCACATTCTGTCAGAGATGGCGTGGTAAAATACCACGATTGTGAAAAATCATAGGTGACTATCGACACAAACAATTATAGTTTCTTCCTACTAGCTAGACACAGTACTAGAGTCGTTACTGTGTCGCCCTCTAACGTTATTTTTCGTGGTGGTTCTTTAGGTGGGGAAAATGGCGGAATTCTAGCGGTTGGTGTGTAATCTCAGTTATCGATGTGACCTGGGGTTTGAGACCAATATGCATTGTGGAAATGTGTCAAGTTTGACGTATTGCAGTTCACTGTTTCCATGGAAATTTAAGTTTCATGGTGTGACAGAAAATGTGGTACGCAATCACAGACCCTAATTGTGCGATTTTGCTTTGTTGTGTCTGGCACCAGAATGTAGTTCCGAACTAACCCCGGAAATTCTTCGGAGAGTGGTCAAAAGTCATCACCCAATTACTGTCATAAATTGCGCCTAAATGACAAACAGTGACTCCTGGATTCTATTCCGTGCACCTGGCCAAGTTGTTATTGGTGCCCTTTCCTGGTGAATCTAGACCTCAAAGATAGCCCAGGTGAATCCAGGCCTATACACATACGAATGCGCAAGCCGCTTAGCTTGGTCTATCTATCGAGGAACAAAAAGCTCGGGAGCTTTAGTGTGAACGCTCTGTATTGTCTCTATTGCCCAATTTGGTGTAGCGGCTTAAATGTTGGATGCCTAGTTAACATTCCCACTACCCAATCTGGACTGAAGTCTAGGTCAATCTCGACACCATTTTGGGGCTGTGCGAATTACACCCATGACGGGCTAAACCGTTGGGCCGCTTAGACCTTACGTCAGTCTTGCATCAATATTGAAAGGTAACCTTGAGTGTCTACGCAAACATTCAGTGGGATGCATGGTTTTGTCATACCCAGAACCTTCGAGGCATTTTTGTAGAGACATACAGATTCTAAATATAGTTTCATTAATCAACTTTCCGATGACCAAGAAACTCTGGTCATAATTCTTCAAGAATACGACGGCTCAAAACCACGTCTGCCGAAAACAAAGTCTGGAAGAAATTTTTGTAAGGCTTCTTGTTCGGTTTAGAGGATTGTCTAGCAAGCCCTCCTGTTTAGATACCGGAAAGATATTTCAAATTCTGCTGCTTCTAGATACCTTGGCACATCGGTGGCAAATACGGATCACCGGGAAACAGCGCATGCTATGTCACCGCGCATTATACGTGGAGAAAATGTTTTGGATACGGGAAACCTCCTTTGTCGTTATTTGATCTGCTGGTGGGGCAACCACTTTTACCGTTACCAGAGCAAAGCACTCAAGTCTAGACGCACCTCATTTGGTGAGGAAACTGTTGCATATACAGGCCTTTCTTGGGCTGTGGCAAATTCCCTCAGGCTATTGTGCGTGCAGTCTGAGGGATTAAACGCATTAATTCTGTTTAATATATTTGGGCGGAGCCAAATTTATGGTAGAATAGCCTCACAGTTGATTATCAAAAAGATCTGCCGGTCCCAGGAATCGAACTTGGGTTTCCTCTGCCACAAAGAGGTGTACTGACCACTATACTAGACCGGCCAACCGATGAGGAAATTTGAGCGTTAGCCATTATGTGACGCATGATAGAGTGACTATTTGCCCTGGAAAAAATTACCAAATGGTACCCTTGGTCCTGGGTTTCGTTAGCACTGATAGAGAAAATCAGCTTTCACTTTGTGGATTAATCAGTCAAACATCCAACTATAAGTAAACGTGTAGCTTCTTAAGGTGGGGGTAAATACTCTGAAAATGCGGGTGCCTGCGCAATTGCGGGATTATTGTAAAGACAATAGGTGATAAAAAGTTCAGTACCTCTTTTCAAGTAGGAGAATACAAGTTTGTATATATTTAGAATGTTGCATAGACGCAATGATAGATACTTTTTTTAAAATATTTTCAAGTCAATATATGTACGCGTATTTGTATTCATGGAATCATGAAGCAAATGATTTGGGTTAAAATAAAAATTAAAAATTAAAATAAAACTCCACTGAATAAACAATATTACACACTAAACCCAGTTAACCTGGAAACCGGAGTAGACGCAAACACATCCGTATATATGAATACTCAAATTACAGCTTAACCACGATATTTACATTCTAATTGAGCTGGTCAATATAAAAAACACCCTCTCTACATAAAATTTTCTCAGCCTTTACCTACTCTATACCTTATAACGAGAGATAATAAGCTATTGAATTCTGTACGTCACTATTAGTCCGGCAACCACACCTGTATTTATATCTCCTCCGTTCATTAAAGTCGTAACCCCTCTTAGAAGGAACTCCAGCTCCAATCAGCAGGGATTACCCCGGTATTATCCCCCACTACACTGTATTGCCTATCCCGTCTAGGCCCCTCCTTCCCAGGTGCTACCAGCTGCCGCCGTTGTTGCAGCTGTTGCCGCTTCGCCAAAATCTCCTCCTGTTCTCTTTTCATATCTTCGAGGGCCAACTGGGCAAAGCCCTCGTAGTCTCGGATACACCAGTCGCACACCTTGCTCAAACAGCCGACTCCGCCCAAGGTAAACTGAGCCTCGTAGTCCAAATTCACCGAATGAGACACATGGTCCGCACAGAACAAGTCTCCACATCGGCGACAATGGTGGCGACGCGTGAAGAACGTGAATTGCTTGAGACAGTACGAACAAGAGCCCCGCGACTCGTTCTTTCTCCAGTGGTTTCGCGTCGGCTGTTCCTCGCGAAGAGTGCTGATCAGCGATACAGAACGGACAGAGGACGCTGAGGTTAGGGTCTGCTTGCGGAGCGTGGAGGCAATGAGCGTATTGTGGAAGTTCTGGCCGGGGTTCTGCGGCCTCCGCGGACCAAGCCCTTCTTGGGGGTTGCTGCCTTCCAACTCGGGGTGCCTTTGGTTTTGGGGCGGCAGGTTACTATTCACATCAATACTCATCTCTGGAGGCGGACGCAACACCGCTGGCAAGTACATTGGCTTCCTGGGGTCTTTCATCTGCTGCAAAGACTTGGCTGGTGCCCTTGGCTCTTCCATGGGCGAGTGTGGTTTAGGGTCCGCGGGCAAGTTGTAAGAGGGGGCAGCCGGGTGGAAAGGCGGACCAGGACTAAAGTGGCCCGGACTAGACTGCAGGGAACGTGACAGCCGGTTCTGCATACCGCCTAGTGACTGCGCCGTCTGACTCTGTCCGTTTTTGGTTCCATTTGGAGGCTGTGCACCAGATAAAGCAACTTGTGGCTGTTCAGTATTCTGAGGCTGAATTTGAGCTTGTGAGTGGATTGGGGCGTTCAGAGACGCCGCCACTGACTGTAACGGGCTTTTTTGTGTCGGTTGAGTACCATTTCCGAAAACTCCCTGGATTTGGTTCTGATTCTGACCCTGGCTTAGGACAGGAGTGGGATTGAACACGGTGGTATTCATCTGGTACTGGGCCAACTGGGTAGTCGAAGAGTTCGGTCTATTGCCCATTCTTGAGGCAGCAGCGGGTGAGGGAATGGAGTACGAATTCAGCTCGTACATCGAGACGGCCAGGGGAAACCGCTGGGTTAGCCCCTGGGGAGGCGCCGTGTTTACCGCAAGGCCGCCTCTTTGCTGGATGGTCAGCCGCGAGGCTAAACTGGAAAGCGTCTCTGAGCTCTGGTTCGACACTGGGGTCTGTCGGTGGGATATGGGCTGTCTGGTCAAGGAGGCGAACGAAGACAAGTCAACCTGCGCCGGGGTATAGTTGCCCCCGGTTGTGTTTGGAATAAACAGCGTGCTTCCCAAGATTGCCGCCTGCTGGTTCTCTTCGTCAAAGATGGGATTGAAGTTGAGCTTCTTCAACGCCTGGGCCGTAAGGTCGTCGTGTGAACCGCTCACCGAACCAACGTAGAACGGCATTTTGGTGCCGATTTCAACGGTGGACTTCTTAGCCGTGGTGGAAACCGCAGGGGCCTGGATATGTGACTGAAGGTTGACATATGACTGTGAGTTAGGGTAGTCTTCGGTCTGGGACAGTGCAAACTGCGAGAAACCGGTCAACGCTCGGAGCGACGTGGTGGAAAGCACCGACTGCACTGACTGGGTACGCAGTTTGGCAACCGAGATCTTCTCGAACGTGATTTCCGACGGAAGGTCGTTTGTCTCGTCAATCACGCTCGAATCGTCGGGGTTGGAGCCAGCACGAACACCGTCGAACTGCTTCAACGCTTTGGAGTCGCCAATCATGATCGGCGCTTCCCCGGTGGCTTTCAAGTCTGCCCCAAGTCCTTCACCCTCGTCCATAAATGTAGTCACTCCGCTAGCCCCTATCTTGGTTTTCTTGGGACCGGATCCCGTCATGCCTTCATGGGTATCTGCAGTGGTGTGTGTGTGTTCGGCTTGTCTAACGCTTGTGTTTGACGAGTCCAGCTGAGGGTGTATCTCGTCAGCATTGGAGGTGTTTGCTTGTGAGGTGTTTTCGTTCTGCCGAGAGTCACTCTCCGTATACTGGGAGCTCAGATTCATAGAGATGGCGGTTGAATATGTGACAGGTTTCGGTAAGTGTGGAAATTCTGTTATTGCGCTATGTATATTGCATAAATTAATGACGGCTATAGGTCTACCATGCAATGCTGACGCCGATGAGGACGCTCAATTTCGACGCGAGAAATGGCGAAATCCGGCACCCAACATCCAGCCGCCAGGGCAAAGAGGGAAACGCCACAGCCAGACGGTGGTGCGCCACAGCCAAAATAGGGCTGGAGGTTACATCGCCATGCCATGTATACGGTAACAGCCATCTGAATCATTATGTACTTGGTAGGTGGCAATCGGAAATCGGCAGAAGAGAACTAAAGCCGACCACTGTCCGAGATTAGGGCGCATAATCACAGCTTACCGGAGGGGTGGAATAGTTGGATAGAATCTGAGACAAAAATATGGTTGAAGCTCATCGGAGAGTTTGACGTTATGAAAATGGCTAAAAGCAATCCCGGACCTTCTAGGAATATTCTCAGCCTCTAATTCCGTATAGAAGCTCTACCCAAATAAATGGAATATTTTCCATCAACACCACTAGTCGTGTATTATAGATGTACCAACACCTAGCTTCAAAGGGCTACACATAGCTACAGTGTATACATGGCCAATTCACAAGGTGCCCCTGGATATATTGATATCTAAGGTACAGAGGAGAAATAACCGTCTAAAGCTCGTATTACTCAGCTAAGTATTGCATAAGCAGGCTAGCGATCTCAGTCAAGTCTGTGGGGGCAGGTGTTACTCTTTATACAAGAGGTTCCAACCGAGGATCTTCAAATGGCAGTCACTTACAAAATGGATTCCGCCCCTTTTCCGTTAAAATCTGCGGCAAGCCTCTCGCCAACGGTGCCGCTGGTTGTCACAGATCACATTCCCCGTTGTTTGGACCGGTAAAGCACCCCCTTTCCCTGGCATACCGCTATCATTTCACCCGTTTAGAATATCTTCACAACCGAGTACAACACAATGAACACTAGCAACGCCAAGCCGACATTGCGCCAAATGTTGTTCCCACTATTTAAGGCACGGACCAACCGCGAACTTGTGTGTTTCACACTGTGCAACAAACTGTTCATTCCGTTGTTCAAGTGGTCAAGCAACGCGTTGTCAGCGTTCACCTCGCTGTTGATATCACTGGTGATGCCTCTCAACGTGGCAAGCTTGCCGGCCAAAGCGTTAAATTGGGAGTCGTTTTGCTGTTCCTGGGAATAGCTCATGGTTTCTGGGTCAAGAGCTGTAGCAGACTAAATCATATGCGAAGGCAACGGTGATGTATACGTGGAGAGCCGCCGGAAGTCTGGCAACACATGGTGAATAGGCTTGTATGCAGGAAGGTACTGGCAGTTAGATAGGAGCAATCCAAGCATTGAAAGGCGAAATGGTATAGAATTACTATTTTCGTGTAGCTATGAGGCTTTAATTGATCATATATTGACAGAGATAAATCTCGACTGACACCTCCCTGGGCGGACTTCTTCCTCGGAAACCTTCCTTCTCAGCCGTACACGTGCCTTGAGCTCAGACACAGCCCACAAGTCCTCTACTCCTCCCAGGTGGCCCAAAATCTATCTAGCCGTCCCAACTCTATTTAATGAATCAAAAATAAGAACCCGATTATTATGGCCCCGCTACAAACCTGTCCTTGGTAGCTCCAATACCACTACAGAGTCTACTCCTAAGTCGTGCCCTTACCGCCCCGATTCGGCCGGCAAAGTAACACGACACGTCTTTGGCGACTCTTCAAAAAGGCACCTGTGCCCCCTTCCACTCAATTCCCCCCCAAACACAACACTTTATCCAATGAAACCGCTGACGTCTGTGCTTCAGACTACCGCTTTTGCGTTGAAAGTGGTGATTATCCTCTCGATCGCCGGTGCTGCCATCTCGTCGCGGTTGTTTTCGGTGATTCGTTTCGAGTCCATCATCCACGAGTTCGATCCATGGTTCAACTACCGTGCCACCAAGTACCTCGTGGAAAACAACTTCAATGATTTCCTCAACTGGTTCGACGACAGAACTTGGTACCCCTTGGGCAGAGTCACTGGTGGGACCTTGTACCCTGGCCTCATGGTCACCTCCGGTGCCATCTGGCATGTGTTGCGCAAGCTCTCCATGCCGATTGACATTCGTAACATCTGTGTGTTGCTCGCGCCGGCATTTTCTGCCTTAACCGCCTACGCCACCTACCTCTTCACCTCCGAGCTCAAGGACAGTGGGGCCGGGCTCTTGGCCGCGGCGCTCATCGCCATTGCGCCGGGCTACATCTCGCGCTCGGTCGCCGGGTCCTACGATAACGAAGCCATCGCCATCACCTTGTTGATGACCACCTTTTATCTCTGGATCAAGGCGTGCAAGCTCGGCTCCATCTTCTGGTCCGCGTTGTCTGCGCTTTGTTACTTCTACATGGTGGCTGCTTGGGGTGGGTACGTGTTCATCACGAACTTGATCCCGCTCCACATCTTTGTGTTGATCTTGATGGGTAGATACTCCGCCAAGCTCTATGTCGCCTACACCACCTGGTACGCCTTGGGGACCTTGGCCTCGATGCAGATCCCGTTCGTCGGCTTCCTCCCAATCAGATCCAACGATCACATGGCCGCCCTTGGGGTGTTTGGCTTGATCCAGTTGGTTGCGTTTGGTAACTACGTCAAGTCCAGCACCTCCTCCAAGCAGTTCAAGACCTTCTTGACCGTCTCCTTGGTGTTGATCATCGCGCTCGGGGTCTCCGGCTTGTTTGCGTTGACCGCCGCCGGCCTCATCGCGCCGTGGACCGGCCGTTTCTACTCCTTGTGGGATACTGGCTACGCCAAGCTCCACATTCCAATCATTGCGTCGGTGTCCGAGCACCAGCCGACCGCCTGGCCGGCGTTCTTCTTTGACACCCAGTTTTTGATCTGGTTGTTCCCAGCGGGGATCTACCTCTTATTCCAGGACTTGGCCAACGAACACGTCTTTGTGATCATCTACTCTGTGTTGTGCTCCTACTTTGCCGGTGTCATGATCAGATTAATGTTGGTGTTGACCCCGGTCATCTGTGTGTGCGGTGCCATCGCCATCTCCAAGTTGTTCGATGTCTACTTGAACCTCAGAGAGCTTGCTGCCACCAGTGAAGAGACCAGGAAGGACAGGATATTCCAGCTCCTCTCCAGAATGATTGTGATTATGTCGTTCGGCTTCTATCTTTGCTTCTTTGTCTACCACTGCACTTGGGTCTCCTCCACTGCCTACTCCTCGCCTTCGGTCGTGCTTGCTTCCAGAAACCCGGACGGGTCGCAGGCGATCATTGACGATTACAGGGAGGCGTACTACTGGTTGAGAATGAACTCTCCCGAAGACGCCAAAATCATGGCCTGGTGGGATTACGGGTACCAGATTGGTGGGATGGCTGACCGTACCACGCTCGTCGACAACAACACCTGGAACAACACCCACATTGCCACCGTCGGTAAGGCGATGAGCAGTCCGGAAGACAAGGCCTACGAAATCTTGGTCAACCACGACGTGGACTACGTCCTTGTGATCTTCGGGGGTTTGTTAGGCTACTCTGGCGACGACATTAACAAGTTCTTGTGGATGGTTAGAATCTCTGAGGGCATCTGGCCGGAGGACATTAGTGAGAGAAGCTTCTTCACCGCTCGAGGCGAGTACAAGGTGGACGATCAGGCTTCGCAGACCATGCAAAACTCGTTGATGTACAAGTTATCCTACTACCGTTACCACGAGGTGTTTGGCATGCAGGCCGCTACCGACAGGGTCAGAAACCAGGTGATTCCCAAGAAGGACATTGAGTTGGACTCCTTGGAAGAGGTCTTTACCTCCGAGAACTGGATTGTCAGGGTCTACCAGGTCAAGAAGGGCGACAACGCCGGCAGAAACTTGCAGGAGGCTGGCAGCTTTGAGAGAAAGGCCAAGGGCGGCAGAAACAGAAGTGCCAAGAAGCCAGAGGTTGGCTTGAGAGAGCTCTAATCTTGTAAAACGTATATATACGACAATAAAGCTAAGAAATATATAAAACGAGGAACTTGGGGTAGACACGGGGGGAGTGTCAGTCATCTGGGGGTAAGACTATGAAATACGGGAGTTAGCAGGTTAACGAGACACTCGGGCGTCTTGTTCCAATCTCTTTGTTATTTGGTACCATGCATAATCACCCCTAACTCTCCTAGCGCCTTCACAGGATTGCTTGGTCATTAATTGGTATTTCTCACCTTGGCTACACTCCCAAGCTCCGAATAAGAATTACAATATGCTCTCACCGCTCTTCCTCTCGGACACTCTTAAAGCGTAGAGACGAGAGGTTCGTAGCAGATGGGAACAGATAGTCCTCCCGTGTTTTCCCCCACACTCTCTTGATTTTCCGTTTCATTCGCTCGGCCGATGGACTGGCCGTCTCTTCATCAGTTGAGCCGATACCAACATCCTCAGTTCCATCGCTGAAATCCCTGGAGTTTCTGTATTGACTCCGCCTAAAATCCGCGATTCCCCTCAACCGATCCCTCTTCCTTTGAGGCGAGGCTGATCGAGAATCTGGTTGACGATCGTCTTGGGCCGGAAGCCGCGGAGCCGAATGGTACGCTGAATCGTTCTCCAGGGTATCCCCATCGTATGATCTGGAGTTGCTGCTTTCAGGGTAACTGACCGTCTGATGTAGCGGTATCACAAGCTCAGAAATTCGCACGGACGAGGAAGCAGACCCTTCACGTGGCCTAACCTCCCACTGGCTTTCGGCTCGAGGTTTAACAACAACCAGTCTATCGGAACTACTACCGGAGTACCGTCTCGAGTAGTATGGTATGTCGTAGTTGGTGCTTGACTGGGAATAATACCCATTGGAGTTTGAGCTCTCAAACGGATTGGTCCGGCCCTTAGCCGGCGAGTATCGCCTAACGGATAGCCCTGATGAATCCGACTCGTGTCTTGCCACAGACGGTGGTCTCTTGTGGTTGGAAGCTTTCCCTCTGAACTTGTAAACCGAATCGTCACCGCTAGACCGATCATCAATTAAATCCAGACAAACACTCCTCGCCCCCTTACTCCTCCTAAACACCTCCGATTGCTCGCCCGTCGCGGGGCTATTCCTTCTGGCCACCTGATACACACCGGAGCCCGTTTCGTCGGCCTGGGAGCCCACAAACAACTTGGGAATGGTGTTGACATCCATGAGGTTTCCGGTAAACGAACCACGGGGATGGTTGAGAAAGTCATGAAGGTCAAACGATAAGTCCGACCGGTTTCCGAAACTCTTTCTGGGAAGACGCATCGCACTGACTGAGGACTGGTATCCGGCTAGATTCGTGCGAGATTGCGGCTGCCAGCTCGACGGAGCCTTATCGGATATAGAGTACCCAGAAATAGACGGAATCCCCGTAGTGGTAGCCACCGACAAGGGGTCGTAGTTGGGGTAGTCGTCGTCGTCGTCAGATTCGTTGTTCTGTGCCACGGAAATGTACCGAAGAAACATGATTAGCAACGCCATAAAGTCCACAAACTGGTCCAGTCGGATGGGCTGCCCGCTAAACCGGAGATGCTCGTACAAATCAACCAACTCGTCGATGAGCTCCTCTACCCTCGCCTGCTGGGGATGGTCGTGAAAGTGGCTTTCCCCGAGGAAATAAAAGATTTCGCGGAACGAGAAGTATGCGGGAATGGCCATCTCCAAGTTGAAAAAATGGTGGTCGCCGAACTTGATTTTATCCCCGATGGAGCGGAGCACGTCTTCGTAGACCAAGTTTGGAGGGAGGGTACTCATAGCATCGTGGATATCTGGATCTAGGGCAAAGTCGTGGGGGTCGTGTTTTTCGTTTCGTGACAAAGTATCATCTGTATAGGCAGGAGGCGATAAACCTGGATGGTTGATCAAGTGGATGTCTTTGGGGCCTAGCGACACCAACGCCGCTCGCGTGCGCTCGAGACTCTCTTTAATCGAGTGGAACACCTTATCGCCCAAATCTTGCTCGGTGATAGGGATGTAGTGCTTGGGAATGTCCTCGATGGCGGCCCTGAACTGGAAGAGCCGGCTGAAGTATATACTGAGAGTGACCACGATGAAAAATGCACACACAGATACAATCACAAAAATGTTAAAGATATATACCGAGTTTTTCAGTTGGACGATGGCGTCAACTGGGATGACAGCCACGAGCGCAATGAGAATAAGGAAGAGGAAACCCCAGGACACAGAGAGGATGAGCAGAAGGATACGCCTGGGTAGAGCGCTGGTGGTGTGGTGGTTGCCTTTACCGAGGTATAGAGTGGCATCCATGCTGTATGTGGTAGGAGACTAAGGGGGATTTAACATAGTCTAGGTGAATGGAGATTATGGGCTATAGTGCCAAAAAAACAATCGTAAAACTATCGTACGTCAGGTACGTGCAGGATTGAGGCGGAATCCTATACCGTAAATGAGTTGAGGTTCGAGTGAAAAATGGAGGGTGAGAATAAATTCAGCCCCACGGCTTATTTAAATTATACAAGTATGGAATCCAGTGGAAGTTTAGCATGGGTCTGGAGGGCTTGGAATTACAAATGTGAGATGTGGTTGCTGAGCCTGATACCTAACCTCGTGTTATAGTTGCGGGCGTAAAGCTTTCCGCATTTAAAAGGGATAAAAGTACCAAAGGAAAAATATTTAACTTCATTGCAAAAGAAAATAAAGCTCTGTATTTATCTTTTTTTGAGCCTTGTGGTCTCAAAAGCAAGAAAAGGAGTAAGGCCACGCTTACGGAGTGTCACACATGACCTATAGTAATACCGCTCTGTAAACCATAGACACTCAATATGTGCTCTATATACATGAAGTACAGAACAGTGCAATAATTATTGGTTAAAATAATATACAAGCTATCACACCGAGTTATTTTGATCCCAGAACCCCACATATAGACTAAAAGGCATGGAAACAGCCACAATAGTTACAAGTCGTTCCTCTACCGCGCCCGATTGGGCGAAACTTTTCAGTGCCAAATTTTTCCGCGATGAGCTCCTACATAAATATTTCTGTCCCATTGCAAAACCATTTGATCTCACAATCTTCAAGCATAAAATGAACGGTTTTCAAGACACAGAATCGCGCGGTATCCGCTTACCCGGTTCGCTATTGGACCAAATCAGAAACAAAGAGGACAAGGGTGACTACGAGTCCGGTGATAGCCGTTACCTCAAGGGTGACGCCTCCAACTACAAGAAGCGCAAGCGCGCGCCCCAGGTCAGCAGAAAGGACAAAAGAAAGGAGGAGCGGATGGAAAAGAAGCAGAAGAAGGCAGTCAATTTGAGCAAGAAGAAAACTGTGCCGCATACGAAGGCACCAGCCAAGAAGGCCGTTTCGTTCAACGAGGCCACCAACACCTCCCACAAAACCTCGCTGCCCCCTTTAAGCGCCATGGAAAAAACAATGGCGCTATTAGCCGCTGCCAAGTCACAGAAAAAATCTCCTGGTTCCGCTCTCAAGATTGTGAAACTGGACGAATATAGCGACGACGAGGAGATGGACGATGATATTAGCTTCTCTGATGAGGGGTTTTCAGACGACAGCGATCAACCACAAACCGTGGAAGACGCAATGGCGGCGTTGAAGGCATTGAAGGCGAAAAAGAAGGTTGAGGTAGGCGATAATGCCATGGCTACCAAAAAGGTTGAACTCCCCCAAAAGGAGGCTGATAAAGCAACGAAATCTAAAAAGACTGAGAAGAAATCGGAAAAGAAACCAAAGAACAAACGGATAATTTCTGATTACGACCGTGAACTCATAAAGCGAGATGAAGAAGATATGGACTTTTATGCCAAAAAGTTGGGCTTGAAGGACGGAAAGTTGTCCACCCAGGGCGATGATGACGGACTTGGGGGGTTGCTTGATGGGTTAAACTTTGATTTTAGTTCGGAAGAGGAGATTGAAGAATCTGAGGAAGAGTCCGAAGTTGATGAGGAGGCCACTGCCGCGGCGGCAGACGAGGCAGAATACAACAGACAAGCCAAAGAAGTCAGGGAGGCCTTACCATGGTCTGACGACGAATTAAGTGAGGGTGACTTTGACTCCGAGGATGATGAAAGCGAGGAGGAAGGCCCACGGGTCAAAGAAAACCCGTACGTGGCTCCGGTTGTCAGAGCGACTGAGCCCACCGCTACAGAGGGCGAAACATCCAGATACATCCCCCCAGCCTTGCGTCGTCAGATGCTTGTCAACACGTCGGACACCACCCAGCTCCGAAGAGCCATCAAGGGGCCGTTGAACAGACTCGGGGAGAGCAACATCAGCACCATATCCAACGAAGTGCACCAGTTGTACCACGACAACCCGAGACAAGTGGTGAACGAATGCATCACCGACATTGTCTTGGACAGCATCATCTCGCAGGGGCGTCTTCTCGACAACTTTGTGATTCTCCACGCTGCGCTTGTAGCGTCGCTTTTCCGTCTCCAGGGCGTAGAGTTTGGAGCGTTCTTCATCCAGACGCTTGTGGAGAGGTTTGACAAGTACTACGCCGGGGCTGTGGCGAATGGGGCTGGGAAGGAGTGCTCTAACTTGCTTTCGCTCTTGGTCGGGTGTTACTCTTTGCAAGTGGTTTCGTGCCGCTTACTCTATGACATGATCCGCATGCTTATCTCAGAAATCACCGAATTGAACACTGAATTATTGCTCAGATTGATCAAAAACGCCGGGTCACAGATGCGCAGCGACGATCCGGGCGCGCTCAAGGAGATTATCGCAGACTTGCAGAGTGCGGTGGGCGAAGCGGGTGTGGGGGCTACCAATGCGCGCACGAAGTTCCTCGTGGAGACAGTCATCAACTTGAAAAACAACAAGATGAAGACAAATGAGTCGCAGCCACTCGTGACGCGGATGAAGAAGTATCTCGCGGGAATCAACAACAATAAGTTTAACGACCCGATCGCGGTGTCGTTGGACGATATCCACAGCATCGGGAGCAGGGGGAAATGGTGGCTTGTAGGGTCTGCGTGGAAGGGCGCGGAGAAACGCGACGCGGACGTAGCCACGGCGCCTCTGGAGGTACAAGACATTTTAGACACTGCGGAGCCGAACTGGATGGCATTGGCGCGCGCACAGCGCATGAACACCGACATCCGCCGCGCCATCTTCATCTCCATCATGTCCGCGTCCGATTACATGGACGCGGTGGCGAAGCTTGACAAATTGAACTTGACCAAAAACCAGAAGCGTGAGGTTCCGCGAGTGTTGCTACACTGCACCGGGGTCGAGCCCAGCTGGAACCCGTACTACGGGGTTCTCTCCGTGAAGCTCTGTGACGACCATTCCACCAGAAAAACGTTCCAGTTTGCCTTCTGGAACTTGGTTGCCGAACTAGACGGCGACGACGAGGATGAGGACAAGTTTGATGACGCGGACTTGGATGACGATGCGAAGTTGAGACGAATCCTCAACTTGGCGCGTTTCTACGGGTTTTTATTTTCGGAAGGCGCCTTGAGTTTGCACATTTTGGATGACATCAAGTTTGTGGGCGCTTCTTCCGATACCACTATCTTCGCGGAGCTCTTGCTTATCACGTTCCTTGACATGGTGGGGAAGAAGTCCGAGATCCCCGCCGTCGGCGGCGGTGCGCACAAGAGCAAGATGCACGATGTGCGCTATGATGAAACGCTCTTGATCCAGAAGTTGGTCAAGTGTAAGGATCGCACGCGGTTGTTGCGCGCCATGCCGTGGTTTTTGCAGGAAAAGGTGCGTGCTAGTGCCACTATCAACGGTAAGAAACAGCGTCGCAGGGTCGAGTGGGGGTGCGATGCTATGTGCGATGTGATTGAAGAGTTTTTGAAAAACACCGAGGAGGACTAGTGTATTGAAAATGTAAATACTCTATATCAGTTGGATATTGTAGCGTAGAATACTAGGTGAAAAGATCAGCCGTTTTGATGCCTCTCTGTCACTTTCCACAATGGTACACACCGTGATACATCAACCTGATAGCAACGACACGCATTTCCCAAGCCTTATCACCTACCAGCTGTAGCTCCTCCACTTTATCAGCTCTACATTTAAGCAAAACTAAAAATAAAATCCATTACAACGGCGCGGTCTCTCTCTTCAACCACTGGTGGGCATAAGTACCCTTGTCCAACTTGCCCTCGTACGTCGTCCACACCTTCTGGTGGTACGCATCAATAATGGCACGTTCAGCAACGCTCAACAAGGACACGTCGATGAGCTTGCGGCAGTATGGCACCATCGTCACGTTCACAAACTCCAAGAACTTCTTGTCGCCAAAGCGGCAAGCGCTACCATCTTCCCCGGTCACCTCGCGAACATACATCACATTCTCGATGCGAATGCCGTAGTCGCCGTCCTTGTAATAGCCCGGCTCGTTAGACAAGACATTACCGGCTTTCAACGCGACATCGTTGTAGCTGAGGCGCGGGCCCACACCCATCGGCCCCTCGTGCACGTTCAAGTAGCAGCCCAAGCCGTGACCCGTGCCGTGTCTGTAATCCAACGCATCGCTCCAGAGAAACTGGCGTGCGAGCACATCCAACTGGTAGCCGGTGGTGCCCTCGGGGAAGCGCGCCTCCTGCAACGCGAGATTGCCCTGGAGCACGCGCGTGTAGTTCGCGGCCTGCTCGGGCGCAAGCTTCTTCGAGTCACCAAAGTACAACGTGCGCGTGGTGTCGGTGGTACCGTCAAGGAACTGCGCCCCCGAGTCGTTGAGGTAGATCTTGTCGGGGTTGATAGTCTTGCACTCGCCACGCTTTGGCGCGTAGTGGATGACGGCTGCGTTTTCCCCAGTGGACGAAATCGTTTCAAAGGACAAGCCAACAAACGTCTCACCGGACGCCTGGCGGAACTCGAGCTGCTTGTCGGCGGCTGCGACCTCATCAATCAAGGAACACTTGACCGTGAGCTCTTCCTCCAACCACGCAAAGAACTTGACGAGCGCCAAGCCGTCCTTTTCGTGGGCACTGGCAAAGCCTGCGAGTTCCACGGCGTTCTTGACCGATTTGAGGTCATCAAGCGGCGACCTCATAGCCTTGGTGGAGGCAGTGAGCGCCGACTGGACCGCCCAGGACGAACCTGACGGCAAGAGAACGGTCTTGGACAAGTTTGGAAGATCGGTCCAGATTGCACTGTACGGTTTAACCGTCACTGAGATGGCTGCAAGATACTCTTGGACGCTTGGTCCCAATCGGGTGGCGTCCTCCGAATTGTCCGCGTACAACGTAGCGGCATCTTCGGTCACAACCAAGTAGGCGTAGAAGATCGGGTTGTACTCAACGTCCGACCCTCTGAGGTTCAAACACCACGCGATCTGGTCCAAAGCGGACACCACGATGGCGCTGGCGGCGTTTTCCTTCAACAGAGCGCGGACAGTAGCGAGCTTTGCGACGCTGGTCTCGCCGGTGTATTGGTCTGCCAAAGTTTTGATAGGATTGAGCGGTCTGACGGGCAACGGCTCAAAGGCCTCCCATATGGCATCCACAAGATTCTTGACTCCCACGAGCAGGACCAAGTTCTCGGCCTTCTGCTCCGCCAAGAGCTTCTGTAAGCTCTGCACCTGCGCGTGCGAGACAAGCGCAGGGTCCATGCCGATGCGCGTCTCCTTGCCGGTGTCCTTGGCCTGCTGCACGGCCTGGGCGACAGTCCACTCTTGCCACGTCGGGACGCCCTGCGCACCCTGCTTCAACAAGGTCCAGTTGAAGTCGAGCTCGTTGGCGGCCTGTGCAAAGTAGCGGCCATCGGTGGAGAGCGCCGCGAGGCCCTCGGGTTCCGCGTTGAGCGACGCAATGTCGCGCGTCACAACGGCCACCCCGGCGCTTCCAGAGAAGCCCGAGATGAACTCGCGGCGCTGGTCCGCAAGTGACACATATTCGGACTGGTGCGCGTCCTCGGACGGCACCACGTACACTGCGAGGTCGTGCGCGGCCATCTGGCGGCGCAATGCGTTAAGGCGGTTGGAGGTGTTCATTTCGTCGTACTCGCCGGTTTGCTGGTCACAGGTGGCAAAGGAAAAGATGGAGGGGGTTCGGCGGGATGTTTTGGTGGATTCGGTTCCGGGCGCTGGTGACTGGGAGGAGCGGCGGCGGAGTGAAATTTGTTTGGCAAACGAGATTGAGCGCTTGTTCTGGCGGGAAAGGAGACCGGGAGAGCACGTACAGTTGTCGCACTGGGCTCTTCTTAAAGACATGACAATGGGTAGGTAGAAAGGGATTGGGCGGGAGGGAGGAGGAGGAGGCTGGCAAGAGGCGAAACTGATTTTATAGCCGTGCGCTCGTGCGGAAAATGCTGCGTAATCGAGAGCCGTTGAGAGGTGTGGCTGCGAACGCGGAGGACAAGTGGGCTGGTGCCGTGCAGCGCACGACTTGCATTATTAGGTGGCACTTGTCTATTTTCATTGCGTAGGGGATGATTCGTTTAGCATTTGGATCAATAGTCTATATTATCTGAAAGCTAAGGTCTAAGAACGGCTGTTCAACTATAATGGCAAAGGGTGGTTTGGTGGAGGCTGGAGACATGGCGCCAGAATAGGCAGTTGTGCGGCGCAAAAGGTGGCCCCATCGGGGTGGCTGCGGGTTCTGCACATTCCAAAATGGAGGTTTATATTCAATGGTGAATTTCATTGAAGGTGATTCACAAAAGCATGGTAATATATAAGGTTGATGCCAAAATATGGGACGGTACGAGTTATTTGGTTAGGATGTGAAATGCCACATTTTTTTTTTTTTTTTTTTTTTTGACTGGTCTACAAAGTGGCACTTCATGCAGATAGTGTCTCTGGGAGGTGTCCCTTCTCAACTATGTTACTGTTTACTCAATGGTTTTATCATGGCAATCAAAGGTAGAGACTATGATTCGATTTGTTGCATGCATAATGTTGAGGTTTAGCTTTTGTGAAAGGTATGGGTTTCCAGTGCCTTTCTCAAATATTCACTATCTGAATGTTTGCCAGCCAAGACTTAGGTTATGACTACGTTTGTTAGATCTTGATTGTAACGTACGGGCCGGCATGACTCTGAGACGGACGTATATTAGAGAACATATCGTAGGTCTTAAGGCAAATTTCCTGGTGGGGAAACTACTAATTCAGTCGGCTAATTAATTAGGTGGAACTCGCACAAAGGTTACGTACATAGACCGTTGCTGTTTTATGCAAAATGGCTAGACTTACGTGTATGGCGTACACAAGGAGTATCTCATAGGAGACAGCTAAGGTTTATCAAAAGTGGCTATACCAGGTGTTATGTGGGAAGGGAGTGCAATCAGCGTCATCAATTTTCGTCTAAGTTTTGTTGGGCCATAGTAGATGCGTCTGTGCGCATGAGTTTGAAATGACGGCAATAGAGGGAGCAGAATATATCTTATCGCGTGCGACACCGGAAGTAGTCTAGTTGTTGGCAGTTTCCTTTCGTCGGCCTGGTGGGTTTGAAGCACAGTCCTTAAACCACAAGGAACAGTCAAACCCCAAAATAGCGTACGTAGATCTACACTTATATGCGGAGATGTCAATGCCAGAATTTGGGGGAGTATCCGCTGTCGATACTTGAGGGGCTGATACTCCACTTTTTTTGGTACCTAGTCTATTACTTCCCCCTGGCGAATGGTGTTTAGATACCGCAGAGCACCTAGGCCCTAGGTTATGATTCATACTTTTTGAACCCCGCAATCTGCAACGGCTATCAGACTGTGGAATGAAACCCCGGGAAACCGGAAGCACGTATCCATTCAGAGGCATATCCGGGAAGCAATCTGATTCCGACTGTGGTCCCTCGTCTCATAGTGGATACTAAATATTCACCCGATAAAAGCCCGAAATTTTAAGTTCTAAATGCGACGCTCCAAAGATAATGCATACTGATTGAAAGCCGTCAGCCGATTTTCCAGCGTCGGAATGGCTACTTGCATCATATACCGGACACTCATGTTGGGTGTAATTTGAGAGACACGCTTTCTCAGCGAGAGGAAGGCGATATGGTCCTTTAAAAGAAAAATCAGCCCCGTAAGCTCTTTGAGAAGAAAGCGATCGAGGTGAAGGGTGCTGATATTGTACTCTGCAGGAGGCTCTACGCTTTTAATGATTTTAAATCCGTCGTGCTTTATGGCCGACTTGGATATTGAGTCGTAGATGATTAAGTTACAATGCATGTTTCGGACCGAAGCGATGAATTGATGTCACACCATTCGTTTATATCACTTTGAAGCTTCATATCACAACCTTGACAGTTTTCGCTTTCCACCTTTCGCTCTCCTCTTTCCGTTTTCTGCCTTCCCCTTTCCACTTTTCAACCATAGAATTCAAGAGGTTGAATCCCACTTTCATCGTCTTGTCATGGACTAACATGAATATTCGCTAGTCTCTGCTTTCATGCCTTAGAAATTTATGACCCAACAGTGATAGGTGGAAGAGTAACACGCCTAATATCCAGGCCTAGACCCGGTCGCCTGCACGCATAATGTCCCGTAAACCCGTCATGCCGGGTTCACGGATACGCCTTATTTTCAGTGTCACTATACCGAGGGAGCTCCGGTCCACTGTTCCCAGGAAACCTTGGTTGGAAGGGAATTTAAATATATACACTTGTTTCGGCGTAATAAAAAGCCGGTTCTAACCCTCACGGATTTCCGATATTACGCGAAGTAGCCCTATCTCGGAGCTATCTCCATTGATTTCTACCACTGACGGCATCCGCTTATATGCGTTGAATACGGTGTAAGCAATCGCTGAAAAACTCACGTGCCTGTTTCGCTGTGAGCTAATAACCCCAGGCAGTATCGCCACCACTAACCGTGCCGCACACGCCGTAACTCCGTCAAACCTGAACGGGTACGAGCCACTCCGCTCGACTTTTAGTGCCTAGAGTCCGAACTATGGAGAAAAAAAATATGTGATACCCAACACTTTTTATAAGCGGAGCTAAATAACTGCAAGACTGAGTGATTTTTTGTCAAGAGAAATCTATCGAAAGAATTTTACGTGTTATATCCCATCTTACCAGCAGAGCAGCTCCCACCATCTCAGCCTGCTAGCACCCCGTCTACTTCAGATCAGAGGCCTGATTAGTTTATTCTCAGCTGAGGAACATCTTTTTTTTTTTTTTGACTCTTCAAGGCTATATTTATATCACACAGTGCTGCCCTGTACAAATTAAATATCCGAGCCTCCCCAACAGACTTTGTCAGTGGCATCAAATATTCCCCTTAGCCCTAGATCTCAGATTCATCTTCTGCTCCACTCATCAGTTGCTGCTCAACTACCAATGCATACACCCGCTGAAGGCGCCTCACCGGCGGTCAAGTCTGAAACCACAACCATCCCTACACGCTACAAAAGACCCAGGTCCTCGCGCGCCTGCCAGGTCTGCCACTCGCGCAAAGTCCGTTGCAACGTAATGGACCAGATGCCGTGCTCCAACTGCGTTACCTTTGGCTGCGAATGTCTCATTCCAGATGCCAAAAAGGCGAAAGCGCGGAGTGCCGAGTTGGTGAATAGCCCCAAACCGGAAGAAGAGTATGAAACGCCAGCCCCAACTCCAGCACCATTGGCAGCGGTCCTGCATCCCAAACAGGGCATTCAGCCGGTCCCCGTCCCGCCTCACACCTTCGCCGGCCCTACGACCCCGAAAACCCCCCAAACCCCGAAGAATATGTCTCTACACAGCGCCGCGATCGAGACACTTCAGCACCCCGTGGATGCAGTGTTAAACTCTCCACTCCTTGACCCACTCGAGCTTGAGATTCTCCAGCTCCGGGGTGCCTTCATCACGCCGTCCAAGGCCTGTTGCTTGGAAATGTTTGAGGCCTTCTTCACATACATCCACCCGATCCTTCCGATCTTCAACCGCACCCATTTCTACAAGCAGTTCATGGACTCGTATCTGACTGGAAACGAAGAGCCAACCTCCAGACCCATGTCGCTTTTGCTCATTCACTCACTCTGTGTGGCGGGGTCTCGTGTGGTCAACAAAAACTCGCTCATGTTCACAGAGTTCCCCAACAGAGACCGCGACGGAATCTCGCTTGACTTCTATAAACGCGCAAAGTCCTTGTACGACTCTTCGTACGAAACGGACCCCATAACGGTCGTGCGCTCGCTCCTCCTCCTCTCGTGGTTCTGGGACGGGCCGGATGACGTCAGTCGCAACTCCTTCTACTGGTGTCGCATCGCCATCTCGCTTTCTCTCGGCTTTGGTTTCCAAAGGGACGTCTCTCATTCCGCCACGATGGAAAACTGGGAGAAGAAGATCTGGCGAAAGGTCTGGTGGTGCTTGTTTGTGCGTGACCGTCAGGTAGCGCTTGCCTTTGGGCGGCCGGTGGCGATAGATCTCGATGACTGTGACGTTCCGATGCTAGTGGAGCTGGACTTTGACGAATCGGACACTATATATAAGGGGGAGCTGGTGCGCGCGCCACCCTTCGAGTCCGGTGCCCTCGAAGCCAAGTTCTTTATCGAACTTATCAAACTTTCAGAAATTACCGGGATCATTATCAAACAGCAGTACCTGGTGCGTGCGTCCAATCTCCAGGCCAACAACAAGATCCCCGTCATCCAGCACTGCGACTTGGTTCTCAGTAACTGGTTTAACAACCTCCCCTCACTGTTACAGTTTCTTCCATCCAACGAAGCAGAAAACACAAGGCGCCACGAGGAAAACCCCATTGCCAGCTACGTCCTGCTCCTCCTTAACGTCGAGTATTATTCCATTTTGTGCTTAGTTCACCGTTCCAACATTCTCCGCCGGTCCAAGGGCTTGCCCGAAACCCATGAAGGGGATCCGACTAAAACGGACTACCCCTCGCAGGGCATCGCCTACCAGGCGGCCTATATGACCACGGTGATTGCCCAGGCAATGCTCCAATATGACCAGCTCAAGTACTGTCCGTCGTTCATCTGCTACACGTTGTTCAGTGCGAGTATGATCATGTCCCTGACTTTGAGAGGCGACAGTACCGGTGATCGCTTGTTGGACCAATCGGGAGAGGTAACCAACATTGAGGCTCTCGAGCACAAAAGGAAGGCTCTTGAGTGCTTGAACATTCTTGTTGACGCGTTGCGAAACATAGGCCACATCTGGGGCTTTGCCAGGCTTTCGGTGTTGATTATTGAGGCCATCTTGAGCACCACCAATATTGCCAAGAAAGGGAATCACAAGCGGTCCAAGACCAAGACAACTGCTACCGACCACTCTAAGAGAGTGTTCAGTAACAACAGGAGCGTCACTGCGATCGGGAACATTATGGATAGGCAAAGTTCGGGAGAGTCGTTTATCACGTCTTCCTATCCCGCCCTTCCCCTTTCCGCTGCGTCGTTACTGAAAAGCAGTGAGCGCAGAGCCCAACACGAGAATCTCTTTCATCCGCAAATGACTCTTCGTCCGGGCTACCCCGGAAATGGCCACGAAGAGTTACGAGCTGAGCCACCCGGCCAGTCCCAACTGCATTCTCGGACTCCGTCTCTGGTCCAACCTCCTCAGCTTCCATCCCAGGCCCCTCTTGTTTCCCATCTAAACGGCGAAAGATCAATGTCCCCGGTGAATGATACCTTCAAGTTCCAAGTTGACGACTTCCCCGATATCCACTTACTCATCAATGAGATGCCACCGGTGACTCTGTTCATGCCCAGCTCGCTATTCCCGGCATTTGACTTTTTTCTGACCGGGGATATGAATGGCGAGGAGAATGGAGGGCCGGGTAATTCTAGCATGGATGGCCTGACACCTATTCTGACGAATGGGTCATATGCGTCTTCTGAGATGATGGGCACGTCCAATGGAGCAACGGCAGAATGGGATAGCCTCTCGTTTGGCGGCTTTGGAGGGTTGTTTGGTATGCCTCTGGCGATGCGCGTGGAAGGGCGCACCAGAGGGACGCCCCCTCTCGGCTCGCGGCCGGAATCCCCGGCAAACTGGATGAATTTTCTCAATTCCTAATAGATATTAATAAGTATATGTCAACATCTCTGAGAGCTAAAACGTAAGCGTTAGAAAAGGCAGGTCGCAAGATGTTCGAAAACTAGCATTCACCCACAATGAGTTGTTGGATATGATTTGGATTGCTGTAGTCTGGCCGTGCCTGACGTGGTGAGTTGTTACTTTCCAAACTCTTACCTTAAAGCTACCGGAGGTGGTTTTGGGCCAATTGAGTGTCTGGTATGTATCGCTGAACTCAAAACACGATGGTATTTGTCTAGAGAGGTCTACTCAATTACAGGGTTTTTTCAATGTGATGGAATTATACTTTACGGAACGCTTGCGGTATAACCTGTGTAGAGCAACTGTCGTGGTAATCTCAGGGTCTGTACAATTACCGGACAGGCTTTTTTTTTGGGTAACGTTAAAAATCGGCGCAAAACCCAGGCGATATTTGTTGCGTTTTCACTGAGCAATATTGGGAACGGAAACGGCAATCCCAGTGGAGTCAACATTGCGACTATAGCACGACTGCAACGTCAGGGAGGTAACAGGTAATAAAAACTGCATGTAGGTCGTCAAGCCAAGCTGCATCTTAAAGCCGTATTTAGCAGATACCGATGATAGTCTACCTACAGGCACTGGCCCGACAATAGTAGTCTTCAGGCCACTGCCGAAGGATAATTTCGACCCCTCTGGCAGATCTGCTAAGGTAAAGCGCCAATTCCCAGTTGTACATCCCTCAAACACTCTTAAAGTGGTACTTTAATTTCTCCAACTCGCCAACATCGCTCATCAACCCTCCGAACCATCGCTTGACAAAAAGCCCGATGACAAAGTCAACTACACACAACATGTAGTAACTGCGAACCCAAGCAGCCAATGCCGACCCACTCTCCAGCTGGTAAAATCTCCAGTTTGAGAGACAGACTAAGGCCATCATTAGCACATTCGTCCCGTTGATGCAGTACTTGTTGAATATATAGCCACTGTTGCGGCTTAACATGGACCGGACTGATGACAAACGCCGCGAGGTTTCCAACAGGCTCTCAAAAGTGCTTTGCAAATCCTTGGGATCGTACTTGAGGTCGATACAGGTGAGCAAGATGCTGAAGAAACAAAGGAGGGAGAGAATCCGGGACACTATAGGCACGCCTGCACCAACAGATTTGTGCATTGCCTTTGGAGCAAAGATAAGAAGTGGGGTTTGGATTAGGAACAAGAAGCACAATCTGTTGGTGTAGAACACCAAGTCTTTCAGAATCTTGCTCTGGAGCTTGGCTATCACCGCCGACTGGTCTGCCTCGTCGATGGGATCATCAGCAAAACTGGTCATCTCAAAGTCCGAATCATCGGAATGGCTTGGATTTAAAAGGCTCTGGGTAGTTTGGCGAATCCGAGGCATAGTCCGTATATGGGCTGGCCTAGGTTAGTATTCTGTCTACAGAAACTCCTGTTAGCTCGAAGTTACATATGGCAGTGCCTGGGATCAATTCTGAATACTCTTCGACACAGGACAAGGCCCCCAGCTGGTATGCAGGCCAGCTCTGGATCTCTCACATCCCACTGTATGGAAATACTAGCTTCAAAGACTCCACCTCTCAGATGCACCCTCCCCCTACCGAGACTTTTTAGCTACGCAGCCGAGATGTTGGTGTCCGTCTTTTCAAGGAGCTATACTTCCGTTTCGAAGCGAGGAGTCAGGCTTATTCACAATCTACCAACCAGATGCCCCATTTCTCTTAGTTACGAGAACTTGACCCCCAAGACCGTCACCGCTGGCGACATCTCATCCAGTCCCAACGCTCCGGTTATCTTTATCCACGGACTTTTTGGTAGTAAGCAGAACTTCAAATCAGTCGGTAAGAGCTTGTCGCGTGCGTTGGTGGCTCCTTCCTATGCCGTGGACCTCCGTAACCATGGTCTCTCTCCCCACGCGAGACCCTTCACCTATGAAGCCATGGCCAGGGATGTTGTCAGCTTGTTGGAAACTGAGTTGCAGACCACCAAGGGCGAAAACATAAAGTTTACGGTGGTGGGCCACTCTATGGGGGCCAAGGTTGCCATGCTCGTGTCATTGTTGTCTCCCCACCTTGTGGATAAGCTTGTGGTTGTGGACAACTCTCCAGTGGGGGCCAGGTTGGGGTTGAGCTTTGATCAGAACTTGAAGGCGATGCAGGAGGTGGAGAAAGCCAAAATCCCAAGCTCCAGGAAAACCTGGAGACAGGAGGCGGAGGCGATCATCGCCAAGTATGAGAAGGACCCAAACGTTAGAATGTTCTTGATGGCTAATTTGAGCAACAAGCCGCTCTCCATCGATTCTCCAATCGATTTCAACGACGGTAACGTGCATTTTCGTTTACCGGTCAACTACTTTGGCCACGGCTCGGACGGTCTCCTCAACCTTGTTGGAGACTGGCCCGCCGAAGCCGTGGCCGGCTCAAAGTTTACCCGCGGGACTTTGGTCTTGAAGGCCAAACACTCCACCTTTGTCAACGACGAGACTTTAAAGGATTTTGAAACGTACTTCCCAGGCTATTCGTACGAAGAGTTTGACTCTGGTCACTGGTTGATCACCGAAAAACCGAAACAGTTTATGGAGTCCGTGGCTGCGTTTGTTCAGGGATAAACACATACGTTATTGTCATTAAATAGAAAGATCCCCGGAGGCCCCGCGCTTACATTAATCTACGAATTTAGTAAATGCTCACCAGTCCTGTAATAGCTGCTTACTTGTTTTAGCTTGCTGTAGGCCACCCCTCATTTTTGTAAAGCTCGTCAATTAATACAAAACTAGACCCTGAACCATACGCTTTCCAAGCTTCTAGTCTAAGAAAGTTGAACTGGCAGTCCCACAAGCACGCGGTTACGCCCAAAAATTAATCACTATATCGGTAACCGTATATACACGGATATCAGCCGTCAAAGCGACTACAACAATTCGCTTGTTTCATTTTCCTCAGCGGTATCATCTGGCAGGGCATCAGAGGATGCGGTACCTGCGTTTCCGTTCAGGCTACCCGCCGATTCTTGCCTCGGCATCTCATCGTAGTTCTCGCCCCGGAAGCCGAAAGTGTGAACCCCGTCAGCGGTTCTTCGACTGGCCACACCCATTGGGAGAAGCATATCAAACGGTCTGGTCGGGATCCCCGTCGGCGATTCTCCCGGGAAAAGCATGTCCAACCGTCTACCAGGAAGTCCTACCCCTCTTTGGGGGCCTCCCATGATATCGCCGATCAATCTATCGAAAAACTGGCGCACGCGAGGAAGACCTAATCTGCTTGGAGGCGCCGTGCTCTCAGCAGACGCTGGGGTACCCTGCGTGTTGGGAACCGACAAGTCTACGGTTCTATCAGCCTCGGACGAGTTGGTACCAGGTCTACCGAGTCTAGAGAGCTCGCTCCACCGGAAAAGTCTGGATCTGATATCCGAGTTGTTCCCCTCAGTCCCTTCCACGTCACCAAGGTGGGCTCTGATCACAGACCCATCGTCATCTCTCACCGCAATCAAGTAACCCAACCCCGTTAGTCTTCGGATGTTGTCCCGTGTCAATTGATGGTTACCGTTCAACACGAGGAGATTAGGCTGCCCGCCTCTCTGGGTTAATACGTCACGGTAGTACTCGGACAAGTTGGGCAAAACCACAAAGATTGGTGGGATCACCGGGACCGCCGAGGCTTCGGAACTTTTTACAACCTGGTGGCGGCACAAGGGGCATGTAGTGTTAGCCTTCAACCACTCCGACAAACAGGACCGTCCAAAGAGATGAGAACATTCCAATTGGACGGGTTCGTGCTCGAAGGCTATTGTGCTCTCGGACAATAGCTCCTTCGCTGGCTTTTCTACTCCAGTTGCAGTCTCTACCGGTGTCTCAGAAACCGCCGTATTCACTGGCATCCCGTTGTTGGTCTTCCGTCTCTTGGTCCTCCCACCCCCCTCCGCCGTCTCCAAGTCTCTTTTCTTCGTGGTTGGAAATTCGTAATCTTCAAAGCATATCGAGCATGGTAGGCTCTGTTCTTCACTAAGTTGCTCCTGGTCCAAAACTGTAAGCTGTAGGAACTCCTCCGTGGTACAGCCTCCCTTCTTGGGGGGCTCACGGGTGACAAACGCACGAAGGGCCACACTGGTGGCAAAGGTGATCAACTCTTGCACGTTTTGCGAGGCAGGAACGTCGGGCACCGAGAGTACAAGCTGGCCTCTCCTACCATCGTTCAAACCCACATTCTCTCCCACGATATAGTTGACGGTGACAATAATTCTTCGGGCTTCCTCCGAGCTGTCGGACCCCATCGATCCGGAGGTGTTTGGTCGTGGAGCACTCGTCGCAGATGTAGCGGTTTGGGGAGCGTTCCGGGTGGCGCTCAGACTATCGTCTAAGCCGGCATTTTCGGCAGCGGCGATTCTGTCGGTGAACGCCAGAAGGATATCCTCGAGCAAAGACGCAGTGGCAGTACGCTCAGCTGTGGACGGGATCCGGTTAGAGGAAGTGGCGGTGATCGTGATCGGCACGGTGGGTTCGGCCGGGGTTGCAGCAAGAATGGATGCGGCGGAATCCTCGACCCGGTTATCCTCATCGCCAAAGAATCCGTGTCGTGAAACATCGAATGCGGGGTAGTCTATGCCTCTGGTTCCGGGTCTGATGGTTGGAGATTCGTCTGCGGCTTGGCTGCTGTTGCTTTCTTCTTCGATTAGAGATGGCTGGGACACGGGGGAAGGAAGTTGCTGTGTTGGGGGCGTGTCTTCGGGCTTGGCTGCCCTGGGAGTCCTGGAGGCCATTTCGGGGGAGTGAACCCGGGAGGAGCCTTCGGAGGATCCTACGTTGATTGGCACCGTTTCAGCGACATTTTCAGATGGCTCAGTCATTGCGCCGGTGTCATTAACGTGGGCAGAGTCGAATCGGTCTTAGCGCCGGTAAACAACAAAAAAAGGTGTGTTTCGCTAGATGTGTTTGTCTATTAAGATCAGAGATGTATCCTCTGCTTGTTAATAACTATATCTGGATGCTCAGATTATCGTGTTTAGGAAGACTGATACTGTTGACGCCCAATACCACAGATCCTCTTGCCAGATAAACGCTGGCATTGGCTGCTTACTAAAGGATCGTAGACGGTCCGTATGCCGGATGTGCGGCGCTTCCGGAGCGCTGGTCTTGTGACCCTGGGATGTCAAATTATATATAGTGGCAAAAGTATTTCTTGCTCATTATCCAGATCGGCAATGACGGATTATCTGGTTGTGTGAGGTGGCTAACTTTGCCTATAGGACTTTAACTTGGATTATTTTAGTCAGCCCGGCTAGACGGCACTGGCAGGAGAGGATTTTGCTGCGGCGGATAAAACGGCCAGCGGAACTCCGGAGAGAAAACCAGAAATGGCTGTTCAGACGAAACTGGGATATATATTTCTGTTTACTATGGACAAGGATCATGAACAAACAGTTACAGAAAGTGATAACTACTGGAAAAAATTACACACCTCAAGGTGTTCATATGCACGGATTTAGAGCTAGGTGTTTGAACAGGCAGTTCCGATAGACGAAACTACGGCTGTATGGTTAGGAGGCAAAGGTATTGGATAATAACGGGTGGGAGAATTTTATAGTGATGGCTGTGGGAGGGAGATAAAGCCAGAAATGCTTCAAATGCTAATCGACCAACGAAAAATCACATACATCATGTTGTGCGAGTTGTTACTAAGGAAATGATAAGCTTAAGCAGATGCGCCGTAAATTAGGTCGAGTGTTAGTTTAGGTACTGGGCGTGACCGCGAAGAATCGTATATCCTGATCGATGGCGGTTGAAGTCAGATCCATACACGACTAGCCTTCGAATTCAGCCACGGCTGGTTGAGATCAATTCCGCACCTTCTAGAGTAATGGCGTTGTTGGACCTACATATGATTAGAGTATATTGGATCGTTTATGAGCACTTAAGCTGAAGGTTAAAAAGATAATGAAAGTATGGAGGTTAAATGCAAGAGGTTAAAAGTGGGAGGAATTTACAAGGATAAGAAAGGGAGAACATAAACTTATAAGCATGCAACCAGGAAAGTAAGGAGAAGGAATCCTAGCATGCATAAAGGAGCCACCCGGTTAGAAGCCGTCAATGAAGAGGCACTACTCCGAGAAGACGTCGAAGATTCGCTAGAGGTGGATGTTGTGGTAGTGTCCGAGGATCTGGATCTGGTGGTGATCAGAGAAGAAACCCCGGAACGTGTGAAGCTTGCAGAAGAGCTGGTAGGGTCGGGATTAGAACTGAGATTGGAATTAGAACTGGAATTTGTGCTGGAGTTGGAATTGGAGTTGGAGCTTGAGCTGGTACTTGCACTCTCTGTGATTTGGGAGGAAACTATGTAAGAGTTTTGGTCCAGGACGGTAGAGTAGTTTGAGCTGGAATCTGCTGAAGACGATGCGACGGTGGATGATGTTTTGGCAGATGAGCTGGAGGATAAGCTGGAGGGTGGGTTGGAGGATGAGCTGGAGGATGAGCTGGAGGATGAGCTGGAGGATGAGCTGGAGGATGAGGGTGAGGGTGAGCTGGAGGATGAGCTAGAACTAGAAGCACCCCCGGATGGAATGGTAGAAACAACAGCAACAATATCCTCAGACGATGAATCAAAATTAGCACTTGCTAACGAAATTTCATAGTCGTCCAAATCAAACACCACATACGCCCCTCTGAGGAAACTGTCCCCCAAAACGGCACGGGAAGACTCCTGAATGGTAAATCCACAGGAGTTGGAGATTTTCCCATTCGTCAAAGACAACTGCATAAAGAAATTCGACACTGGGACACTGATTTTGGTCCCCGCAAACTCAAAGTCAAAGTTCTGGCCATCAAAGGCGTTGCAAAGGGCGGTGTATCCATTCAATGTACTAGAATACTCAAGGTTCAACGTTGACACAATGGTCTTGATGACATCCGCCGGGAGGAAACTCAAGGTGGAGCCACTGTCCAACAAAACAGTCGTGGAATTCGAGGTCACCACGCTGTTCTTGTAAGCAACGCTGTCCAACGTCACCTCAAGCTTGATCGGCTTGTCGTACAGACTGGCATACGAATTAACAATGGGCACGGTGACCAAGTTTCCAGAGTACTTTGAGTGATCCACCCCGCCAAACAAGATGGAGCCCTGGGACGCATTTGCGGTATTCAAGTACAAGGAATAGAGGCTCTTCTGGATCAAACCGTCCGCCTTCATCTTCATCGGCAAGTTCTGGTACATGTACCGCGTCTTGTCCCCCGAGGAGGAGTAGGTAGTTTCCAAGCCAGATAATCCGATTCCCAAAACCCCCATGGTGGAGTTTGCCTGGTCAGCGACGGCCAAGGACAAATTATCCACCACCAACGAACCGATGGTGACCCTATCATGGCCCCATGTGCCTGTCGCAAAGGTTTTATCGGCGTAGTAGATCGAAAAGTCAGTGTTGTTGCTGGTGAAGGAGGTAGAAACCGACTTGTCAAACGTTCCGTAGAGGCTGCAGTCGATCATAGAGTTGGGGTCAATGGTGACCGCCTTGTTAACGGAAAATTTTTCAAAAAATGAAACCATTTCTCTTTTGATGCTGCGGAAGGTGGTTTCCCTGCTGGTGGAGACAGACTTGGAGTACGCTTTGCCAGAGGTACCGCCTGTACAGTAGGTGTTATCGCTGCCCATGATCCAGAGATCGGAGGAGCCAGTATCCACAAGCACCCCAACCTGCTGACCGGTAGAGCCCACCGATAAAGTAGAAAGATAAAATGTGTTTTCGTTGGCAAGGTCCATGGTGGCAACTCCGTTGACGTCTCTCTTAACAATCTGCGGCTGCGCGCCCAAGATGGCCGAATCTGCGGTAGAGCCTCTATGGACGTTGAATTCTAGCTTCAACACGCCGGAATTCGAGGCGGCGGCCAGTGCCAGAAGGACTGATAAAAGAACTGGGTATGAAAGTTGCATGAGGCCGTGGAAGGAACAACTGGGTATCTATGTACGGTTCACGTAGTATCGTTATCTATAAGCTATGTTTGGGTATGTACAAGGAGCAAAGTGATAATGCAACGAGATATTGAACGTAAGTGTGGGATCACAAGCACTTTTGAATTGAAGTTTTGGGGAAAGCGTCCTATATGATAGTAAGAAAGATATCAGTGCTGCCAAGTTTGGCATGCTCATCACCAGATCCTCATCCTCCCCTGGTTAAAGTACAACAGGACAACCTCCGACATTTTTCGCTTGTAGTAACAGGTGGTGCGTCTTTCTGCGTCAGCGCCGTGTACTCTGAAACCTAAAGTGCATATCGGTGCAGGAATCAGTTCATCTCATTCCAGCCTCCACTGAGGATCGATACTATCCAAGGCAGGCCCCTTCACCAAACGATATTGCCATAACTTTAGTGCATCCTCTATTGTAGTCCTTCCATTGGGTATGAGAGAGAATTACTGGTTAGATACGAATCGCCAAATGCTTCTAAATATAGTGGTACGACTAGCCCCGGGTTAGGTATGGAACTTTTGTTGGTCTTTCCCCGATGCGGCTCAATTAACGCGCTGGCAAGTCAACGTGAGTTGGTTTTTACCCAAAAGGGAAGCTCTTTAGACGCACCAGCGATCGGATTTACGTAATCTGCGACATTACGTAGGCATTCCCCTGTTGTCACCTGGGATCAGGGGACGCGCTAGGGTGCCGAAGACCCAGCCATTCGAATAAATAATGTATCTCTCTAGGCACCAATGGCTCTACCCAATTAGCGAAGCTTCAGTAGTAGCTGGACTGGCGGATATAATATGATATCGAGATTGACTTGGTTTTCTGTCTCTGGTAATTCTGGGTATATCGTCAGATGTCAGTGGTAAAGAACGTGTCTCTATGGACGGATCAGCCACTAGGCAGCCTTGCAAGCGGCTTGAGTTTCTACACGGAACCAAGCGCATTTGTACGAGATGCGAGCTAAAATGGTTACGGCCTTTCTTCTGGTACCCTTTTGTTTATGGTTTACGCCAAGAAGCTAGCCTTCCATATCATGTCTTGTGTATGCGCTTAGTTTATTGGCATGGCTTAACTAACGCATAGTCGACTGACCTCTTCTCGTCTCTCACAGCCACCAATCTTGTAAACTTGACTCGTTAAAGTGTCTGGCGAATGGAAATTGTCTGGAAACACCCAACTCTTTTATGTGACACGGTCTTAGTCTCAGCTTAGAAACTTACGAGGGGGAGGAGCTACCGATAAGTTTCCCTTAGTGACGTCCGATCTGCCAGTATCTTTGGCTTATGTAAGTAAAAATACAGGCACTATGCTCTAAGTTGGATATTCAACTTTATGAAAATAATATCGATTGACTGGAGGAGTACGTATAATCAATCGGAGTCGATCTTATGTAGCTCCGACATTTCCTTTGGTTGGAGACCCGATTACATATACGCAAGTGTATGAGATCTAGAAGTTATTGAAAACAATTAAAAGAATTCCAGACAAACTTTAGGCCGTTGTCAATCACAGTATACCTCTCAATATCTGTCTTTCATTTCAAGCAATATGAGAGGTAACTGCAATTATACCGTCCTATTTCATCTCCAAACAGCACGATAGCTAATTACTATAAGCATGCAAACCAAGGCCACAAGGTTTGTGGAAGGCTTACTCATAGAGCTTCCTCCTTCGTAGGTAACTGAAATGGCAGCCGTTGAGAAGGTAGAAGTACGTGAGCTTGAAATCGTGGACGAAGTTATTACCCTGTCGGCGGTTGCTTGCGTGACTAAAGGGGGAACTAGTGGAAAATTCATCGAAGACTGTGGAATTATCGAGGCGGAGGGTACAGGTGTTGTTATATTACACGTATCGTTCACGCAAGATGTAATAGCTAATGCGGAGGTGTGATTGGGCTGAATGGCGGGAATGTTAACATTTATGCCCAGACTGGGGTTAGATTCAATGAGGGAGACAGCCGTAAGTGTTTCCTTAGAGAAGGTCTTGGTCTCACTGGTAGTAATCATTGAGGGTACTGACAGTACTAGGGCAGATTCTGGACAGTAGGTAGTGGTTACTGTAACGACGTTGCAATAGTTGTCAGAGCATGACATGATAGTCAAGGTTTCAGTATAGGATAAAGGGCTCGGGATGATAGATGAAGAGCTCGGGACGACGGGCTCCGGGCAGTAGGTGGTGGTCAGTGTAACGACGTTGCAATGATTTTCAAAGCATGATGTGATAGTCAAGGTTTTAGTCGAGGATAAATGTTCTGGGGTGACAGATTCTGGGCAGTAGGTAGTGGTTACTGCAACAACATCGCAATAGTTGTCAGAGCAGGAAGTAAAAGTCAAGATTTCAGTGGAATATGAAGGGCTCAGGGTGATGGCTGGCAGCTTCTCGGTAGTGGACGATGAAATGATTGTAGGGTCTTGGGCCGAAGAAACAGAGGTGGAATTTGAGTAAAACGAAGCAGTCGATAGAGCAGAAACTGAAACAGAGTCAGACGAGGACGTCGCAATGACAGTGGTAAATACAGAACTGTTATTGGAGACTTCAGACAAAGAAAATTCGGAGACGGAGGATATATCAATCAACAAAGATGTATCGGAAGTGCTGAAAGAATCGGTGGAGCTGGAAGCGGTGCTGAAAGAATCAGTGGAGCTGGAAGCGGTGCTGAAAGAATCAGTGGAGCTGGAAGCGGTGCTGAAAGAATCAGTGGAGCTGGAAGTGGTGCTGAAAGAATCAATAGAGCTCGAAGTGGTGCTGAAAGAAGAATTTGTGGAACTTGGAACGGAACCAACGGTAGAGCTAGATTTCCCTCCCTCTGGAATGGTAGATGTCACAGCTACAATATCCTCCCTGGTTGAATCAAAATCTGCCTCCGCCAAGTACACTTGGAAATCATCCAAGTCATACACGACGTAGGCACCTCTTAAGAAGCTCTCTCCCAAGACATATCTATCAGCGGCTATAACACCCATCGAACAGTTTACAGATGTTGTGCCATTCGAGTAAGTCAACGGACGAAGAAAGTTGGAGACTGGAACATTAATCGTGGTACCGGCAAACTCAAACGAAAGCTCCTGGTTGGAGTAGGCATCGCACAAACCAACATATGCCGCAGCTTCATCCCAATATGTAAGATCCCATAGTTGGATCAAATTGTCCACCACAATCTGTGGCAAGAAAGTCAACGAAGTCCCACTGTCTAATAAAGCAGTCACCTCGTCAGGCAAGGCCACCTTGTCTTTAAAGCTCACCCCCTTCAATTTGACGTCAAATGTGATTGGAACTGAATACATCAGGGGATAGATGTTTTCGAGAGGAATGGCAACCAACTCACCCGTGTATCTAGCATGGTCAACCCCACCGAACAAAACGGTACCCTGGGTAGCATTGGCGCTGTTCAAATACAATGAGTAGAGATTTTTCCCGATGTACCCGTCGCTTTTCAACTTCATAGGCAAATTATCATATTTATATGGCTGTTGGCCCGCTATTCCCCCAGAGTATGTCACTTCCAACCCCGATAAGCCAATTCCCAATACACTGACCCTCGAGTTGGAAGAATTAGCAACCACAAAGGAGAGATCATCAATCTCCAATCCATTCAAAGTGACAGTATCATGTCCCCAAGTGCCTTCTGCAAAGGTGTTGTCGCTGTAGGTGATATGGAAACTCGTACCATTGTTGCGAAAAGTGGTGGAAGCGGTTTTGTTAAAGGTGCCATATATACTACAGTCAATCTGGCTGCTTTCAGGGACGGCGGCATCTTTAGAGATATCCTGTGACTTGCTAAACAGAGATTGATAAGGGATTCGGTATTTGGAAAGAGGCAAAGTACTTCCGTGAGAACAGTACGGGTTGTCGTTACCCATGACCCACAAGTCGGAGGAGCCGGTGTCAAGAAGCACACCAACTTTCTGTTTGTTTGATCCCACTGACAATTCAGCCTTGTAGAAGGTCATCTCATTGGTGATGGTAGTGAGGACAACGCCTGTAGCCTCGTTATTGATCAATTTCGACTCAGCCACGCTGGCTGCCTCGGCGATGGAGCCTCTATCGACTGCAAAGTCCAACTTAAAAACACCGTTGACTCTGAAAGGTGCTGCCTCGCTGATAACCGATACGGCCTCTCCTCCCATTATTGAAAGCATGAGAAGAATGGAAAAACGCATCCTGGGGTAGTGTTTTGTCTGCGATATGGATACTCTTATAAAACGAATGAAATTACTCCTTGTCTAGTTCAGAAACTAGGTATTAGCAAGAGTAGGGTTAAACAGTATAAGTGAATGGTAGCTTAAAGGCACGCTGAATTAAAAGCAGTATAGGCACGGGGAAGGCACTGTTTATATACAAATCGTAGCACAAGCATGTTCCCAGTATTTGAGACAGATCAAAACTCCGTGACTAATACATTGTTCGACGCTGATTTATCGTCGTGTGAACTACGATGAGTTACATCCTCAGCTTGACGACTATATTTACATAATAGAAAGCACCTCAACGTCGCTTCAGGATCCCAATTACCGCTGCTGACGCACGGAGTCTATACTGTTGTGTTTAAACCCCTTGCATATGCACGATTTCCTAACTTGGCCTCTTTGCAGGGGACTATATCCTGCGAAGAGGCCAAGCCCTTATGGAGGCTCTAAACTACGGGCAAAAGATCCTTAATTCGTAACTCGTCTGATTTTTAAGCTCAAAGATGTTCACTGTGATCCCAAAAGAGGTGTTCCATGTATGCATTAGGAGCTAAGCTGAAGACATTACTTCAGGATTGGTATGTCCCCGAGGATAGCCTTTCCATCCAGTAGCATGTACACCGGTACCCTATCAAAAGCGTCAGACGCGAAGGCGGGAAAATATAAAGTGGACTTCGCCATAATCCTGGACTTACTATTTACAATATAGAGCATTTATTCAGACATGGAGATCCAAAAGAGAGCTCATGAACTATTCGAAAAGGTAAGTGGAAGGCCACACTGCCTGTGTTATATCGCCGGTAGGGACAACTATCCTACATTTATAAACGTGTTTCAAAATAGGAGCTATCCACCTCGTCTACGCATATACTTATTTACCACGTGCGCGTCTGAGAACAGACTGGTGCCACTTATAGGATCCGCCTTGTGTCGAGATTCGCTGGTCAACCGTTTTACCTCTGAACGTTGGGCTCCTTCGTGGATACCCCGTCACTTCTCGCAACGGTATTCCTGAGCCAATAAGATGCCTCTGCTAAACCAAAAAGGATTAAAACCTGAGCGGGTAGATGAGTTTCGTAGAGAATTCCTTTTGTATGAGCGAATAGCGTAAATAATAATTTATAGCAAATGATTGGTCCAGGTATTAAACGCAGTTTCGAGTGGGTATAATATAATGCTTGTCTTATTTTCCATTTCTTCCCGAGAGAAGACTGAACCTTTCTCCTTGCTTGTAAATCCACTGGTACTTTGAACAGATTTAAATAGGAGTGATGCAACAAAGACTCGCACTAAGAGTTCACCACATAGGACAAACAATCTTACTTGGTTCAGCAGAAACGACTCTCTAGATCCTTTGTGTTCAATATACATTGAGCTTGTGTGAGCTAACTATGCTGAACGTGGTACCAATCTGGATATGTAAAAATTCGAAGGACAAAGATATGATATGTTTAGAATGCAAAGCAATTCAAACAGTACTAATACTTTAATCTATTAAGAATATTTAATCGAGATGAATCGTTTGGGGGTATTTTATAGGATTGTTGAAGAGAGAATATCTGATATTGAATCACTTTAGTAATCAATCTGTTTCCTTTTAGTCCTTGTAAATAATCTTTGTCCATAATATGACCTGGTAGGTGTTCTGGTGTTAAGACGCCAGGTCAATCAGAAAAGGAACTGAATGCACGTAAACATGATAGCCAACGCATTAAACCCAGCAGGGATGGGTACCGGAAATGCACCGTTAGACCATGCTTCGAGAGTACTCACAGATACAGACAGAACCACCACTTGAACGGAACTTGTGGATTTTGACTCAAGATCTGTTGTCAAAGACGCATTGGACAATGGCAAGTTTCTGTGCTCAGGTGAAATGCTAGTCATCTCGGTTGAACAATCGGAACACAAGGTAGCCGTGGAGGATGCAGAAAGGCTTGATGAGGATACTACGGCATTTTCTCCATACACAAGCTCTATTTGACGCGTGTTATCTGGGATTCTTTTGTTTTCCAAAGTTTGGGTGGTGGAGGCAACTTTATCTTGATTCCTCTTCGAATGGGCCACAGTAACATGGGTAGCAACTCCAGTGGTACGGACTGTAGGGATAAACAGAGAAGGAGTTGGTGAAGCAATCTCGTCAGCAGTTGCGGTGAGAGCGTAAAACAATGATCCTATCAATTGATCGAGATTGATCTCAGGCTCGACCTGTGTGGAAGCAGGACTGACCTCGGAAGTTGGAACTGAGGCTGGAACCTGATGATCAGTATGGTGTAAGAGAGATTGAATGAATGACTCAATTAATCTGATATTAGAATGGTACAACTCTGAAGCATTTGGCCCAGTTGAGGACGAGGAAGTTATGGTAACCTGGAGACTAGTATGGGAGAACCTTACTGAAGAGGGATGGATAGAAGCCATCAGGGTGGAGGAAATAACCGAGTCCGCGCTCTCTTCCGTTATAGTTACATGATCCTTTGGCAACGTAGTTGGTTCAATGTCGGCAGGGAGTGAAGTGGAACTTGAAACTCTTTGGAGTGCGGGGCTTGGGGTTAATTTAAGCACCGTGGTTCTCCGAGGAACATGCTCGACGTTTGTGTGTACGACAGTTTCCGTGTGTACGATGAATTTCGAACGTACGACAGTTTTCGTGATAGTCACAATATTCCCATGGGCTACACTGGAAGTAGAGGTAATGGAGCTTGGGCCTCGAACCAGCGAGGAAGGTAAGGTGGTAATAAACGGCAGGGAGCTTTTGGTGGCTGCAATAGGGGCAGAGGATACCTTGGTGGACGATTCGAGACCGGAGATCTCCTGGCTGGAAGACCCCGTCGATAAACTGTATGCTTCTGGAATCAGCGTCGATAAGCTATGGGACGTAATACGTAAGGTCTCTGTAGCTTCGCTAGCCACCATGGGCAAAGAAAGGCTGGGAGCATTTTCCGTGGAACTAGCCGGAACATAAAAGCTGGTTTTACTCAGAGTTTTGAAGTTAGATAACGTACTTGAGGGCAAGATGCTTGCTTCGGCATTGGAGGATGTCTGTGGGAACACTGTAGCAGGCGGCAGCGTAGAGGGCACGGGAGCCCGGGTAGGGATAGTGGAGACAACGGGGACAATGTCTTCCTCCGCACCATCAAAGTTAGCACTGGCCAAGGAAATTTGGAAATCGTCCAAATCAAACACAACGTAGGCACCTCGTAAAAAGTCATCACCAAGGACACCGTCATCGCCCGATTCGTTAATGCGTAACCCGCAGGTTTCCAAGATTTGGCCATTGGAAGACATCAAGGGAACCATGAAATTGTAGATCGGAACATCGATGCTGGTACCAGCAAAGTCAAAGGTAAAATACTTGCTCTTGTAGATCTCACAGTTCCCAACATACATGCCGACAGCGGGTTCGTATGTGAGGCCAGCACCAGAGCCCATCTTATCCGTGAGATATTTTGGCAAACTAGACACGGTAGACCCACTGTCTAGCAAAACCGTAATTGGTCCCGTGGACAATTCAACCTCGTTTATCATAACCAGGTCCATTGAGACCTGCATACTCTGCGGCACGATGTCATAAAGGGGAGAAGTGTTCAAGATCGGAAGCGTCACGAGGGTGCCAGAGTATTTGGAGTGGTCAACCCCACCAAACAACACAGACCCTCTGGTTGCATTATTCTCGTTCAAGTACATGGAATAGAGATTTTTCTTGATAAGCCCGTTGCTCTTCATCTTCATCGGCAAGTTTTCGTACTCGTAGAGAGTGGATTCCAAGCCCGGTAACCCAATCCCCAACACTGCCACGGTAGAGTTAGATCTGTCCGCAACGGCAAATGAAAGGTCCTGGATGGTTAGCGAATCCATTGTGATTGTATCATAGCCCCATGTTCCGGTAGCAAAGGTTGTGTCAGCATACGCAATAGAGAAAGCGGTGTCGTTAGAGTGATAGCTGGTAGAGGAGCGTTTGTCAAACGTCCCGTAGATGCTGCAATCGATTTTGGACGAGTCAGGGATGATTTCTCTCTTGCTCATCGGTGCTATATCCTTCGAGGCCATGGACCAATTGCTCCGGGCGGTCCCGTTCTTGCAGTAGGGGTTGTCAACGCCCGTAATCCACAAGTCGGAGGAGCCTGTGTCGAGCAACACGCTGACGTCTTGCATGTTAGACCCGATAACCAAATCAACCATGTAAAACGAATGCTCGTTGATAATCTCCATGCTGATCACCCCGCCGATCTCACGCTTGCGAGCATATGTTTGGGCCCCGAGCTTTGCTGTATCGGCGTGTGAGCCTCTATGAATGCTGAAGTCCACCTTTACCACACCGTCGGACGATGCTATAGCGGCTTGGACAGTAGACGCTAATGCTGTTAGAATAATGGCCTTCAAAAATCTCATTCTGTTGGTCTGTATGTAAGTGGACCCCAAACAGCAATTTTGTTAGGCAATGGCGGTCTCTATATATACCTGAGGATCAACCCAGCTTCCCGAGAGGCTTTCAGGCGGACAAGCAGGCCAATGTTATCATCCGCCGCATTCGGCAACGATGAATCCCTCTTGGGCGTTTAGGGCATGCAAGTCTTAAGGGCCTCTCTTCAAGACATGGTCTGTGGGGGCGCACCCCTGCGCTGAATCATGTGCCTTAAGTCTGAAACCACGACGCATGCATTGCGCTTTAAGGGTCATTGTTTTCGACAGCGATACGTTTGCTGCTCGTGGTCTTTATCATTCCTCAGGATCCTGGTAAGAAACAACTACGCAATTAGAAAGAATTACTATTGTATATTGCGCGTTAAAGGTATCGATTTGTACTCAATCACTCATTTCTACACGTGTAAATTCGTGCAGAAATGTTTTTTAAACTTTACGCCTGCGTCGAGATCCTGGCCTGATGCATGTACACCGGAACAAAACTTTACGCGGCAGCTGGTAGTACGCAAAGGTTCGAGACTAATCCCGTCGCGTCTAGGTACTGTTTACTAAACATGCCAAGGCGATATTGTTTATACTTCCTTATTGGGTTAGACCATAAAACACTCGATATAGGCGCTGTGTGGTCTCTGTTGCGCTAAGGGCTAGCATTGGGCTAGCGCAACCTGTTCAATTTAATCAGTTAGTCCCATGCCTCACCTTCAAATTCCCATGTCTTAAAAGCTATAAAAAAAATTATAAACACATCTAGAATGTAGTGGACAACAGCACAGGCTATAAAATTCGTATACGTTACTTTAGAAGCACATGCAAATATCCGGTCCACATTCGGTCTAAATGGTACATGCGCTTAACAGGGCTCTCTCGACTCGGATCCGATTTATCACCTGTATCGAATACGCACCACGGAAATTCTCTAAAGTCCCAGCCAACGTGGCCTTTACCTTTTCCCTTAACGGATCGACCGATTCAGATATTTCCAAATCAGGGAAAAATGTAAATCTCCCAACGGGGGTTTATAGTGTCGACTCTTTGTTTCAAAATACACACTCTAAACATTCGGTATTCCAGAATCGACGAGGTGAAAGCTTGCATAAATTAATCTCAACCGTAATTACATTGTTGCCTGGTGTTTACCAAAAATTGTAGATACAGGGTTGTGATATCTAGAGATGAGTATTAAACGTCGTAAGCGACAAAAGCAAAGGTTGAAATGAGGAATAGATATGAAGGTCTACAAAATCAGCAAAAGGGCAGAACCGAAGACCGATCCCATAATGGCCAACACCCCCGGGTTGGCGATATGGCCGGCACCACTTTTGCTCAGTGAAGGGGCTTTGGTGGAGGAGGAGGAAGATCTACGGGTGGTAGAGGCGCTGCCGGCACCGGTGGCCGCGGCTGTGTTGGAGGTGCCGGTGGAGGCACCAGAGCTGGCGTCTGGAATAGTGGAGACCACCGCAACAACGTTCTCGCTGTTGGCCGACTCACCGAAGTTGGCATTGGCCAAGGAAATCTCGTAGTCGTCCAAGTCATACACCACATAGGCGGCTCTCAAGAAACTGTCGCCAAGCACCGTCTGGCTGGATTCGATCATTCCAAAGGCACAGGTGTTGCTGCTCTGGCCATTGGAGAGGACCAAGCTCATCAAAAAGTTGGAGGCAGGAACGGTGATGGTGGCACCAGAGAAGGTGAAGGTGAAGCTTTTGTTATTAAAGGAACTGCAGCTGCCGGTGTATGCCTGAACTCTGCTGTTATATGACAAACCCAAGGCAGAGACAGCAGCACTGACCACAGACGATGGGAGGTAAGATAAGGTGGACCCCGAATCCAATAACGCGATGGTAGAGGTGGACATGAGGTTGTTGCCTTCGTAAGAGACAGAGTCGAGGGTAATTTCGGTCTTCAAAGGATTGGCATAGTACTTGGCCAACGAATTGACAATCGGCACGGTGACCAAGTTCCCAACGTATTTGGAATGGTCCACGCCACCAAACAACACAGACCCGTAGGTGGCGATGCCCTGGTTGAGATACAACGAGTAGATGTTCTTCTCAATAAGCCCATCGCTCTTCATCTTCATCGGCAAGTTTTCGTACATGTACGGTTTGGATCCCGTCGTGGCAGATGAATAGGTGGTCTCCAAGCCGGCCAAACCAATCCCAAGGACCCCCATGGTCGAGTTGGACAGGTCAGCGACCGCAAAAGACAAGTTATCGACGGTCAAGGATCCAATGACAACCTTATCGTAGCCCCAGCCCCCGGTCGCAAACGTGTTGTCCGCGTACTGGATGGCAAACTTGGTGTTGTTGCTCTGGAAAGAGGTTGACGCGGACTTGTCAAAAGTCCCGTAAGTGCTGCAATCAATGGCGTTGCCTGTATCGCGTTTTTGCCTATCTGCCGGGTTGGCTTGTTTCAAGTCACGCTTAGCAGTGCCCCTGGCGCAAAACGAGTTATCACTGCCCATGATCCACAAATCGGACGAGCCAGTATCCACGAGAACTCCCACGTTCTGGCTGTTTGACCCAACAGACAAGTTGGCCATGTAGAAGGTGTTTTCATTAACAATTTGCATCGTCACCACTCCATCAGCTTCTCTCTTGGACAACTGGGCAGACGCCCCAAGCTCGGCAGAGTCGATCGACGACCCCCTGTGAACGTTGAAGTCCACCTTGAACACCCCTGGGGTAGCGACCGCGTAGGTGGGTAACGTCAACGCGACAGATAAAAGCACAGAGTTGAACTTCATAATGCAAGATCTAGTTACTGAAACAACTGTGCGATGGTAAAACTGGTTGCAGCGAGGACCCACGCGGTTTATAAGCGAAGTAATGGCCAAGACTTCCCGAGATATCGCGTTTACCAAGTACCCTCCAGCAGAAAAGTTGAAGGCGGACGGTGCGGCATATGCACAGCCTATTCCGGCACATAAGCCAAAACATTGCTTTTCCTATGTTTTTACTGCGTTAGGTTTCTGATCGGTGTCTCCTGGGGTTAGGTGCCGGGTACTTCGCCCGTTCAGGAATAATTTGATTGTGTTACGCGTGTTTCAGAGACGCGGTGGGGGGGTTGGCAAGTCGGAGAAATACGGTGATATTGCAGAAAGAGTACTGATAGTCGGGTCAAGTTAGTGTTATGACAAATTTGGAGGTAATCGTGTCTGTGGGTAGATTTTTAAAAGACCCTGGAGGGTCAAAAAAAACTTCGTAAACGTTATCAGGGCTGCTAATTCGCATCCGGGCTGTGCCAGTGGTCACAACTGCACTATTGGGTTCTACGGTACAATGGAACATATACTAAAGGAATCTCAGTTGTGATTTTTAGTGCGAAAAGCTCTAAATAAGATTAAATTCTCCAAACGATCGTACCTATACGTATCTGCCTCTAATTTTAGTAGATTTATGGGTCTTCCAGGACACCGAAAGATGTGGAAACAGGGTATTGTTCTTTTCGTCAACTATACGTTATCGCGAGTTGGGAGGGGTACTATTAGTCACTCTTCTTAGACTTACATGCCAGCACGGATGAAATGACTGACAACTGCCCTCGTGATCGACAGCGTATGTACTGCGACGTAATTCCTGCACCCCTGTCCAGTTAGATGTTAACGCTTCCACCCTGGACGTTATCGCTCTTACTTGTACTTGGGTTTACGCTAACTTCCGGGTACTGACCGTTGTCCTAAAAGCCTGGAGTGACAGGCATACCAGCGTCGCAGTTTATCTTCCTTTACCACCTTTCCTGCTGATGGCTTATCGAGTTCGAACTATGTGCACACCAGCTCCAGGAGACGCCGTAGAAATACCCACCCGAAAGTACCAAAGACTGAATTGGTAAAAGTGCTTAGTATCCTTTGATATTCCGTAATACACGCCGTTTTACACGTAGATAGCAGGCTCCATATGTAAGACTGGGAAAAAAGCGCCAGTTAGGTACAACGTCACTGATGGCACTCATAGTGTGTTTGCTCACACGTATCACGGTGGGTATATTCACCCGAGGGTCTAATTTAACCACTAGCATTTCTCTATTAAAGGCCCTGTCTAAGAAAAATAATCAGACGAAAGTGTAGTCTACGGCTGACGCGCATTATTCATTCTGGCATAGATTCAGGTGCTACCATTACTAATTTGCGCATAACGTTGGGTAAAGGTCAAGTCCGAGAATCGCATAACGGGTCGAGTCAGGTCCAATGCGGGCGGGTAACCCCATTATATCCCCGGCCCGCACTTCGCGGATTTATAAGCGCGCGCTATATTAGCCAATCAGCGCGCAGTGCAAGGTAAGCTTACAGCAATTGCAGGGGAAATACTGGTGGCGTCACGTGCGGGGGGGTTTGTATGGGCCCAGGAAAAATATTCGTATATGTGCTGCCGTAATCGCCTGGAAACGTTGAGCCTAATCCTCGATTTCATTCATCTTTAAACATACACTCTTGTATCTAATACCGTACATTACCTTCCATCTCCAATCGCATTCTTTACATATACACATACGATGGCCTCCAACGTCATGAGATTAAACAGGTCATTCAGCACTTCGCTCCCACAATTGTCCACCAGACGTTTCTTGCAAACGGTCCAAAACGGCCACGCGCCGTTCCTCAACTTCAACACAGCCGCTCCTGTTCAGCAGGCTGCGCCTTCCAGTGGGAAAGGGTGGTCCAAGCACTCCTTGCCAACGCTAGCCGAGTTGAAGAGCTTGGCTAAGGAAACCAACAAGAGCAACCGGGCCATGTCTGCGCCGTCGTTGCAAAATTCGTTGAGCAAGTTAAACACCCTCTCCTCTCAGCTTAAGGAAGCGTCCATAGCGCCAAAGGTTGTCACTGAAGCGGTTGCTCCAGTGGATGCTACCCAAAAGAAGGCGAGGAGAACCTTGCGCCCACGAAAGGCACTTATCACATTGACTCCAAATGCCGTGACCCACTTGGCGGCCCTCTACAATCAGCCAGAGCCTAAGTTGATCCGTATCGGTGTCAACAATCGGGGGTGTTCCGGCTTGACGTACAACTTGTCATACGTCGACAAGCCAGGCAAGTTCGATGAGATGATTGAGCAGGACGGTGTGAGAGTCTTGATTGACTCCAAGGCTTTGTTCTCCATTGTGGGGAGTGAAATGGACTGGATCGACGATAAGCTAGCTTCCAAGTTTGTGTTCAAGAACCCAAACTCCAAAGGAACTTGCGGTTGCGGTGAATCATTCATGGTTTAGACCCCCTCCATACCCTTATGCCCGAGACGAACACACCTATTTATACACAACCTTTTTCTTGTATTTTGCCTCCACTTTTACATCCTGGCTGGCACCATACTTTACGAATCCCCTTAATCCTTTACGAATAGATTTTCATATACAGCTGACTTTATCATGGTATTGCAAGTACACCTAAAAGGATTAAACTTACGTTAGCGGTTATGGCGACATTTTTCCCTCCAGCCTGGTTGTCTCCTGGCTATCTCCTGGCTACTGTGAGGCGCACAAACCGCTGCAATCTGGTGTCTTGCGTTCCAAACGTTGCCCGGCACTCTGTCCTTCTCTGTAGCCTCCATATTAGGGTTCAACAGACTTTAATCGTCAGTCAATAATCTCAGGCCGGTTGTATAACTACAAAATGCGGCTTCGTTTGTAACGATTTTCCCCGCATGAGCCTCGCCTATAGCCGTGGCAGAGCATATGCAAGTACCTGTCCCCAGATGCATCTGGACGTCTCTGTTTGTGTGCCAACACACACCGAATCCTCGGATTCGATTCGAGTCTTTTACATAGATGCCTTTTTTGTGCTTGATCTAAACCTCGGTGTTTTGTGATTGGGGCTAATGGGGTTTTCATGCCACACTGTGCTTGAACGGCATTGCTACTCAGCACAAGCAGCCAGCTATGCGGATTTTGTGGTTGCGTATCCAACCGCAAGCAAGTATGCCCAGACACCCCACTGGCGTATAAAAGAAGCTCGAGCTTTTTCTATTGCTTTTGCCTTTTTTTTTTTTCTTTTTGTCTTTGTATTTTCAATCAGGAACTTCTTTGACTCTCTCCCTGTCTCTAACTGCAACTAGCATCATGCAATACGCGTATCTCATTGGTACCCTAGTTTCGGCCTCTTTGGTCTTGGCTAGGAAGGCCCCTGTCATCAAGGACAAGTCCACCAGAGGTGTTGTGGCCTTGGCTGATTTCCCAGCCGGTTACGATGAAAAGGTGTTGGGGGTGGTCAAGTTTACCAACCCTTCGGGAACCGTCAAGGTGCACGTGGATATGACGGGCTTGCCAGCTCTGGGTGGGCCTTTCTACTACCACATCCACAAAGACCCAATGCCAGATAACGGCGACTGTCTTGCCACTTCCACCCACTTCAACCCATATGATGCTCCCGCTGACTGTGACTCGCAGAAAAACGATGCCTACTGCCAGGTGGGTGACTTGTCTGGGAAGCACGGCTGGATCAACACCACCTGTTTTGCCCAGGACTACGACGACAAGTACTTGTCCTTGAATCCAAAGTCGCCTTCCTACATCGTGGGCAAGTCCATCAACTTCCACTTCGCCAACAACACCCGTTTCGCGTGTGCTAACATCAATTTGGTGGATGAAGTAGACCAGGAAGCAATTGCAAACATTGAAGCGGACACTGCGAATGGAGCTGCCATTGAGGAAATCCTCTTAGGCTTGGAAGGTGAGAATCAGCCGTTGGACGATCCTATCGATGTCAATGCCGCTGAAGGAATCCGCGACAGCATTAAGAATATTGAAATTGAAGCTCCATTAAAAAAGATCTTCAGCCCTGGCGCTGAGGGCTCAGCCGTTAAGCAGCTTCATAGTAACAGTACACATGGTAACAACTTCCCAAGTGGTGATGATGGTGAGAATGACGACGAGGATAACGATGACAGCGAGCCAGATGTCAACACCACTGACAGTGTGAACGGTGCCGCCAATGCCAGGGATGGTGTGATGGCTGGTATGGCCATAGGCTTGTTTGGTATTTTGGGTGCTATCTTGTAGGAGATCCCTGGCTTCGCGTTCTGCGAGCTCTCACCATAGAATGATTTAGCTTTTTTTTATACAATTTGTTCCTGAGTCATGTAAGATCGCGTGTGGATAATCAGAATAGATGAATTATACGGAACATGGCCACGATAGTGCTGCAAAAACTAGGAACCCGTAAGGATACCTGGAAACTATACGTAGAACGCATTACCTGCGGTCATCATTGCATCATGTAGGCACGTTGATGCGAGTGGCGCTCATGTTACGCATTAATGGAAATTCCCTTGAAGCATAAGAAATATACATTAGAAATCTTGCGGTCAGAACATCGGCAAGGTAGTTAGATTGGGACATAACTAGAAATATATTTATATACACGATACTGAACTGCGATATTCCTTACTGGATGAGTCTACATTCGAAATGAGTGGCCTTAACCTCGGAAGGCAAGGAACAAAAGTACTCAAACTTCTGCATCTCGTTGAACAAATCCACAGCACTGTAACCCAACTTCAAACAGGTTTGGCCGCCATTAGCGTTGGCTCTGCAGATGGTGCTTTCGGCTTGGTTCTGGAGACTAGAGGGTGTTAGAATAAAGCGCACGTGAAGGCATAAAGGTACTCACCCATCAATGGTATACATCGCCAATGGCTGCTGCTTGACAAATTGCTCGACGGTTGGTTGATTCGGGCTGGCAATGAGCTGGGAAGCCGGTGGAGGCGGTGGCAAGTCGCCCAATGGTTGCTGTGGAGCAGCAGCGAGGGAGCCCACCCGGGGGGTAGCAGCCTCAACTGGAATAGCGGCAGTGTTGTTAGATTTAGAGAACCAGCCCATTTTGATGTGTTGCAGGAAAAATATGGTTAGAGGGTGATTTAAAAGTATAGTCAAAAAGGCTACTCTTTTGAAACATTACAGAACGCGGGGCTGCGGCTCCAAGTCGTGTACGGAAGATTTTCAGGCAGTGGCTCAATACTCTACACCAGATTAAACGGTTACCTATGGATATCGCGTTTCCTCTGAGAAACCAATTCGCCAATAACATCCCATTTGCAGTTTCCGGAACCATTGATATTTATTTCCCATCTGGTATCCAAATCCGCAGTTTTTCCTCCTCCACCCAATGGTCCCATCTCCTTCCATTCTCCGATCTCACACCATCTAACCTCTCGTACAATGCGCTTGATACTGGCTGTGTCCGAGAACATTATCCACAGCCGCCTTTTCACAACCACAATGGGCGACAGTTTCCAGTTAGGCCATCTCTACAGGCGGCTCGTGCGCTTGAGACCGTACCTCGTGGGGAATTCCCACGCTTACCGCCACAACTACCACCAGTACATTCGCCACAAGATCACACATCTACAGGAGTACAACACTCGCAGACGCAAGATACTCGGGCTCCTAGCATTATCCGACAATGAGTTGTGCGAGCGCGCGACCCGCACGCTTCATTTCTTGCACAACGCCGCCTGCGATGTAGCGCCGGGTCAGCCCCAGCCCTGGGAATCCCGGATCTTTGTGACGTTGATGGAAATGGAGTACTCCAAGTACCACATCAAGAAAACCATCCTGAGGCTTCCAGTAGACAGATCCTACAACTGGTTCGACCGGTGCGAGGAGTATGTCCAACTGTTAAAAGAAGCATCCACAGAGCCTGTAACCAAGAAACGTCTCCAGGAAACAAAAAAGCAAGCGGACGCGTGCCACCCGCTCATAGCACTCAGAGAGTACGAAATTGGCTTGATACGCTTTAATGAGAGCGCCGGGTTGATGTTGTAACGTCCTGCAGCTAAGCGGTAATGCTTTAGCCGCCCATCGAAAGAGGCCTAGTTTGCAAAAAGAAGCTTGTTTTGCTGGGGCCTGTATGTTGAAACTCGCTTTACCTTGGCTTGTTTTACTGGGTCTTCTATTATGGAGTAGTGTGATTTGGCTCTAAGAATCAGATATGGAATCAGAACTTCTCTGTTTTGAATACAAAAACTGCTTCGTGGGATTCTCATACGCCTATTCCCTCCTCGACGCTATCCCCAAATTGGGAGTCATTGTACTTCCCGCTGCGCCCTTTTCGGTACGGTTACGCCTTGGACCTTTGGTTTCTCCTAGCTAACGCCTATAGTTTGACGTGCTGCTCTCGGTAGATGGAGAGGTCTTGGAAGCGGACAATGAGCTTGTGCGAAGGGTAGCAGACGCCTTTGTGGACTCTCCGTTCTGGAAAACAATGCAGTACGATGTCCAGTTGCGTAGTTACGGAGACTCGGCGCCTGTTTCAGATGGTGATTCTAAACTTGCGACATTCTCGGTCATCGCTTCGTGCAAATTGCTCAAATCCTCGTGTTTTGATCCCGGAACGTTGCACTCCACCCTTCAGTCCGGCTACTTGGAGGGAAAGACTTTCACGATGCTTGCCAGTGTGGGCTTACGCTTCGAATTGTGCCCTCTGGAACGGATCTCCTGTAATGACGTCTTTGCCGTTGTGAACTACTGTATGTGCACGTTCTTCATCAACATCGAGCTCCAACTACCCCTCGTATTTGGATACTACGCGCGCAAATTGTACCAGGTCAACAACGAGTACTACGCGCTACTAAACCCATCGGGCAACACGTACGAAATATTAAAGTCGTTCGTAGCTAGACTATACAACATGTCACAGACCAGCGAGAATGCCATGGCTCATATGACAATGTTCTCCGCCCATCCAGGTCGCCTCAGGTATCAGTTGGCGCACCGTAAGCCTGACTGCCACGACGACGACGACGCTTTGCTCAAGAAGGAAATGTACTTCCTGGCGGGGGACTTTTTGAATACTAACAATCTCTAATGGAAATTAGGGTGTTCAAAGGAATACATTCCTATTACGTTTGGTATTCTCGCCGCAAGAAATCCCCCTGCTTTTATATCGCATTAAAATACATAGTATCCTCATTTTCCCCAAAAGCCCATTCGCTTCTTTTTCTGCTTCTCTAGTGTGACCTTTTTCAGGATCTCCTCGCGGGTGAGTCTCTGGGTGTGGCCCACAAAATTCTCCACAACACTCTCGTAGGTTGTATTGTCGTGTTTCAACTTTTTAAGCCGGTCTAGCCATACTGCATTCACCGCTTCGAGGCTCCCTACGATGGAAGACATCTCGGCTTCAAGCGCGGCAAGCTCCTCTACCGATAATGTCTGTAGGTACGTGACGGACTTTTGTGAAATGTTTTCGGCTTCCGTGATTCTGGCTTCAGGCGAGTCGAGAATCGCCTCCTGCTCGCTAGCGGTCAACTTGAGGTCTGAGAGGTCTGGAACCTCATATTTTAGGTCTTTGTACTGGGTGTACGAGAACAAGTCCTCTTCGTCGATGTTTCTCCGGTGCGAGTCACCAAGGTCCACGGGGATGCTCAAGTTGACGAGAAGGTGTCTTCTGATCTTGGATTTCTTCCAGTCCTGTGGGGTCAATCGCGGGACGGTGGATAATCTGGAGTATAACGCGTGAGAGCGCTCGTTGAGAAGGATGTGGGATTCCAAGTTAGGGTTATATGCCACCGAAGGGTGCGATGGTTCTGTTGCGTCGGAGAATATTCTTTGAATCCGGCTTGTCACAAGCCCGAGGAGACTGTCTGTGTTGTAAGATTCCTGGATAGGGCCCGGGTCGGGCATTGTACCTTTTTCAGAAGCGGGCTCAAGGTTGAAGGAGGCGTCGTCGAAGGAGCCAAAATCGTCGTCCTCTGAGTCCGGATCCGCGTTGCTGGTCATTCCCTCGTCCTCTCTCGGCTCATAAATGGTGTCTTCATCTCTAAGCTCGTGCTTGGTGTTTGCGTTGAAAGGGGGCTCATCCACTGGTTCAGCATCCTGCTCAGACTCCCGTAAAGCATTCTCTTCAAGTTCTATCTCATCCACCTTGGTCTCTTCTGGCTCTAAACCGTCTGTCGATTTGTTCCCATTCATGGTATTACCTCCAACACTCAGCCATTCATTCGTCAAATTAGCTTCATCGGGCTCGCCGTGTGGAACCAGCGTGTCTATATAGTCGGTGCCCGCCATCGTTACCCTCTGTGCTCAACACCAGACGCTGGTGAATCGACCTCTGCTTTAAGCTACAGGTGTTTGCCGCGGCGCACGACCTGGCGCGGCTTTTTTTTTTGGCACATAACGCAAAATATCTGGTACTAACCTCGCAGCTCTGACTTTACACCAGATCCCTATTACCATGACTGAAGACGGTAAGTTTCCTTCATAAAGCTTCCTGGCTAGTACTAACCCTCAGACACCGATAGAGTGATTTCAATAGTTCCGTACCTGCTCCCGCCACTAGACGCCAAGTTGGCGAAACTCCTCGACCTAGACGCCACAGAAAGTGAGGGCTACACAGAGCTACACGCGGATGTGCTTTTCTCGGGCTCTGTTCCCATATACAAAGATGCCAATCTCCAGCTTTTGCTCCAGCAGAGTCACGTTGCAACGACCAAAACTGAGCAACGCGCCGCTGCCAGCGCCGACCGCATGGACGTGGACCAGGAATTGAAGCGCCACGTGGAAATCGGCACCTTTGCCCTAGAGCAGTCACCGTGGACATTTGCATTACACGGATTCCCACATATCCACAGCTACTTCGACCTCGAAGCGGCCTTGGTCCGGATGATGGACACAGACTTCCGGTGGACCATCATCAACTACGAGCATATCGACAACCGTTTGGTGTTTGTCAGGCTCAACAGCTTTGAGGCGTTGCGGCAGTCAGTAGAGGCGGTCTTGTCTGTCAAGTTGTTTGAGGGGGGGCTTTCAGTGCGGGTTGACCACCGCACGTTTGAGGCGCTAAAGCCGGTCAAAGGCACCGAAGACGAAGCGAAACGGGCAAACATCGAAAAATTGTTCGTAAAATCTCCGTCAACCAAAGCGCGTAATGATGATGACGACAAGAAGAACGAACTCCTCTACTCCAAGTACAAGATCGAAGACAGTGAGCTTATTGACGTTCCGACGGATTACCGCAAGTCTGTGGTGAAGGACATCATCAGGTTCCGCACCCGGGTGTTGAAGATTGAGCAGGAGAAGCGGTCGAAGGAGATCGAAACTGAGCGCAAAAAATCCAAACAGAAATTGCGCAAGTTGTTTGAAGACATCAAGGAGTCCAATGGGGATATGGTGGCTGACAATTTGCCTGATTCTGACGGCTCTGATGAGGAGGACCCGCAGGGCATGAACGACGAAGAGGCATTTGCGTACGCGGAAGAGCTCAAGCAGGAGGCGCTAGACAAGGAATTTGCGGCAAAGGAGACCACCCTCATCAGACATGAGAGCAGCCAGCGTAGCAAGCTTTTGGCGGTGATTCAGGACTTGAAGGCATCCAACGACGAAGCTCGCGACCGGAAGCTTGCTGAACTCAGGAGCTTTGTGGACTATGGCGTGACGGAGAGTAAGGCCTATGCGTACTACAAGAATCATGGTGGTTACTTGAAGATGCGGTTGCACGTCAGAGAGAAGGAGGAAGCCAAGGATGCCGCAGATAGGGAAGCCGAGGCAGTCGAACAGGCCTCTATGGCCAAGGCAGATGAGTTCTTGTCTTCGCTCACTACGAAGCCGATCAAGCTCAGTCTCAATGTCAGGGACGAAGGCAAACTAAATGTTGCGGCTTTGGATGCGAAAGACGGGGTTTGGGAGCTTGTCAGAGCCAAAATCGATGAGTTGGTGGAGGAATCCTTGGGCGATGCCGAAGAGGAGTTGTCCAAGTTTATCTTTGACTTTGTCCAAGATGGAGCAAACGACAAGGCCGGCTTGGTGAAGGAGCTAGAGGAAACGTTGGACGATGATGCTGTGGAGCTTGTCCAGAAGTTATGGGAGTTTATCCACGAACAGTTATAAAGGGAAATTTACAAGAGGTGAAAGGCTAAGTAATTTCTGGGTTTAAGCTGCATGAGGTAGGTGTTATCAGGCTACATTTTCGGGATATGGCCTGGGCCATGTGGAGCTCTTACTTCAGTCACTCCATTGGCGAATGCATGTTCCTGACGAAAGTATACTGTAGCGACATAAGCATATAACAGGTGCTCAGTTTCTAATAAATGAGTTAATCGGGTATCTTGGAAACAGAAAGGTAATGTCAGGCATATCGAATTTACAGACCGCGGAAATATTAAATGTCTATTAGAGATTCTAACCGGGAAGCGCTATCGGGGAGTAACCCCATTTTACTCTACACACTTATCGTGGCTTCAATAACTGATATATTTGCGTTGTAGGTCAAACCTCAACTTCTCAAGTGCTTACCATTCTGAGCTAGTTACTCTTTCTCAACTTATCCTCCTGGTCACATTATGCAATAACCTCCTCGAGGGTCTGGCAAATGGGCAACTTGTTCGCCTCCTTCCAGAACTTGCTCAAATGCCTGTTTCCCGAATCACAAGCTACAACCACAATTTTCTTGCCCGAACCCTTGTGTTGGAGCGCAATCTTCACAGCGGCGACGCAGTTGATGGCGGCACTGGAGCCCCAGAACCAGCCGTCGTTCAACATGAGAAACTTTGCCATGCGCAATGCCTGCGCATCCGTGACTCTGATTCCCGCATCTATCAAGTGCTCGCTCTGTTGGAAGTTCCAAGTGACCCGGTTCAAACCGATGCCCTCGATTATGGTGTCCACCTGGTGCCGCCTTCTGGTGCCTTCGCGCTCTACCGAGTCGTACATCACGCCGTGGTTAACCCGGTTGCACAAGCCGCTGCCCTGGGGGTCTGCGAGAACGACACTGATGCTTGGGTCTTGTTCCTTGAGATACTTAGTGACCCCAGAAATGGTGCCCCCGGTGCCCGACCCGGTGACGAAATAGTCCATGTCGCCCCCCATCTGCGTCCAGATTTCTGGACCGGTGGTCTTGTAGTGCACGCGCCAGTTGTTGTCATTTTCAAACTGGTCCGCAAATATACTCTTGCGCGCGTTATTCGCGTCGTTGTTGAACCTTTTGGAGCCGTTTTTGGCCGCATTCACGTACTGGTTTGGGTCCACAATGGAGGCCGGCTTCACCGCCTCAATCTCTGCCCCGAGCGTCTCCAACAACGAGAGCTTTTCCAAAGAAGTGTCGTCGGGCAAACAGATGTGGCACACATAGCCTAACGCGTTACACAATGTGGCGAAAGAGATCCCCGTCGAACCCGAGGTGCCTTCGAACACCACATCCTTGGTGCCCCCGCGCTTGTTAGGCGTGATCTCCCCGTTAGCTTCGCTCTGTGTGAGGATTTCCAAGGCCACTCTATCCTTAGCGGAGCCTGCAGGATTACAGAGCTCGAGTTTAGCATACACTTCGCATCCGGTGAGCTCAGATAAGGACTCTATCAATACAAGCGGCGTGTTTCCAATCAACGAGGCGATGCCCTTGGATCTTGGCGGAAGGCGCACGGTCTGGGACTGTCTGTGCTTTAGATATGCATAAGCCAAGGCTATAATAGTGGTCGAGCAGGATGCTGCCAACTTCCAATCGAAACTCCGGACCATCTTTGTTAGTTGGTGTCGAGAGAGAGATGGTGATGGAGCCGAAATTTTATCTGTACATGCAGGCCGTCCATTTTTCAGCGACTGCATTTTCGTACGCATAGACGAAGATACCTAAGGTTTTGCTATATCCTTTGAACCTTGATAGGTACATTATACAAAAGCCACTGACCGTGTGTGAAGTGGCCTAATCTATAGGCTCATGGCTATTGCTACTTTACGATATTTTCATGGTATTCTCCAGGTGTGAAGGTTGCTCAGTCTCGGAACTACTGTGCAATAAAAGCAAGGGCACAGGTAACGCCTTGGACCCCATCTAAGCATTTTAATGGCTCTACAAGCACGGCATTTTCAGAGTGGTATAAAATTGTAAGGGAACTAAAGATTTAAAACAAAAGGGAAGTCGCAAGAATTAGGAAATTCAAATGAAAAAAAGCATACATGAATGGTACAGAGTTGTTTCAGGCCAAGGCGGTCCACTTGAACCTGTATTATTGTGCTTACCAGCCCAAAGAGTTACTCGCGTAGAATGGATCGGAAATCTTTGGGATCACTTTCGAAACATCACCCGCTTCGGTTCTTCCTTCGCCGCCAGTGCGTTGGGTATTGGCCAAGACTAACTGTCTTGGGGCAAAGTGGCGCATAGAGGTGTTGCGGGCAACAGAGTTTCTGGCAGATGGTAGGGACGGAGAGTTGTGCATATTCGAGTTGTCCGGCGTAGATGTGGACGGCGTGCTGTCGTGGAATGAGTCAAGCTGTGGTGAATGGCCCATGAACTGGGCGTAGTTGGCACTGAAATCGAACTCCTCGGCACGGGTCATGGAGTTGCTGGAGCCATCGACACTGTCGCCGTCAGCAGGAGAGACAAAGTCATTCGCCGGCAAGATGGATTTCTTGCTCATGTTTCTCATCTTGAGACGACGAATAAGGAAGAACATGAAGGAAATATACATCGAACAGCCAACGACAGAGCCGACAGCGACTCCGGCAACCTTGGAGGTTTGATGGGTACCTGGCTCGGCGGAGTTGAGCTGAATACCCATCGAACCATTCTCCGGCATCACGGTTTGGGTAGGGACACTGGTGGCAGTGAGGATAAGCCCGGTTATCTGAATCAGAGGATCAATCAACTCAGCCAACGCTTCCTGGGTAGAGTCGCTGTTGTTGTAAAGTGCGGATTCAGGGTTAGTAATATAACTCTGGAGCATGGTGATGCTATTAATTGGGAAGTAAACCTCAGCAACAGTAATTGTGTAGTTTACGTTTGGCGAATTGAAGGGAACTAATTGTCTGACAAGGATGTTTGGATCGGAACTCCAGCCAAATGGGAACTCCAAAACTAAAGGTAAGTATTGGATGATCTGGGCGGAGGATAACGTATTATTCACAACGAAAGGATAGTTCAATCCGCCCTTGAAACCAATGGTGATTAACGAGTACTGCTTAGCATTTGGCTGAATAGTCTGTGCAGGAGCAATCGCCAGTGGTAACACCATGGTGGCTACGGAACTGGTTGTGGCATCCCCGGAACCGGTGGCAGTGGTAGCAACGATGATATTGGTTGGCAACCAGTTGGTAGGCCCGACCTGTTCAGTGGTGGGGGTCGCTGGCGCCACCGAAACGGCGGTAGTGGCTGGAGGAGCAACAGTTGGTGCAGAAGTCGCAGTAGTTTTCACGGTGGTTGGGGTGGGCTCGACTGGCGCAACAGACACAGCTGGAGTTCCTGTGGTGATGGTAGGGACTGGTGTCACAACCGGGGTCTCAGCGGTGGAGACTGGTGGCACAACCGGGGTTTCCGTGGTAGAAACTGGTGGCACAACCGGGGTTTCAGTGGTGGAAACTGGTGGCACAACAGGGGTTTCAGTGGTGGAAACTGGTGGCACAAC